TCCCAGAGAAGTGCAATGTGTTATCTGGGAGACAACGTATTTGTGCACGATCGGTTCCGCACGGAGGTAGAGCGTCTCCAGAGTGCTGACAGCAATCCTCTGCTTGTTGGGGTTCCCCAGAGGATCTAGTAGAAGGTGTAGCTGTTTGGGATTGCTCGGGGAAGACATCCACGGCAGTCGTATGGGCAGGCAGAAAAAACACATGTGGACCAGGGACTTGAAGCGCATTGCGAGTGATGGGGATGGAGGTAGATATGCGGAAGAGTCCAGTGAAGCCGCAGGAGGCCACACATGGCATGGGCATGGGCCATGGGTGCTGCCAGTGGGAGGACTGGGAGCAGGTGCTCAACGCGTCCCACAGACACGGTCATGCGCAGGCCCAGGTCGCGTACTATGCTCACTGCGCACATCGTGCCCGGACCATCACCAACGACATGAGTCCCGAGAACTTCGTCGTCGCGCGCATAAGCTACGAAGGCACCGACGCCGGCGCGCTGCGCATGGAGCGTACAGTCGAGCCCACTAACGAACCATCCGGCAACTCGTCCAGCGTATCCCTCGCGAATAGCTCCTCGTCTGCCCTCCTTGCAAATGATCCCATCACCATATACGCCTCGGAGGACGTCGGGCGTGTGACGAAGGAGGCCTAGCTGATCGCGCAACAGGACTTCCAAGGGAACACGGTCACCATCGCCTCCGTCATCGCCGCCTCCTCCGTCCTTAGCCGAGAGTACCCAGAGTACAAGCTGGGCTCGAAGCAATGCTATTGGTTCGCGGGATTGGTCTTTCGCCTCATATCCGGAGACGATGTTATGCCAGCGAACTCAGACAGCCACAGCCGCATGCAAGCGGGCGAGTTCGCCAGTTTCCTCAATATCATGATGCAAGGGCCGGGGTTGACTAAGGACGCACGAGCGATGCGACCCTTATTCGAGGCCAAGCTGCGGGAAGTCGAAGAAGCCGTCGCTGCGAAACTGGCGAAGGAGAGGGCGGCAACCGAGATGCAGACTCCATTGCTGACTGAAACCCAGAGGCAGGTTCAGGAGGCGGAGAGGCACGCGCAGGAGGCAGAGAGGCAGAAAGCCGAGATTGCACAGGAGGCGGAGAGGCGGGAAGCTGCGCTCGCGCAGGCAGCAGCGGCACGAGAAGAGGCGTACGAGCTTGAGATACGCCAGCCCAAAGAGGCCCTCGCGGTGAGTGCTCTGCGTAGACGACACGTTCAACCAGCCTGGTATCACTTCCACGCTCGGTCGATCGCAGTCGCAGGCAGGGTCGTCGTTCAAGTTCATCCTAATCAGTCTCTTGATTTCATTGCTGTCGATAATGCTTTCGGTGTGTTGTGTTCTCCGAGTCGTCGCTGGCATCCTTCTCGCCCCGTTCTGCTTGGTTAAGTCTCCCTATTCATCGCTATGCCTCCTTGCTGTCATCATTACGCCCACACACTGACTCATGTTGTATCTACCGTCACGGTCTGCCACTGTATTATTATTCTCGTTATGAATATCCGCACAGTGTTCCTTCCTCCGGATCCATTGGGGAAGCCCAATGAAAAACACATCTGCTGGGAGATGATCCAAGCTGCTGGGAGCTGCGCGCGTCGTCGAAATGTGCCCGAATCTGCTCGGAGCTGCTAACAGCTTACAGCAAAGTCACTAAATGACAGCTTGTCAGCGAGATAACTCGTCGTCGTTGGTGCTTAGAGTCTTTTGCCTCTGAGTTGGAGCTGTAGCCCATCGATATCGCTGTCGAGTCCACCCCCTTGCGTTAAGCACTTACGGTACCACTGCGCGGTGCGCATTATAATATCGCTAACGTTCCCGCCCGTTCTGGTCTGACGTAATGTCTTTGCAGCGACGGCGGTCGTCGTCGTCGACGTCTTCCTGCCCCCCTCTCTCATGCTCTTACCACCACCATCACCTAATGTAATTGCCCGCTGCTTGTCTACCGCCCGCCCGCTCACCCTGCTGTATGCCCGTCTCATCTGCTTACGTGTCTCTTCTCTCGCCCATGCATCTTTCTCACTTGCCACGCACCTTCTTGCCTGCGCGCACACCTTGCTCGCCCGCCCCCTCCTTGTTTTCCCTCCCCGCACATCTCGCTCACACTTTAGCTGCCCGTCCACTCGCACGTTCGTTCCTAGCACACCGCGCCATGCAATGGACGGCCTCGAAGGCCAACTTCGGAGTGCCGACGCGCGTGCCCAGCGCACTGATTGGCTGGCGCCCCACCCTCGAACGCGCCTCTGACCGCGTCTGACGGCCTCCCGACGCTGTCTCGACGGCCATCGTCCGCCAGTCGAGTCTCCGTCGAACGCCCTCCAAGCACCCGTCCGTCGCACTCTGCCTTCCCCCTGCGCTCTGCTCCTCGTTGCCCTCCCGTCGTCTCTCTGCCCCCCACGCCTTCCCCTTGCTCCTCCCGTGCTCGCCGACACGCCAGCTCGATCCACGCAGCCGAGGCGAGTCTGCAGACACTCCCAATGCTCGGTATCCGACCTTGTTCAGCTTGTAGAGGCGCGTTTCGTTGTTTCGTGACTTTGTCGTGCGCATTTATTGAGTCTATGCGCGGCACACGAAGACCTAATACGACGACCTCGCACGGGATACGCCCAGCCCCGACTCGTCGAACCATACGCACTAGCGACGCGACGGACCCCACCACGCAACACACGACGCGTGGTCAACGACGGAGCGACGTCACACGGCGTCGCTCTGCCACCCACCTTCGTGGACATCCCTCTGAATGACGACGATGCAGCCGCTGGGCCACGCATGCGACATAGCGTGCCCAGACGCATCTGCTAGAGCGTGCACGCGCACGACAGGCACGGCGTCAGCCGTCTTGGACCCTTGGTCTACGAATGTCAATCGACTACGGTACGTGCTATCGACTCGACCCCCATCTGTGCCCCGCTACCACGACAGTACCACAGCTCGATGCTTCTCCCCCGAATCATCAAGTGTGGTGTGCACGCATGTCACGGTCACTCTCGGCTCGACTTTCAGGGACCGGACGATTCCCTGTATGGAACCGTTCAGCGAGTACGCAGTGCACCGTGCCCAAAAGACTGACCTACCACGCATCACTCGACCCTCGTACCGAGCGCACGCGTTCGCCATCGTCACGCATGGTTGCGTCACGGCGGGGCGCATCGAGGGTCAAGTGGGTCAATCAGTGAGTGACCTCGCACATATACGTCGACGTGGATTCACCTGTTCACCGACGTCCATGCTCATCGACATACGCACACTACGACGGCACCACACACGCTCGACTGATGAACGGACACGTCAGCAGGGAGACGCACGTGGACACGAACACGAACTTACCGTGCGAGGGATCTGTGCTGCGCGCAGGACAAGGTTGGGAGACGGGAGGAGCTGGTGGTCTGCAAAAGCACGTCGCTTCCCTCTGCCTTATATCTTTGTCCGTGAGTGCGAGATCCCACGCCGTCACCCGAAACTTCGCGTAGCCATGGCCGCCCTCCCTCCGCGGATGCCTAGCCGACTCGATGGCATTGTAGACTGGACAATGACTGATGCAGTACAAGCAGAACCAGCCTGAGGAACGCACGCGCAAGTCGTGCGTTTTCATGACAGGAACCACCATCGATGCGAGGTATGTTCTATGGTACGTCTCGGAGTGTACATTGCAGATAGCAAGACTGATACCTGTCCGATGACACCAGCGAGCGACAGGAAAGAAGGCCCTGAATGTTCCCGACTTCAAGACAATTATTCGTGCGTGCCATTTGCATATGGAGGACTCTGCAGTGCTTGTAACCCTTACATTTTGTCGATACCTACAGTAGTTGTCAAATCCGCGCATCAAGGCCAAAAATCGAAGGCGAAGAAGTGAAGTGCAATGGTCAAGACTCGGAAATACGGGCGAGCAGGCACGTGCGAGTGAGAGGCGCGATATGTAGGAAGCGGGTGGGCGTAGTATGCAGGTAGCGTCCGGGGTGGCTGGGCGGGAACGCGTGGGCGCGATATGCGGGTGGCGGGCGTGGTATGCTGTCGGCGAGCACGATATCGCGGGCGGTACGCAGGGTGCGGGCGCGCAGGCGCGGGCGCGGTATGCAGGGCGCGGGCGGCGCAGGATGCGGGCAACGTATACACGATAAATGCAATATTTTTCTGGCAGCTAGTGCAATACAGGAGCATCTAGCAATATGCCCGGATCTGCTCCCAGCTGCATACGCGTAATTTTCACGCTCAGAGCAGCTCCGAGCATCTAGAAAAATGCGAAAAGTCCGGATTTCATGCTCCAGGCTGCTCAGAGCTGCTCGCAGATGTCCTTTTGACAGCGGCCCCACCGAGCAGCTCCGAGCATCTCAGAGCATCTCCCAGCAGATGCGTTTTTCACTGGGGGGGAAGTGTCAGTCGATCGAAGCAGCCCTCCGGCCACACATCGTCCGTTCTGACATGGCAGCACGAGCTTGAAGCATCGTCCGCGTCATTGTTGTAGTATTGCTGACATCTTGAGACAACCTTGAAGCTTTGAAGCCGCTGACTTCTCATGTCATGCGAGCAGGGAAGGGAATGACACCCCATTGATATTTAATCTGGGATGTTGTGAGGATAGGACGACAATGAATGGTCGTCTGCTATTGCGGGTATGCAAGACATGCGAAGCAATAAGTGCACATATGTAGGAACACCGAATACCGTCCGTCCGCGAAGTTGCATGCTACATCAGTACTACGTCGACGAATGAGAACAAGCGGAACGCGAGACAATGATGACAAACTATACCACCCAATATAAGTACAGCCGCAGGGGGAACCTCGTCGTATGGAGGGTGGAGCAATGCAGGGTCGGACGAAATGGCGGAACATGGGGAAGCATACAGGGAATACATATATACATACCGTCGTCATCGTCATGGAGGTCGTGGAGGTCTGCGCTCTCTAGGCGGAGTCCAATAATACGCGAGCCTCCGCGCGTCTAGGCAGCATAGATAGTACAAGGCCCACCACACTTCATCTACTCGCGTGTGGACCCCTAGTGCGCGCCGCTTCTTCCAGGATGGTCGCATATCTCGGGATCCATCTTGCCCAGCACCTCTCCCGACGCGACGCTGAAGCCAGACCGGACACTCGCCGTGGAACCCATCCTCGGCCGGACATACGTCGCGGGCAGCCCAGTGTTCGCAGGGGGGATCCTAGCACCATCCAAGGGAAGACCTCCCTGACGCTCTTCAGTGGGGGAGCCACCCGTACCGCGTGCATCATTTGAGCGCCCTCCCGGACTTGGGATGCCGCCCCTGGCGCGCCGCCGACTGTCGAGGCCCCGCAGGCTGGACACGAACGCGCCTTTCATCTCGCGCAGCCGCTCGTCCACCGCGGCCTCCGTCGCCAACATCGGCTCGGGCATCGACAGCGTGCGGGCGCGGGAGAGCAAGCCAGACGGCCTCTCCGGCTCTGCTGTAGCCTGGGGTTCCACCGGAGACTCGGCCGGCGAGGTTTCGCTCTGCTCGCGCAGTCGCTGCAGCGGTTTCCGTGCGTCGATGTCCTGCACGAACGCCGAGATATCGTCATCATCCGTGTTCGCGCTCAGGTAAGAGGCGCCCTGGTCGGTAAACGTCAGCATGAATCACATCACGACAGCTCAGCCATATAAGCAAGCCGAGCTAACACTCACAGCCACACGTTCCCCTTCCCTTGGACCACTCCCTGCGCTGCCCTCGCTGCCCACACCTCCTGTTGAGGCATACCGGTGCCCGAAGCTGCTGGAGTATCGCTTCCTGGCACCACCGGGACTCTCTGAAATACCGCCTGTGACCCCTTCAGCGCTAGCTAATGACCGTCTGTCACCTAGGCTCGACGGCGCGAATGGCGGGGATGGTCGGAACGGCGTGACAGGGGAAGACGGCATCTTCACGGCGACTGGTACAGCACTTGTGCCTGCACGCGACGACGTCGGCGACGTATGGGTAGGGCGAGATGGAAGAGACGGGCCTCCGGGCAGGGAGGAAAGCGGAGAGTTCTGACGGAGCGACGGTGAGGGTGAATGTGTCGACGGTGAGCCCGAGGATAGGGTCGATGACTTGAAGGGGTTGATAGTGTTCATGGGCTGGCGTCGAATGGGCAAAGCTCCCTGAGCCGACGAATGCTCCTGTACAATCACCGATTCGTCACCACACAACGTATAGTCGATGAGCAAACGACTCACCGTACCCCGCCCTCCACCGAGGCTCTCCTTCCGAAACCGAGGGCCTAACGCCGACACACCTGGCCCGTCATCCCTTGACCCAATGGAGCCAGCGCCCTGCCGTGAGGACTCGTCTGATAGCCCTGACGCAGAGCCTGCACCCATCCCAGCATTAGAGAGCCGCCGTACAGAAGGCAACGCCACATTCTGCATGCGAGGACTCGCGGAAGGTAACGCCACACTCGGCATGCGGGGGCTGCTGCCGCCGACGGTCGGGAACGACGTCGTGCGCGAGCTCATCGGCGGGGGGACGACGAAGCGGTCCGCTAATGACGCAGAGGGCGGCGAGCGAGGTAATGACGTACGCGTGGGCAGGCTGCCGGGGGAGGTCGAGAGCGAGTCCCGCTGCTGGTTCTTGACCAGCGTAGGCGTAAAGTCCGGGCCCTCGTCCGACAGGAACCGCGACGACAGCAACGACTCGAGCGCATCGAGCTCAAAGTGCGGGGTTGTGAGATACGTTACAGACAGCGAGAGCGTCCCCGTCGGGTGCGTGATAGGCGCGAAGGTGTGCACGTCCTGCGCGAGCGGGGAGGCCCCTGGCGCAGGTGGCGTGTCTGTGAGCCGGTGTAAGCGAGGCGCCACACATGCATACGATGCCACATTGCGCACCGAAATCCAAGATATCCCCCCTGCTCTGCCCTTGCCCCGCGATGCGTAGTTCAATGCCGAAGTTCCCGTTCCGAGTCCCGCCCGCCCGCCTGCGCCGCGCGAGCTTCCACGCAGGGAGTATGCGCAGCAGCGTGAAGATGCCTCTGAAGAGCGAGATACCGTGCTTGTAGATGGCTGGTGGTGTGATGTCCGAGCGGTCATCGCCGCGACGCGAGTGCAGCTGCTCGGGCTGGAAGCTGAGGTCCCACGACTCGAGTAGGACGTACGTCGGCGTCGGGTCGATGCGGAGCCGCGATGAGTTAGGGGCATGGTAGACGAGGACCTGATTGCTCGCCAGTTCCGGGACGCACAAGAGCACCTGTAGCTGGAAAGCGGGTACGGGCTGAACGGTCGAGATACTACGATAGAGACGGGTCTGCTCCCTGAAGATCTCCGGGTCTGGGGTTTCCAAGTTGAACTGTGGGAAGTCAGCGACAGCCCAAGCTCATACAGTCGGTGTCGCTCACCCACTTGTCGACCTTGGCCTCTGTCGGTGCCTCCAAGGTTGCCCTGGCATGGTGGACGACGAGTGTCAGCTTCGTGTAGAACCTGTACGTTATCTGGTCGGCCTTCTGTGTCTCATTGGACATGGCAGAGCTGGGCAGAGCGTTCAGAGAGAGAGGCGAGGCGACGGGCAAGGCATGAGGACGGTGTTGCGAGATAGGTAGCGTTCAGGCTGTAAGTGGTCGTGGATCGCACGAGCTCTAGTCCGCACAGTGCACTGGGGTCGGCCGCTCGTCCTAGCTCCGCCGAAGTTGCTCTATGGCGCAACACCGAGACAATGATTGAAACAAATCACAGGGGTGTATTCCTCTAGCCTGTCCAATACCCGCAGGCAGAGACAGATGGTCGACGAAGAGAGAACGACGCAATTGTTACACTCACAGGTCTGCCCGTGCCACCGGCTACGAGCGGAGCTCGATCGGGTTGATGTAGATGTATCCCTCATTGAGGCTCCGATAGGAGACGTCCGCCACATCCTCCCACTGCCACTTGCAGGCCAGTCACTCGCTGAAGCAATGTCGCGGTCGCGTGAGTCAGTAGTGGAACGAATTCCTTGAACATATAACTTACTTACCTGCTGAATATGCACCTGGACAGGGCGGTCTATCAGGTAGCAGCTGTACTACTATTTGACATCATGCTGTTTCTCTGGCGGTATTGTAAGCAGGGGCCGGCGCGATCTCGACCGCAAAGGGGTACTTACTCGATGGTACAACCATACGCCCAGTCCCAGAAGATATGCATACCAATCGGTTCTCGCAGCTTGCCTGTATCTCATGGCAGACCCACTTTGTGACAAGCACGGAAGTTCCATCGCATTCGACTGTATGCCCCGCGAGTCAATGCAAGTTGATCCAGCATTGCCGGTACGAAAGCAAGAATCGGAGTCGTTAAGCGGGCATCTCTGATTTGCGTGAAGGGCGGTAGGCGAGCTGCGTCCTGACAGCTCCTCATAGCTGCCAGTGGCTGCCATTGAGCGTTTCAAATCCTGTAAAATTGATTAGTCTCTACATTTACACACGTTGCAGTCTGCGAGAACCCCCATCGCAAGAGCCACGAGTTTGGCTCACCACTGACTACTGAAGTAGATTGCGATCCCGGACTGACGAAGTGCGGGCGCAGTAAAATGGGATCTTGGATGGGTCCGGCACATTCAACGGGGAAAGAGATCAAAGAAAACGCATACACGAGGTCGTAGTGCGCATATATGCTGAAAAATACGAATAGTAGTGAGTAAGCACAACAGCATTAAGGCATGCGCATACCAGAAGCGATGTTCAACTCCAAAGTTTCCGAGGCCCGGCGAGGGTGCTGGCAGTGAGGTGGTGGTAGAGTGGAAAGGAAAAGGATGTGTAGAATTTCTACAGAATGAATTTAAAGCCTCTGAGGATGACGGACTCAGTACTTGACGCACAGCATGTAAAATTAGGGGGAGGAGGATCGCGACCGCGAAGTCACTGTGTCACGTGGTCGCGTAATGCATGTGGACAGCCTGAGTAGTCAGAGTACAGTGAGCAATGTCATTCTCGACTTTAGCCCTCTTACCGTCACGGTGAGCTCTCCATCTAGCCATTAATTATCGGGAACTTCTGGCTGGGGACTCCCACAACTGTCCTTCTGGCCAGTGGCTTGCATCTTCCGATCATCGCGAAGGTGGGTGACGACACGGAGTCCAGTCACTCAGAGTACCACCTAAAAGCAAGACCTTCACAGTCAGGCTTGACCCCGGGCCCGTAACTGTTGCTTGATCACTACGCGTGAGTCCAGCATACATTGATCTCACATCGTGCCTAGCAGAGAGCCACCTTTACCCAACACGCGCCATGCGCTAAAATATGATCAGGAATCCTGCGGTCGATAGGGTGGTAACGTACCAAGGGCAACGTCGACTGTGAAGAGCGACCCGCAGATTCTTTGATTGCAAGCCGAGGCTGAACTGAAAACGACGTTCCAGTTGAAGAGTTGAGTCTGCGCGTCATTCTTTCTTTCCGAGCGAGCGAACAATGCTAAATGATGTCCGGACGTCAGTAAATATGCATTCAGAGATACTTCTTCACTCTTGCCGTCAATATCGACCGTGTCAGTACGGTTTACGGTGGGCGATTGGCTCACAGTATCGCAACGTATCCTACGTCAAGGCACATCCTGTTCAGACCGCACCGGTCCCAACCTCAAAAATTGACGACTCCAGAATTTTCCTGGATTATGCTCTGTCACCGAACGCTACCCCCCTTCACATCAAGCGGGCATCTCCGAGTAGCGACTCGAGGGCACACAAATTACTCCGCAGTCTACGGGAGGCAGAAGATCGGATCATTGACATCGAGCTAGGGCGCTACGACGACACCGTAGCTGGATCGTTTGAACAAGTCAGCCTGCCACTCGGGCGATATCTCGATTGGATCGAGAGTGATCAGTCCAACGGCGGCAAGGTTGCCGGGCGACAACTGTACCTTGCGCAATGGCGAGCGAGCGGTGACGTAAGTAGGTTGTTCGGATGTCCAGTGCACAGTACAAGCTGACAACTGTTGGGTTTCACCCCTAGATACCAGCTCTTACACAACGCATACAGCCGCCTCCGCTTCTGGGTCCACTACTCAAAGATGGCCCTGTCGAGGCTGACTTGTATCAGACGAGTTTTTTTATTGGTCCCGCAGGCGCTGTGCGTCCCGATGTATGCTGTGTCGCGCGTAGACTAATCCCAACTTCCTCAGATCACACCTCTCCACTACGACCCATACTTCAATCTCTACCAGCTGTACGCCTCTGCGGAGCCTAATCGCTACGCGAAGCACATCTTCCTCCTCCCGCCGAGCGCATCCGAGTTCGTAAAGCGTGCTGACGGGCAACACGCTCTGCGGAACACGTCTTCTATCAACCTCTCGCTCCAGCCATCCGACAGCGGAGATGACTTCGCTGTTGTCGCCGCACCTGATGCGCCGTCGCGCTCTGTGGAAGCGATCTCGGGGCTGGGGTACAGTTGCATCCTGAGGGAAGGCGAAACATTGTTCATCCCCAAAGGGTGGTGGCATCGCGTGGAGAACGTCGTCCTTGGGCGAGATCAACCTCCATCAGGCTCTGGATGGACTGCTGGTATTGGATGGTGGTGGCTACCACGTAGGAGCGCTTCAAGCACGTCGTAGACGCTTCCACGTATACCCGCGTCGGAAACCCTTGGCCGTATGCGATTTGGATTACATGAGGTGATGTACTCATATAATATGTACGCTCCACACGAGCATGTTGCCTCATCGTCCCTTCCCAAAGACATGCTGCCAGAATATTTCCGACAGCTTGGCTTCTACCTTGACCCGCCGCTCAGCGAACTCAGCGCTCTCTGCTTCGGTGAAGACCTTCTTCCAGAGAACTGGCCAGGACCGCTCCGAATGTCCATAACGCGTCCTGCGCGAGGATCTGTATGACCATCTGAGTGGTTTGATTAGCAAGCTGGACTCACCGGCCTAAGTGATCGTCTATCATGCCCTCCTGTTCCAGCCCTCGATGCCTCCCAAAAATGACGGCTCCGCGTTCGCGCTTCAGCAGCGTTGCTAGCCGCAAAGCGATCGCGTACTGCGTGGCTTCGTCAAAGAGATGGAAGACCGCTCCAATGTAGATGTGCGTGAGGGAGCCGATCAGCTGGGAAAGCGACGCGATCTTCGTGCCGGCGAGGCCCTCCAATCTTGTAGCTGGCTGCGTGAAGGACAGCGGGACGTCAAATATGTCGGACGTGAAGAAGCGAATGCTCGAGGATTCCTGATCACGATATAGCTTGTACCCGAGGTCGATGTACTCTTGCCGCAGGTCGCATCCGAGGACGGATGCAGCGGGGTACCCATCGTGCACGAGCTTGCGCACGTCAGTGCCCACTGTGCAGAGAAAACGGCATCCAGCACGCACTTGATCGCCACATAAGTCGTAAGAACGTACTGCAGCATCCGAGGTCGAGGAATACTGTGTCGCCTCTCTTCCCGCTCTTCAGCACAGCTGGATAGATCGGGTTTCCAGACATCATGAGGGCAACATGGTGGAAACCGAGGATGCAAGGGTACGGGTATTTCGCACTATGATCAGTGTGGTCATTCGCATGACATGGATGCGACTGCTGAACACAGTACATGATGCCTACTAAGCTCTACAGAATCGCCAGTGCGTTAGAAACCGCCGTCAGGCCAAATTTGAGCTCACTCTTTTTGCACTTCCAGAATCCTCTTGCGCATCTCACCATCGTCCGCTGACACAGCTTCATGCAGGAACTCCAGTTCCATTAGACTAGGATTGAAGAACAATGTATCTAACGGAGGAATCAATGATGGCTGGACCTGACTCTCAGGTCGAATGTCGGACATGGTAGATGGAGCTTGAGACGCGGTTCAACTCAGACTGCGCAGATAGGCCGACCATGGGAGCTTCGGAGGGCAAAAAAGCAGTTGAAACGCCACCAGATCCTTCGAGCCGGGGTCGAACCAGCGACCTTGAGATAGCGGTAAGTATCCGATTACAGTCTCACGCTCTTCCAGCTGAGCTATCGAAGGTGACTCGCAGCGTTGTCTAAGGCCCATCACAATTCGTCTGTGGTTTGCGGTCGTTACAGCGGTTTTCAGAACTATGCGGAATCGCGAGAAAAACGAAAACGCACCTCGGGCACTGGACCAGCGCCCCGAGCCACGATTAGATTAGATAGTGGCCAAATCTGGAACTGATAAGCTAGGCCATTTCGGTCAGCAGGCATACGAAATCACAGTCGTTACATGTAAATGACAACAAGATGGCAGCGAGCTACGCTGACACACCAATGCAGCAGGAAAAACGGTGGAAAAGTAGGGCTCACAATGCGCGGCGCGCAATGTATATAATATAGCATATATAGTAAGTGTGGGTAGCTGATTATGTAAACAACATACAGTAAGTACGAACGACTCAGTTGCTCTAACGTAAGTAGTACATATACATTCAGTCCGCGAACAAGATCTTTTGACTTTCAGACATGAATAAATGAAATCCGGAGTGAAGCAGCACGTTGAGCAGGACCCATTCTGTGATGAATTGATAATCAATGTAAGTATACTATATTGTTGCATGGCAAGGGCAATGTTGTGCACATTGGGTGTTATGACCAGGGTAAATGTGGAGCACAAACAGCTTTACATACATCTTTGGCTGTCTAAATTACGGTCCAGTGCGAGGACCATTGCTAGATGAGCTCTGTTGGTTTTTCGAGTAAATTTGATCAAGTGGTTCCATCCGAGGCTAAAGTGAATGGTCATTGGATGGGGAAAAGATACCAGACCTCTGCATGCCTTATTTACATACCCTTCCCATTTTTGTTCACAGTCGACTTCACCCTGAAGCTTGTTACATCGCTCGCTCGGAGAGGCGGGACGCGCAGCGTCGTATCAATATAATGGCTTCCTAACTCGGACTGCATCTAATCTAATCGTGGCTCGGGGCGCTGGCCCAGTGCCCGAGGTGCGTTTTCGTTTTTCTCGCGATTCCGCATAGTTCTGAAAACCGCTGTAACCAAGGCCCTATGTACAGTACTGCAGTGGATCTGAGCACTCACGGACCTATAATATGTAGCTGCAGTCTGCGCTGCAGATTGAATTGCACAACGTGTTCTGTCAATGGCCTAGGGACGCACTCGTAGCATGAATCGCGCATCTCGCGTCCCTTGTAGGCATTTCAGTCGGTCCGTAGAAGGGTTTCCCGCGCGCCTTACCGCATTTAGAAGGACTACAAGATCATGAATTGAACATGATTAGAATGCATCACAAATTACAGTCTGTCTCGAATGGAAGTGAGCTACAGGCAGTGAGATAGCAGCAATACGAAGCACGCGCCAGTAGTAAGTACCCGGCGAAGTATATTACAATACACTTGGTAATACGGAGGCGTCCATCAAAAAATCTTCAGGTACACGACATCGCCATGGCTGATGTTGTATATTGACCGTGGACCAGGGCTTCCAAGATGAGCGTTGAACGTTGAACATTGGGCACTGGCTGCGGGGGTTTCGAGAGAAGAGGCCGACGAACGCGGCCGGTATTCGTGAACAACGCATCTTCACGGCCATACCCACTTGACCTTCTTGGGGGTCTTGCATAGCACTTTGTGCTCTGGCCAGTGTTCTCTCTGGCAGGTAGCGGAGCAGTATCTAGACATCGATGCAAGGAAGTCGAAGTCTAGTGAAGAGATCATCGGCACATATGATGAGGGACCGACCTGGTGAGATCGCACCCGCTGCACTTCAATGTGGGCATATCCGCCGTCTCCTCGCGCTCACAGCCTGCGCAGGCGGCCATCGGCGGGAAATCGAGCGGATCTTCCCGCCAACGAAGGCGGCGCGGCGTCGGGGAGCCTGTCTGGCGCGCAAACAGTAGCTGGACGGCACGGAGTGCGTCCGCGCACGGACCGGCCCTTGGGTCGCAAACAAAGTGATACTGTCGTGAGTAGTTGGCGAGCCATGTCCAATTGCAATCTGACTTAAGCTCGATGCGAGTACGTACCCAGATCTGAACGAACGGAGGTGTATTGGAGCATGCGGAAGTCACGTCCTGCTGTGACATCCGTGCGGGCTGGTCTATGGGCCAATCAGCTGCAGATACGTGTGCGAAAATCGTAGGACACACCACAAAACTCGCAATACCATTTCTGCGTATGCTTGAGGCTGGGGTAGTACAGGTTGATGAAGTCGGTTGCGTAGCGTCGGATATCGGTGGGTGGCAGGTCTGGACGCGGTAGCTTCAGTCGAAACTCGATCTCAACGCGCCGTCTGTCGTCGCCGAAGCGGTCATCAGAGATGGGGTCGTTTTTCGACGAGCCGTACAGGCACACTCCAACGCGGATGTAGTCAGGCCCGTCGGGTAGGGCAGCGACTGTAGAATTCGTGGACATATTTGGGGGCGCTGGGAATTTCAGTCGAGCTGGACGTGAGAGATTGAGCGCTGAATGTTGAACGATGGACGTTGAGGCCAAGGGAGAGGCTCAGAAAAATACCTGATGCAGCGCGACGCGACTCGTCGCGACGTGTGTCATCAGAGATGACACACGCGTCGCGACCGTGACGCGCCGCAGACCGTGGCCAACCTGAACTCATCTTTACATAACATGAAGCTATACTCTTGTTCATCCGGTGGCGCAGCGCATGTCGTTGTGACAGACTCATAAAAGCGATGTTATGAAGCAGTGCGAACTGTGCGTACAGAATACGCGCATGCGCGGCCCCCACGCCGATACTGTAGCGAACCCCACAACCCGGATGTCACGCGTCACAAGCCCGCCGCCCGCCGCCGCGGGGACGACATGTTACACGTCACACCCGACCCCGCCGCCGGCGCCAACACTGTCGATAGGTGCTAGGAGCGGCGCCTGCGGCGGGCACAACGACAAGACCGCCATCCGGCGGGCGCGTCACCCGTCACACGCGTCCCCGCCGCTGCACCGGATCGTGTAAAGCCTGTCACACGTCACACCCCCATCCGGGTTGTGGGGTTCGCTACAGTATCCCCGGTGTGGCCAGCGACTCAGCCACACGCGGGCGCCAAAGCAGCGACGAACTCAACATCACTTTGACCACTACCACAACTTGACGGTACACTGTCTTAGACTTACCGCTACGGTGCGTTGTAGCATTTGGTAAGTCTGTTTGACAAGTCTCGGATGTCAACACCAGTGCTTATGCCCCACGAGCGGTCAGGCTGCTAATAAGCTGTAGTCGGCAGCGGATCCCACGCAAGTGACCGAGGTCAACGCGCTGCAGTCGCTGTGCTTTCTCTGGGACTAATGTGAGTTCTCTGGAATCTCTGTTATAACTGCCATGAATATATTGTAGACTCGCCAGTGAACGCAACGCCGGCCATGCCAACGGAACGACGTGTTTCGCTGCCACCAGAAATTCTAGCCCAAATCATAGATCTTACGCCTCGAGAAGTAAGGCCTGTGTGCCTCCTACTATCTCGAATGCTCCACGACCTTGTCGTCCCTCTGGTCTTCTCATCAGTCACCGTCGAATTTGGAGCCTGGGAGTACAGTTATCATGATGAGGCAGATGATGATGACGAGGACGAGGATGACGACGTACATTTCAATTCTTCAGGGATCCCGGGGCTGGCGAAAGAGGGGCGGAGTTCCAGGTCCATCGATATTCTCAAACACATCATGGAGGATTCGAATTTTGCGAGGGTTGTCAAGAAGCTAGAAGTACGTGCCTACGAGCCGAGGGAGAACCTCCGTGGTTCTGCCTTTGACCTGCGTAAGTGTTGAAGGCACTGCAGATTGTCGTGTATTAGACAATGCTGACGCTCGCCTATAGGATGTCTGATGCTCGCCACGTACCATTTGTGTAACTTGCACTCGCTGGTGTGGTATGGGGAATGCCCGACCCCTTCTCTCGAGATCCTCGAATCACTGGGTAGGACATGCCCTTTGCTACATGAGGTTGCTCTTCCGTAAGTACATCTCATTGTCAACAATCTTTATATCTTACGTTCTGAACACGTCGTTCTCTCCTCCTAGATGCTTAGCATTGAAGGGTCTTCCGCTGCGCGGCCTCAGAGCTCTGCGCTCGATAATCGATAGCGGCACACACTTGATCAAGACTCCTGTAGATGATCTGGACGTCGCGGAAGATTCCTCCATTTACCTTCACGGAGAGTCCCTACGGAAGGCTAGCCTCCCAGCCACGTGGATAACCAGAATCCCGCCTCGACTCTTACCCAACCTCACACATGTCGAGTTGTTATACCTCGACTTGGAGTCTGTGGAGCGGCTCGGACCATTCCTCAAGGGACTCGCTCAGTTGCAATCACTGACAATCAGCTTAGACGAAGTCATCGCGGATGCAGTCCTGACAGTCCTGGCATCGTCGCGCGACCGTAATCCGCGATTGACCGAGCTATGCTTGCAGGACATGCTGGTATCATGGGCCGACGGCGGCTACTCGTATTCATTGGAGCGCCGATTGCTCTCAAAAATCCTCTTGGGAAGACATGCGTTGCGGCGTTTTCGCCTTAATATGTATGCATGTCCTGAGGCCCGTTTGATTCCTTACCTGGCCATCCTTGCAACACTTAAAAACCTCGAGGTTCTGGAGCTTGCCTTGATCGCTCCGAGGGGAGTGCTCACCTGTGACTTCATGAGCACTCTGGCTTGCCACTTGCCCAATGGACTTACTGGCTTGGTAGTCAATGTCTGCGCCGACGTCTTCGAGCCGGATGCTCTCGATCTCATCGTGCGTGCCTATCACCATACCTCCGAGAGGCTTACCGACTCGCACCTTCGTTTCAGTGGTCAAAACTCCCTCGGCTGGGCTACCTCCACCTACGGACCCCCGCCGACCTCCCATCAATCCGAGACCTGATCGCCAGAGCGCGAAACCTGAAGGTCTTGGGTCACAATGGACGGTTGTACGGCGTCGATTACCGGGCCGGCTCGCCTGAGCTTACGGCGTGGCCACGAAGTATGATCTTGTTCAGGAGAGCTGAACTCTACGGATTTCCGGAGTGGGAATGGTTGACAAGGCATACGCAGATGTATTCATAGACACGTTACCGCTGTGACGCGACGAGGCTCGAACATGCCATTAGGCTTGCTCTCTGTGACGCGCGCCAGCGGCCCGGAAGACAAGAGATGTTCCCGACGTGATGTGTACTGTAGTGATAAGTATCAGTTGCGAGCCTCCGAGTCTCCGCAGTGCACGCCTTACCAGTCTCAAGATATGCCCATAACAGTCACGACTCACGAAGTGACCTGGTTCAAATTCCCGCGCGCAGAGGTTCCATCGGTGACGTCGTATCATGAGTGCCATTCAAATAATCTACGGTGCTGTATCAAGAAAGACAACCCGATGTGTATGCCATTGTAACGTCCGAGCATTAGATACTTGAGCAGCAGCATACTGGGAACGGCAACACAAATTGCGTGAGGTATCTCTACCGAGCCGTCTAGTCCAGATGGTCCAGGATCTCCTGCGCTCTTTGTACGTAGAGCTCAAATCGCTCCTCAAAACCCGTGCATATCCGTTCAGCGACGCCGAGGCTGGACGGCACTTTATCGGCAGCGACAGCGATGGAGAGCCCGCCGGCGTACGAGATTATCCCCATTCCGATGGTGCCTGTATAATGTCACAGTGAGAGTGTGGCCATCGAGTAAGGCAGTCCAGAGAGGTTCACCTTTACCGAACTGAGGAGGGAGGACTGTCCATTTAAGCACTTCCGTACTTTCCAAGGTTATTGTACTTTGCGCCGGGCCAGGAACGCTGGACGCACCCGCACTGTTAGCAACTGGCTCAGGCACGAAGATTGTACCTTACTTTGTCAGGACAACGAGGACTAAACAAACTTGAGTACTAGCTGCACAGCAGAGGCCATCCAGAGCTCACATGATTGCATTAACATATCATATATCGGCGTCATTACCCATTTGTTGCATAGTTCTTTGAGTTGTGGAATCGGTTCCGCCAGCATGGATGGGTTCAGCAGTGCGGGAAACTGACCCGTCAACTGCACGATATGGAAACACAGCCTCGGAAGCAGGCTACGTTTCAGAATGGAGAGCTCTCTGCGGCACTGGTGGATGTGCGTGTGAAGCTCGTGCACTGTGACATCGTCGGATACATTTGTCGATGGGTTCAAGTACACGAGGGATACTGTCGACAGGTTCTTCATCGACCAGTCGCCGGGAGCGCGTGTGCTCATCGGTCTGCAACCTCTTCATAATCAGCATGCAGTGCGAGATCAATCTGGTTCCTCACATAAGGAAAGCGATAGGCGAAGGGAGTAGCGCCCTCAGCTTCCGCTTCATCCGCTTCCAAAGGCCGTTCATCTGATCTGTGGGCCTGGACGCAATCTCCTTCCCGAGTACGTCCGCCATCACCGCGCATACAACGTCGTTCAGCGTGACGTGCCCCGTCTTTGCGCGCGTCTTCCCGCGCTGCTCCTTCGGAAGGCCAGCGACCGCGCTACCAGGCTTCGCGCCAGAAAACGCTTGCTGGCAGAGCTTGACGTCCTTGATGCTGAACACGCGCGAGCTGGCAAACTCCCGCTCCGTCACGCGCGGGCCCGGCTGGGGGCCTGTGAGCCTATCGACGCGCCAGAAGGTAAGGGGGAAGAGAGCGGCCAGGTGCGCAGCTTGGTAGACACTCCAGAAGAGACCGACGAACATCGAGCCAGCGTATACAAACCAGAACGTGCAGGCCATGACGAGTTCGAGTAGCGGTGCGGTATATGGATGCGTCGCCAGCGAGTCGAAAGGCCGGAGGGAGCGGTGGAGCTTGGAAGGTAGCACCTCTCCTCGCTTCGCCGCATGGAGGTAGTCCGCCATCGAGTCCATCTTGTGTACGAGCTCGTTGTGATATGAAGTGATGTAGAGCTGGCTGATAGCAAAGCCTTGACCATCTGCGAGGGCGTGGTGGCTATACAGCGTTGGAACAGCGAGTACTCAGATACAGACACAGAGTAAACCCACCCTCTCATGATCAACGCGCTCTGAGCACCGGTCTCGTCCCTGTAGTTCTCGACAAGTATGGCCTCCCACAGTGGGTGCTTCAGGTCCCACTTTTGAGCAATGACCTTGCCCATCTGGTACAGTATCTCAGCATCACCAGCGAGACGCAGCGCTAGTGGAGTAGAATTCACGAACCACGTCATTCAACTCACGTTTCCCGGCCGGTTCCGGGAGACTGACGGCGTGGATGTGGTTCTTGAGATCGAAATCAGGGTCCTCTTCGAAGCGGGCGCCGTGCAATCTTCTGAGCACAGACGTTACCCGTTGTTTGTACTTCGGGAACGTTTCGCAATGACGTTGCGCTATCTGTGCGATGCGTCGGGGAAAGCAGTCTTGTATAACCTACGAGTGAACGCACCGAGTATAAGTCTTCCAACGTCAACTTTCCCTTCAGAGTGTATGTCCAAGCGCACACCTGTCTTGCGTAATGAGTAGACATGACGCGACAGACTAAAACGGCGCGCTCACAGGGTTCAACGAAGTCGGTCACGTCGGCCAGGAGGAGCCATATGTTGTCCATCCCGCCGATCGATTGCCGTCGCTCATGAAAATCTCTGTAGATCCAGTCCCCAACCAGATGTATGGTCTTTATTACCCATTCTGTGACGCCACCGGTGTGCCCGAAGTCAGTGAGTGACCACTGCGCTTTGGGCTCTACGTTCCGAGCACGACCATTGGTGCCGACACCAGAACTGCTGGGCATCTTGAGACAACGGTCTTCGACCATTTGAGACCTGTAGCGAGGGAGAGAAGTGTAGAAACCTGACCGCGAACAAGGCATATTTATGTTGAAGGACATGGCGGTCCATCCGAGGCTGGTGAAGGGGATCCCCAAGCATGCCACCGTCCGAACCTCGTGCCACTATGGACGGCCCCGCGGACGCCCCAGGTCGGAGTGATGTGTGGCCATACAAGCCACTGTCAATGCGCTCGGAGGTCAGACCAACGCTGATGCGACATATGATGACCTACCCGGCGACCTCGCGCACGCAACAATTCGACGCGGCGTGATTCTCTGCGATGGGTATCTGCGGATTGACGGACGTCAATCAGACTTGACCTGCCAGCATGTGTGGTTCCGGTCGTGCCATTGGTGATAGGAGAGCCAATGCGAAGGTGTAGTTATTGGACTGGTCCAGATAGAGAAGATGCTAATCAGATCAGACTCTGACGCCGTTAGTCGGACTCGACGCACGATTGGGCGGTACATACGGATGGATTGAAGAAGCCCTAATTGCCTCGCGGACATGGGAAAATGATGACCAGACGCACTGCCGAAGAAGGTCAAGGGAATGACATCATGGTATGAACTGATCATAGAGGATGAGGGAAGCTAGATACAGATGGGTGCAACCCTACAGCAACGTCTCAGCCAACGCCTGATACGCAGCGGCAGGCCCGTAGCGCATGTCCCCTAGCGCTCCCAGAACCACCAGCAAGCATGAGATTGTGCCGTCCGTTCGAACCAGAGAGCCCAGCGGAAGACCAGTACTCGCGTCGTAGTTGGCCCTCCGTGGCGTGCCGCGCAGGTTTATACACTTACTACCCACTGACCGCTGTATGGAAACCTTCTGACGACGGCTGGTACAAACGCCCGGGAAACGCTCACAGGCATGTGTGACACACTTCCCAGCTAGAAACGAGGCGTACATCAGGACCGCAGTATACGCACAATGGATCCTACTCACAGATGACAGACGAAGGATGTGAGGCCAATGCTGACCTTGAGAAATAAGGGGACATTCAACCATCAGCGCAACTTTGATCGTTCGTCAAATTCCACCGGAGATCAAGGAATAACAGGATGCTTCTCTGCCGCCAATATAACCACGGACAATACCAGCACCACAGATCGGACGACCATCTCTACGAACATAGCCTGGGCAAGGTTGACGCCGTGTGTCAACACAGTGCTGAACGCTTCATTAGACACAGGTCATAGGCTACGATTGACACTTACTTCAACAACGGCGGACCCGGTGTGAGCGCAAGGACGTCAGCCGCAGCCGCAATAGCCCCAGCGAGCTGAGCGATACAGTAGCAGACGAAACGTAAGGGGCAATGACTCCGTTCAAGAACACAGCCAGACTAATATTCGGCTTGAATCGCCACTAGCCCGGTAGAACATCTAGACAGAGATGAACAGACCAGATCTCATGGATAGCGATGTATAGATCGTGCAGGAGGAGGGTGCGGAGGCGCTCAGAACGACTGTACGTGAGCGCTAAAAAGATCGTACGCTTCTCTATAGCTGCCATCACTACAGTATAGCGACCAAAGGCGTCGCAGCGAATCCTTATACTTGCTTCAAGCTCAGAGTTCGTCCTGCAACGTCTACTTCTTTGTGTACTCCTATCTATATTGCTGTTATCAAGGGACCGACGATGGCTAGCTCCGACAGCCTGCGCTATACTCACTGAACGTGAGTGCTATCTGGAGGAGTGGAAATCGCGACGGCGTTGCCAAATGGTCGGCCTGTCAAGGCCCCGAAGACAGCTCATCTGCCGTCAGCACGCAACCTGACTGGATCTATGCGGCCTGGTCGGGCGTACGATCCTTTCGGCTGTCACTCTGATCAATGTCTGACTTGGTGCAGTAATCGAGACAATCAAACAACAGGTCGAGGAGCGGGTACAATATTGGATGAGGGAAAGTGGCCAACGACATCGAGGCATTTTATCGTATACGCAGCGACGGCGCTACAGGCATCAACGCGAGCGAGTCCAACTAAGCGCAGACAACAGTAGGTAACACAAAACACGGAGCGACGTATCGTACAAGAAACATAGCATAACACGACACGAAACAAGGTACGTATTATTGACAATGATGCACAGGACCGTCCGGGTCACGCAACGAGAAAAAGTTGAGAGGAAACATAAACAGCGCAGAGGGTCAAGAGCGTACAAGGGGCCGAGCGTACAACGCGAAGGCGTAGAGTCCGAGAATAAGGGAAGAGGGACGACGTGAGCCTGGCACAATGGTGAGCAGTCTGCCAGTCAATGGGTTCATGGTAGACTTACCGTGAGTGAGTTCGGTCCAGTCGTCGAAGAGGGTACCGAAGCACGGTGGTTCATCGCCACTGGCGGTCGCTCGCACCTTTCGGTGTATTGAAGAGCTTCTTATATCCGATGTTCTTCTCTTCCTGACGCTGGGTCACGTCGCGCTGAGCGGAGCGACTTCGCCAGTCAGAGGAATGGTCCGCGGTTGACCGTGCAGCAGGCATCTGCGGGTTTTTGTTGCCAATGCGTGCTAGTGTGGACTCCGAACGTTGGTTCGGATGGACGCGTGGGCATGCACCTGTTGCAGATCGCGATGAGCATTAGCGCTACGCCTCCCCGCCAAGAGGTGAAGCAATCATACTTACCTGAGCCGTGGCCTTGGAGGACTCTGTCGTAGTTCGAGCGGATCGCGTCATATTGACGCTCCCAAACAGGCGTGAATAGCTCCACTACGTAGGTGAGGATCGCCTGTCCAGCAACGGCTTCGGACGGATGAGGGAGGGCTATCGTATCGACGTCGCCGATTGCTGTAGAGACTTGGTGAGTATGCAATGTCGCTATCACCGAGTAGAGTGTGGCTCACCTGTTCTATTAAAGTAACAGATGATTGCGCGGATGTGATCCAAGTGCAGATGTTTGACGTCGGCGTTCGCTTTGTAGCTTTGACAGACTATGTAGGCAAATGAAGTCTTCGCCTGGTAGCGCGGTTTGACGGCGTAGACGGAATCGAATGAATCCCGAAGGATCGCGATGATGTCGATGACCCAGTCAAAAGGGCGCATCCACAACGAGAGGACGAGAGTGCCGCCGGCAGCAATGTGCTCGAGGGCGACCAGCAGCTGCGCATACACCAGGTCAATCTTTTTGGTCCGTGGCACGGCGCCTTCTGCTAGCATGATAGCGGCGTTGGCTATGACTAGGTCAAAGCCTGCGGGTGGGATATGCTCTGAAAATTGATGTCATTTCAGTGTCGCGCACCAATGGTGTTCCATACATACCAGTAGTATCCCAATTGATTGAGGTTGATTGCCCCCTAGCGATCGAGCAAACATCCTCTTCGTACACTGAGAACCGGGGTGCAAGGGACTGAAGACTGCCCTGCACCGAGATGCCAGGTATACTGGCACTCGGAGGCAAGGTAATCCCCACTCCGTGCATGAGTGTGTTCTGCAAAAGCCAGGTGGCGAATCCACCCGGGGCACAGCCAAGGTCGAGGAAGTGGCGGGCCTGGTCCAAGACCAGGCGGAATGCAGGGTAACGGTTAGTAGTGATTTTGACAATCTCTTGAAAAGCTTTCTTGAAGTCTTCTAGGTCGGATGGAGTGGCGGTCCGGCTCCGGTTAAGGCGGGCGAGTTCGGTGTAGGTGCGGTCGACGGTGTCGTGAAGGCGGTAGAGTTCCTTCAGCACCAGGAGACGGCGGAGGGCGGGCGACGCATTGAAGAAGGGGAGTTCGAAGTTAGATAATTTCGAGGTAATGAGGATGGGGCTATCATTCAGTACGCTGTCGATTTGGGCGTCGACGTCGGCGATCGTCTTGAAGCGAGAGACGGTGTCACGATCCATGGCGAAAGAGGAGAGTGCTAGTGGTTGGGCTGCAGACTCATGTTACTCAGGCTGCTATTGTTTATATTCTCTCAGGTCGAGAGCACGAGGCGGTGCAGAGTCATTGCCTTTACAGTGCTATGTCGATATTGGTACCCTAACATGAGGCTAGGACAGTAGAGATTTCAGACGTATACCGTTCACTCGGTGGTAAACCACAGGACAGCAGATGCTATGCATGTATGAGCTGCGGCACTCGGTTCTCTAGTGAACAATTTTCATTTGACGAATGAAATACCTGATTGGTACTACACATCACCACGACTCGAGCTTCGTCCACCTATACTTAGACAATCCACCTACCACCGGATCGGCTCCTGTCAGACAGCCGTCCGTAGCCCGATGGCAGTCCACTCATAGTGTCCTAGCAGCTACAGAAGCCATAGATGAATGAGGCTCGCTCCAGCTTTCGGACGCAGAGCGATGCGCCTGAGGCCACTGCGAGCAACTGTGGAATTGGAATAAGCCAAGAAGAGGGCACTATAATCACGGTACTCACTGAAGCCTATTTGACGAGTATGACTCGATGCAATGTGAGCTTCTATACTGCGGCAGAAGACGTATATGACTCGACGTAGTAGTGTATCTGGCTCTCAGATGGTGGTAGAAACCAGCCATCGACGAAGTTGATGCTGTCGCATACGAAGATACTCCGAGACGTGGGGAGTAGACATACTGATCCGGAGGATGAATTAAATTGCGCACCATCGGCAGCGATTTGAGTCATAGTACAGTGGGCTTCTCTGAGACCTGTACCGCATGTGATAGGAGCCCTGCTACTTCGTTTAACGCAATGCACGCTGCGCTATCTTCTTGCAAAGTGGACTGATGCTGTGTACCGCGCGCAGACCTGTCCCACCAACCATCTGGCTGCGTGGACTATACGCGGATCAATCGTGGCCATGGGTCATGACTCTACACTGCCCGAGCGGCGTCCGACAAGCTTCTTCCACGAGCTTTGCCAAATTTACCCACGCACAGCATGCCCCAGTACAGTATCTACATACCTTTAGGACAGGTCGACTGGGTCCAAAGAGGCCCGTAGAAACTCCGCCGGCGCCCTCAGACTGCGGTGCGGTGGGGCTTATTCGATACGCTGCGCCGCAGACCGGATGTACAGAAGCACAGTATACCCGTGTCTTGAGAGCATAGCATAGTCTGCTGAATGCAACATTGAAAGGCACCACAGAATCTGCCAGGCATCAATGTCTACGAGGTGAGTAGGGCCTTCGCCTAGCATTGAATGCAGTTCACACGTACCTCGACATTTCCTGATCATCGTCTTCAAGCTTGTTTTATCCGTATGAACTGTGATTCGTAGCCGTAGAGTGACAGCTACCTTACTAGTGAGCGAACGAGAAGAATTGAAGTGCAATCGCTGGACCCTGCCGGACCTCTCAGTCGCCGATTATGTGACGGACCTCTCGACGACAAGGAATTGACCTATAATAGGCGTACAGAAGCCAGACACGACTGTTAGAGATAATAGCAGGATAATAGTGTGTGTTTTTTCGGCTGCACAAGTATGGTTGGTGTGTGATTCATGAAGCATGGTGGTGGTTGTGTGCGAAACCCGTGCGTGACAGCGCTAGCTGAAGCGCTGACCAGCCACCGACGCGACCTCTGGCACAGTGGCAGTGGATGCGACTCGGTTCGAGGACGTTCGCGTCCCTCAATATTGACTTGGCGTCCTGGCCACACCCTGCTCCTCCAACGGCGTTATCGAACGTCTAGGTGAGAGAAATTCTTGTCGCGACATTGAATCCCTTAACCACGACACGCCTGGTGTTCATTCCTGGTGTTCATTCGCCTGCAAGTGACTACGCAACCATCGTCTCGTTTGTGCTATAACGAAGGTTCTTGTCCCCCTTGTACACGCTTCTTATGTGCAAGCACGTGTTGACGGTAACGGAGGTAGACCACCACTCGAATTTGACTCGCACAACATCAATACACTCCAGGAGTGCGTACATATGTACAACTGACAATCGATATCTGACCCTCATCCTATCATACACACGGATAGGTCAAAACAAGAAAAACGCGACAGCAAAGTTATCTGGAAAGCAAACTGGGAATTGCGCGACGAAGCAAAGCGAAGAAAGCAAAAGGAAACCAGAAGAGCGCGTATTAGGGAACTATTACGCGGAGTATAACGCCAGGGCGTGGAATGTGGACCAAATGTTGCTAGCGCGGGTTTGCTGCATGGTGAGTAGATCGTTTGCCAGTGGACTGAATCAGAGGCTTACGAAGGTCAGTCTCGTTTCGTCCGCTCAGGGCAGATATCTCAAATGCCGCCTGGAAAGTCAAAACGATGGTTAGCACCACCCCGTCACGCCATTAAATGGTGAGCGAAAGTCATACTGACCTCCATATGCCTGTCTGAGAATTTCCTGGTAGTGCCCGTAGATGGCATTGTGCTGCCGTTCCCATATGCGCGCGAAGAGCTCCAACACGAATGGTTGCTGGGAACTGAGGATCCCTTCGTCCGAATCACTAGAAAGGCGCGGGCACGTTCCGCCAGCATTGGCAGTGCCCGCTTTTACCACAGGATCCACGTTAGTGGGACACGCTATTCTCAAGAAAGCATGTACGCTCTTACTGGTACGGTTCTGATCTATGATCGCTTTGTGTAGGCGCCTCGAACCTTCAGAGGCCCCATAGTGGCGACACACGACGTAGGCGATCGACCTCCTCGTCTGATCGACTGGCTCGAGGTTGACAGCCGTGATAGACCCCGGCCCCTCGAACGACTGCCTCAGGACGGCAATGATATCGAGGACCCAGACGAGCGGCCGCGTCGGGAGACTGATGATCAGCGTACCATCGACGGCGATGTGCTGCAGCGCCACTACCAGCTGTGCGTATACCAAGTGGACATAATCGTCCCACGGCGCGACATCCTCGGGCAGCGCCATGGAGGCGTTTGCAAGGACGAGGTCAAAGCCTCTGCTCGGGATATGTCCTTTGGCGGAGGGGAATGAGCCCGGACACTTCGACAGTATCTGGCACGTACCGATACTCGCTCGTCCATCAGCGATGCGGGATATATCCTCAGTGCACTCATGGAACCGCTCACGGAACCAGGGGTCAGCCTGCGACGGGGTGCCTGAGGCTCCCGGGCGCAGAGTGATCCCCACTCCATGTGCATCCTCATTCGTGCGCAGCAGCCAGGAGGAAACGCCGCGCGGGGTGTAGTCTAGGTCGAGGAAGTGATGAGTCTGCCAGCCGGGTGTGCTGTCGGTGATCTCTTTGTATGCCTTGTCAAAGCCGTATAGGCGCGGCGACGAAGGCTCGTTCGGGCGAGTCGCTTGGTTATGCTGACTCTGCAGAGTATAGGTGCGGTCGACTGTGTCGAGGTGGTTGAGGTGATACGATTCCCTCAGTACCAGGAGACGGCGGAAGGTAGAAGTGGGTGTCGCATTGAAGAACGATAGCTCGGAGGGGGAAAGCCTCGAGGCGATGCCGTCGGGGCCGTGAGGATCGTTCAGTATGTCGTTCATCGCCATCTGGACTTCATTCATCGTCGTGAAGCGGGAGACGGTTTGGCGACTCATGAGTGCTGGAGTGAATGAGGTGAGTGGGGATGGAGCTAGAGCCTCAGACAGAGCTGATTTTTATGCTCGTCCAGGTCGAGGTAGGATGCATAGTTATTGTTCCTCACTGCGGACACTACCGCAACCACATCGCGAGGCTAGCACAGCATAGATTATAATCGACAGCGCCCACTCAGTGGTGGACCGCGGAGAGCCCAGTTGGGTGAACAGCCGCTGCGATGCTCGGTTTGAGCTAATATCACTTCAGCAAGATGATCGAGGCACTGACTCACATTTCAAGCAACGCGGCGACTCGAGGCGCATAGTGGTTCGTCTCCATTGCCTGAGATGACTACTAGGCTGCCGAGACAACATGGTGGACCTCAGGTACTGGGCAGCCGTGATCCTATGATGCCGGGTGCTTCTGGAGTCCTATGGAATGTCCACCTGTCGCTGAGGAACCACGGTGAGCTTGCGCCCTCATGAACCACTTGCGCCTGCAGGGGGCCGGCCTCCGACGCCCCAATAGCTATCCGGTCTCCGAGGCTACGATGTACCTGCTAGAACACGGCTCGCCGCAATGGGCCTTTCTGCTAGTATCTCTGGAGCCTTGTCTCCAATGATGGCGAAGGTGTGTTGCCCGCTGCCGGCGGGCGCTTCTTTCCATTGCTGACTCTTGCCCCAGATGCACCGACAGTTCACCGCATTGCTATGCATAAGTACTACAATTCGTCCTCTCCCGGTGTCCTTCTCGAGTTCGTTACCCACCTGGTCCGGCGGTGATGTGGACGTCCACGATGTGTACCGCGCACCGAGTCGGCGGCGGAGCCGCTGAAGACTCATCTGTCGACCAATGCACCAAGAACCTCGCCTTTTCCGTCTCCACACTGACGAGGTTCCTCTGAAACCGCATACACCACTGTGTGGGCGCGACCGAGTGGTGGGGCCATCATGACCGCGCGTTGATGGACGTAATACTTACCTCGAGCACGCGTACGAGACGGGTACAGTGATACCTGGCCTCGAACACAAGGTTGTTCGACGCGTTACATCGGCGGACTGTGCTGTGCTCGAACGAACTATCGGGAAGGCGCGAGGGCGTGTACATGGGGCGATTTGAATACTGCCTGTATCGCCTCCGATACTCCTAGCCATGCGCTTGTACCGTTGTGTACTTGGGCGATTGGATGTAGCTACGCATGACGTGGCACACGGAACGTCACGAATCGTTGGAACTAGCATATACGCACTGGATACAAGTACAGACAAATCGACAAGCAGGGAGTGACCAGACAGGAGTCCGAAAGCGCGACACGAAACATTTTGTGATGAGCGAAACTGTATTGGACTACCTCAAGCTTCCGCGACGTTTTGAATAGTCCATAGACCGCGCCGCAGAGAGCGCGGCAACCCTGCAGCATGAGGACCCACTCTCTACGGCCACACCCACTTGACCGTCTTCGGCGTCTTGCAGAACGCCTTATGCTCGCGCCAGTGGTTCTTCTAGCACTCAACGGAACAGTACCTGACAGTAAGTATTCAGTAGAGCTCACACAGCATACACGCACAAAATCATCCACCGACCTCGTCAAATCACACCCACTACACTTTTTCGTGGGCACGTCCACCGTTTCCTCGCGCTGGCACCCAGCGCAGACGGCCATGGGCGGGAAGTCGAGCGGGTTCTCGCGCGGGCCAGGCGGCTGCGGCGGACGGCCGGTCATGCTTGCCATCTGGATGTGCGCTGAACGCAGCTGCGCGGCGCACGGGCCCGTGCTGGGGTCGCAGACGAAGTGGAACTGTAGTGGCGATTACGGGCGGGTGAGCATGGAGACTGATGGAGTGAGGGGGGCAGGAGAGGTTGCGGGGATCGGGACGTACGTAGAGGTTCGAGCGGGGCGGCTTGAGGTGCGACCAGCTCGCCGCGTCCTGCTGGGACATCCGCGCTGGTTTGTCTGGTTGGCACATGCTTTGAGTCTCTGAAACGCGTCATATCACGCCGAGGACACGCACCGCAGAACTCGCAGTGCCACTTCTGCGTGTGCTTGATGCTGGCGTAGTTGAGCCCGACAAACTCGCGCGCATAGCTATCGATCTCTGGCGGGCGCATGCCTGCGCGGGGCAGCTTGAGACGAATATCGACCTCGGCGCGCCTCTGGTCTTGACCAAAGCGATCGTCGGATGAGGAGTCGCCCTTCGCCGACCCGTAGAGGATCAGGAGGAGATGGAGGTAATCCGGCCCATCTGGCAGCGTCCCGGCCGTCTTTGCAGACATGTTACGACGTTTTTCGAAGTGGATTTGCAGCCAAGTCACGGCGAGTATGTAGATGAGCTGGGGTGTCGAGGCGGTATGGATTTAAGCGCCAACGTTGTGTGGCCACCGTTCGTTTTTTGGGGAAGGTTGAGATCGACACGGAGTTTGCCGCTCCGTGTACGTACGCGTCGGCTTCTTTGTTTCACACCGGCTTGCTTCATCTAGGCAGCGTCTGGAGCTAACCAAATCGACTCGACAGAGGATCTGACGTTGACAGGTAATTAACGGACGTCGTGCACTCGACGCGTCATAATACTTGCCTTTTAAGGAGAAGCACCTTCCAAATCCGTCAGACGGTACTGCAGTGTGACGTCTCCTTCGTCTCGTACTCATTTCGCACTCCGCCGCGGCTTCTGAAGGGCTCCACTTTCTCTCATTATAAAAGGGCTGTCCTGCGCTTTCACTTCTGCTACCTTTCCCTCCTCCCTTTGCGCCAAGCCGTCCATTACTGCAAGACCAAGTGAGGCGAGAATCGCAATGCAACAAGTACTCGGACTCCTTCGGAGTCGCTCCTTCACCCAAAATCCGGACAACGATCTAGGAGAGTTGTCCGGATCCTACTAAGACCTGTTTGTACATGCAGATTCGATTGAACAGGACGTTCTTGAGAGGCGCTGCCACCCGGAAGGGCGATTCCAGGCCTTTACGCGTCTACGCATTAGACTGGATGACGCGTCTGAGGTGAGTACGCAGCTTCAACACTTCGGCGATTCCAAAATATCATTCGCGTCTCAGATCTCAGAGACCGAGCGCGTTGAATCTTGGTTGATCCTGACCTCGGGGGCAACGTCAGCAGAAATGACACGCGTGTCGCGGTCGCCCCGACGCGCGCCTGTCGCTCTCCAGCGTCAGCCACAACGATCATAACCGGCAGGCACCATGCTTCCCCTCTTCGCTTTCCCCAACCATGGCCCCAGCCGTCGACGAAAAACGCGAAGAGGTGACCCCGGAGTCGCCTCGCAAGACCTGGAACGTGCCGCCATGGATCTCGTCGAACATACGCTCAAAGAAGAGCTGGAAGATGCTTGTTAGGTGCTGGGTCGCGTCCTGGGTCGCGTTCATCCTCCTCCTGCCGCATGCGTCCTTGACGACGCTTGGGAACACGTACGTATAACTTGTTCCACGACCATGAAAATGCTTTCTAAAGTGGTGGACCCACAGAGCGTTCTTCGTTCTCCTGGCCAGTCTGATGGTGCCGCCGAACATGCCCCTGCAACTCTTTGTTTTTGTGAGCGAGCTGAATGCGCATGCTTTGGTCAGACTCCCCTTACCGTGTTGTGATAGGCTCTCTTGATGATTATTATTGGCCTGTGTCTTGGATGGGCTCTTGGTGCGGCGGGGATGGCTGCAGCGCTCGCGGCGCGCAACCAGGTTTTGTTGAAGTCGGAGCTAGAGAAAGTCGAGCAGAGGTGCGTCAGTCCCCCTCTACAGCATTGTGTCAGTTCACTTATATGCCGTCGTTGCGGCGCGTAGTGTCGCGGGCCTGGCCAACCCTGACGCGCTCTTCCAGGCCAGCATCTTCGAGGGCGCGTTCCTCGATACTCGTTCGTCTGTCCTCTTTGGTGTCTTCCTCGCCATCGCTATCTTTATTCTCTCTCTCCTGCGTGCGTACGCTCCGAGGCTAACGATCATGTCCGTCTTCGGCATGATCGCCGTGGACATTTATTGCGTGAGTGTCATATATCTCTGTCAGTCGCACGCACGTACGGAGACGCGCCTATTCGCTGTTGGCAAGAGGGAGAGTGCGCGCGGCTTGTCTTCTCCGAGGCAAGGTGTTCAGGAAGCAAGCCTCTCCGGCGCCCGAGATGCAGCCATTTATCCCAACTTGACATTCGTTCAGAGGACAATTTTGCTGACATCGCTTCGATAGAGCTATGGGCCGCTCTTTCCTTTTGCGCAATACACAATCTTGACCTCGCTGCTCATCTCCCTTGCGTGCTACATGGCCATCGGGCTCGTGGTCATCATATTCGTCTTCCCGGAGACTCTGAATCACGCTACCCTCACAACGGTCACGACCGTACTCGACACGATCGAGGGCGTCATCAAGCTACAGGAAGAGGTCCTATCCATTAGCTCGCTGCCGAGTGATTCATCGTATGATGAAACTGGAAAGGGACCGACAGAACAATCTCTAGCCAACGCACTTGCGGAGGGCGGTCCGCTTCTCACCAAGTTAGCAGGTGCTCGCGACGCGATGCTGGGTCTAGCGAAAGGATGTAGGGCAGCTTCCCTTCGTGAACCTCGAATGAGCGCTGACGATTTCGGCAGTGGGTGCGCAGCTACCGATGCTTAATCTCGAGTTCAGCTGGGGCAAGTGGAGTGGAGACGACATCAAAGCACTCGAAAAGCCAATGGCTGGTGTCGTTGGACGTGTCGGTACGTGCGTGGTGCCTCTTTCTCGAACGCAGACTAATATCCCTTTAGCGGCACTGCAGGGATTCGCGAGGATCCTTGGCCGGACATTGCGTCAACGCCCACCTTCAACATCCCCCTCACGCGTATCGACCCACGACGGGTCTACCGAGTCGACGGACGCCAGTATCAGGGACTCCATTATGGGTGACACCCAGCTCTTCCGAGACCTCCGCGGACCGAAGAACCACTACACCCCTGACGCTGTCCCCCTTTCCGAGCTCATCCCGATCCTACATTCGTGCACGGCGCCTCTTCGTACCGCCGTCGTCGAAGCGCTCTCCGCCGTACGCGCCGTGTTCGACTCGGTCAACACCCGGCGATACAAGCGCGGAAGCACCGAGCACCTGGACGAGACCCTCGTCACGCTCGACGCTGCTACCGCAAACCTCACCCGCGCCCTCGACGCGTTCCGCACGACGGACCGGTTGGCGTTGCTAGAGCCGTTCGCATCGTTTCTCAATCCGAGCGCCGAGCAGGAACTACCGAAGGCGGGCTCGACGCCCTTCCGCTCGCTGTTCATCGCGTATGTGTTTGCTTCGAACCTTGTGTCTGTCGGCGGTGCGGTGCGGGTCTTGGCAGAGGGCGTGGCTCGCACTGCGAAGAGTCGAAGGCGGAATCACTTGTGGGGCCCGGGTGCGATCGCGCTCGGAAAAGTGCTGGGGCGGCGTCGGAGGGGCGAGAGAGGCGGCGCGAATAACGAGTTGGGCGGACAAGGTGCTCTTGGGGAAGCTCCGCAGGGACCCGCGGGAGGGGACTGGGAGAGGGAGGAAGAGGTGTACCGTAAGTTGCTATCGATGGAATCGAACACGAGCGACAAATGAGTTGATGTATTGGGATTGAAGGCAGAGACCCGGACGGTCGACCTCCCAGCAATCCGGGTCAGCATGTCATGAATGCAATCCATCGCATGTGGCTGTGGGCGCAAACTCCTGAGGCGTTGGTGAGTATTTGCTCGTTTGGGCAGAAGCTATGAGCTCATGTTCCCGTAGTTCGCTTTCAAGATGGTGTTCATCACCATTGCCCTCTGGATCCCTGCGGTCTGCCGCAGTAGTGCGCGTGAGTGCCGTCCCAGTACTCCGCACTTGATCCTCACGCTGATGGGGCTCGTGTGTAGATTTCATTTATGCACAGAAAGGCTTATGGTATGTCGGTTTCATCAAGTGCCAGACGTATCGCTGAACATAACGGCAGGGCTTTGATCATGGCACAAACTACGCTTAACATCTACGCTGCGGACCAGATCTTCAAGTGCGTCTCCTTGACTTAGTAGATCCTTGATCCAATGCAGTGACTGACCGTAAGACGTTTAGCATATTTGCGCGAGTCCTCGGTACATTCGTCGGTCTCGTTCTTGGGCTGCTATCATGGTACATAGGTGGGCGTGCATGCCTGAGTGAGCATGGAAGCGGCATTGATCGAGATGTTGCAGGTTCTGCCAAGAGCATCGGCAGCCCGTACGGAATGGCAGCTGTTGTCGCTGTGGTCCTGGTGCCGGTACTGTTCTTGAGGTTATTCACCCCGATGCAGTATCTGCCGGGCGTCCTTCTTGCCGGCGTACGTGTCACATCAATGATATAACAAAGGAGAAACTCAACTGACGTGTTGCGCATACCAGGTTACCTGGGCCCTCGTCATAGGCTACTCCTGGCTCGACGGCCACATTGCCGTCCTCGGAAACGTCGGGGTCGGATGGTCTGTCGCATGGCGAAGATTCGTGCTCGTCATCATTGGTATGTTCTCGCTTTGCTTGTCGCTGACCAAGTGTGCATCGTTCTGATATCCATCTGAATGTACAGGCGTTGCAGCGTCATCTGTCATGATGATCCTCCCGCCACAGTCAGCACGCCGCTCCGTCCGCCTCCGCTGCGCCTCGTCATTGTCTGCGCTCTCCTACCTTTACTCGCATCTCATGGCGGCGTGGATCTCCCCAGGATCGTCGTCTGAAGGGGGTGAGGACGGTGATACGCCTGACGACGTTGACCCGAACAAGCGATCATGGGTCCAGGAATATCGCGAGCGCTTCATTGAGATCGCGCAGCAATTGCAGCTTTTGAGAACACAGGCAGGGATAGCGAAGCTGGAGGGAAACGTCAGAGGGAAATGGCCAGCGGAAGAGTACGCGCAGCTGGTTCAGGTAGAGAGCGAGATGACTTGGGCTCTGGGAGTCGTGAGTAACTTAAAACCGGTGTTTGAGTGCGCATAGTACTGATATCTCGATAGTTGGGAGGTTCGCTGAGCCAGCTCGACGACGATACCAGGATGGGACTGTTGAAGCATACAGTGGTCGTCAACCCGAACTTCGTGAGTGGCATGATCTCGTCTACGCATCCGTCTCCTGATCACTGAACGACCCCTTTATGAATACAGATCGGCGATGTAATGTCAGCATTCCTCCTCGTCTCGCAATCGCTACGAACGGGCGAACCTCTCCACCAAGCCCAATCCGAGGATCTTATAGAGCGCGCGTTCTACCATGGCGCTTCGCCAACAACGATGCCTGGGCTGGATGCAGAGGCACTCAGGGATTCGCGTCTGAAGCGGCTGCAGTCCGTTACTACGTATGAGTACATGTTCTATGCCAGCGGTGTTGTTGCCGTATTCCGCATGCTCGAGGTGAGGCGTCTTATCATTTTGCGTGGTACTGAGCCAAACCGTCTGAATACGCTTCGTGTCCCAGGGCTTGAATGAAGCGAGACAAATCACAGCAAGGCTCTGCGGCGAGGTTCCTCTTGAAGGCTTCGATGTATGGAGGGAGAAGTACCAACAAACAGTATAATCGTGTAAGCGTATTGTGATCAGGAGTAGCGTAATTTCTTGTGCGGAAGCCATACCTTGCATCGATGCAGAATATACCCAAAACATCGATAGCGAGGCCTGCAGGTCGTGTACAGCCACTCGAGAGTTGGCATTGCACCAGCAATATTTACATTCAATGTCTGAGTCTGGAGAGGGCGAAAGAAACCTCACCAGGCGTTCGAACCCACCGCGATCCACTTCAGCGCAGAATGGTGATGCCTTTCATCGTTCACAAGTGCCGTGTTATGGCTGAGAGGAGCCTGAGGTCAGTACGACCGTGACCTGGCAACTTGAAGTTCCTGCTTTAGCGCCCACGCGCGTCGCCGCTGCTCGAGGCGGCTCTACTGCATACCTTCCTTAGCGACTACGTTCTCAACTTCTCGTATAATTTGAAGCGCTCTTGTTCAGCTCGAGACAGAAATCAGGTCGCACAGACATCAATCTGACACAGATAATCAACTGTAAGTAGGGATGCTAGCCTTTCCCATTGACAACGCCGACGGATGGTGGCGTTGCCGTTCGATTTCTCAAATTTTATCCATTCAAGACTTTTCCTCCTCCGTAGCTGAATTGCTTACAGTACTATAGCGCCACTTCGCAATCGCACATGCCTGAAACTCCCGTTAAAATGCTACCGGATGGACCGGACTACCTTCATCTTCTCCTGCTGCTCTATGGCTCGACAAAAGACGACCCTTTGTCGGACGATCGCTATGGGGAGGGCCAGCGGCGCGTAGAAATTGACCTCCGTCTCAAGCTGCCGCGCCGCCTCACGCTGAGCCTCGAGCTTTCGGCGGACTCTCGCAGGTGCTCCGGGTACCAAGTACAGCTGCTATGCTGTTCATGGACGAACTGCATAGAAGACACACATAAGCTTGCGACGCGCCGCTTGGGGGGTGTCGAGTCATAATGGTGGTGGACCTTCACCACCGATACAATGATACCGAGCCGGATCAGTGTTATGGAACTACTGTCCTTGTACCTCTTCAGCAAAAAGGCGGAGGGTGCTGCGCTAATCAGATCGTCCTTAGCTTGCGCCAGGACGATACAGCGGTACATACTACTAGTCCTTGTAAGCGATTATACGGAATGCAGTGCCACTGTAAAATTAACATTGACTCGCAACAGTACATTCAAGACGCACGATGGGCAGTACGTAGCGTGTCAGCACTCGACGTCGAACCTAATCATCGGTCGACCCGAGCGCAGCTTAGAAGCTCGCTTTGCATCGAACCACTGGCATGCTGGCCAATTCATGCTGCGGTCAGTACCGCACTCGTCATTGTACGCTATTTTGGTTTCGAACGAGCTGCGGTCCACAGCTGCCGTGGACCTGGAGCTCACACATCTGAAGTGCTGCCGCGTAGAGGAAGTTGTTGCGTGTCGAGTCATGTTGTAGTGCCCTAGTCAGTATTCTGATTGTCAAGTAAAGACATTATCGTGGACACCGAATACGAGAGCTCCGCATACATTGCCCGACTGTCCGATTAACTGCGGTTCGCCACCGAGTGGGTTGCATTCAGTGAAGGCTTCGACTGTCCTAGCCTCATGTCGCGGTACCAATGTCGACGCAGCCCCAGCAAGGCGGTGATTCCGCGCACCGCCTCGGGTCCACGATTTGAGATTTCACTCAAGAATACCTCGGAGAGAACACGCATAAGTACCAGTAGCCAGAGTGACAGCCACCCACTCGCCATGGATCGCATTGTCTTTGCTTCAACACAATCTCCGATGTCGATGCCGAAATCGACCGGGTACTGAGTGTTAGCCCCATCCTAATCACCTCGAAGCTTACCCGCTTCGAACTCCCCTTCTTCAATGCGTCGCCCGCCCTCCGCAGGCTCCTCGTGCTGAAGGAGTTGTATGGTGTCCACAACACTGTCGACCGCAACTACACCAAATGGGCCCAACAGAACCGCGCCGCCCGATGGGACACCAATTCCCGGTGCCTAGAAGACTTCAAGAAAGCATTCGAAGAGATTGTTGAACTGACTACTAACCGTTACCCTGCATTCGGCGGGGACCTGAGCACGCCCGGCCCACCACTTCCTCGACCTCGGCTGTGCCCCGGGCGGATTCGCTCCCTGGCTCCTACAAAACACACCTATGCAAGGCACGGGCATCACTTTGCCTCTGAGTGCCAACGGCATCCCGATGCACAGTGGCCTCCGTGCCTTCGATAGGCGATTCCGGACATACGAAGAGGATGTATGCCAGATCGCTAGAGGGCAGTATTCGGCGACCACTGGTCGCTGGGACGGTATGTATGGACCATTCTCCAAGCATCACAACGGACTTAGACCAGACTGTAGACCACATCCCACCTGCAGGCTTCGATATCATCATTGCGAATGCCGTCGTTATGCTAGCAGAAGATGCGCCGACGGTCACCAAGAAACTCTGCCTGGTATATGCACAGCTCCTCGTGGCCTTCAAATACATTGCCACCGGCGAACTCTCGTCATTTCTCTGCGAACGCGACCATTCGACTCGATCATTGACATAATTGCGATGCTTACCGAGGCGTTCAAGTCGGTGAATGCTGTCAAACCGCGATACCAGGCGAAGACTTCATTCGCCTACGTCGTCTGCCAAGGCTTCAAAGCGACCGCCGACACCAAACATTGGTACTTGGATCGCCTCCGCGCAGTCATCCGATATTTGGACACATAAGTGAGTAGCACATTACTAGATTGTTGCGACATAGGATACTCATCGCGTGCATACAGCGGCCGGTCATGTCGATACGACCTGCGGCACCTGCCTTCCCCGCCTCTCCGGTACTCCCTCTGGACCGGAGACTCTTCCCTTCATAGTAGACCTCTTCACGTTCGCTTGGAACTGCCAGTACGACGCGATCCACAACGACTACGAGAGGGTCCTGAGTGCCAGCGGTTCAGGTAGGTTCCAGTGGTCGCATCTATCAGTGAGAAAGTGCAGCACTGATGATCATTCGTGGTCCGTAGCAGCGCTGGTGATTCCTGCCACCGTGCTGAATCCACAACCGTCGGCCGCACAGTCGTGCAAATACCTGTTGCACGACCGTACACGCATGCAGATCCCTGTTGCACGGTCGAACGTGACCAGTTCTTCCGATTGGCGAAGCCGACTCGCCGAGCCGCAGCAGTACGATGAAGCCTGGCGCCACGAAGAGAAGAACACCGGATTCAGAGGCCTCTTCCGTGCGCCGCAGGGCGCGAGCGACCGCCAGTGGCGGTGAATCACTTTCCTTCAACCTTCAAACGTTCAACGTTCAAATATCAAACGTTCAACCTCAATGACTGGACATAATAATTTACCGTAAATCTACGCCACCGTTGACTAGGACTGATAGTTTGCTTACCGTTTCACCAAGAACCTGCGTCGGCCTCCTTCTGTCGACGTTCGGACTCTGCGCCTTTATATCCTTCATCAGCCACCCTTCTTTCCGTTCTTGACTCGATAGGGTTTGCATTTTATCGCCAGTTACAACTCCTTGCGTTTTGATGATAGGAAACCACGGTCCTATGTTTCCTTCTTCAACATGTTGTCGATTATACTTCTGCTCAATTTCTCGCTGTTAGTTGTGCTTGCTTTCGAAAACGTCAGAATGGATTGCTACTCACTGAGCGTTCACCGTGCGATATAATGACGATATTGACCCTTCTCCCATTCCCCTATGCTCAGACCTATGTCGTTGATCCACGCACTAGTCATCGCGGATCGTCTCTTTGAAGGAACCCACAGCGAGGTCTCGCGCTCGTGATTTGAAGAGGCAGTCTGCTTGTTGAGTCGACCGCGACTTGAAGTTGAACGTCGTCGCGACCCCAATTGCATTGAGCGGACCGTAGCACCTGCCTGTTCCGCCAGCAAGCCTCGTTTCCGAACAGTCATTTCATCGCAATGACAATGAAGCAGCCAGTCGAGTCAAGTACGAAGTCCAGCATAAGTCGTGCACTATCATATCGGCCATGATAGTAGCGGTTAAGAACATCGCCGCTTTAACGCCCATGAGCACAGCGGCACACGACCACATTGTGTACGTACTGCTGCCGGCCATGGGTTTCTTGACTGTCTTCGCCACGGCCGTTCACTGAGATGCTGCTTTGCCTGTGCTGTCTATGGCTCGGTCTATGCTTGAGCGTGTCGTGCGCACTGTTCGCGTCGCAGGACCGGCAGAACGTCCTCCAGGTGGCTCCTAATTCGGACAGCCATGTTGGTATTTTGGCGACTATCTCTGAGCGACTCGATGGAGAAGTAGACCTCGAGAACACATTGCTTGTAGCGGAGGTGAGCGTAGAGACTATATGATGGTCAGCTTGTTCTTTAACTCGGAACGGCAGGCGGCGAACGCGGACGTATGGCGAATAACCCGCTCCGAGGTCGACCTCTACTTCCCGTCCGTAGAAGAGTATCTCTCTTCGCCGTTCAACGATGCTTCTATTCCCCATAATACGACGCGAATCCCAATCTCGGATACCATCAGACCAACGACACGGTCCTCATCGTGGGATCTGACGTCCTTGGCCAACACGACCTTTCACGCAGAGTATCACCCGTTGTATGAGATAGAAGACTTCATCCAGGCCATGGCGGACGCGTATCCCGATCTAGTGCAGGTGGTGAACATCGGGCACTCCGCGGAGGGTCGGGAGATGGCTGCTATGCGGATCTCGAAGCCCGGCAAGAAGGCGAAGGTGAAGCCAGGCTTCGTCTTGACGGGCGCGCAGCATGCCAGAGAGGTGCGTGCTTCATGAACCGCAGATGCATCCGTGGGCTGACCGACTGGTACAGTGGGTCGCAACGTCAACAGTGCTCTATCTGACACATGCCTTGGTGGCGAGTTCGCCTGAGCAGTATGCAATGTCCTCCTTGCTGGACCTCTATGTGCGTGTATCCATTATCGGTCACTGAGAGCTGTACTAACAAGGCCGGCAGGACTTCTACATAGTTCCTGTGCCGAATCCCGACGGTTATGTCTATACCTGGGAGCATGATCGTTTTTGGTGCGTCTCGTGCACAGATGCTGAAGATAGCTCGTTATTGATTGCGCTGTTTTAGGTACAAGAACCGTCAGATCATCGGGCCCAACGAGAAGTGTGTAGGCATAGACATGAACAGGTAACTATCATCCCACTTCGCTCGTACGTGTTAAGATACATATATGTTTCTCTAGGAACTGGGTACGTGCTCTACACACGACAGGGACATACTACTCACCCCCGAGATGCTCCGCAGGGCCACAAATGGAAAGCGAGAGCAGACTTCCCGACTCTCACGGCGAGCAAGAAGCCCAAGACACCAACAGACCCCTGCACGCCGTGGTACCCGGGCCATCGGGCGTTCGAATCGCCGGAGGTGAACAACATCGCGAACTGGATCACGACGCTCCCCGCGCTCAAGGCATACCTGGACCTGCGGAGCTACGGGCAGATGCGTACGTAGACCGTCTATGCTCGGATGCGTCGTTTCCGGCTGAGTAGACGACGTATCGCAGTGTCGACGCCGTTCGCGTACTCGTGCAAGAAGACGCCGAAAGACGCGGAGGACCAGATTGAAGCCGCTCATGGTGCTGCGCGTGCGATCAAGCTGGCGCATGGGACGTCGTTCACGGTCAGTCTTGTTTCACTATAGCGGATCATACGCCTGACGACCATCCGTTCCCAGACTGGTAGCCTTTGTTCCATGCTCTACAAGTAGGTTGTCGTGTCTAATTTCCTTCACTCCAAATCTGATATGTACCCTGTACCAGAGCACCAGGGAACGTTGTCGACTGGATGTACGCCAAGGCGGGGATCAAGTACTCGTACGCCGTCCACTTGCGCGACACCGGCACCGTGCGTCGTCGTTTATACTCCCTCCTTCCGACGCTGACGTGCTGCATGACGGTCTGTAGTACGGATTCGCACTCCCTGCGGAGTGGATCAGGCCTGTCGGCGAGGAGACGGCGAACATGGTGCAGTTCCTCGCCGAGTTCATTATGTTGACGAAGTGTAAGTCAGCCATTGCGCAGCTCGTCACGGGCCACCTCACTGATGCTTGGTCGGGGATGTAGAGCTTGGGTCGATTCAGTGACTGTTCATGCTTGTACCGCGTTCGGGTTTTGTCGCGATGTGCTCCATGCATCTCAGTTTTGTCGATCTTTGTTGTACCATCTATCTCCTTCGCGTGTATTGTACTGTCAACATCTGTAAGGCTAGTCGATGATCGCTGAGAATCGTCTGCTGCTTGACTGGTATCACGATGAGACGAGCACCGGCGACATGCAAATCCGGGCGCGTTGCTCTGTCGGGCGTTAACACGCCGACTCGAGCTCAGTCTAGAGGTATTCATGGTATGAGCGGAGTGTTCTATGACTTCATTTATCAGACAGCAACACTGGATAACACGCATTGGTAAAATGTATTGAGAACGGTAGAGCAAGCGTTCAGTACGTTCAGTTCGCGTACATGGGTGAGTGCCTCGTCAACCATTCCCATCCAGGACATCCGTACATTTCTTCTCTCCGGAACATGACCATGTCTTGGGGCCAGTGATCAGAGACGACGGGTATACCTTGTGGGTATTCGATGCTATGCAGTCGCCCGTTACGGCCCGCGACCTTCAAGGTTCCGGCACCGGCGATCGCATCTTCAACGGACTCCATGAGCGCGTGCGACCTGACGTGGAAATACTCCAGTTGGCGACAAGACATCCACTGGGAATGAATAAGTAAGGATCGCGCAGGTGGAGATATAAATGCCACGGAGGACCTACAATAGGGTGAAAGGAACCTGCTTCGACGACGGGCGCATGAAGGAGGAAACCCAAGGCGGCAAGACTGCTGGGCAAGCATCGTGCCAGCGAACCCATTATATCACGCGTAAAGCGACGGGCTTTGAACACAAGCCACAGGACCTCGAGGTTCTTCAGAGTGGAAATGATATCCAAGTACTGACGGTGGTATAACCAGGGGCAAATGTACGCCAGACGCAGACGCCGCAGCCCTTGTCTGTTCGACAAGAAGTCTGAGAGCACTTGCAGATCCTCGGGTGTTAACCTGTACTCGCGGGTGTAGTCCAACACCGCCAGCGAGGTCAGCCGTGTATTGTGTTCGAACGATGAAGCTAATGCATGCAGTAGCGAGTGCGCCTGGTCGTCGATGGAGCTGATAGCAAATGATTGCAGCTGGGGTAGTTGTCCAAGTAATGTTTCCAGGGTCGCCAGACACTCTGACGGGAGGAACAGCAGCTCGAGATGGGTAAGGTTCGGTAAGCTGTCAGGCTGAATGGACCCCGCCCACATTGCCGGGATGCAGATCTCTCGCAAAGATCCCCCGTGAACGTCTATTGTAGCGTAGTTTGAGATGTGATGGTGATAATCCTCCCATAGGTTCAGATGTGTCCCGGTGAAAGCGATCGAGCGTATGCTGTGAGGCTGCGCAGGGAGAGCATCTTTAAAGCCGAACATCTGTAGAATGAGAAACTCGTGTTTAAAAAAGTGGACACGAACACTGAGCACATTGACTGGCACTCACGGGAGAGAGATTTCACACAGCAAGGGGCATGCTTTGGCAAGCATCTCGACGATCTCCAAGGAAGGCACGGGACGCGTCCCATACCAAATGAGCGACCGCAGGTTCACCAAGTTTTGGACAGCTAATGACAAACAGTCTGTATTTATTCGGCATCAATATAGACGAAGGGATATCAACGTGTACTGCCTGACACTTACGTAGTTGGAAGACACAGTCGTCATTGCTACCACCGTGTTTATGTGCTATGATTTCCAGCCGTCTCACTCTCCGAGCAAAACCTGTGTCGACCGTAATACGATGGAGGATATCGGCGGCCAATGTAGCTCGTCTGTTTTCATGGGGTCGGAACGTTTCCGACGAGTGAGACTCGTTGTGATACCAGTACTCCCACGCTCCGATTTGTATTGTGATTCTGGAGAAGACCACAGTAATGGCAAGATCGTGAAACAGTCGAGAGACGAGAAGGCAAGAACGTCTCGTCTCCCGAGGCACGAGGAGGATGATCTGGCTCAGAATTTCAGGCGGGGGTAGAACGCAGCCATGCCCGGCAGTCATACGGCCGCTATTTCTCCAATTGACAATCCATATTAACCATAGAATATATTATACGACACGAATGGCTCACCGTAGTCCGAAGAGGACAGCAGTTTCGACTTTGGTTCAAATGGCGCCAAGTACTGGCAGAGCGCGTTGAGCTGGGACGTATAACGTTGTTTCTTGATCCCTAGCCACGACGTAATACTTTTCAGATAGCAAGGATTCACGTCAGAATTCGTTGCGACGATGCACCGGGATGCGAGAGTAGTTTTGAGGCAGTATAATCAATGTCGCCATGACAGAAGTGATTTGAGCTACTAGAGGCGCGTTGTGGCACGCGCGCTTGATTCTCCATGACGGCGCGAGCCCAAGTCACGGTAGGCTCCCAGGCGGAATAGGCAGAAGCACAATTCTTCAAGTCTCATACCCCAAATCCTTGTCCGACGCGAAGTGTTACTGCAAGGGCCATTACATGTGACGCTATAGTGGCATCACTACCACTGCGACGCCGACGGTCCTCCGAGAAGACTTCATTTCGCAGTTATACCGTATGCATACTACGCATCATTTGAGAATAACATTAACGGGTACACGCTGCGTAGTACTGCTGCAGACCGAGTATATCTCAATCCCCGTGAAAGACATCGTAATGCCCTTCTCGATAATGCCAGAAGCGTCGCTACCGGTCAGTAGTTCGGAAACATATTGACGTGCCTCATCAGCCATTCCCATGATCCCGCACATCCGTACTCATCCCGTCTGAAAACGACTCTGCACAGCGGCCAGCGAGCGGAGACGATCGGCGTCCCATCCTCATAGCCAATATCATACAACTGCTCGTCGCGGCCCAGCAATTTCAGCGATCGCGCACCGGTGATCAACTCTTGAAGTCCGTCATCTGCCTGGAACCACGTATGGAAGTATTCCAGCTGACCACAGCGCGACCACTGGAGTTGCGAGAGGGTGAGGTAATTATACGGGCACTTGCTGGGTACGCACCAACTGTTGGAAGCTTCCTGCTGTGAATGCTCCCCGGTAGTGGCTGTAATTGCAAGAGCAGTAAACCCACTTGGCAGTTGCTGTGCCCAGGTGTTGATCGTATTGCGAGTAGTGGCTTCTGATATATTCATTTCGACTCCCAGGACCTCGAGGTCCTTGAGAACGGACAGACCATCCAGGAACCATGCCCAGTGCTTATATTCGCAGCGAAACGAAGTGCGGAAGCGTCGCAAGGCAGGCAGCTGTTTGAAGACGTCAAAGAGCATCTGGAGCTCTCCCGATGTCAAAGCCGGGATGCGGAATTCATCTTGATCAATCAAGGCCAATGAGGTCAAACGGAGGATGCAACCTTGTGCCTGTGCCAATGCACAGAGCAGCAAGTCCACACTTTGGCGAGAGCATTTGATCGTGAGTGATTGCAGCCGAGAAACTTGCTGAAGGAATGAGCCAAAGGTTCCAAGCTCCGCAGGCGTTACCCATAGTAGTTCGAGATGCGTAAGATGGGGTAGGACATGGGGTGGGATAGAGTCTAGCGGCAAGGCCGGATGATGGAGCTCTTGTAGGTCTCTGGCCGCACCAATGTCTACGGCAGGCACGTTTTGCAATTCCATGAATATGTTCCCCATATGTGTTCCACTGAGAGTGACGGATTGCAGGCTCTCAATGGCGCCCAATTGAAGGGTCCAGAATGACTTGTGTCTGCAAGTACTAGTGTTATGCGGACACTAATAAATGTACAAGCTGTGCTTACGGCAGGGAAAGCCGTCGAAACAAAGGTCATGCTTTCGCAAGTGCTTCGACGATCTCCGGTGCAGGCAAGGGGCAGGGCCCATACCATACGAGTGCCCGCAGATTATGCAAGCAGGAAATAGCCAACGATAGGCAACCTAGTAAGATCGAACATTAATAACAGGATACGGCTGGCTGATGTGCAGTCTACCGACACTCACGCAGTTGGAAGGCGCAATTATAATTGTGATCATCGTAGGCGCATACCTCTAGCCGCTTGACTGCATTGGCAAAATATGGATCATACATGATGTGACCTCCTCCTCCCGCAGAGATTGCGTTCCGCCTAATCGCTTGCGCCTGATACTCACTTTCCGCTTCCGCTTCTGCTTCCTTGGATATGCACAAGTGCCAGTTCATTTCCTCGGGGTAATGGGTCTCCCATGCGCCGAAATGGATGGTAAGACCTGAGAATACCACACGGAGTGCGAGGTCGTGAAATGATCGTGAGACCGAAAGGCATGTTCGCCTTGCCTCTCGGGGCAGGTGGTGGATGATGTGTGCTAAAATTTCGGGAGGGAGCGGGTCCCATGGACGAGCAATTGTAGTCATCGTTGTCGTGCTATAATCTGAATCGCAAACACTTTATTGTGATTGATCAATCAATCACATTTGGATGAGGTGCGCAGACCTACCATTACTGACTCAACTTGCTAGGATCGAGAGGTTATGAGCCACTGCCACTCAACTTGAGCCACTGACTTGAGTCGCGAGGAGGAGGAGCGTCCCGAAAACGCTGCCGCATGAACCTACTATATCGGTCCGGGATCTCGGCCAGGACAGGGAACTCGGTCAGTCATGCATTGCTCAAGAACGGCTGAGATTTTTGGCACAAAAGGTATGTTGCTGTGTTTGTTTCAATTACAGCTATCGACTGGTATACTTACTACACGAAACGGATAGGAACTTCACTGCCTAGGCTCGACTGACCGAGTTCCCTGTCCTGGCCGAGATCCCGGACCGATATAGCATGTCACGTGAACACTGTAGCGCACGTACCGACTCGTCGCTGCCGCTCGCAAGGCGCGTTCGACTTGCTTGTCTCTGCCACCAGCTCTTGTTGTGCGCTCACGTTTACAGTACACCTGTTGTATCAGTTAGAGCCTGGTAAGGGACATTCTGTTGAAGGAATACCTGGCAGGGCTAAAGGTCACTTCTGGTGCTGCAGTACTTCTAGTACTGTACCATTAGCTCCAGTGGTCGTGCCCTCGGAGCGTGTACTATCAACGCACGACAATTGTACTCAGGTAAGTCAGATCGAAGGGATATAGTTGAAGCGTTCTCATTCAGAGCTGCACAGTGGATGTTTGACATGTCATCGTTATTGCCGCCTGAACTCTGGCAAGAGGTCTTCACATGTCTCCCCGAAGACACTACGCGGACATGCCTCTCTGTATCGAAAGTATTTCACGACATTTCTCTGCGATTTATGTTCCGCAGCGTCACAATCTTCTTTGGCGCATGGGAGTCTGCTGAGGCGAAGGAGGACGTGTACGACGCGGATAAAGTGATACTGGATGCGCTGGAGGACGATAGATCCTCCATGTCGTCCGCGATCCTGCATCGCATAGCTAGTGATCCGTCGTTCGCTGTCATCGTGCGTTCGATCGATGTCCACGCATACAAGCGTGATGGCGCCAGAGGCGCGTTCGAGCGAGGTGAGTGCGCCAATCCCAGACTCAGGCCCACTGTCTCAGCCCATGATCATCTCCAGGATGCCTGATAGAAGCGATACACTGCCTACATAATCTACGTTCGTTCACCTGGCATGGTTCGGCACCGCGCCTTACACCACAGGTTATTGACGCTCTCATATCGTCGTGTACACTGCTGCGACACTTCTCCGCGCCGTAGGTATCGCTCACCGCCGTTGTTCGTTCTCTCACGCTGATGTGTCTGTCTATATAGACTCTCAACGCTGTCAGAACTGCCGCTGACGAAGCTGGAGAGGCTACGGTCTATTGGTTTTACATGGAAGTGGTTCTATGACACTACTCGAGGCCAGCGCTCGCGACTCGCTCCCGAATCCCGGGACCTCGAGATTCGCTATGGAGATCTGAAAGAACTCCAGATGCCCTACACCTCGCCCGCGAACATCCCTCTGACTCGGCTCCCTCTGCTCACGCACCTCGAGCTCCTATCGATACAATCCCTGGAGGACTTCGGACCCATCATACGCCGCGTTCCGCAGCTCGAGTCACTCTCGGTCTTCTGCACCAGGCGCCAGTACGACAAGCTGTTCGAGGCGCTCGCCTTCCTCAAGTCCGACCTCCCGAACCTGCACTCGCTCTGTCTCCTATCCCGCCGGGAGGGCGCATTGGACCCAGCGCACGTGCAGATCCTCGTAGACTTCCTCAAGGATCGGAAGTGTCTCCGCCGCTTCCGCTCGACGTTCAAGTTCGCCAACGGCACGCATTCGCATTTCGTTTGGGCCATATCATTCCTGGTCAACCTCGAGGCGGTGCACTGGGACTTGCTCTCGGGGAACATCACCCAGATGTTCATACAAATTTTCGTGCAGCACATCCCTTCCAGCATGCTCGCACTCAGTCTCGCTACGGCGGGCTCCCTCGGGAAGACCGAGCCCTTCGTCTATCTGGTGAGTCCCCACCTCGCGTCGAACATCCTCTTGACCTCCCTGATTCCCTCTCATCGCAGTGGAGGCACTGCCCAGACCTGCGGTTCCTCTATATCCGCACATGGGGCTCCGAGGATGAGCCCATCGAGCAGCTTCTGGAAGGCGCGAAGAGCCTGCAGGTCATCGGGTACAATGGCAAGTTCTACAATGTCAAGCGGCAAGACGGGCAGCTCAGCCTGTCGCCCGCGTGGTCCGCGCGTAAGGTCGCTTTTCGCGGCCTGAGAGACTTTGGGCCTGGATGTGACAGTGGGGAATGGCTGATGAGGGGGTTGCGGATCAGGAACGATGCAGAAGAGGAAGCGCAGTAAATGAGGTAGGAGTGTAACACCCGCTATGGTACGTCCTCGGAATGTGGATTCACTTGCATACTTACTTTCATCGGAATCGGACGGCACGCTCAGGACGTGAGGACTAAATGGAATCCCCTCCTTCTCCTCCTCCTCCTCCTCAGAGTACCCGCATGTACAATACAAGGCGCTAAGCGCACAGTTGTATCACTTTCTCGAAAGGGTTCATATCATATCGTCTGCGCCGTGGTCCACACGAATACAGTTGCCAATGCTGGTTCAGTAGACATAATGGCCGCGAGCGAAAGATATGGAAGGCTACATAGCGAACAAGACGAACCTGGTCCGGCACGGTAGGAGACTCGGACGAGCTTGCTCTCTACGAAGATTGGACGGAGGTACCAAAGGTTTTAGTGGGTACACCGTATAGACCGTCTATAGACTATGACGCCGATTACGGATAGGTGAGTCGTACACTGACCGGGACGATCGTGCGTAACCGCATTTTATCCCTGGATCGCAGGCAGGCAAAGCCTGCTCGATGGCTGGTCGGCCTGGGCCTACGGGGCTGACCAATTGTCGGCTGAGGCCTGAGGTCCGAAGTCATCTTCCTCGGATCGTTTACATGCACGTCTTAACAGTGACGTATGAAGAAAGATCTATGATTCCTGCCGTATTTGATACATCGTTACACGCTTCTGCCACCCTGCTTCGTACTCCAATTCGCGCTCCCGAGCGAGCCGCACTCAAGCCGAGAGCTTCCCGCGAAGGAGGTCCTTCAGCGCCTGGCCGTCCTCCGCGAACTTCTTGATGCCCTCGTGGAGCTTGTCGAACGCCATCTGGTCCTCGAGGAGCGTCCAGCGGAACTCGGGCTCGTCGTCGATGTACGTGACCTTCGCGAGGGGCTGGCCCTGCGCGGCCGCGTGCGAGTCGAGCTTCTTCGGGACGGGCGTGGTGTCGTTCTTGAGCTCCTCGAGCAGCTTGGGCGCGATGGTGAGGAAGTCGACGCCCGCGAGCGCCTTGATCTCGCCGACGTTGCGGAAGGACGCGCCCATGACGATCGTCTTGTAGTGGTGCTGCTTGTAGTAGTTGAAGATCTTCTTCACGGACTGCACGCCCGGGTCGTTGTCGCCCTCGAAGTCCTTACCCGGTGTTGCCTTCTTGTGCCAGTCGAGGATCTGCGAGCACATTGTCAGCATGAGGGGCCATCCATGATAGGAGGGGGACACGTACACGGCCGACGAAGGGCGAGATGAGCGTGACGCCCGCCTCAGCGCAGGCAACAGCCTGGCCGAAGCCGAACAGAAGGGTGAGGTTGCAGTGGATGCCGTCGTCACGCTCGAGCTCCCGCGCAGCCTGGATACCCTCCCAGGTCGATGCGATCTTGATCAGGATACGCTCACGCTTGATCCCGACCGAGTCGTAGAGCGCGATGAGCTCTTTCGCCTTCTTCTTCGTACCCTCCTTGTCGAAGGACAGACGGGCATCGACCTCGGTCGATACACGGCCAGGGATGATCTTGAGGATCTCCTTGCCGAACTCGACGAGCTGTGGGGGGCGTTAGGGTGCTGCCGGTAGAGCGGAGGCTGATGAACGCACCAGACGGTCCATAGCCGCGCTCGTCTGGTTCTCGAGGTCACCACCCTTGTCTTTGCCGTACTTCACGGCCGCGTCGATGAGACGGGCGTAGCCCGGCTTGCCCGCCGCCGCTAGAATGAGCGAGGGGTTGGTGGTGGCATCCTGGGGCTTGTACACGTCGATTGCTGCACATCGATGTCAGATCGTCCCATCGGGTCGCCGACCAGAGGGCACGCTGTACTCACACTCGAAGTCACCGGAGTCGGAGACGACAACGGTGCCGGTTTGCTTGAGGTGATCGAGAGAGGTAGTCATGATGGATGGTGGTGAGAGGTGAGAGCAACTGCGGTGACGGTGTCGAGGCCGACGCGCGAATATATAAGCAGGCGGATGGAGGGGCGGCTCAACCAAGCGACGTGTGATCTCATACCCAGTCGGCTCGGTTCGGCCCGGGGCTACTCTGGCTACAACCCCGCGTCCCCACGACGTTAACTCTCGAGGCTCGGAGGCTCCTCCCCACCACCATCCTGCACATCTCCGCACCGGGTCATACGCGAGTCAATATTGAGTCATAATTTTTAAAAATTATATTCGTCATTTCTTAGCACAGCGGACAATCCGCAACTTGCGCCCAATTTCTCGTCATGCCAGTCTGTCTGACTCTGTCATGCTGCCTAATCCCAGTGCGATGTTCACAAAGCCGCACGTGCGGACCAATTTGCTCCCGGAAGCAAGTCGTCTGCAAGACCCGAGTACGCCCGCCTACGAGGACGCTGAGCCCTTTCGTGGTTACCTCTGTATGTTTATCGTCACATCGTACTGAGAGAGCGGCGTTCGCTCCGAGTGTGTGCGAGGCACGCATTGGCAGTAAGCCGGCCCAGGGCCTATCTATGTGTGACCTTCTCACACGCCGGTTTAACTCCTGAGGGTGGCCTGAGTAGCAGCGGTGCTTTGCCAACGTGCGTGCGATAGCTAGAGAATTTGCAACCGTTGCTCACATGTGCGTGTCTCCAGTCGCACGATGAGCCCACTGCTATGATCGTCTCGATCGTCACCACGGTCAGCATGTCATCGTGAGCTTTGGCGTTACGCACCGCGGATCATGCTCCCAGTGTGTGCACAGGGAGATAGATGTCCACCAACCAACGGGTCCGAAGTACACCGACGGGTGTTGACATGCCTGCAATCTCATGATGAGCATGGCGAGTACAGAATCCTCTACCAGATGACCCACAAGACTCCCGAGCATGCCGCCTTGACATTCCAAGGTCGAGTTGGCTACCGCGAACGTGTACAGTGACTCAGACACATTGACTGTAATGCCACAGCATCTATGACCGACGGATCAGACATCTGATCCAATAGAGTGCAGCACCACGGAATTACTGACATCTGTGAGTGGCAGCTTGGGCGTACAAAGATATGCCTTCGAGTGAGGGTGAGGGTGGGGGGAGGGAGTATGGTCCGTCAGTCACGCATCGGCTCTTCGAACATTTGAAGAGGATAGCTGTTTAGATTGTGCGCCCAATGTCTTCTTTATCATCACCGATTCGAAACCTGTTCTCAACAAATAAGGCGGATCAGCGTAGACATAGAAAGATAGGGCGCTCGGACCTACTCGGATCTGACAAACTCCGGGTGGATAGGTCCACTAGCAAGAACATCGTCAGGACAATGATACGTATACACCCTGTCACTTACAGACTGTCTGGCTGCCAGGTAACCCCTGTCGGATATGCGCTATATACAGCCTTACGACCGCATTGATTTTGCAATTCAGTGCCCTGTGGCAAGCCTCGCGGCAGCCTAAAGCGACACCTAGTAAGTGGTTCACACTCGGACTCGCTCCGTTCTACGATGCGGAACTAGAAGGGTAAACACAAGACACGTCTAAAGCGTCGTGGGATCGATGTGCGGTGCTTCGGGCGCGGCTGGAGCGTGCAGGGACCGAGTCGACTGTATAGAATACGGATCGGCTTCATGCGGACACGGCGAGAGATGAAGCGAGAGAAATACATACCTGCCTGTGCAATCCAGTCGTGTACAGCCCAGGCTGCGTTACCGCTTTTTAGTGGCGTCTGTTAATCATGTTGCGTGCGCCACGGCCTTGAGACTATTGAGAACGTAGCAAGCCGCCAGAAAATCAGAGGCCAGCCGCTGTTGGCACGGTGATACAACTCGTTTCCGGTCGCAGTTCGCATCTGCAGGGATTCTGTGAGGTTGCGTTCGCACTCGAGAAATCAGAACACACACTGAGTCCAATACGCACCTGCGACATCTGCGCAGGAGAAGCAGTGAGGGAGGGTATGATGATCCGCCTGTGAGTGAATACGCGTTTCGATTAGCGCGCCATGGTAACGCTTTCCAGTGTTGTCCTCGCCACGATATCAAAGCCTACATGGCATGTGAGCAGCAGGCAGGAAGTCGGGCGCGGAGAACGCACTATTGATATCGGCAGGCTGAGATGCAGCAGGCAGGCCTCACGGTGCCAGCTGAAAATCGGGATCGAACTTTTGTCATGACTAACAACCCGTCCGTTGCGGTTGCAATGTAGCCGTGTGTCAGAATATCAAAGAACGTCTATTATCCTTGTATGAATCTCCATCAGAAGTGATGGGATTATTGGCACACTGAGAAAGGCGGCGGCGGCCACATATGTCGAGGGCCCTTGATGGCGACAACAGCATGTCAGATGCAACCCATATTTTCCTTGTGGTTGCAGATTGGATGACGACTCGGTATACCATGGGTCGGCGGAGCAATATTGGAAGATGTGCGCACGAGACTCAAACGGCTGCAACAACGCACCACAGTGGTGATACGAGGGTGATAGGTACGGTGTGCCAGTGTAAGGCCTCGCCGCCGACGACTCTGTCCTTCGCCATAGAATCAGCACAGGGCGACAGCTCTACAAATGCAAGGCATAAATTATTACACGGCGACTAAGACGCGAAGCTGAGGCAAATGTTACCTCACGCGCGGTGATCGTCATCCAAAGCTCCACGTAGAATGAAGCCGGCGATGGATCCCTCCGCTTGTTGGCCATGATACGTGAGTCCGAACCAAATCTGAATTTTAGCGGTCTGTCAAGGGAAAGGAGCGCCGCAGCTGAGTTGATATGCACTGATCAAGTTCCGAAAAGATCACCTTCAGCGGGTGACTTCTCATAATCCCTCAATACAGACTCACTGATGAACGAGGTCGGTAAACAGACTGGTGACCGTCTGTCGGTCCGGCGATGTCCATCTCCGAGTCAGCGGCGGCCAGTCCAGTGAAGTTCTGTGGAGAGATAGGTTGCCTCGAGACGTGGTATATGGTCCGCAGCTTCGTTGCTACGGATGTATCGGCAAATACCCACCGAATCCACACCGATCATTCAGTGATCTCCGAGATCCAACAGCACGAATCTGCCATCTAGGGCCCTGCCGCGGTACTGGAAGTCTGAAGTGGTCCTCGACAATTAGCAATTCCGGCCGAGTCTCCAAATCTAGCATATCCACTCACTGTATCATTTATCCACAAAGGATGCACAGCTGCGCCGTGTCACCGGAGCCGGGCTGCAGTACGATGCGGGGGTAGCGGGGGGTAAGTGAAGTCAAGGAGTAAATCCCCGGGAGTGCGAGTTCCAAGTACGACGGCAGTGATTGAGCGCTCCGGTACCTTGAGCCTCGAGGATGAGAATTAGTGCGGCAGTCGTGATCCGCAGCGTGCCACCACGGGAGAGGCTACAGAAAGCCACGCCCTTTCGGGTGACACTGGGCGCGATCAAATCAGCGCCCATGCAGTGTACCCTTTCACCAGCGAAGCCGGGACCGTGCGCAAAAGACGCTGAACCACTCACTTGAATTGAGTGAATCGTATAGCAGATAAAGGAGAAGTGTCTCCGGCTATGATGCGCTTGTCGTCAATGTAGTGATGGTGTAGCTGGCGGCGGTGGCGGCGGTAGAGAAGGGAAGACTAGATCAGAGGGGATCTGAGGCCATGGTTCCGAATGTATTGAACCCAAAGGAACATGATCCAGGATATCATTCAGAAGTGCCAGTGGTACGGTACAAGTTCACAGGTTTGACATGTGCGCTTCGTTAGATATACAATCTTCTCGCCTTACAGTAAGACTGAATGACTTGCCTGCCAATCGTACGTTCAATCTTTGATAAGCGTCGCCACGCGCGATGGGAGTGAATGAACCGCTGGACGTGATGTTCCTTGAATCGTATCGGTCTTGCCTCGGACGTCCGAGCTGGTTCACAGTGTACATCTGGCTTGGTACGGGATAGAATATTACCATTGAGCACAAGACATAAAGAAATGGGGTCGTAATACTCACTAGAGTCGAGCAAAGCTGTACTTCATCGCCCTACGCACAGCATGATTCCAATAAGCTATCCGAGTCAGGATGCGCGGCGCGGAGTCGACATTGAACCCATTTTCGAGATAAAAATAAGGCTCGTCCCAATCATGGTACCAGAAATGTTGTGGCGGGATTCAAATGCTCGGACAAGTGCGAGGAACGGGACGAGCCTGAGATCAGGTCTGCCAGGAAACCAACAGATCTCAGCCTCGATCTGATCTCGGCTATCACCACAGTGGCTATGGCGGGTTATCCCGAAAAGGAAAGCTATCCTAGTGTTCTTGTCGTCCGTACCCTCACCGAGGCCTGACGCGGAGCGCCATTACTCTCTCGGTCGAGGCTGTTCGCGCGTAAACATTCCGAAATTCCGAAATAGTGTATTGGTGCGGTAATATGACGTCGAGGTCTCTCCTCGAGGTTTCAGCAGGATTGCGATGTCACATTCCAGGTTTGTACCGCGGGTGAAAGGCAGTCCTAGGCTTTCATGACTCCAGGGCCGTCGGACAACGGTGCTCCGGAGTTCTGCTACTGCTCGAATCGCCGGTGACTATTGAGTGCGCTGGCAACGCCGTTAGGCGATCCTGCGCTGTCGATGTTACAGATCTCGCCACCATCCCGTATCCAGTCACGATGTGGCATTGACTATATATTGGACCCGATGGTCTGAGAGCTTCCACACCAACCCCGTTACTCCTCTACCTAATCGTGTAATCAGTAGAGAGCTCACAGACCGCTCTTAGAAACTATGTCTCAGCCACTCATTACTTTGTATGACGTTCCCGCCTCGATCCCGCAGCCATGGGCCCCAAATATTTGGCGTATCCGGTAAGTATGCTCTCTTGCGCGAGTTGCCCAGCTAAATTCCTTCTAGCTTCATCCTCAACTATAAACGCCTTCATTACCGAACAGTATGGATCGAATTTTCCGATGTCGAGGCCGCCTTGCGTTCCATCAACGCCCCGCCGACGGCTCATAGAAGCGACGGGCAACCAATCTACTCACTTCCAGTAATAGTCGACTCTCTCCGTTCCAGATCCCATCCCACCATTTTGTCCAACGCCAACATCATCGCCGAATACCTCGAGGTCACCTATCCCGCTCGGCCGATCTTTCCGGAAGGATCCCGCGCAGTGCAGTCGCTCTTCGTCCATTACATCCAGGAGGTCTTCGCCAAGCCGCTCTTGCCCATACTCGTCCCGTTGACCCATCAAGTGCTGCCGGAGCGCAGTCAAGCCCATTTTCGCGGTGCTGGAGCTGGCGTACAGCTCACGGGCGCGCAGCGAGAGCAGGGATGGCGCGCAGTCAAGGAGCAATTCGATTTCCTCGCCAGTATTCTGGACAAAAACAATGGAGCAGACGGTAACGGCATCGTCGTGATGGGCCACGACGTCAGCTATGCGGATTTTGCCTTGTGCTCCGTGTTGTGAGTGGTCTGACTAGCCCGAGGAAAATTTGCACTGACCTGCTACCTCCATGAAGGATTTGGATCGAGCGCGTATCGCCGCATGACGGCTGGGCTCGAGTGAGACAGTGGAACAACGACAGATGGGTCCGGTTGTGGGGCAAGTGCAAGGATTACATGGACGTGTTGTGACGGAGAGGCGACGCGTCGTGCCGCAGGCGGCCCATTTCAATTTTGTAGCGCTAGGAGCAAACAATCACCCTCGCTGTATACGCCGACATAGATTAGTGACTGCTAAATTATCTAGACATCACCGCTCGTTTGTAGCTCACCGTTATTACTTGTATTGTAGACTGACGCCGTGCGCCGCGTGTCATAATACGAGATCACATTGCATTCGTTTCGTTTGCAACCCCAGCGGGCCAGTCTCAAATTCGGGATACGGCAGCATGCACTTCGCCTCGACTGCGCTAATGCGGGCGCTGAGCGCCCAGACTGGATGCCAATGAGTCTTCTCTTCGTCATGATCCGCCCACTGTCACTGGGCTATCAGAGGGCTGACTAGTTGCGGATTTCCACATAAGTAGTGCCCGCTAGTAGGCCCGTTTGTCACAAGCCATCATGGAGCCCTCGCTTTGCGAGCTGACCCACCGGCCTCTCACACTTCCACACGTTTCCCAGCCGTAGCCGTTGGAAGACTTGACTAACAACGCCGAGTCCGCTAATGCCGAACGGTTCCGACTTGGCCCGTTCATGACGCCTCCACCTTGCTTCCAGGCGGACCTGTAGGAAAGCTAGTACGTGAACCATGTATTGTCCATCGTGGTCACCGAAGCACTTACGAGTTAAAAATGAACCGCAGAATGATGGGTTCTCGTGCCCTGAAATTTATCTTCGACAATGCAGCGGTACGTCAACCACCCGTTCGACGACTTGATGGGGGAAAGCTGACTCACCGGCAACCGTAACCGCGGCTCATACAAAGCCGCGCATCTAAGCAGGTGAGAGTTTATTAACTGGCCATGCCTATTGTTCACGGTCAAGCAGCACGAAAGGTCGATTGCGAGGCGGTGCGCCGACGTCGATGCTCCCAAAAATGAAGACTCGAATGATATCATGCCAACGCCATCCCTGACGGTTCCGCGCAGCATCTGATTATCATCAATACCTCTACGACGGCAAGACCACAATCAGGGACCCGTCAACTCTAAGAAGTTCTTCACTTCCTGCATGTATCTGTCGCGCTCCTCCCAGAACGGCATATGACTCGAATTCTCGAACGTCAGCCACTTCACCTTGGGGATGCGGTCGAAGAACGGCTGCGCCGCGAAATCTTGCGCGAAGTCGGCCCTCCCATTGACAACGAAGGTTGGCACCTTGATGAGGTGGAGTCGATCGATGATGGTCCAACCCTGCAGGTAGGGAAACCTTATCTGCTCATCAGCATCCTCTTAGAGGTCAGGCACTGTAGACTTACATGGCGGCAGCGACGGTGAGATCACGCTTGTCTCCGAAGGCGTACTCGAACGTCCGGGAGAAGTCAGCTGGGAATGGTTGGATAGTGCATCCATGCACTTCGTAAAATTTCATGAGCCCGTACTCGTACTTCTGGACGTCGCTGATGCCCAGTCTTAAACCCTCCTGTACGTCTTGCGGAAACGCCTGTGCCAGCTGGGCGAGGGACTGATTCCATAGGTCCATTGATGCGAAGGAATTGCTTAGGATGAGATGCCGTAGGCCTTCCGGCTGACGCTCGACGACGTATTGGGCGCCTAGCATACCGCCGTATGACTGGCCCAGGATGTCAAAGGCCTCACCGATCCCCAGGTGTGCGATGAGGTTGTCGAGCTCGTCCATGAATAGGTGCATGCTCCAGAACGTGTGGGGCTTATCCGGGAGACGGGCCGAACGACCATTACCCAGTTGATCATAGAAGACCACGGGAACCTGTGCGGTAGCAGCAAGGTCGGACAGAGGGAGGAGATAGTCATGAGAGAGACCGGGGCCGCCGTGTATAACGATGAGCGGCGGGCGGCAACCAGCTGTTATCTCCCCGAATACTCTGTACCAGGTTTGATAGGTTTCCCCGTTGACGGTGAAGGGCGCAAACTCTTCTCGGTCGAAATCGGGACTCGCCATGATCTGTACATGAGCATATCAGCCAGAAGTCGACGGTCGAACCTAGCTACATACCTTGGAATCGACTAGCAAAGAAACGCGTTCCTGCTCACAACCTGCCAACTGCAGACGCGAAGTAGTCGCATACACGACTTGGAGATCCACCGCCCTGATCAAAACGGGCAATTCAATGTGCAAAGCCGCCAAACTTGCAGAACGAGAATACCAACCGTTGTTAAGTAGATGGCACTGCTTTGAGGGAGGCAAGAGAATGAGCCCTACGCCATGTATCTTCTGTGTTATCGCAGCTTACACATGTGACAATGGCAAGATAATAAGAACCAATCCACACTGCTGTTTAAGCGACTCCGAGTCGGAGTCTGAGTTCTTGAGATGGCTACAGTGACGGTTGATGTGAGTGGCTCACCTAGCTAGTTTGTAGCTGCAGAAAGAAGGATCTCGACGATGAACAGAAGATATAGTTATGAGTAATGAGCATAGACTCGAAACGGCCTATGTCACTGACCAAGGGGCCGGCTTGTCACTGACCAGCTCGAGCAACTTTGTGGCGCAGGACCGCGGCGACGCGCGCCTGCACAGACCGGAGAACCGCGGTCACGTGTGCACGCGTTGTCGCGCGAACACCGCCGCCCGGGCCGGTGGTTTCAACTTGAACGACTCGGACAACTTGCGGACAACTCAACGCCATGCATCCGAGGAAGAACCAAATATCGGTGAAGCACTTGCTACTGATCGTTAACTGCTACTGGTAGGCTGACTTTACTGTAACACGACATAGTCAGGCTGCTCTAAAATCCGGACAATTGGTCAAAGCACGAATGAGATGACGGCTTTCCGCTCGCGGGGTTAGTCTGGGAACCGTGTATGGTACCATATATGACCTCTGTATGCACGCGGAAGCATCAGGACAATCTCGTTGATGAAGAAAAAGTGAGGCGGAGCGAGCGTCGCCAGGAATTCACCGGGCGACGCGAACGAAGGGAGCAGTGCCGCCGCGAGTCCGAAGCCGAGCCACTCGATCCACTCGCTGAGGTAATTGGGGTATGAGATATACCGATAGAGGTATCCGTATGGGATCTCATAGCGCTCTGGCTTGTTGACGCGCTTCCCTGTAGCGTCGCTGCCAGGCTGTTCATCGGCTGCATCCTTGGGCTTCAGAGTCGATTTGTTGTTGCGCCGGATGTCGAGGAGGATCTCGTCGTGGACTACGTTTCCAACAAGTCCGAGAGCCCATAGCCCGACGCCTGCCCAGAATAAGGGCCGCGAGAAGGCGTTGGCGAGGTAGGCTTGGGATTCTGGTGAAGAAAGGTAGGATCCTTAGAGGAAGCCGTTGATTGAGTTGAAGCAAATTGCGGTGCAGCACACGGAGAGATGGGTCTTCGAGCGAGACGGCATACGAAGGGGTGATATTATGGCACGATTGATGTAGTGCACCACAACAAGCAACACCACGAAGGTCGATGGGTGCGTGGGGGAGAGCGGTGGAGTAATGCCCCCGGAGAGAGGGCTTCTCACGTAGGTCCATATCAGCGCGGACGGGATGACAAGCTCGAAGACTATCCATGACTTGATGCCTGTAGTATCAATGAAAAGGTCAACGCATGTCGTGTGGGACCGTTACTGATCCTAACTTACCATCAACGAGAAATATACTGTCCTCTCTCGGGGAGAATCTGCCAAAATTTAAATGGCGCATCGAAGAAGAAACAGAGTGGACTGACGACAGTGGCCACGGTGAACAGAGCTGGATGATAACAATCATGTCAGTTAGAACCGTAGAAGTAATGCTCGGCGGCAGCTCACCATTGTACCAAGCCTACGCTCTAGCAATGTCAGACATAGGGCTCGGGAATGGAGAGGACAGAGGTGCTTCGAGATGTGAACACGACGTGGTCAAGAATATCAGTGCCAAACACCATCCCATGTGTGCGCCGTATATACACGACGGGTCATGCAATGACCCGCATCGAAGCTTAAACCATGGTCATGTTGCATGCATGATCCCGACGGCGTCTAGGTCAGTCGTTCGGACCCGCTCTTTTGTACGTGAAGAGCCGAGTAAGCTCTCTAGTCATACAACTAGTGAGATCACCACCTCGTCATGCACTCATTCGGAGATGGAGATACCACTCCGCGAAAGTATCTAGAGCCGCCGTAACGACCGCGGGTCTCGGTGTGCGCAGGACGCACTGCTCCTTCTAATGTTCTGTGCAAATATTGGCAATGCACGGATGTAATTGCAGCCTAATTGACCTCCTCCAACATGTAGCCAGTATCAGAAGCGATGACTGACCTATTCTGCGCATCAAATGATGGTTCGGACAACGCATATCGAATATGAAGCAGCGCGATACAAATATTGGCCAAGTGCATTCTCATCTGCGAATATCCATCCCGACCCTCTGACCCAGGTCGGGCCAGGCGGCGCTCGCCTTCCGACGAACCAGACACGATTCTCGCAGTCCGCGACGCCCGACGACCACCCGCGAGTCGACACGAGCTTCTGGATCAACAGAACTGCACTTGACACTCGTTAGCCACACACGCACATAAAGGAAGGGGACGGGGAGGGAGCGGGAAGAGACACGCACTCAGTCTTGCTCCACCACTAGGTTGAAGTCCATTGCAGGCCGACACGGGGAAAGTGTGAACAACGAGCGAACGGCTTGCTGGAATGCGTCCGCTCGTTGTAGTGGACGTAAATATGTGTCCGAGCGTATATTGCCAGTGATGGTGATCGAATGCAGACATGGTAGGCATTGCTCATGAGCGAGCACGCGGTCGAGCGCTACCCACTCTGCGCTGCCCAGCGGCTTTGAGTCGTGGTCGGGAGTCCAGTCTTCGCCAATATCAATGGTGATACATTCGAGACGCACGGCGCGCCTTTGCGAGAGGATCGATGCGAGTTCCCCTATGAACACGGGCAAACAGCCGAGGAGGACGACGACTGATGTGACCCACTACCCCTCACACGCGCGCATCCACGATACCCCACTATGAGCCATCGCAAACGAACACTATACATTGTACATGGACTATACAACAAGGACTAATCACTCTACTGTACATACATCATAGCCCCTTACGATAATCCATCCCAACCGGCAGAGTCGTCTCTACGGAGATACACCGAGCCAATGACTAGTTAGACACAATCGCTTCGAGCTTAGTAGTATAGTACACGTGTATAGTTAGAGTCTACATAGGGCTTCGCCCTCAAATGACCATAAACGGGATTACCAACCAACCAACACGGGCAAACCGTCATGGACCAGGTCCCACGCGGCCCACAGACTTTGGAGCCGCAGGACTCTCAGCGAAGACAGGTCCTGGTCTATATAGTCGTCTGGCAAACATATCAACTCAGAGCTAGAGGTTTTCATGCGAAACGCACTCACACCGACACCAACACATAGGCGCGTGCAAATGTTCCAATCTTGCTGCACTTCTCTGCATCAAAAGCGCCATGGGACAACCCCGGCTACTCATAAACCCATCCTTTTCCAGAAACTGTATGAGAAGCTGCTCCAGGGGATGTACACGGCGATTGAGCCAGCCACATAGAGCGTGACAGACGTCGATGGAGCAATTTGTTATGTTCGGCGCGCGTAAGGAAGGTAGGTTGGCTGGCATGGGCGCTTCCGGTATGGCTCTACGAACGTCAACCAATCTCACATTGGTGACGATAACCTCCGTGAGACGCGGAAGCGATGCAAGGAGGCGGAAGAACTCTGCAAAGGGGTCGAACCTGCATTCACAGAGAGAGATCTTCGTGACCGAGATGAAGACGCCAAAGGAAACTGCGGAGGTGTACAGGGACCGGCTGGTGGCATCCTTCTTGTACCAATACACGAGCATCATTTGCAGCTCCGTCAAACTCGCAAGCGGTCTTCCTAGCGCAATCGGCACGCGCTGGACGTAATTTGAATGGCCATAACTCCCACAAAGTGACCAAAGTTTATCGTCCGGTATTATAACCTCCTCTCCGGGAAGCATCCGAGGAAGCTTACGCAGATTGACCGGCTGTCCCTTCAAGCGCAACACTCGGCTCTGATCGAAGTTGGCGCGCGAATCTGGATTCACAAAAGTACGCGCGAGAAGGTCGAGACGACCTCGAGAGTTAAGACTGAGCTGGGAATAGAGCTGAAACCGGCTCCTCGGAAGCCATGCTTTGCATGTTAGGCAACAGGCCAACAGAGTCGCTATGCATAACGCTTCGTCCCGGGAGAAGGGGCGATTGCGGCCCTTCGCGACACAGTCGATGATGTGTTCGCATATCTCAAGAGGAATGTGCGGGGTGTCGGAAGCGTAGGCGGATTCCATGAGGCTGTGTTCGAGACCTACGAATCGTCTCAGGATCAATTCGAGCAGAGAGTCGAAACAAGAACAGTCTCACCCGCTGACGAAACAATGGCAAGCTTGCAATGTCGCGCTGGACAGGCGGATCGAGCGATGGTGGGGGCACTGAAGAGACCTGCCACACAGCCTGAGGACGCTATCGCCACTGCGATAGAAGTAGTACACAAACCTGCACGGTGCAGTATCTTCGAGGCCCGTCCAGACCTCAGCCTCTGGTCACGGACCCGTGTAAAGTACACGTGGACTGTATAAGCACCATGCAAGCTCAAAACGCTCCAGAGGGATTCGCTGACACGCTCTCGCCGCAATGAACGAGACGGCCCACCGGCGGTATGTACCCGGGAGTAACACAGAAGAAGTCACAACTCACGTGGAGTCCCTGGTCAAGAAATTGACTAGGTAGCGGCCACACAACTTGATCAGTGCTTTCCACTGCCGCGATGCGTTTCTCAGCGCTCTGCCTGCTGGGAGAATTCGGCGGTATAGCCGGTCCGAGTCCGAGTCCGTCGTACACTTCACGTCCAGACCACGTATGCCTAGACATCGTAGAGCATTTTGGCAGTGTGGTGTCTCGACTCGTGGCCACCGCCGGCGATAGACGTGGGTAGTAGTAGCTCAGCGCTCAGGCTGCGATGGCCTCCTAAACCCGCTTCCAACGTACAAACACGCCCACCTCAAAGCTCAAACACACATTCAACAAACCATACAAATACAATGACACATACCACTGCTTCGTCCTCACCCGACCCCGACGGCCCGAGATTTCACGACACCCCCAGGCTCCCGCTCTCCCCGCTCCCTCACGGCATGACGACCGCGCGGAAGCGCGCCGAGCCCCGGTGGTCGTACGCCTCCTGCGCCTTATCGAGCGGGAACTTCGTCACCATCGTCTTGACGCCATTCGCCTTCGCGAACTTCACGCAGTCCTCGCTGTCCGCCGCGACGCCCGAGGGCCACCCGCGGATCGACGTGCGCTTCTGGATCAGCGACACTGCACGCCGCGTCAGCTCTGACACCCAAAAACGATACGGGAGCTACGCACTGAGCGGGAGGGTCGTCTCGTCCGTGAGTGCGAGGATGAGGAGCTCGCCGTTGACCGCGAGCCCGGGCAGGAGCCCGCGGATGACCTCCTGGTTCGGCGCGGTGCACATGATCAGGCTCGCGCCGCCGAGCTGCTGCAGCGCCTCCGCCTGGTTCACTTTCGAGCCGTCCAGGTAGACTTCTGCGCCGAGCTCCCGCGCGAGCTCCGCCTTCGCGGGCGACGACGACAACGCGACGACGCGGAAGCCCATCGCCTTCGCGAACTGGATACCGAGGTGGCCAAGACCGCTAGAACAGGGAAGGGGTGTCTCAGATGAGCATGACGATGAGGTGAGGGGGAGGAGCGTACCCGATGCCTTGGACGGCCACGAATTGCGGGGGCTTGCAGGTCATGTTGCGGAGAGAGTTGAACGTGGTCACGCCAGCGCACATGAGCGGGGCGACCTCGGCAGGGTCCATCCCATCCGGAAGGGCGACGACGGCCTCCGTGCGCAGAGTAACATACTCTGCGTATCCACCGTGGCGGAAGACACCTGGGTACCACAAAATATGTCAGCCCCGGTATTCGTTCTGTAGCGTGTTTTGCTCACCGTTGATGTCCTCCTTCTGACAGGTGACAAAGTCACCGACTGAACAGCGCTCGCAGGTGTGGCAGTGCCCGCCGTGCCAGCCCCCGCCGACGTGCTGGCCGACCTTCCACTTCTTCTCCGTCGGCGGGATCGCGACGACGTCGCCGACGATCTCGTGCCCGGGCACGATGGGAAACTTGGCACCTGGCAAGACGCCGTACTTGGCGGCTTCGTCACTATCGGCAGGCGTGGGTCAGTACGAAGTCATCCTGTCACGAAATTGAAAATGGAGGGGTCAATCTGTCAAGACACAGAAACCCTTGCGGCGATGATATCTGAGTCGGGGGCATCATGGGACTGCATAGAAGGTTCAAGGGGACACGTTCGGGCAGAGAAGCGGATAGCCGAGGTATTCGGGCGTTCGAGTCATACAGACATACAATGGAAAGACCAGCGCGTCCGAGCTGCCGCAACGTACGTCCAGCTACTGGACGAGGATTCCGGCGTGTCGCGGTCTGCACGCATGCCCAGCGGTGGCAGGAACCTACGCGCCACATAGCGACGCCACAGACGCGTCTTAGCGCGTAAAGCCGCGCATATAGTCAGGTTCCACGGGCGGTGAAGCGGGTGTCAAGACGTAGCTCATGTGTTCCCACCCAACCACACCGAGGAGCAAACGCGCGAAAGCGAGGCTTACCTAGCGCAGACACCGCACGCAATGACCTTGACGATGACCTCGCCAGGCTCGGGGTCGTGCCAGTCGAATGTGATGGGTTTGAGGTCGCCGCCCTTCTCGGTGAACGCGTACGCCTTGTAGCTCTTGGGGTGGGTCATGGTTGTCGACGATGAGAGTGCGGTGTGTGGTTGGATGACGGTTCGAGAGGAGGAAGACGATGTGGGGAGGGGAGAAGGGCGCGCTGTATTTATGCATTCCTGCGACAGGGATGACGCAGCGTCCCCAGTGCCGGGCTGGCAGGCATGGAACGCGATCGAGAACGGGATCTCAGACAGTGGACACTGGGTTCGATCGAAGGCCAGGAAATGCATTTACTTTGCACGACAACGCATCTTATCCCCATCCATCCCATACTTGGGAGCGACCTATCCGCCAATTCAAGGTTCCTTGATTAGACACAAGATAAGCACCACTTGGTGCGACTGGGAGGAGCTCAGAATACCTTGGTTGGTCTGCAACCTTCTTCCCAGGCATGTGCTTCCGCCGCCTACCCTCGGTTCGATTTTTTATGGTCAGCCCGAGTATTGGTAGATGCCCACTGTCCACCCGAGAGCCCGCCCGACTCGCCGAGCAGTAGACTGTATCTGACAAGTGCTAGTGAGCGTCCAAGTGTGAGGGAGCACTGCGATGACGCGGCAGGAGGCGGCCACTCACCCGACACCCCGAATCATTCGGGGAACACTCGGGCATATTGATGCAGATCCTCCTCGGGACTTTCCAGATCAGGCAAGTATGTGGCTGCTCCGCGTTCGCAGATCAGTTGCAGAGGTTGCCGCGTAATACACGTACGTCGTACCGCAGCGGCAGATGCGCAGACCTCATTTCAGCACAAGTAAGCGTCTGTGGGTTTGTAAAGTCCGCATCCTTCCCACCGGAGACTTCACCGAGAGTCGCGTTCCTGTCGATTGCTCCCCGGGACGCGTTCGATTGTCGAGAAGAGTTCGATCGAACAGATGCGGTACGGCGTTCCGCGGGTTGGGTGGGTGCTTGCTGGGGTCTGTAGTTCTTTAGCGAGGATGAGTGGTTCAAAGGCTCAGGCTGCGGCGAGGGGGAAGGATGGCCCCGCGGCGGACATAAAGAGTCGGTGAGGTCGTCCTAGACACGGATCAGGCAGCCCGTTTGAGCAGAATGAATGAGAGTGTAGAGTCCTCGAGGTTGGGCGGCCACGAGTACCCTCCGCCAGTGAATACGCAGCAACAGATGCCAGACCGAAAGAGTGGATTTAGTGAAGACAGATAGGGAAGCCTCCGGATGGCTTCGCATACTATGTCTTCTTCCAGCCCAAGCAGGCGAGGCACCGGACCGCCTACATCATTTACGGCATTATAAGCCTCCACGATATGCACCGTCCACACATACCTGGCTGCTCGACCGCGGGCGCCGTCCTAGCTCTGCGAATACAATCCTCAGCCTTTGCACTCACGTACGTCGAACAACAGTCATTCGACAGACCAGTCGGACTTGCCCGCCCAGAGGTATCAGAAAGATCATACGCCGTTGCATTGCACGTAATACACTGGAACAATGCAAAAGAAATGATCACCAATGCGTTATCCCACATCAGACATCCCCTTTAGCCACTGGCAGTCAGCTGTCACGAATAGCAGCGCCCAGCGGGACACAACCGATATGGAGGCGACACACTGACGATCCAGCAATATATGTTATACGTCAGCGTCGGCCCTTCGAGTGGATAGCGGGATGTCGCGATGCGTGTGGGAGAACCAGACGGTCGAAGGGGAATTGACGCGGACCGCATGATGTGTCACCAAATTTCCGGTCAAGGTCGCCTGTTCTAGACGGTTAATCCGTTCGCTCGCCCGGAGATGTTGCGGCGGGACCCCCGTCATGACCAGGTGTCGACTCGGAGGGGCTTCTGACCAATTGTCGGTCGTCCTGATCGATAGGCTGGTCAAGTAGGTCGACTATTCTGAATACCTTCATATACAGTACACGCTCTCGGTCTGAGATTATGTGCAGGGACCTGATTGACAGCATCAGCGCATCTGCAGCGATCAGTACAGCAGACATAGCCTACCTCATGTGAGCAACGAGCCATATGGGCATCGAGGCTGAGGCTGACTATAGTGACGTCGCGGCAGACGCGGACCCGGCAGGATCCGGGAGGGTGAAGTACGCCGACAAGACGTACATGAAGTCCTCGTCGGGTATCATCGGCGACTCGTCGAACCGCGCTATCGACTCCCTCGTCAGCGATATCTTCTTCCGCACCGTGTCCGGGTGCATCATCGACCTGCGAAGGAATCACATCCCCAGCCCTCATCAGCTCACGCCCAGAGAACGCGGACTGCCAGGCGACTCACAGATGCTTGATCAGCCCGTCCCTGCTCATCGCCTTCTGGCGCTGGCACAGCGGGCAGAGCCAGATGAAGCCACGCGCGGCGGTGCGGTCCCCCGAGCGGAGCTTCGCGCGTCGGGTGCGCGGCTGCGGCTCCCAGGACGCGCCGTGGAAGTGAAGATGGGTCGGCACCGTGCCCTCGACGGATGAGGGCGCGTGGGTGTTCGTCCGATCCGTAACGCCCTCTGAGAAAGACGCGCTTTGCGCCGGATTGGGCGCGCGCATTGGTGGGGCAGGCTGCAGCCCAGAATGGCATGTGGGTTTGGACGAAGGTTCGGGCTGCACGGGGAGAGGTGGCACGGATGTAGAGGGTGCGGGAGTAGCTGCATTGGCAGGCTCTGCGGGATGCGTTGCGAAGCCACTTCGTTCAGGCTCCTCAAAGAGAGGGTCTTGTTGCTCGGGACGTAGCCTTCCTACCGATGGGACAAAATTCACAGCATCCGTAGAAATTGGGTAGTTTTCCACTCCGGACCGAGCCACACCCTCGGTGGGCGCAGATGCACTCAGGAAGCATGTGTCGACTTCCACTTCAGCTGCGCCATTATCATCTGCCGACTCGTCATCCGAGTCTTCGACCGCGCCTACTGGCTGCCAACTCGCGGGCCGAAGTCGTGTCTTAGGCCTCACCCCCGGACTAACGTACTGTAAGTATTCAGCAGTAAACAGGCGATGAGCGGACTCAAAAACTCACCTCAAGCCCTCCTTCTCTTCAACTCTACTGCGCCCCGGAAGTGCAGCGTCCCAAGGGGCCCGGGGCTTCCAGGTGATCCACGGACGCCCGACCGACTCGGAAGTGATAGTGCAATGGGGGGTAGAAGACACGTCGGCGCATCCGCCTTCAATGTCTGCTTTGGAAGCGCTTGAACCAAACGGGTCACAGCGGGCTCGTTTGCAGGGGAAGGTGAAGTACGCGGTAGATTCAGGCTCGGATGAGATCCGCTTCATTGCGCGATTGACGCGTCAGGCTTGTGGCGAAGGCGAGTGCGATACCCTAGAGTGCAGTCACTGAGAAGAGATAGGAAGAGACTGCGCGGAACGAGGGCGCGAGACGATGGTAGCCACTGAGTGAGCCTTCAGGAAAGTGAACGCGGAACAGCTGAGACTCAGACAGCCACCGACGCGGTTTGATACGGTCAGGTGACATGTGGCCGGTTCGCGTTTCAGACGCACCGCGGCGTTGGATCAGCACCGTATCCTCCACTGCATAATATCCATGCGACGAAAACAGAGTACATAGCGTAAGTATTCTAACACAACAAACATACTGTCCATACAACATAGTCAACCGCCAACCGTCAGTACGATGGTCCCGTACTACTGGTAGTATTTCAAGCCTCCTCTGCAAGCCCGCGCTCAGACTGCATTCCCCGGCGCGGACGGCTCGCTCAGCTTCAAGCCTCCCTCTCATCGCCGTGTGAGCTTTGGCCGAGCGCAACGCGAACACTCTTCTCCGTCTGTTCTATCCCGCCTTGCTTCGCCTTAAGACGCGCGCTCGTCCGTTTCGCCGGTGAGCTCTGAGGCGTCTTGGCCTTGGACCGCGGCTTGCGACTCGGCGTGGCCGGCGGAGGAATGGTCAGCGCAGAGCTCTCACCCACAGGCAAGGCCATCCCACTGGCGTGATTGGAGACAATCGGGTTGGTCCGTGTGTTGAGGTCTGGAGCAGGAGCAAGGTCATGGTCTCGAAACTCCGAAGGAGCTCTCGAGGCAGCCCTCTGAAGCAGCCGGGGATCTATGCACCGTTCGTCCCTGTGGATCGCAAATGAATTGGCGGCCCTCGCAGATAATCCACAACTATACTCACCTGGCTTCGGCTGGACGAAACATCGCTTGCGGGCCACTGAAAGCGAGGAGAGCAAAGTTAGCTAGGCTGCGAGACAACTCATCGCAGAGCGCGGGGACTCACTCGTCTGCCTCATCGGACATAGCGTCGACTGTCTCGAGGAGCTCCCTGCGAGTACATGCATACGCAGACATGAGCTCGGGCGTAGTGACCGGGACTTTTTTGTTGACGAAGTATTCCACAGACATGGCAAGCCTGAGCGATGAGCAATGACGACTGAATACCGAGAAGATCCCCTCAGCGTGCCTTTATATATGCACGGTTCAAAGCCACGCGCGAGGCCATGGCCATCCGTGGCCACAGTTCCCGCTTTGTCGTCGCCATGATGGTGTGGTTCTCGAGCTTCCATATAAAGGATTTCTTTGTCTTTGGCCACAAGCCACGCCGCCTGGTCGATCTGTGGCTGAAAGGCAATTCTATAATTAGATAATGACCATAGTCAACTAGGACGTGTGCAACGGAGGGACGGCGTAGTGGCACCGATGTCATGGAAACGAACGAATCTTGTGCTCACACCGACTCGGAAACAGGCACGGCGTCGTCCGACGACTGGCCACGGGCAAAGCAACTAAGCATCCCCTGTTGGAGTGAATAGGTACATTGCACTTGCTTGTCGAAGTGAGAGGCTGCAAACCGCCGCCTCCATGAGCTGCGTCTGCGGTACCTGGATTTGATCGGGATACTGTACACAGGTAAGAACTTCTCATAGGATACATGGTTCGGCACCGGCCACACCATCATCGTTCGGCTTTTAGAACTGTCTTCGATACAGCGTCTTCGAACGACCTCATGAATTCGGGATCCATGGTGCTTGACGTGATCTGAATGGGCCCGCTAGGAGCACCGGGGCTATGGGTATTAATGATACGCCCCGGGCCACGAGGAGCCCAGTCTGAGCCGTCCTCGCCGGTGTGCGTGTCAATCTCTTCAGTTGGCTCTTCCTGTTTCCCTTTCCGCGCATCGCCAGTTTTTGGGTCGCCGATCCTGAAGAGCGCGAGCGCCTCCGCCTTATCCTCTTCTGAGATCTTGGGACCCTTCCTACCCGAGCCGGGCTTACATATGGCCTTGTGATTCGGCCAGTCCTATTGGGGAACACGTCAGGCCTGGCGTACAGCATGACCAGGATATTGGACCCCGACGTACCTTCCTCTGACATTCCGGGCTGCAATACGACGGCTTGAGGTCCGGTGGGCAGCGTCCCCCGCAAGCCCGCAGCACAGCCTTCCTCGCCCCGCGAAGACCGCACCCCTCCGCGGCACACACGTACGCGTTCGGGTGCTTGTCGATCTTGCGCTGGCGCTTCCGTTCCTCTGCGTATACTTCTTCGAGACGTCGTGCGGCGGCGCGCCACAGCGAGCCGTAGCGCTTCTGGACGTCCACTCCCAGCGTCTCGGCGATATCGTGGAGCTTGAAGCCAATCACGAGCACGACAGGGGAGACCAGTCCGAGGTTGACGCTGTCGTCGGCGTGCTGTGCCGCGAGCATGAAGTACGCAAGGGGGGACAGGCCGGTGCCCATGCGCATGGCCTCTGGGCGGGCGAAACGCTTCTCGTCCGCTTCGATGGCTGCGCGGTCGGAGCGAGATACAAGGAACTTGCTGTAGTGGGCCTCCGCGGCGAGTGAATGAGCTTGAGCCATCATCTCATGAGACGCGCGGTCTCCGACGTAAACCGAATGTTCATCAGAGGGGTCGAAAAAGCCATCGAGAACGTAGAGAGCACCCTCGGAGCTCTGTACGCGCACTCCACATCCGCTCAGATACCTTGAGGAAGAAATAGTCAGGGCAGGCGATTCCAGATTCCCAACTGACACGGCATACCTGAGCGCGAGGTCAAGGATGAGCCCCGGATCGCCACAGCACATGTGATCGAGCAGGGCAGGAGCTTGCCAGCGCGTGAGGTGCTCAGAAATCTCCTTCATGTCTTTCTCAAAATTACGCTCGGCCGCGGCGCGGTGGCTGTAGAAACAGGAGGACTTCAAGCTTTGATATTTCCCCATGTTCTTGTACATCACTACGTTTGGGTCGAGCTTCCGCAGGCTGACTGTGACGCTGTCCAACATGTCTCCGAGTCTGCGTCGCCTTCAATGAGTAGTGCGATGTCGAGTAGGGACGAGGTGGAATATGTCGAGAGGAATAAGAGGGCGACAACGGTGCACGGACTCAGCGCCAGCACGTCGCTGTGACGTCGTGCATTGGCAGCTGCTCGTCCATCGGTGTTTCCAGTGCTATATCGGGGCAGGATCTGAGCCTCCCTACCGATCCTGTTAATTCCACGGTTCGACTGGCAACCTCCGATTCCAACCTTGAGCTTGAACCTACACTCTGTTTGTTTGTTTTTTCTATCTGAGGTCAATGGGGGGAGGACAGTCCATGTACAATGTTCGGAGCCGTTTTCTGTCACAGTGATTGAGATTGCTTTGGTTCTGGTCATAGGACACGACATTTTGTCAGTCCGTACCGTGATCGAATCATGATCATGATGCATGAAGAACCAGAGAATGTGGAACCGAGGGAAAGAATACAAACGAATTTGATAGCAAATCCTCTATTCGTGTGGGGAGTGTCGCCAGCGAATCGCGTGCAGTACCTGGCGCTGTAGAGGCAGGGTTGGTCGCGAAGAGAGATTTCAAGGTCTACTCGCTGAGATGCCAGTGGACATACTGCAGGAGTTTAAGAAGACGAACTATACATGATATGACCGGCGACATACCCACATTTCAGCGGACCATCTTCGACAGCTCATCTCTAAACGACCTCATGAATTGAGGATCCATCGTGTTCGACGTGATCTTAATGGAGCCACCAGGAGCGCCGGGCGCGGGGATGTCGATGATGCGTCCGGGGCCGCTGGGCGTAACCCCACTCGCGTGCGTGCTAATCTCCTCGATCAAATCTTCCTCTTCCTCCTTCTGCGCATCGCCGTCCTCCGGATCGCCGAGCTCGAAGAGTGTGAGTGCCGTTCCCTTATCGTCATCCGAGATCTTGGTAACCTTGCCATCTGAGCCGGGCTTGCAGATGGCCTTGTGTATCGGCCAGTCCTATTATGAGCCTTTAGGCTTTACCTGACCGTGTCACCCACACATGCAGCCAAGACGTACCTTCCTCTGACACTCAGGGCTACAGTAGTGTGGCTTGATATCCGGCGGGCACCGTCCCTTGCAAGCCCGCAGAACAGCCTTCTTAACCCCCCGGATACCACACCCCTCCGCGGCGCAAACATACTCGTTCGGGTTCTTGTCCGCCTTACGCTGCCGCTTCCGTTCCTCCGCGTAGACCTCCTCGAGCCGCCGCGCGGTCGCACGCCACAGCGGGCGGAACCGCTTTCCCCGCTTGACGGTCTGCTCGACGTCCGCCCCCAACGCGTCGCCGATGTTGCGAACCCTGAAGCCGACAAGGAGGACAGCGGGGGAGATGAGTCCGCGCTTGGCGCTCTCGTTGGCGTGATGCGCTGCGAGCACGAAGTACGCGAGGGGCGACTGGCCGACGCCCAGCCGCCCGGTCTCCGGGCGCGCGAATCGTCGCTCGTCAGCTTCGATGACCATCCGCTGGGAGGGAGACGCGAGGTATTTGTCCAAATTAGCGCTGGCAGCGCAGGAGTGAGCCTGTGCACGTAGGGCGGGAGGCGCGACGTCGCCAATGTAGCGCGCGGGCTCGCAGGAGGGGTCGAGGAGGGAGTCGAGTACATGAAGGGCGCCTTCAGAGCTCTGCTTATGCACCCCGCATCCACTAAGATATCTGAAAGAACAAAGTCAGACAGCGCCAACACAGATATGAGGTCGAGGGTTATACCTGAGTGCAAGCTCGAGGATCGCCTCGGGGTCGCGGTTGTTGGCGCGCTCGAGCAAGGCGGGAGCTTGCCATCTAGTGAGATGCGCTGACACCTCATTGAGCTCCTTCGTGTGATCAGGGATGATACGATAGCTGAAGAGACAAGAAAGCTTGATTTGGAGATACTTTTCCATGTCCTGGTAGATGGGCATGCCTTCGTCGAGCTTGTGTATGTTCATGTCCATTTTGTCCTGAATTAATGCGCAACGGAGACAAAGTCGAGTACCAAGGCGAAGGGCGAGAGACACGAGACAGCAACAACTTGAACAGCAATATTGGTGGATAGGGGTACTAGTACTTGAGGAGGAGGAGAAGGAGGAGTCGGGCATCGTCGAGCGCCCGCTTATGGGGCCGATCTAGATTGATGCCACTCAGTCAAATTCATCAAATTCACTGCCAATGCACCGTGACGGTGCGGAAGGAAACACTGATGACAGGATTTGGATGAGAGACGAGGTAAGTGACAGCGACGATGAGAACACATCTTCTCGACTGAGCAAGGACCTAGAAGACTCAAACGGGACACAACTTCAAGTTGCGAACTGGACTGCATCTGATCGGCCGTCAACGGAAGGGTTCCAAATTTCCACGCGCGTAACATCGGGACTTCCGGACGTACCGTTACCGTACACAGGCAAGCAGATCTACGACACGCACGGCTTAGCGTCATACCATCATCGTCCCGCTCACTGCAGCCTCTCGGAAACTGCATCCCTGAAGGACCTCATGGACTCAGGGTCCATCGTGTTCGACGTGCACTGAATGGCACCGCCAGGAGCACCAGGCGCAGGGATGTCGATGATACGACCAGGGCCGTGAGGGGCCTCCCTTGCTTGCGTGCTAATCTCCTCGATCGACTCTTCCTCTTCATCCTCTGGCACGTCGCCGTCTTCTGGGTCGCCGAGCTCGAAGAACGTGAGGGCCTTTGGCTTGTCTTCGTCTGAAAATTTTGGAGTCTTCCCTTCGGAGTTGGGCTTGCAGATGGGTTTGTGCCTTGGCCAGTCCTGTCGCAGACACAGCATCAAGTTTCTCAACATCGCATTGTCACTATGAGCTCCCCAGACGCACCTTCTTCTGACAGGCGGCGCTACAGTAGGACGGCTTGAGGTCCATCGGGCATCGTCCACCGCACGCGCGCAGTGCGGCCTTCTTCTCACCACGAATGCCGCACCCCTCCAAAGCACACACGTACTCATTCGGGCTTTTATCCGCCTTAAGCTGACGCTTACGCTCCTCTGCGAATATCTCCTCACGGCGCCGGGCGGTGGCGCGCCACAGAGGACGGAAGCGCTTCCCGTGCTTGACGGTTTGCTCGACGTCCGCGCCAAGCACCTCGCCAATCTCACGGATCTTCGCGCCGACGAGGAGCGTGGCAGGGGAGACGAGCCCGAGCTTGACACTCTCGTTCGCGTGGTGCGCTGCGAGCGCGAAGTACGCAAGGGGCGACGCGCCGACGCCCAGACGCATGGTCTCCGGGCGGACGAAACGTCGCTCGTCGCGTTGGATGTCCGTACGCTCTGCCGGAGAGGCGAGGAACTTGTGAAGATGCGCGTAGGCGGCAAGCGAGTGGGCCTGTACGATGTGCGTTGGGGACGCATTATTCCCGACATAGCGGTCGCACTGAGGATCGAAGAGCGCGTCGAGGACGTAGAGCGCGCCTTCATAGTTCTTCTTGAACACTCCATATCCGCTGAGATACCTGCCAGGAAAGTAGTCAAGCCGAACGAACAGGATCTCACGAAGTAAACTGAATACCTGATTGCTAACTCGAGGACCGCGTCCGGATCGTTGTTGTTAGCGTGTTCGAAGAGGACATCATCTGGCCACTTGGTCAGATGCGCAGAAACCTCCTTCAACTCTTTCTGAAAGTCGTGCTCGACGCGATAGCTGGAGAGACAGGAGATCTTCGCGGAGAGATACTGATCCATTTTGTCGTAGAAGACCATGTCTTTGTCGAGCGAGTACATGTTGACGGTGCCTCCGAGCGGTACTGTGTCCGAGTCCATGTCGCCCTCAATCAGCGGTGATCAGTGGGGAGGTTGACTGAGATCTTGAAATGGGATAAAATGAGAGAGTAGACCGTGTTGACGGAAAAACAAGCGCGAATCGATTCCGGTGGAGGTGTACTGACGAGTGCAAGACGAGAGGAAGCAAATTGAAAGTGGAAGCCTCAAGCTAAATCATGCCTGCATAAACGCTCGTCAATTTCGACGCTTTATTTGACTGTCGGCAATCTGAACCTGGGTCTTGCCACTTGCTTTATCGAGGGGACCTGCAATGGCGCCAACCTGCAGCTTCAGCCTTTTTCTGGCCTTTTTCGCCAACTTGTTCGCCGCATAGCTTGCGCAGAGTCGATACCTTTCCTTGACAATATACACTCCTCCTTGCGAATACGCCAAAGTGACTTGCAGGCGGGTCGGAACTTGACTGCATCTATGTTGAGCGTCCGGATATAAGGCCTGCGAAGTGGTCGGCCTCGCAGGATGCTGCCGGTGCGTAATGACTATAGACTTCTGTAGACATAGGAATCGGGAACGAGTCCACACATATTGCTAGATCACTGGACGGCGACGAAGCAATGTATGCTGCGCCGGTGATATTGAACTGCTCGCCCATCCCGTTCACATCGCCTTTCCGATATCCTCAACCCTCACCTCCCACCCTTCGCTCGGAAATCCTGGGGCTGAGCTAGTGCTATTATCCCATCCAGCCGCCATCATTGCTATCGCATACAGCAATCCGCCCGACCCTGGGAAGTATGGTGTTGGCACTTGCGCACCTCCGCCAGGCATTCCGACATCGTCGAACTCGAAGTAGGGGTTGAGCAGCCATTCGATGGCCTTTTCTTGGTTTCCCATACGCGCCGCAGACATGGCCAGCATGGGGAAGTCCCATCTGCGCGTCGACAAGGGTGAGTACACAGGCGAGGCAGGAAGCGAGATACGCCACTTACCCCCATAGATTGCTTACATTCCAGGTCGACCATACTCTTTCAGCAGTGTCTATTGCCATGTCTACGCTGACGTTGGCAGTCGCCGGCAACCAGCCGTACAGGCCCACTAGCGCAGGATGGCTGTTCGTGTATGCGGGGTCCGTCCAGAAACCGGATTCTATGCCCTCGTACACCGCATATAGTCCATTCTCGACGGGCAATGGGGCCAGGTTGTCCGCGACTTCTGCCCACACAGCAGGAGGCTTCACGCCAAGTCGCTCCATCCACGTCTGCGCCAATTCCAATCCTAGCCGCCAGTACGAAAGCTCGAACGCGGGGTTGCGCGTCGCATTTGGGCTCGTGTCCTCGCTGACGACATACATCGGCGGCCCGAGGTCATAGACACCCGTACTCTCGTTGAACCGCGCATAGGCGGCCATCCAGTCGGCCGTCTCGTACACGACATCGCGCCACCTCTCGAGGGTCTCCTGCGACCCACTCGCGCGGTACTCGTATTCCGCGAACACGAGTGGGTGTGGTTGCTCCCAGATGAGCAGCTCGTTGATCTCTCCCGGCGCCGACCTTCCCGAGGGGTCGGTCATCTTCGACCAGCGCGCGCCGTACTGGTAGCCTTCCTGCGCCTGTGCCCGCTCGATGGACGTCTGGAGGAAGCGACTGTAGACGTCAACGGAGCGGTTCAGGAGGTCCCAGTTGTTCCACAACGCCCAGTGGCAGCTGTGCCAGAAGAGCATCTCCATGTGGAACTTGCCGTACTGCCGTTGTGGGTGAGTGTTGCGCGCATATAGTGACCCTCACGTGTGTGACTCACCCAGCCAGTATCGACTAGCCCCGACTATGGAAAGTCAGCGTTCGTTGCGGCGGTCCCCGATAAATCCGCGGGCTCCTCCCCGGGCTCGCGGTCAACGGCGAGCTCCTCATCCTCGCGCTCACGGACGAGACGACCCTCCCGCTCAGTGCGTAGCTCCCGTGTTTGTTCCGTGGGTCGAAGCTGACGCGGAGTGCAGTGTCGCTGATCCAGAAGCGCACGTCGATCCGCGGGTGGCCGTCGGGCGTCGCGTCGGACAGCGAGGACTGCATGAAGTTCGCGAAGGCGAATGGCGTCCGGACGATGGTGACGAAGTTCCCGCTCGATAAGGCGCAGGAGGCGTACGACCATCGGGGCTCGGCGCGCTTCCGCGCGATCGTCATGCCGTGAGGGAGTGGGGAGAGCGGGAGTCTGGGGGTTTCATGGATTGTTTAGGTTGTCGGGGCCGCATGAGAATAAACTTGAAGTGGTATGCGGCATTGCATAGTAGATGTATTGGTATGATGTGTTGGATGTCGATGAGCGCTTCAGCGCTTCAGCGAGGTGAGCGGATTTGTACGTTGGGAGCGGGTTTGAGAATCCTTACTCATACATACTACGTGCGTGTTGACGATATCGAGTGAGCTCATCGTCTGCCGGCGCGTTAGGTCCGTACATCACGGCTACCAACGTTTCGTATATGTCTGTTGTCGTGATACTGCTGCAGCATATATGATAAGTAGGAGGGACCTGCTGTTTCTGATTTCGTGTGCATAAGCTGATCTGGGACAATAGAATGACCGAAAGCGGGCGAGATGACTGCGTCATGAGTGATAGGTATTCTCGCAGAACGGGAGTGCACTCGACCAAATGATATATAGCTCAACTCGTCTCCCATGAATGTCGGCCCCTCCCTTAGGTTCGCATGCCAACGAGGCAGTAGCATGAATGCTTCACGAAGCCTTCCTACGAAGGGTATATACATTAAAGACACAAGCATCAGCCCCATGCTGCAGTTGTACTGGTGAAGATGTGTTAGGACAAAGTGTTCGTCAGAGAGGTCGTCAGCACGAACCTATAGTTCACTATTAGATGACCATCTGTCGCGAATGACTGTGGCGCCCTTTGTCAAGCCATGCCGATGGTTGTTGCGACATAGAATACATACCTTAAACAAGTTCGTCACGGTGTCATCCGGCGCGGGAGAGAACGCAAGGTTGATGTACGTGAACTGGGCGTGCCAGTGGTCAGATATGCCGCGGACGACGTGGACTAGCAACGCGCTCACCAGCGGGTCCCCAGCCTTCCACCCCAACTCCTTCCTCAAGAACTGGATCACCGCCTGGAATCTATTCGACGCGGTGATCTTGTAGAAATTCTGCTTCATGATCGGCGCATTCCCGACCGCCTTGAACCGCACGACGACTGTTTAGCGACGACTTCAGTGCGCCGGTCGTCGCCGATAAGTTGCGGTATACGCACCTTTGTTGGGGTCCTTCTTCCTGTATGCCTCAAGCGCATCCTGGGCTTCCTGCATGCTGCCTGCGGTGTCGAGCGACGTCCATGCCGAGGGCAAAACGCGAGCCTGACCGTCTGCCATGCGGTGTGTTCGCGCTCGCCATTTTCGGACTGGCGCGCTTGCCCGGCCCGCTTAGCACGGAAAGGGCCGACGACGATGAACTTTCAACTCGCCCGCCTCCTCCCGCCTCAGTGTTACTTCTCTATCCTCTCTCTCCTCGTCCTCGTTTACGCGGAATCCATGTAACATCTCTTTCAAGTTTGTTTCGTGACTTGGCGGCTATGGGAGGCAAACAACCTGCAACGGAACTCCGTGGTAGTAGGTCTCGTCGTACCCGCCTAGCAAAAGTCGCGAAAATGCATGGTGGATAGGTCGGGAGACAGTGCGTGTTGATATCTTACTTTCTTCACATTCGTTCTTTGTCTTGGTTCTCCAAATCGTTCTCGCTATCAAGTCATGGTCACTCCAATACCTGAGGCAGAGTCGTCCAATCCTCCACGCTTCTGTTGGGTGGTCAGCACGACCAGCTCTTCAGGCCGCATACACACTCGACACTCGTGTCATGTAACTGGCGCCATCAATCTACGAGTAGCCCGCTAGTTATGACAACCATGCACCGGGGGCTCGACTATATGCGCTTTTCGACTGTTGCTGTGTGCTCATCGCTTCACGCAGCTAATACTTATGTCCTACCGAGATGAACGATCTCGTGTTATGGATGTGGCGACCACAGCAAGACCATATTCTGAGGCCCTGAAGGTTTATGCTGAACTCGGTTGCTCAACGACTACCCTGTCGAAGCTACCAGCCGTTGATGTGATGATCCTTACTGACTACATACTCCATACTTTCAGGCCATGATGTTCGCCTTCGCCAGGACATGTGCAAAGCACTAATCATCTATCCTATCCGAATCCGGCCGCTCGCATGCCCCCCGGGCTTCGGGACGCATGCGAGTGTGGTTTTGTCCCCACAGCGGTCCACACTGTTCGTTTCTTTATCTCGACTCATCAGTATGCCCTGGACTGTCAGGAGCTGTCTTTCGGCCTGCAAACCGTTCTATAAATACTTACCTTCACGTCGCTGCACTTCTTTCTCATGCGGCCTTGAGGCTCACCGGCTCCCCTGCTTATTGTAGATGTGCCTTCATCTCCGGGGAAAGAGCGGCTCGCCCCCAATTCAATTGTGACGCTGCCACCTCCCATCCGACCGCTCGCTGTCAGAAGGCTTGGTTGCGACATCTCTCAAATACTCGAGCCACTTATGACACCGGCGCCCCCTGGCCCAGACTCAGTCTTAAGCTATCCTTTTGTCTAGCTGCGTCCGTAGGCCGTCCGAGATTCTCGGCGTCGGACCGTCCACAAAGTAACATCCCTAAACGGCGGCACCACAGGGCATGAACATCGATCTCTGATCCCCTCCATATGGCGTTCGGTCCCAGGTCTTTTTTGGCTCCGTCGCTCCAACATTGCCTCCGGGCTATTCTGCTGATCCGCCCGCACGCCTTCCCAAAAGAGGCAAATACTCGTGTACGTGGTAGGCGGTCAGTCGAGGGCTGTGTACCTACCTCGAGGTCAGATCGGTACCGCCTCTTTTGCCCACTGTACGCTCGGTCTGCCCACGGTGTACGCGCGGGGACACTGCCCGCCTCTATCCAGGTACTCAATCCTCGGGCAACGGCGAAGCCGCACTGCATGGTGGTTCCGCACAAAGCTTCCGGAAGCACGGGGACTGAGCCCCCAAAGGATCGCGGAGTTGCGCGCACCATGCGTACCTCTCCTAGCCCGGATTCTTCGAGCGCTCCCCGGCGCCCCATCTTCATCTCGGAAGCGAGTGTCAGATAAGCGGAAAGTGGGCGTGGAACAATAAGTATGGCGATGGTGCCGTGCGCGCGGCCCACCGAAGGTCCTCCTGTCCCGCCACCCTGGCCTGGGTAGAACGACATCGACGATGTCCTCTGCGCTCTCCGCGTCCCTGGAGACGCTCGCTACCCATGGAGCAGCTGTCAAGTGAGTACAGAGTACTGTCTTGGAGGATAAATTTGCTGAGCGAGGTGTTGCATTTGACAGCGCCATGACCCGTATGTACAGTGAAATTCTTCCATTAGAACTGCAATGTTGATCCACATGTTACATTAAAGTCGCCGGCTTCTCCATCCTCATCTACGATCACATTTTGACGGTGCGTCAAGGTCTTTCGTTCAAGATCTGTCTGTAACTGACTTCTTGAAGTTCGGAGACGAGGTAGATCATGCTCGTCAAGCTCAGTGCGTGATGGAATTGACGAAAATCAGGTCAACCACATTTGGAATGACCGGTTGGGGCTCGTCTCGATCATCTTCCTGCTGGTGCGTACCATGTGCTCTGCTCTGGCGCGTCTCATACCAATGTCCCGCAGAATCGATACATTATGTGTGTATGCCGGACATCGTGAAGACTTGTGTAGTGACTGAGGTGCTTGATGATCCCGCAGACCCTTGGTCCTTGCCGTTGACGTCTATGGTGCGTGGCTCAGCCTTGTCGTGTCCTACTTTCCCTGACGTCTCATCCGCCTATAAGAAACCATGGGCCTCACGAGCAACCACCGCTCAGCCGTCATGGTCAGACCCTTCTTACCTGCACGTATCTGCCATTCCCTGATAGCAGGCCGCAGCTGTGCAAGGTGTGGACAACTGTCCAAAGCTACGTCACCATAGCGTCCTTCATGTCCATCCACGGTATGTTGCCCACATCCTACTCCGACCATCACTCACGGATGTACTCTAGCCATCGTCGCATGGCGTCTGTATGCCTTGCATGGGGGACAAGCGTGGATACGTAGGGTGCTGTGGATCGCGGCGGTCGTCTACGTGTCCAGCTCAACCGCGATCATCACTGTCGCTCTCGTTCCCATCATCGGTGCGTCTACGAGTCGTCTCCGAGTCCCGCTCGAGCCGATGGCTCAACCGACATCTGCAGCGGACCTGCAGCCGTTCCACCACGAATGCGTCAGTTCTGTACGTGTGGTCGCCCTGCGGGTCCCGCTCTCCGCTGACGGTCGAGTACTCCCAGATACCCTCTTACCTATGGGTCGCTTGGCTACCAAGGTACGCGCATGTGGCACGCATCTTGTGGCCGGCGCTAGGCTTCGACGAGAATGGAGCATACTGACGCCGCGATTGCTAAAGCGTCTTCTTCGAAACACTCCTTTTCGGCCTTACGGTTGTAGCCATGCTTCGCCAGGAGAAACGTCGGTCCTTTAGCACACTGTCTCTCCTTCTGTATCGCGATGGTGAGCCCTCCTCCCGCTGGATGTCACACCGTCTCACAACTGCTGTACCAGGAATGTTGTACTTTGTCGCTGTCACAGGTGGGTACCATTATGACTCAGTGTTGCGGTTCCCGAGTGCTGACTATTGCCTTTCAGTGTGCTCTCTATTCTCGCTCCTGTACGTATATTGCGTCGTCAGGCTGGTGGTTGTAGCCTCACTGCATTGACAGCGTATGGGCACTAGCGCCGCCATCTCTGATAGGATTAGCTCGATAGTACGCGCCCGCGTTCGCTGCATGAGCCATGCGATACTTATGTCGCCCACAGCTTCGCTCTCGCCATGGTCAACATCGCAGGGTCGAGACTAGTCCTCAACCTCAAAGGCTTCAAGGCCTCCCGCTACAGCGTCGACTTCACGACCACCTCCTTCTCGATCGTCACCTCCGAAGCCGCGCTGACGCCGCCGCCCGTGAAGTCCGCACGGCGACAGCGAAAGACTCGAGAAGAGCAGGTCGCCGACGTGCGCGAGGACGACCTGGATCTGGACCTGGAGATGTATTCGGTAGAGCGGGATTGCCAGCAGTTGGGGACGAAGTTGCTCCACCAGTCATTCAATCATTTGTAGTATCAGGGACCCACCATCACTGTATCTCTAGCAGCTTATGGGTTATAGGTAACGAAGAGCCGTTGCCCCATCGGTTCTGCCTGTGGGTTCGCTGACGCAATGACCTTGACCGTCAGACCCGAGAGCAAGGCCACGACGCCACGTTGGGCGTAGAAGACCAGAAGCTTGTGGGATCCTTGGCCCGGGGGCTCGTGATTCGACATTTGAGGCGACTTTGACTCGTCGAGTGAAAGCTGTTGCCATTTTGAGAAGGCCTCGTATACCCTGGGTGTTCCTTCGATTCCTCGACTCGTCGGGATGCGCTCGGGTGCGCCATACGCGCGCGGAGAGTCATGTGGGTTGGCGATAAGTGGCTAAGTGGCTCTAAGCTATGACGTGTATGGCCATCCTGGATTGTGCCCGGCAGTATATATACGTCGAGGTTGCAAACTGCGACGCATCTCGTAACAGACAATGTCGGCTCAGACAGAGAAGGTTTGGCTCATCACGGGGGCGAACTCGGGCATCGGATGTGCCCTTGCTCACTATGCGCTTTCTCAGGGGGACAAGGTGCGTGTAGTCTACATGCGGATTCACAGGGATATAGCCACTGATGTCAGACCATGATGGCCAGGTCATTGCGACGGTCAGGTCGCTGTCCAAGTTCCCGGAGAGCCTTAAGAAAGCAGGAGGACAGCCACTTATTCTCGATCTGAGTGCCTCTGACGCGGACATACGCAAAGCCGGCGACGAGGCACTCAAGATCTACGGGCAGGTCGATGTTCTCGTCAATAACGCTGGATGGGGAGTCGTGGCCCCTGTAGAAGAACTGAAGTGAGCGTACCCCCTCGGCAACTCAATGAACGAGACTGACAGAACGAGCAACAGTATGGACGAAGTACGCGCGAGCTTCCAGACCCTGGTCTTCGGCCCCGTCGCGCTCACCCAAGCGCTTCTGCCCCACTTCCGCGAGCGCAGAACCGGTCAGATCCTGAACGTCAGTTCGAACGGGGGTTTCGCGGGGTATGGAGGCTGGGGAGCGTACAGCGCAGCCAAGGCAGCGCTCGACCTCTTCTCGGACTGCCTCAGCCACGAGGTCGCGCCGTTCAACATCCGCGTGCTGATCCTCATGCCGGGCTACTTCTCGACGAACTTCTTCCAGTACGCAGCGAGCGTCGACAAGCACAAGGACTCCACCGTCTACACGGAGCCTTCGCAGGGCTTCCGCACGCTCGAGGAGATCCCCAAATCGCATGTCGCCGCAGGCCAGATTGGCGACGTGGAGAAGCTGGCGGCGCGCGTGTACGAGGTCGTGCACGGCACCGGGATGGCAAAGGGCCTCGTCGAGGGCCACGGCGGTAAGCGGGACTGGCTGCGCGTCCCGCTGGGATCCGATGTCGGCGAACGTATGCTTTGGAAGATCCAGACGCTCAAGGAGAATGCGGAGGTCTTCGAGCCGATTTGGAGGTCGACAGACGTAGAGCCGGAGAGGCTCAAGTACTTCCCTCGTGGCTGATCCTCTCTTCAGTATACTTGCATGAATAGGGCACCAGTCTCGGATGTATGTAAAACTAGTTAGGATACGGGTCTCTCGGAAGAGGACGGAGCAGTGACTGTGCGACAGTGTATGACATTGTACGGCGCCGCGACACCTGTGTGTTAGAGAACCCTGAGCCTCATCCCGGCCGTGCTCTTAGAAAGGGTACAGGCCTGATTTGATGTCGAGGAAAATGCAACTTTTGTGGAAACGTCCTGGTAAATCCATGGATTGTCCATGCAGGCGATGGGTATCGTGCGTAACACAGCGCGCGTATGCAGTCAGCACACGGCGGGCAGGGGCTCAGTGAGTCGCACAGAGTATGTGCGCTAGGTGCAGAGGCCTAATACCTCTCAGACATAAGTATTCGCCTCATACTATGGACGGGACCTCACAGGTATCGGGGATATGCCGGCAATCAGATGAGTCGTGCCGCCGGGAGCAAGTGAAGGTAGTAGAACGTCGTGATCGAGGATCCCGTCATATGACCGACGCGTCCGGTCCGCCATGAAGCTCATGCATCACCTGTCGAGAATGTGAGCATCGACCCTCACAATGAGACCAGAGTTATATCGGAACACATGGTCCCCGCGCGTCCACACCGCCCATCATGCCCAAGCTGCGTCTTCAACACCACGTCCTGCTTCTAGCCGCCCTCGCATGGATCTTGACCGCGTCCGCGACGTCTATCCCGCGCTATGCGGTCGTTTCGCGCTACAACCCCGTCCGGAACGCGTCCAACACGAGCACGCCCATGCAGGTCGGGAACGGGTTCTTCGCGTTCGGCGCGGACGTCACCGGGCTCCAAACATTCCAGCCGTGGGCGACCATGTCCGACTGGGGCTGGAAGAATGACAGCCTTCCCGTGGGTGTGACGGAGGAAGACATCCTCGCGTACCGCGGCGTCGCCTGGGACAGGGTGCAGTACGAGTTCGGCGGGCCCGCCGCGCCCCAGCAGTGGCTGATCGCGAACCCGAACCGCGCGAACCTGGGCCGCGTCGGGCTGCTGTTCAAGGATGCAGAGGGAGAGGCGATGAACGTCACTGAGGCGGACCTGAGCGACGTACACCAACAGCTGGACCTGTGGACCGGGACCATCACGAGCAGCTTCTCGGTGGAAGGGCAGACAGTGACCGTGGAGACGTTCGCGGCGCAGAGTAGCAGTGCGGTCGGGATCGCGGTATATTCGGACTTGCTCGCGGAGGGCCGCCTCGGGCTCTTCCTCGACTTCCCGTGGAACGACGGCTCGCAGAAGTTCCAGGCGCCCTTCGTCGGATACTGGAACGAGACTGCCAGCCATACGACGACGCTGTACACTGGGAGTGGGCTTGGAACGAACGTCCAGGCGGAAGTTAACCACACGGAGGTCGCAGCAACCGTCTTCACGTCCATTGGTGGAGGGAGCGCATTCTCGATGTCGCGGGACTCGCTTTTCGCGCATCGCTACAGTGTCGTCCCTTCTTCGAGCTCCTCGCTGTTCTCCGTAGTTGTTTCGTACTCGCTCCTTCCGCCTGCTGTCATGCCGACTGTAGCTGAGATTGCTGAAGAGTCGATTGCGACCTGGAGCGAGTATTGGTCTTCTCATGGATTCGTTGACCTGTATACTGGCTCCACGGATCCAAGAGCCGATGAGTTGCAGAGACGGATCATACTCTCGCGGTACCTGATGCGAGTCAACGAAGCAGGGCACACCCCACCTCAAGAAGTACGTCCTTTTCTCGGAGACCGCCCCAACGAACACTGACTTGCCGTAGTCGGGGCTAGTCAACACTGGCTGGGTGAGTCATCTACGCGAAGGTCACTATATGCGCGCCTAGTAACTCACCCGCAACGGCAGTATGGCAAGTTCCACATGGAGATGTTTTTCTGGCACAGCTGTCACTGGGCGCTGTGGAACAACTGGGATCTCCTGAACCGCTCCGTCGACGTCTACAACCGCTTCCTCCAGACGTCCATCGAACGCGCACAGGTGCAGGAAGGCTACAACTACGGCGCGCGCTGGTCCAAGATGACCGACCCCTCGGGAAGGTCGGCGCCGGGCGAGATCAACGAGCTGCTCATCTGGGAGCAACCACACCCACTCGTGTTCGCGGAATACGAGTACCGCGCAACCGGATCGCGGGAGACCCTCGAGCGGTGGCGCGATGTCGTGTACGAGACGGCCGACTGGATGGCCACCTATGCGCAGTTCAACGAGAGTACGGGTGTCTACGACCTCGGGCCGCCGATGCATGTCGTCAGCGAGGACACGAGCCCAAATGCGACGCGCAACCCCGCGTTCGAGCTTTCGTACTGGCGGCTAGGATTGGAATTGGCGCAGACGTGGATGGAGCGACTTGGCGTGGAGCCTCCTGCTGTGTGGGCAGAAGTCGCGGACAACCTGGCCCCATTGCCCGTCGAGGATGGACTATATGCGGTGTACGAGGGCATAGAATTCGGTTTCTGGACGGACCCCGAATACACGAACAGCCATCCTGCGCTAGTGGGCCTGTACGGCTGGTTGCCAGCGACTGCCAACGTTAGCGTGGACATGGCAATAGACACCGCTGAAAGAGTATGGACGACCTGGAATGTAAGCAATCTATGGGGGTAAGTGGTGCATCTCGTTTCCTGCCTCGCCTGTGTACTCACCCATGACGATGCACAGATGGGACTTCCCCATGCTGGCCATGTCTGCGGCGCGCATGGGGAACCAAGAAAAGGCCATCCAATGGCTGCTCGATCCCTACTTCGAGTTCGACGATGTCGGGATGCCTGGCGGAGGTGCGCAAGTGCCAACACCGTACTTCCCGGGGTCGGGCGGATTGCTATATGCGATAGCAATGATGGCGGCTGGATGGGACAACAGCACTACCCCAGCCCCAGGATTTCCGAGCGAAGGGTGGGTGGTGAGGGTTGAAGATATCGGACAGGCGATGTGAGCGGGTTGGTCGTCGAGACGATGAGTATGACTGGCGCAATATACAGTGCCTCATCGCTGTTCACTGGTCCGAATCATTGTCTGGCGATCTGTTTGTATGTTTCGTTCAAGGGTGATATGACTACCATGCATACGGTCATTACGCACCAGCATCACTGTCCTCCAACCATTTTGCTGGTATGTTCAATGTCAAGTCCTGAACTGCAGTCGAGTACCGAGCTCCAGGTAAGGCTGGAGTCACATGCACTAGCATGCATGGTGGAAGAAAGGCATGAATGTCGGCAGTCAAGATTACTGGACGTTCAAGTTAGTCGCGATCCGTACGCGCTTGTGCCTCCCGTTCCGCGAGGGTCGCAAGCACGTTCGCATCATTTTGTTCAGAACGCAGGGATTTCTCCACGCGCTCGAGAGGCAGCAGACCCTCAAGCAGACCTCTTTGACGAAGGAGAGGGCGGGAGGAGCAGTCACGGTGATCTAAGCACAGTATCCTGGCTTTGGCTTGAGCGCTCTTGAGTGTGGCATGCAGCCGACGCGACACTGGCAGGCGCCGATGCTGCTCGCTCACGGGCGAGAGGTCTGAGAGGATCTTTCTCCTCCTCGTACGTACCTCCTCGTCCTCGTATCATGCAAGCGTACACACGCTCCTTGCACAAGCGACATCCTCGAGTTCAGTCTGTACGGCGACTGTACGTGGCCGTCCTCACTCTCCGCTGAAGACCTGGCCGACGTTCTCGCTAACGCTCCCTGCTTCACGAGCGGCAAGCTAGTCTACCTCTTCTCTCAAGTGCGCCGTTCACCCTGCCCCGGAACTGTCAGCTTTTTGTCGCGACCTCGTGGAATGACCGTCTTGTCCTTGAGAGCAAGGCCGTTTCTGTGGCGACTCTCGTGTGCGTGGGTATGTAGTCGGACGGAAATGAAAACAGAAGCATAGCAGTCGGTCGGTACCGTACAAGATGCCTGTCGCGGGACCAGTATCTACGAGAACGTCAACGAGACAATGCTTCAGGATAGGTCAGTGCCGTTTCGCAGGCCGGCAACTACACAGACTCACAGTCGCAGTGTTTCCAGGTGGACTGTCCTCACATCTAGCTCCTCCGCCAGGTGCCGGGGCCATCAGCGCTGCCGCTCGCGCTATCGCGACGACTGAAGAACGTGTTGTAAGCCGCGTTCCTCTCCATGCGGCGCTTCCGGTAGATGTCGTCAGGCGGTGCGGTCGGACGGCTCCATTTGCACGGGCCGCCTTCGTTGGGCTGCGCGACCGGTCTACGTCCTACAGGTTGCCAAGGTCCGCCTGCGATGTTTTCGCCTACGCTCGTCTGCGCATTCACTGAACAGCTTGTGAGTGTCATCGATTACTGAGACATGTTCGTACTCACGTCTTTCACGAGCCTGCTGCTCTAGTAGTACCTTTTCGTAATTGGAATGAATGGCGTTATATTGGCGCTCCCAGACGTTGGCGAACATGTCCACTATATGCTGGTATGTTTCTTCTGGGATAGTCTCGTCTTGCGTGCCGCAGAGACGCGGGATGTTCGCCGTCCCACCGGATGGATCGTCGACAGGCCCGGCTGCCACGAAACACGTCAACATACCAGAGCCGGTGCACTAGACTAGCGGACAATATCATACTGATGTTCCCCAAATACTCTATGCACTCGCCGAGGCGATGTATATACCTGACCTTCTCTTCATCGGTCGCACTGAATCCTTTGCAGACGATGTAGGCGAACGGGCGTCGGCCCTGATATGAGGGGTTTTCTGCTTTGATCGATGCGAATGCCTGACCCAGGAGGCGAACGATGTCGACGATCCATCTCAAAGGGAGCGACCTCAAACCGATCACCAGGGAGCCGCCCTGCGCGATGTGCTGGAGGGAAACCAGTAGCTGGGCATATACCAGGCGGGTTGTGTCCGCCCAGGGAATGATGTCGTCCGCCAACATGATCGCAGCATTCGCGAGGACAAGCTCAAAACCGCCGTCTGGAATCTCTCCTGGTCCTAGCAGTCAGCACACATTGCCATATGACAGTGCTTCAAGTTGATATTGCACGTACCTATTGTTGCTCGTCCCGTGGCAATCTCGCACACATCTCCATACTGGACACGGAACCGTTTCAGAAACTTGGTGCCAAGTTGTATCCGGATGCCTTTGGCCTCCGGGGACAAGGTGACACCGACGCCTCGAGCGTTCCTGTTGTTCTGCAACACCCAGGTGGCGGAGCCCCCAGGTGCGCACCCTAAGTCGAGAAAATATTGGACCTGGTTGTTGCCAAATGGATTACCGCTCATGTAGTTTATCTCTTGGAAGGCGCGCTTGAATCCTTCAAAGTGGCGCTGCGTGATGTCCTCCGACTGAATGGCCACGCGGTTGTGCTGCTCTTCCGCCCTCTGGTGCCGCGTCACGTCAGCGCTTTGACGGCAGAGATACTTCATGACGGTGAGCCGGCGCAGTTCATACGACCTCTCGTAGAAGGGCAATTCGAAGCTCGTAAACCTCGAGTAGATGATCACCTCGGGCAGGCTGTGGGCCAGGATGTCCTCAACGGCTGCGTCAATCTCGTCGATGGTCGTGAAGCTGTCGGGGGCAGTGGTAGGATCCATGGTGAGAATTACGTTGTATCCTACATCCGTCGGTATTTATGCTCTTTCGCCTCGAGGCTGCGTGGAGGGAGATATTGCCTCCCAGCAACCCGGGCTCAATTTCTATAGCACGAGGCTACACAAAGCGAGAAGAAGCCGGGAATCATGAATGGATATTATGCACCATTAAGTGTGACGGGACAGCGAAGAACAGCGTGGAGTGGAATGACGTTCAGTCCTCCCAGGGGGGTCTCGCAGGGCTCTGCCTCTATGCAGAGCATGACTCAATCCGCAGGCGGAGTACCCCTTGAAGAAACCACAGGATCTCATAGTCGGTGTTCTATCACACGCAGCACCTGTGATAGAAGGTAGTCAGATGGTAGGTCCTCCAGGAAAGGTAGGGCCTGGTTGAGTGGTCAAAGGGTTTACCATACATCTATGCTAGACTGAGTCCGGACTGCTTACTACTCGGAGATGAAAGCCTGGTCAGGTCGATACGAAAGACCTACTTGCACGAGGCTTCAAAGAGCGCTCGGCGACGGCGTAGAGATCAATGGTAATTCCCTCCAAATTACTCACGGCTGCGATAGTCCCGACACGACGGCACTATGATACAGTACTGCAACCAGACAAAATCCTGTCGGCGAGACGGGTTTCAATCCATCATCTTTGCGCAATCGGAGTAAGGAAACAACATATGCACCTCGCACGACATTCACGGGAGATGAGTTGAGCTGTCTATATCCATTTGGTCGTATGCACCCCCGTTTTTCGAGGATACCCATTACTCATGAAGCAGTTATCTCACCCGCTTTCTGTCATTCCATTGCACCAAATCAGTTTATGCGTTGGCAGAAACAGCAGGTTTCTCCTATCATACACGCTCCGGCCGTATCACGACAACAGACATACAGAACATTCGCAGCCCAGGCAACAGCGATAGCATGTAAAACGTCAATTTTGAAAACAGAAGGACAGCAGACATAGCAGTCAGTCACGCCTGCACCGGTAGTACAAGATGCAGGCTGCCGCGAGACTAGGATCTACAAGAACATCAACGAGACAATGCTTCTGGATAGGTCAGTGTCATTTCGCAGGCCGGCAACTACACAGACTCACAGTCGCAGAATTTCCAGCTGCCATGGACTGTCCTCACATCTAGCTCCTCCGCCAGGTGCCGGGGCCATCAGCGCTGCCGCTCGCGCTATCACGACGACTGAAGAACGTGTTGTAAGCCGCGTTCTTCTCCATGCGGCGCTTCCGATAGATGTCGTCAGGCGGTGCGGTCGGACGGCTCCATTTAAATGAGCCGCCTTCGTTGGCCTGCGCGACCGGTCTACGTCCTACAGGTTGCCAAGGACCACCTCCGATGTCCTCGCCTACGCTCGTTTGCGCATTGACTAAACAGCTTGTGAGTGTGTTACCTTACGGAGACAGGTTTGTACTCACACGCCTGCTGCTCGAGTAGCACTTTTTCGTAATTGGAATGGATGGCGTTATATTGGCGCTCCCAGACGCTGGCGAACATGTCCACTATGTGCTGGTATGTTTCTTCCGGGATGGCCTCGTCTTGCGCGCCGCAGAGATGCGGGATCTTCGCCGTCCCACCGGATGGGTCGTCAACACGTCCGGCTGCCATGAACAACGTCAACATACTACACCCGGTGCACTATACTAGCAGACGATCATACTGGCGTTCTTCAAGTACTCCACGCATTCGCCGAGGCGATGGATGTACCTATTCTTCTCTTCGTCGGTCGCACTGAAACCTCTGCAGACGACGTAGGCAAACGAGCGTCGACCCTGAAATGACGGGTTCTCTGTCCTGGTCGACGTGAATGCCTGACCTAGGAGGCGAACGATGTCGACGACCCATTTCAAAGGACGCGACCTAAAACTGATCACCAGGGAGCCGCCCTGCGCGATGTGCTGGAAGGAAACTAGTAGCTGGGCATATACCAGGCGGATTGTGTCCGCCCAGGGGATGATGTCGTCCGCCAACATGATCGCAGCATTCGCAAGGACAAGCTCAAAACCGCCGTCTGGGACCTCCCCTGGTCCTAACAGTCAGCACGCATTGCCATGACAGTGCCTCAAAATGATATTGCACGTACCTATGGTTGCCTGTCCCGTCGCAATCTCGCACACATCTCCATACTGGACGTCGAACCGCTTCAGAAACTTGGTGCCAAGTTGTATCCGGATGCCTTTGGCCTCCGGGGACAAGGTGACACCGACGCCTCGAGCGTTCCTGTTGTTCTGCAACACCCAGATGGCAAAGCCCCCCGGGGCACACCCCAGGTCGAGGAAATGTTGGGTCCGATCGTCGCCAAATGGACTACCGCTCATGTAGTTTATTTCATGGAAGGCGTGCTTGAATCCTACGAAGTGTCGCTGCGGGACATCCTCCGACTGAATGGCCGCGCGGTTGTGCTGGTCTTGCACCCTCTGGTGCCGGGTCACGTCAGGGCTTTGACGGCAGAAGTATTTCATAGCGGTGAGGCGGCGCAGTTCATACGATTTTTCGTAGAAGGGCAACTCGAAGCTCGTAAGCCTCGAGACGATCGCCTCGGGCAGGCCGTGGGCCAGGATGTCCTCAACGGCAGCGTCGACCTCTTCAATGGTCGTGAAGCTGTCGGTGGCAGTGGTAAGGTCCATGGTGAGAATTTGCGTTCCATCCTATGTCCGTCGGTATTTATGCTCGTTCGCCTCGAGGGGCCTGCGTGGAGATACTGCCTTCTAGCATCCCGGGCTCAATGATCATAACACGAGGCTACCCAAAGCGAGAAGAAGCCGTGAATGAATGGATACGCTGATGCACTAGTAAGTGTGACGGGACAGCGAAGGATAGCGGGGAGTGAAGTGGCAGGCACTCACGTTCAGTTAGCCTAGGAACGTCTCAAGAACGTCTCGCGAGGATCCGCCTCTATACAGAGCATGACTCAGTCCGCAGGCGGAATACTCCTCCAAGAAACCACAGGATCCCAAATTTCGGCATTCTATCACACGCAGTACCTGCAATAGAAGGTAGTCGGATCACCATCCCCCTGAAATGGTAGAGGTTGCTTGAGGGATTGAAGCGTTTACCGCACATCTAGATTGTGTCGATGAAAGCCTGGTCAACATCGATACGAGAAACCTAACTTACACGAGGCTTGAGAGAGCGCTCGGCGACGGCGTAGGGATCCTTGATGATTCCCTCCCAGTTGTTCTCCGCTGCGATGGTTCCGGCGCGACGGTAGTCAGTATGATACATACAGTACGGCAACCAGACAAAGTCTCGTCGATGAGACGGGTTTCCATCCGTAATGTTTGTGCTATTGGAATAAGGAAACGTGTGCACCTTGCAACGTATCGTCGAACACGAGGGGGCCGTGCTGCTATAGTACTTACCAGCGCCTGTTAGTACTAGTACTGGCACCGATACACGTGCATGGCAGAATCTAGGACATCCTTCGTTGAGCGGCAGACTTCCAGTATGCGAGATACAAGAGCCGTGTATTCGTACGTAGCAAGAAGGTAGCTGCTCAACAGTGTACTCTCCGTACACCGCACAACAGCAGATGCAAAGCAAGAAGATATAGTACACTTTGTCGTGTGGCGTCGGACCTTACGACTAAGATGCAACTAAGTCAAGAAGAAACAATACAGGTCAGCGTGTTGCTGGTTAGTGGCCGCAGTGATTGCGCGGACTTACAGCTAGCAGTTCCAGTACTTCCAGTAGGTTAACAGGCAAGGCTTTCGACTTTAGTACTTCCTCCAGGAGCCTGGGCGATCGGCGGCGCGACCCACGCCGCCAACGCGCTTGAAGAGAGCGTTGTAACCGGCATTCTTCTCGTCACGGCGTCTGATATAGCTGTCAGCCGACTCCACGCTGGGGCGGCTCCGCCATGCGAATGAGCCGCCGCCGTTGGGCTGCGCGGTAGGTGTCTGCGATGACTTCTAAGTCTAGTACAAGACTGTAATCAGTTGGTGGCACTTACGAACACACGGGCAGCACCTAACTGCTGTCCAGCAGTGCGGTAACTTCCATTGTTCTCGTCTGAGCCTGCGCTCATCACTGTATGCGATGAGTTATCAGCGGCTTGCATCATGGCCCGAGTGCGTTTGTGCCTGCCTCTATCTGCATTACGTCTCACAAACACTTTTTGACAATTGTGGCGGATGGCAGCATACTTGCTCTGCCAAACGCCGGTGAATAGGTTCAACACATACTGGTATGTCGCTTCCGGAATCTCTTCGTCTCGCGTGCCGCACAGACGAGGGATATTCGCCGCGCCACCGTTCGGTGCGTCGACGGGCCCGGCTACCACCAAACATACGTTAGCATGTCGATCCAATCTCACGCTTGTGTCAAAGACGAGGGACCCACTGGTAGTCTCGAAGTACCTGACACACAGACGGAGGCGGCGGATGTACTCATTTCTCTCATCCGTGCCCGCGCGGAATCCCCTGCACACGACATTGACGAAGGGTCTTCTTCCCTGATACATTGTGTTCACAGCATGCACCGACGTGAATGCCTCATCAAGGGCCCGAACGATATCGACGACCCAGTTTAATGGGCGCGACCTGAGACTGATGACGAGAGATCCGTCCTGCGCAATGTGCTGGAAGGCGATCAGAAGTTGGGCATATGTCAGGGCGATGGACTGAGTCCAGCGGACGTCGTCTCTGAACATGATCGCGGCATGCGCAACGACGAGGTCAAAGCCTGTAGCCGGGGTATCTTCTATGGGGTGGTGTTAGTAAGGGTTATTCGGCATGCCCCGCTCGATGACCGACGTACCAATGGCTTCCCCTCCTGACGCAATCTTGCACAGATCTTCGTAGCGGACTTGGAGCTGCTCGAGAAATGGGGAGTCAAGTTGTAGCCGGAGGCCTCCAGCGTCCGGGGACAAAGTGATTCCTATTCCTCTAGCATTCCTGTTGTTCTGCAGGATCCACGTCGAGGATCCGCCTGGAGCGCAGCCCAAGTCAAGGAAGCTCTGAACTCGGTCCTCGCCGAACGCATTGTCACTCCCAGTGTTGATCTCCCCGAACGCGCGCCTGAAACCTTCGAAGTGCAGTGCCGAGGAATCCTCCATATGCAACCTCGCTCGGTTGCGCTCGTATTGCTCCTTCTTCGCACGCGTCACGTCGGAGTTCTGGCGGGAGACGTACTTCATGGCCAGGAGTCGACAGAACTCATCCGACCGGTTGAGGAATGGCTGCTCGAAGCTTGTAAGGTCCGAAACGATATCCACAGTTATGCCGCGCTGCAGGACATCTTCAACTGCAGCGTCAACTTCGGCAATGGTGTTGAAGTTGTCGGGGGTGGGAGTACGGTCCATGGTGGGTTTGGCGACGTGACCTGTGTCTCCCCTGCCGGTATATATGTATGCCCCTTCACTTCGAGGCTGTGAGTTCACCCCTTCCGAAGAGGGGCGATCATGGTAACATGAGGTCTTCCTGGCATGATCCGCCGAAGCTCCTCGATATCTTGCTCTAGATAAGAGCAGTCCGATGGACATCACAGCCTCGCGAATACTTGGCTTACTATCCATCCAGGGATACCAGCTGCCGCTAGTGAAGAGCATAACACTGCCCGCAGGGAGTGATTCCCTCGTAAACTCCACCAAACCAGAGCCTTACCGTACCACTAGTACTTCTGCAGCACCTGCGATAGAAGGTGAATAGCGCGCACGTCCTCCGGGGGCAATATGCTTTGGCCCGGAAGTAGAGCTCACCATATACACACAGCGTCTGGACTAGTTGTAATTGAACGTAAAGGACGGTCACGCCGCCATGGAAGGCTAACACGAGGCTTGTGGGGCGACCGGTCCCAGATCATTGAGTGCTCGGTGAGATGAAGCACCTCGACATAGGTGCGATCGACGCTGATTCTGCAGGTGAATATTGAACGATCACCGAGAGCTGTGTATTTCTATCGTGTTAGCGGTGAGGCAAGAAATCAGTAAAGCGAAGGTACAACGTCATAGACACGAAGACTGTGCGATTAGGTTTGAAGAGTTGTGATATGAGATCCGTCACTTACAGTTCTTTCTCCAGTCCAGCTCGCATGTGAGCGCATGATATATGATATCTTCCGCGACATGCGCGTACCTGCAGGTGATAGGACACACGCTCCGGGAAAGGGTTGACTTCGAGAGGCGCCTCATCGACTTCGATTGTGAAGTCGTTGCAGCCAAAGCCTGTGTGTGTAGAATACACAGATGTGAATGGCAACTTCGCAAATTAGGACATGGCGGAGGATGCTCGAGGCGCCAGTCTCGAACGAGAGCGCTGCAGTACGGCCTCCGAGGATGCATCTGACGCAGGAAAGGTGTGCACGCAGCCAATGAGCGTGCGCACATTACGAAGTAGGGCTACACGCCACGCTTCCCGCTTAGGGAGTGATGGATCGATGTCGAGAGGTGTTACGAGGAAGAGACGGGAGGTGAGAACAATCTCTAAGTGCGGGAGGAAGAATGAGCGCGCCGCCAATAGCGTGTCGTGAAGACGGTCAGGTGACGCTTCATACAGCGCACCGCTGTCGGCGAGCTTTCTCACCTCCTCCTCCGCATCGTCTTCGCAAAGGCATTTCACCACACCGCTTGGACACAGACATGTCATTTCTTGCACGGCCGCACCCTCAGCCAGTAACGTGGGCAGCGTGGGTTACGGCGAAGACGGCTGCCCGCCAATGATAAAGCTGTAGCAGCCTGAGATACAGCGTGACTAGCACACCGCGGTATCAGCCGCTAGACTTACCTTTGCTCGAATTAGAGCCTGCAGCTCTCCCAGGGAGGGTTTCGACGACTTGCGACGACCCATCATGCTCGGCCCAGCGTTTGCTCTGGCTGTTCCTCTCCTAGGTTCTCTAGCGTCGGCTGCATCGACAGGCGTGGCAGCAGAGTCGCTGAACGCCCTGACGAGGCACTGTCAGTTCACTCTAGGCAATCGGCGCTTCGATTTGTGTCCGGTGTTCGAAGGAAATGACGGAGGCTGGACCGTTGGGTTGAGCGGTCGACACCGCCCACAGTGACGAAAGCCGAGTACAGGATCTCCTTCGCAGGTCCACTGAAGACGACGAAGTGGACGCCCCATGATGAACAGGTACGTCAGCTGCCGTGCTTGGTCTTGGTCCCGAAACAGCCAGCGTCCCGTGGTTCCGCTCGGACTTCTGAGCAGCCTCCGGATGGTGGTTGGAAGCAAGAAGGGATCCGACGACAAAATCGTCGTGATCACCAGATCGGTGATGCGATTCCCGACGGCGCGATCACGTCCTCGGAGGCGATGGCCTGTCATACCATTTTGCGACCGTAGCGCTCCTCCTCGCGTTCTTGAAGCTCGTCACTGATCCCTTTCACAGTGTCCTGACGGGACATGGGTCTGCAAAATCAGTAGGCATACCGTTGAAGAAGCTCTTAGCTTCGAGATTGAAGCAGCCTGTGGTCTCTAGTTTCAAACGTCCGGCCAAAACGCGAAGGGAGAGTCCTCGAGTCTTGCAAGTGATCCCAGTTGCCGGTGACATCTCTGGCTCTCTTCCTAAGAAGGACGATGGAGGCGATGGCTTTGCTGGCGAAGAATATCAGCCAGGCTTGAATGTCACTGCGAAGCTTGTGCCTGCGGATGAGAACACGCGACACGGTAAGCTGCTTTCGTATCTACGTGCTTCGCGTCATTGATTCGAACATGATCATGAATCCCAGACATTCTGCACATCCATCTTCACGGCGGGTACTACGTCTACAAACAACAGAAGGCAGACTTTCAGTTCATCTGTGACCACCAGGCAGAAGAGGTGAGCTTGCACCGCATCACACAGATCGTCCAATCGCTCACAACGTCGCCTGGCAGCCTACGAAACCTAGCATCTACTGGAACTGGAACGGTACCCATACGTTCGAGTGGCGAACCAAGCACGCATGCGGCCAAGCGATGACCGCACCTGACGACGACTCCCCTCCACCGACCCCGCCAAAGCACAACCCCGGTTCTGACGAGCCGCCCAAGGATTCGGAGGACGACGATGTCCCCGGCGACAAGAAGATACTCGACCCCGACTTCCTTTACGGGCAGACTCGGCGGTCAATCATGACCATCTTCGCCTCATCCGCGTGCGTACCTGTCTTCCTTCTCACAAGCAGCCGTCGTTGCTCACCGGTTTGGACCCGGATAGCCTCGTTGTCATCGTTGTCACGTACCTGGTGCAGCGCCCACCTGCGAGGCTGCGCAGGTTCGCCCTGTCGTACATGAAGACCCACCCGTGGCTGATGCACTCGCGCGTCGGCGAGCGGATGCTGATGCGATGGGCGCGCGAGGACCTCATCTTCGATGCCGGGGAGGAGGACGTCATGATCAACGGCCCGACCAACGTGCGCAGCGCGGTGGGTCTGGACGAAGGTATCCCTCTCAAGCCGTCGCCGCGTCGACCGAACAACTACGGCAGTGCGTAGAGCGCGCAACGAGGCTTGACATTCTTGACCACTTATGTTCACGACCCCTGCATGGCTGTTACGCCGGTGTTCCTCTCTTGTAGACTGTTATTCCACTAGCCGCTGTAGATTAGTATGCTGTACGACCTGATTGTAGTGCTAGTTGCCGTTTGTGGCCTGTCGGAGGATGATGCCCTGTACATTCCGGTGGAGATCTGCCATAACGACAGCAAACGTCGACGTCCAGAGGCGCGATGTGCGTTGTGAGTGGCGTCCATCTCCACCAAGCATATGCCAAGTCTAGCGTCACTGACACCATACAACGACCATAGAAGACCGTCCTCCCTCCGTCTGCCTTGGGGAGACTGATACAACGAACCGAGGGAAGGGCAGCTGACACTTCTGTGACAGGTTCTTTCAGCGCGCACGATTCCACCATCATTTCGAGCCAGCTGTCGAACTCGGACACATTGGTTGCATACTATCCTTTCACTACAGAGCCAATCCACCATCTACTGAAAGTCAATGCGCAGCATACCAGGCACCATTTGCTTCTCCCTTTGACGTTAACACCCAATCAAGCATCACCCTCGCAGAAATTAGTCTATGGTAGAAAATGGCCTCGCATCAACCATTCCCAGTCTTTGGACCCGAAGTCCTCTACCGTTCGAAATTGCACCTTTGTAGCGGACCAAGGTTCGCCGAGCGTGACTCCATCGTCCGCGCGATACACCTCGTGGAAGCGCGAGCAATGCCCTACGAGCCTCAAAGAGGCGATAGCATCAGCGAGGTCCGGTATCGATGTGACCGAACGAGTCTCGACGTCGCCGATGTGGGCAAAAGTCAACTTCGGTAGACCTGCCACTGCAGCATGACTTGTTAATGTGATTCTCGTGGAGACAACGATGCAACTCGACATACCAGTTCGGCCATGAGTAACCTCCTGGTGCAGCCAGGTCGTCGTAGTCAAGCCCGAGACGTAGGGCGGTAACTCCTTTGGGAATTGTACATCTGAGCAAATCAATCGTTTCCTGTCCAAATCGCCCGAGTCCAACATCAAGACCAAGGATTTCTAGGTCTGATAGCGATCGAATAGCGTCTAAGACAGGAGATAGTTCTTCAACAGTGCTGCACTGGCCGTTAAAATCCAGACACCGCAGCTTCGTCTTCGGTCGGATGAAGCTAGCCACCGCATTGACTCTCGTGCCATCCACAAAATCGTCCGAGAGTAGCTTGAGGTACGTGAGATGAGGGAACGCGGCGGGGTTTGCTGCTAGAGCGACACAGAGCTCCGAAGTAAAATCCAGGTGAAGGATAATCTGCAGGGACTCGAGTCGAGTGCAATGGGGGGAAATGAGATCGAGGTTACTAGAATGACGACGTCGTCGATCGTCAGATGAGTCAGGCCCGCAATTGTGGCGGCATTCCCAGACCGCCTGTTTGGTGCGGTAAGCTGCGTTAGAGAACTCTGCGGGCTCAAGTAGTGATGCGAAGGACGAGCGGTATACTCGCATGGCCAGTGCAGCTCTCTTCCAAAGAATTTGCTCCGGAAAATACAACAAAGACTTGATGCTGGTAATCTCTTAAGAGCCGGCAGCGCACTCAAGCACTGAATCCTATAGTGCTTCATGAGAGGACTGCACATGTAGAGCAGGGTGCACAATTACTCACGGCAGTTGGTATCGCGGAGACATACAGCGTCGCGCCAGTGCTCCAGGAGCTCGTCGCTAGGTAAAATGCACGACCGATGGTTGTTACCATCTCAGTGTACGTAAATTGGACAGAGTGCCGATTGCTTTCGTTACGCCGCCTAATGACAACCTCAGTCAGAAACCAAGACCTTTGCACCTCACAAGCAAAATGCAAGATTGTAGCTTAACATTTCGGAGGTCGTGAATTTGTCCGCGAACGCATATATGTGTAAATGCTTGACGTAAGACGCAAACACAGGGTCGGTGATGGTGTGCAGCAGCACACAATGACCTGCATCCGCGGTCTCCTTCAAACGGCTCGTCAACAAGTCATAGCTGGCTTCCCAGCACCCGAACTGTATACGTAGCGTCGAAAAGACAATGCGAGCAGCGAGATCATGGAAAAGCCTGGAGACAGCCAGGCATTTTCGGGTTGTGGCGGGGGATGTTTGACTGAGAACAATCTGCCATATTCTAGCGGAAGACGTTTCGGCCAAGAATTCTCTGCCTCCATTCTGTCGTCTAATGTCTGGAGGACGGACAACTTGAGCATGTCAGTAGCTGGCTCTCGGGTAGTCTTTCATAGTGATTCATACCGTGATGAAAGATGCCCGTACCAGTCAACTTGCGCTCTCTTTCTTCCCTGTTTCACTACAAGCACGATTTTGTTCGAACCAGTTTGACGTGCTCCCGTCACTCAACAACGAGGCTGTCAGAGGCTGGCAGTAGCTGACAGTACTTGGTAGTATCGACCCAACAGATGGCGAGGATGAGGAGGAAGGCGGAGTGAGGAGACGTGAACCTATCCGCTTAGTAAGCTATGCTTTCCTTTTCTGGGTACCTTTCTGCGAACTACTCCCGAATCCTGCCTAACCTCGCTTTCCGCATTCCTCATGCACGACTTGTACATGTTCTCTTTCGTCCTCTCGCTTCTAACGACCATCGACTGATTGTTTATCTCATATTGTATAATGACCCACTCCGTCTCTGATTCCACGGTTTCACCGACGCCCTTCAGTCCTTTCTCGTCGTACTCGGAGGTTAGTGGGGTCACGTCCGACGGTGAGTACTTGGTTCATTTGGTGTGGCCACCAGAGCTGCGGAGGAGGTGATATCTACTTGGTGGTCCTTCGGTGAGCAGGGGCAAACTGTCTTAATGTCTACCAAGCGCAGTAATCATGGAGACTTCGCGAGTATACGCAGGAGGCGGTACATGATGCCCATACCGAATGTAACGCTGACCATGCATGTATACAGATGCACCAGATCTCGGTGCCTTCACAACTGTATTCCGTGCACTCACGACCTTACAGCCACGCAATGCACCTCCATTGCTCAACGATGTAAACACTGGAACACCTATTTCGCCTCTCGCTTTCTCGCCCACCGAAGACGACTCCGAGGCCCCGTCGGCCTCCACCGCATGGTCTCGCCACCCAGTCAACGAATACCTATCTTATTCCTCACCAGACAGTCCTCGTCGCGGACGCTCGCCCTTACGGTCTGACTCCGAATCCACGGCATCTGACCTGGACCGGACAGACCTACTCCGAGCAGAAGCGGAAGTAGCAGAGCTCATCGATCAGCCATCCCTAGGAGACCTAGACGAGGCGCTCGGTTTCCTCGCTGCTGAACGTGCGCGCCTGTTTGCGCAGCGCGAGAAGGGATTGAGGACGACTGGAAACACTAGTTCCACTACGACGACGTCGGACAGCATTTTCCGACACGTTATCCAGCCGCGTCGCAAGCGGCGCCGCAAGAGAAATCGGTCCGAGGGAGCCTCTCTGGTCCGCGCATCTGAGCGCGACCTAGATTCTTTCACGGAGACGACGACGACGGCAGGAGTTGACGATGTCGGTGATGATGGCGGCGACGAAGCGTATGCGTCGTCCTCATCCGTCGATGCCACATCCTCCCCGTCAGCTGCCATACGGATCGCAGCCACCCCGGCGCGGACCAGGCCAGAACGGAGGCAGCGCACGATCGCGCAAGTCGCCCGCGAGAAGCCACGACTCCTCCACAGCAAGTCTACCCCGAATCTTATACCCCCTGTATCATTACCCATAGACGCACGCGTCCTACACCTGCGGAACCTCGCGCACAAGCTCAGGCTATTCTTCCCGAAGGACGCGGCCGCGCTGCACGACATACTCGACCCGGAGACGACGACGAGCGGGACCGAAGAATCTGGCTTCGTCGATACCCGGGGCCCCGAGCCGGGCTCTCAAGACACCCTCATCCACGTCTTCATTGACCAGTGCGTAACTCATCTCCGTGGCCGCTTGTCGCTGACCCTCCAGCAGCTCTAATATCCTCATTGGATTCCTATCCTACCTGCGGCGGCACCTGCACCACTTCGCGCGCAGCCGCAGTAAACATCTCTCGCACGCCGCGCTCGCGCTCATCCTCGAGCGCGGGCGCCCCATCACGCGGCGGGTCCTAGTGGCGTCGTCGCCACTCTATCAGCCGGTCGACACCGCGGAACAGCTGGGCTACGAAGTCCGCGTGTACGCGCGCGTCCCGGACATGGGCGACGGGGCTGACCGCCAGCACCAGAGTGAGACGCAGAGCCCCGGCCGCGGCCGTGGGCGCCGCTCTGGTGCGGCGCACGCGCGGAGCCACTCACATAAGAGCTCGATTGGCGGCGGTGGGACGTCGACCGAATCAGAGCCGAACGGGAACGGGAATAGCAACGGCAATGGGGCAGGGGCGTCTGCACGCGTACGATATCGCGAGCAGGGCGTCGACGAGCTCCTACAGCTTAAATTGCTTCAGGCCATCGCAGATGTTGACGAGGTCCCTCTCGGCGGCACTATCGTGCTCGCGACCGGAGATGGGAACGTCGGGCAGTTCAACGAGGAGGGGTTCCTCGGGTGCGTGCGGACGGCGCTGAAGAAGGGGTGGCGAGTGGAGCTGTACGCTTGGGAAGGCGGGCTGAGCAACGCGTGGATGCGCGAGTTTGGAGAAGGCGCGTACAGCAGCAGATTCGAGGTGTACACCTTGGACCGCTTTGCAGCGGACTTGTTGGAAGTGTAGGAAAGTTTATCGTTGGAAACATGCCACTTCATGTTACATGCTTTCAATGCTGTTGTATGGTGTACAGTACTTTATTGTAAGTATGCAGTAGCGTAGCGTAGGATAGTAGGGGCAGTACTTATGTATAGACTCTATGGAACAAGTCAACTTGTGAATCATGGTCCGATCGTTCAAAGATGAAGTGAGAAGGGCTCGCCGCTGTCAGCGATGCCGCTCTTGTCGTCGCGACGCCTAGGTCATGATGAGGGGGTCGAGGTGGGCGTGGGGGAAGTGCTGCTTGATACGGGGCCAGAGCCACCACATGGGCGTGGCATAAGTCACGTCCGAGGTGTCGGTCTTGCCGGTACCGCCAGTAAGAAGACCACCAATGCGACCAAGTCCGTCGACGATGATCGACCCGGAGTCGCCAGGGGCCGCGAACACGCCAGAGTACTGGTCGCCGTAGTTATAGATAGCCCACTCCATGGATTCGTGACCGAAGACGTCGTCGCGGACGAACGAGAAGAGTCCCGTCGCACGCCCGATGGTGACACCAGTAGCGGCCCCGTTCTTGATGACGAGGGAACAGGCCTCGTTTTCGTTGTCGAGCGTGTCGGGCTCGCGCATACGCTCCTCGGTGATCATGTCGCGGAGTGGAAGGAGACGGTTGTAGGGGTATTTGAAGGTCGTATGGCCGCCGTGGGGATACATTTTCATGATGAAAATGTCGGGCTCGATCTCCGTCCCTGATTGTATCTGTTGAACTAAACGACCTGAACTAAGAGACGTCGGAATGCACCAAGATCAATGAAGTTGCCCTTGAACGCATCCCTGAACTTGGGACCGTCGAGCTCGATCGCGCGCCAGTCTTCGGTGAAGCCCTTGGGACCGACATTGAAGGAGACGGCAGGGGAGGAGCGGATGTGGCCGATGATGCGCTGGCTGGCCTGGCCCCAGTCCTCCTTGACCGTCTCGTAGAACTTTTCAAGGTCCTCAATCGCCTTGTTCGCGTCCTCCAACTGGGCCTGAGTCTTCTCCAGCTTCTTCCCCGCCTCTGCAACATCTTCCTCGTAGGCATCATCCACCCTCGCCTCCAGCCTCTTGATCTGCTGCTCGTGGTGACCGACCATCATACCGTGACGACTGATACGCATCTTGATGGCACTGAGAAGCTTGTCGAAGGCGCGAGTGCCGAGAAGCTGGACGTTCTTGCGAGGTGCACCGACGCCCGTGAATACGTAGTCGTCGATGGTTGTCGCGTCCGTCTTGAGGAGGACGTGGTGACAGGTAAGACCCAATACCTTGTTGCTGTCACCACCCTCAGCGAAGTAGAGCCCCATGGTGCCCTCGGCGTCGGGCCTTTCAAAGGTAGCGATGGGTCCGAGAGCGGGAGTGAGGGGACCGCGACCGTCGACGGTAGTGTTGAGACTCAAAACGGAGCGGAGAAGTGCTGGGCCGACCGACCGCTTGTAGAGGGACTCGCGGTATTCGACCTCAACGTCGACGATGTCGAAGCCCTCGAGAAGCCGAAGGATATCGTTGGCCGAATGGAAGGCATCCTCAGCGTGGAGCGAATCGGGACGAACACCCACCCAGATCACAACAGAACCGCGAATCTTCTCATGTCTGTCTAGGTCTGTCTCCGTCGGTGAGGAAACGAACGACGTCTAAGGACGTCCAAGCGAGCCTCTGGGTATTCAGCAGGTCCCGAACCAGAGGACCCACGGTCTTCCACTGCCACCAGGCGAGGTTGAGCTTGTGGCCGAAGACCCCACGCGCCTGCTCGGACTTGCAATAGGCCTCTAATCCCGTAAGCTTGACCCAGGGCGTCTTCAAGCCCCTGTGCGGTAGACAAGCTTCGGAGGAGTCGAAGATATGCCATAGTGAGATTATAGTGCTGTTATGACCCGCCGAATCTAGTAGCCCGCCGGCGTGGAAATTCCGGTGGCCGAGAAAACTGCATGGCAAGTGCTAAGTACTAAGCGGTGACTGGTGGGCAATCTTCCCGTTGATGGCTCGATCGTTAGTGGTGCGACAGCAGCAGCGGCAGCAGCAGCAACAGGAGGAGGAGGAAGAGGAGGAAGTAAGGGGTCGCGCCACAGCCGCCTCTGCGGAGTTCGAAATACCAAGGAGGAGGTCAGTTGCATAGACTTGCCTATTATAGACTTGCCTTGTCGTTGACCTCTTAACTTCGCGGATCGCCAACCCTTGGCCAACCCGCACCCCTTTGGATTTGAGTCTGAGTCGATTATCAAGAATTATACTGGCAGAAGGAAACTGGAAGGTCAGTTCGAAAGAATCAAGCGTGCATCACAGAGTGCGAGCATCCGATACGGTATGAGACTCATCGTCGTTTCGGTGCGGCATGTTGTCGGACCTGGCAGTACTGACGACCTTCACAGCGGCATGGAGGCAGACCGTCCATGGTCTGAACGTCTTCCGCCAGAAATATGGCAGATTGTTTTGAGTCAGACAACCTCCGCCACGACCCGAGAATGCCTGGCTGTGTCTAGGTTCTTTCATGATCTCGCCGCTCGCATACTGTTCTCCACGCTCCGTATACACTTTGGGTGCTGGGAGGTCGGTTATGGCTTTACAAAGGAACCTCCTGAAGGAGACCGCGGGTGCAAGTCGTGTTGCATACTACTGCGCGTCATCACCGATCCTGTGTTCGCGTCTTTTGTCAAAGAACTGCACGTACTTGCATTCGCGGACGTCGCGACCTTCGAGATATGTGAGTTACGTTGTCGCTTCTCGTGGTGTCCAAGCCTTTGTCTCCGACTGACGTTGGGATCAGGCGGCCTGACCAATGCTATCAGCATTATGCACAATTTGCGGACATTCAAGTGGTACACCACCTTCCGGCCGCACTTCTTACCTGGTGACAACATCCTGATGGCACTGGCGTCGACCGCTGTCAATCTTCGCGAGTACACCTTGCCGTAGGTTATGCCTCGAGTCCCTTGCCGCTGCGTGCGCCATCGTTCTCATGAACCTGCATTAGAATCCAATGTTTGGGTGCGTTGAGCGCTCTCAAGAGACTACCAGCATCGAGCCTCTGCATATACAATCTGGACGAGTCCTTTGAAATGGAGCCGGATCCATACGAGGAGTACCGCACGTCCTGTCCATCATTGCTTGAATCTCGCAGAGGGTCTCTGACGCAGCTCACCGCACCGAGCCAGGCGATTTGGGAATGTCCGATCCACATCCTGCAGGATTTGACTCATCTGACGATTGAGAACGGTGGTGATCTCAGCAATATCACACTGCTCTTCCATCATTGCACCCAACTCCAGGCTCTGCACATCGTCTCCCGTTTTGACTCGCCTACGGAATTCTATATCGCTCTAGCGGCACATCCCTCTGCACTCCCTCATCTTACGCACCTCAAGCTTCAGCTGATGTGTCCCGTCGTTGCCGCGGAGCTTGAGTCGTTGGGAGGCTTCATTCGGACGAAGAAGAAACTGCGGTGTCTGGATTATGACGACGAGGGCAGCACTCTTCAAGAACTATCTCCTCTCTTGTTTGCCATTCAATCGCTATCAGGCCTGGAGGTTCTAGGGCTGTATATGTGGTTGCACGATATCGGGCGGACAATGTGTGATTTGCTGAGAGGCACAATCCCTCACGGGTTAAAGGCCCTACGTCTCTGGTTCGGATACATCGAGCTGGACCCCGAAGACAACGCGTGGGATGGACTGGTATGTCGGATTTCTTCGCAGTTCCCAAAACATCTAGGAAACTCATCGTGATGTCCCTTTCCAGTGGGCCACCCTCCCGAAGCTGGCCTTCGCGCACATTGTCGACGACGCAAGCCTGCCGATCGTAGAGTTGTCCGACATCGTGGTTGCCAACAAGTCTCTGAGACTTGTAGGCCGTCGATCGTGCCTATGTCAGGTGGTTCGCACGGGCGATGAGGTCGAGCTCAGCAAACCTTGGCCTCTTACCAAGGTCCAGTTCCGAACGACCGAGGACTTCGAGTGTGAAGATTGGGAGTGGCTGATGCGGGGCCATGCGCTAGTGGACGAGCGCGATTATTACTGATCATGTTCCATGCTTGTGCAGAGTTTACGAATCACAGGTGATTGGCTATGTTATCATAATACAATGTACAGTCAACGTGTTCGAGCACGTATGTAGATTTTGGCATCTCTCCGAAGCGGTCCATGTCTGTAACAGAGTAGCGCGGATGATGTTCAAGCTGGCGGCTAACTTGAACGTCGATCACTCAGGGGCGCTACAGACGTTACGCCGCCATCTGTAGATCGACGACCGCGCATCGCGTAAGTGGTACAATCCATTTGCATGCAAGATCGTCCATGAAACGGACGTAGCGGAACTATTCGACTCTATATGGACGGGCTTCAGGTCGTTAAGTAATACTGCAACCTGCTGACATGACCGTGACTAACCCCGAATGAAACCCGTAGTAAGGTTTCACTTCAGCCTGCCGCCGTATGTCGCCATCCTCTATTAGTATCAGCCTCTCATATTCGTCTCTTTGTACTGTACTTCTTCGGCACGGGGCTAATAGCGAGCGTCTGTGATCGCCGATACAGTCCGAATCGGATTTCTGTCCTCAACAGCGCTAGCAGACGGTGGAGTCATGTACTCAACCAAGGTGGGTGCAATAGAGATTTCTGCCTCACAAAACCTTTCGCTGACTCGGACGGGGGCCCTTTGTAGAGAAACGCGACCTCGCGAGGACTCCGGTTTGGCTACCGCGTTCAGCGTACGTTCGCCTCATGACATCCCCCAGTGCAGGGCGGCGCGACTCCGAGAAGGCCCCCAAAAGCCATGACGACTCACAAAGTCTCGCCCAGCAACCCGCCGCCCTCTCTGCTAGCGCTGCACCCGACGGGGGCGCGAGGGCCTGGCTACAGGTCCTCGGCGGTTTCTTCATCCTTTTCAACTCATGGTGTGTATACAAAGTCTTGTTCGTTGTCAATACTAATTCTTCAAACATGCCTAGGGGTATATTCAATACATATGGAGCATTCCAGACCTACTACGAGCAAGAGCTGTTTCCCTCCAGTTCTGCCTCAGCCATCAGCTGGATAGGCTCCATACAGGGCTTCCTGCTACTACTCGTTGGTTCCCTGACAGGACCCATCTTTGACATGGGCTACACCCGAGTGCTCATGATTGTCGGGTCATTTCTGATGGTATTCAGTCTGATGATGACCAGTCTCTCCACACAATACTACGAGGTGAGAGCTTGCTGTAAGGCTGAACGCTGCAATAATTTACGAATGTGTCCCTTGCCACAGGCATTTCTGGCCCTAGGGGTCACATTCGGTCTTGGAAGCGGATGCGTCTTCGTTCCTGGCGTCGCCATCGTGTCAACTTACTTCAACAAAAGGCGCGGATTGGCAGTAGGGATCACAACGTCCGGGAGCTCTATCGGATCGGTCGTCTACCTCAGCGTGTTCCACCAGCTCCAGCCAAGGATTGGATTCCCTTGGACCGTGCGCGTGATGGGGTTCATTGTACTTGCTACATCCGCCGTATCCATCGCAGTGATGCAGCGCCGCATCGCGCCTTCGGGGCGACGGCGGCTCTTCGACGCGAAGGCCTTTGCAGAGCTGCCCTACACGCTCTTCTGCATCGGAAACGCAATCTCATTCATGGGCACGTACATCCCGTTCTTCGAGGCACCCGCCTTCGCCGCAGCCCGCACTTCCGCCTCGCCGACGCTCGCCTTCTACTTCCTGGCTATCCTCAGCGCCGCCTCGACGCTCGGGCGGCTGCTCCCGAACTTCCTCGCGGACAAGACGGGCCCTCTCACGATGCTCGCGGGCTGCGCGACGGCGACGGGCATCCTCGCGCTCTCCTGGCTCGCAGTGCACACCGTCGGAGGCTTCGTGGTGTTCTGCGTGCTGTACGGCCTGTTCTCGGGCTCGCTCGTGAGCCTCCCGCCCGCGGCAGTCGCGAGCCTCACGGACGACCACTCCCGGCTCGGCGCGCGACTGGGCATGGCGTTCGCCCTTGCGGGCTTCGGGCTCCTCATTGGTAACCCCGTGGCGGGTGTGCTCGTGGATCTGCGGACGGGCGAGTTCTGGAAGGGTATCGTGTTCAATGGCGTGGCCGTCTTGGCAGCGGGAACACTCCTGCTGGCGGCCCGCGTTGCGAAGGCGGGTTGGTCGCCCAAGGCAAAAGTCTAGAGATGAGAAAGACCTTGCCTGGCTTTCAGTTCCAGTGCTCCGTCGCGAGATTGACGGATAGAGCTCGCACCGGCGATAGTCGTAGTAACTCAAAAGGTGTAGGTTTCGAAGGTGATAGAAGCAATTCCAGTTACGTATGTTACACAGGTCTCTGCGAGGGCTGCGCATGAAGTTCACATTACTGGGACCTCCGGCATTCAAGACTAGGTACCGTCTTCGATGAGGATTTCTTCATTCCTTCCTCGTCCCCGTTGTTGAGGTTGACGTCGATACGCCGTTCGTCCCCTTGCCATGGACCGTGGCCAATCACGAAGTTCGACAGCCCCGCGAGACGGAAGACGGTCTCACAAGATGCATCCTTATGCACCATACGTGGCACGACGGCCCTGCATCATGCAACAACAAATGCTATTGCAACATAATCATCAGCATGATGAAAGCAACAGTGGCCAGACCGCCTCCGTAAACGTAAAGACAGTCCATGCAGCCAGCCGCCCCATGAATATACTAAAGCTCGAACATCTATCATAAATACGTGAATGACGGAATATGCTATGCGACGACGTGTGCGATGCGTGAATGACAAGATAATGCGGGGAGGGGGTTAATATATGTGAAGCGAGGAAAGCAATGCAATATTTTATGACAAAGAGACAGTGAGGAGAGTGGAAACATGCGTCTACCCGATGCGAGTGAAAGCCATGCGTGTTGGTAATGCTAGCCCTGTCCGACATCTACAACAGCCAAGACAGACAAACAGACAAACAATACCTACTATCCCACTGTCGGTCACCAGATGCTATGTGGCAACATAGCAGACATTTACGATTGGGGACATCCTAAATGCTCTCAGAGAGCGCCATCTGGAAGCGCGGGAGGCCGCGCTGCATCCACTCGTCGGGTGAGACGCGCTCGGACTCCTTGGAGCCGACGACCATGTCGTTGTAGGGCGAGAACACCCAGATAGATGGGTCGGGTATGGGCTGTGCAGTCAACGCGTGGAGCTCGCTGCGGATGATGTTGTGCGTGAAGTGGTCCATGTTCTGGAGGGCGCAGATCAGTCATGATATGCAATGTCGGTTGTTGAGACAACGTACCAGGTCGTTCTTGTCATAACCGAACGGGTCTATGGGTGGTGGTTATGAGTCAACGTGAGGTGTGTACATTCGGGACTCGACTTACTCTCGATCTCCTCACCAGCCACGAGGAAGCCAAAGAAGATGAAGCTCTGCACGAATATCAGCAACAGTGAAAGGGTTGAGTTCGCAAGCGGGACGCACTAGCAACGCAGTGGCGGGGATCGTGAGCCAGCCCAGTGTATCCCAGATCTGGAAGGGAAGGAAGAAGTTGTAGAGGAGCGTGACCGTCCACAGATGAACACGATACCTGCGAACAGCATGTCAAGGTTCGGTCGATCTAAGATGAGACAGGCAACTCACGAGAACGGGATGGGCGTAGTGAGAATACGCTCTAGACCAGTAAGCGCGTCCACGAGCTGGTTCAAGGATGCGATAAGGGCAGCTGGAGTGGAACCGGTCAGCTCCTATCATGCATACAGAACAACGCAAGACACATACTGGCCGTGGGCGGGTCAACAACTTTGCGGGACTGAAGTGCCGCTACGTACGAGCTCTGGTGGCACAACTAATCAGCTCGTGTTCAGACGTATACGAGGAGGAATTCTGACCATGTAGAACGAAACCTCGAGTGGGAGATTGTGGGTAACAGTCTTGCTCCGCAACTTGGCACGGATGCGCGCAGCAGTCCTTCCCTGTATGATTCCATATGAGTATATCACCATAATCCCAAGCTAAAACACATACCTTGACATCCTTGCCTCTCTTAGCGAGCAGATGCACGATCAACGATAGAGGCCAAAGGTCCAGGAGGTGATACCGGGGCGGGATCCGCGCCGGCAACAGGAAGCCTTCGTCAACTCCGTTCATCGTCGACGTCTTCTCGTCCTTGTCACCACGATCCCTCTCCATAGAAGGCTTCAAGCCATTCGCAAACGTCGTACGCCGGGGGGACGTCGCCGGGAGGGGAAGTTGGCCCTCACCCACGATGGGCATCGGCGGGGCTGTCGATATGGGACTCGTTGGGGACTGCATGCTGCGGGCGGACCGCACATCTGACGGCCTGCGAGGGCGTGTGGTCCCATCGCCATGGGCGCTCTGAGCGCTCATCGTATCCACGAGGTCGATGTTAGAAGGCAGACCCGCGGGCAATGCGTACGAAGGCAGGAACTTGACGAGATGGTAAAGGTCGACGTAGTACACGCCCTCCTCGCCGCGCAGGTAGTGCTTCACTGCGACGGCGAACGCCTCAATAAGGTTGATCGCGGTCTTCTTCTCGATGAGCACGCGCTCCTTGCGTTGCTCGAGCGTAGACTGGTCGTTCGCCGCGACAGGCATCACTTCCGGGACGTGGAACCAGATCGTCCGGGAGAATGTCCGGCTGGCGAGCACAATTTGCGACCAGAGCCTTCGGCCTTCATTGTATCGTTCGAAACTGGAAGTGGTCCGGTACGATACGACGAAACCGAGGACGGTACCGATGCTAGATAATAGCAATAATTAGTCACTGATCACAGGGTGCGTAGGCAGTGCAAGAAAGTGTGGTGCATCGTCGACCGATGTGAAGGATGCACAGCAGCTGCTCTACTCCTGTCACAACTCGACCACACATATCAGTCATAGCCCTCTTCCTGGCATGTCAACGCACATACGCAGACGATTTGTGAAGATATGGACACGTCCACGCCAACAAAGGCATTCGTCGCCGCGTCAATCATGCCACTGAAATTGAAAGCTTTGGGCGCATTGAAGCAGCGCTTCATGGGCGCGAGACAGCCCATGCAAAATGAAACCTGTGACAGGTTATTTCCTGCGAATCCCTCACTCTTTTGTGGGGCAATGAACGCAGACGATGGCGGACACAGACAATGCCAACGGCTTCCAGTGCCAGGAATTTGACCCCGGCTGACAGGACCAGGCAGGCGCACGACGGTTGCTGCCAAACTGCCCCCCGCACCCTTCATTTCGGAAGTCAATCCGCGAAGGTCCTGTCCGCTGCCGCAGACCCTGCAAGTGGCGACAGTAGTTTACATGCGTGCATGGAACGGGTATACATCATGCGTCGTGGACGCAGTGAACACACCAGGAACCTCGCGTTACGCTTGACTCTCACACCGTCTTCCTTCCCCACACCGCCATCCCGAGAAAGCAAGTCTAAGGTAAGCACTCACACAGTCAACAGCGTGCTCGAAATGCCAATATTGTGTACGAAGCGGCAGATGACCGAGATTGCGGTTGCCCAGCCAGTGAAGAACAGCAGGAGCGGCCAGCAGCGGATAACAGCAGTAGCAGTGACCGCGTTGATGAGCTGAGACCAGAATCCTCCCGAGACGTGCGAGAAGGGATCGACGGCGTTCATGAGGGTTTGCTCCATCCTGGCGACGATGAGCAGCGGCACCGTAGCAGGCTAAAAAGCAATTGCAAAGAAAGAAAAGAAAGAAGAAGACGGGATTCTATGATCACTGATGGACCCTTGGAGAGGACGTTACTTATGCCCTTAGATCATGATCTGAGCCCCTCATGGTAACCGCTCCGCAGCGAGCGCGGAGCGGGCGCATCAGTCTGCCACTCGCCAAGTGTTTCCGGTTTGGCCCCTGCCAGGTCAGGTCAGTCGCCAAGACGAACGAGCACGCTGTTCGGGTCCAGGCCTTTCCCCGCCGGGATCAGCTTCAAATCTGATTACGGTAAGTTACAGACTGCAGCTTTCTGAGATGGCACAAAGGCAGTGTTCAAGGTCTCAGAAATGCGCCGGCATGTAGTCGAAGAACGTGTACTGTCGCATCAACCACTCCCAATCCGCGCACCCGAAGTCTTCTACCATTCGGAAGTGCACCTTTTTCGAGGGCCACGGTGGCATCACCACACGCAGCTCGCCATCGTGCCTCTCCACATCATAGAAACGGTCTTGGAAGGATACGATTCGCAGGTTACGGGCACCACGGATGAACTGGTTCGGCGTAAGGACCGCCGCACCGTGCACCTGGACGTCCACAAACTCGAGCGCGGGCAGCCGGGCCCACTGTGAGACGGGCGAGCACGTCAGGTCTTGCGAGAGTTGCAGTAGAAATTGAACACCCACCAACTCGGCGAACGTCTCCTTGTTCGCAAACCCGCGATCAAAGTCCAGGGCAAGGGCAGTCAGGCTGGTAGGGAGGCGGTCCACAAGACGGTGTATCCAATCCTTTGTCGGCGTGGCATCACACGCAAGAAACAGTCCAAGCACCTCCAGATTCTCCAGAGTGGCCAACGCCTCGAAAAGCGGCTCCGCGGCTGCAGCAGTGAGGTTGCACTTCGTCACAAATCTGCGCAGCCGGGGTCTGCCCTTCAGGAAGCTGCACAGTGCGTCGATCTGCGGCGGCGTCATACGCTCGTCCTCAGGTCCGATCGCGAGGGAATCGAAGGACGGCAGGTTGAGCGGCAGCACCTGTAATGCGCCATACATCTCTTCCTGCGGCTCGTCATCCATGGATTGCAGTGGCACCATGGTAAGCGACTCCAAACATGGAACCTTGCGCACGATGTTTTGGAGGTCCCTCGGCGCATATGCATCTTCAAAGAGCAACTCCAGATCAGTTATGTTATCGAGAAGACACGATTCGACGCCGTCCACGCCAGGAAGAGGGCACTGCATCTTCTCCCACAGAGATTCTAGCACGGGCGCGGGATCCGCCATGTTGAAGAGCTCATCGCGGTCATCGCGGCCCACTGTGGTGCGGATCGACCTGACGCTCCGGAGCAGCTGTACAGGGAGACTTGGCCACGAGAAGAGTCTGTCGACGGAATGCGAACGCGCTGTAAGAGCAAATGTCGCAACGTAAAGCGACTGCTACGTACGGCGCCTCGAATTGCTCCAACAGAGGACATGACTCTGCCAGTTTCTGGACTATGTTCTCAGTCGGTCTCGGGCAGGACCAATGCCACTGGAACACACGGAGATTCTTGAGGGAGGGAATGGCAGCAAGTAGGCGATCTATCATACGCCGGGTTATTACTGCTGCCCGTACGGATACCTTCCGTAAGACCTACCGATCTGCACCGCGACTGCCGCCTCACTTACATCATCCGCATTGCATGCTTGAACCTGCAACGACTTCACGACCCGTCCAAACGCCAGGTCGCTCGCTATGCGCTCGAGGATCTCCAGTGAGCGGCGCGTCCGCCTTTCCTCTACAAGACGCAAGGATGCGCGGATGTGAGGAAAGCCCTCCGGCGCAAGATCATGCGCCTCAAGCGTGCCGAGGCCGAGCGCGATGCGCGCGAAGACAGTGGAGAGGGCGACGTCGTGAAAGAGCTTGTTTACTGATAGACAAGTGCGGGCGGCGTCAAGCGGTAGGCTCTCGACGATCTTGACCCAAAGCTCGGGAGGCAGATGAGATACGTATTGTTCTGTTGGCATTGTGGATAGTCTATTCGTCTGTCGGTGAGGTGAACACCAGTTTCGAAGTAGAGCGCCAGGAGTGGGAGTGGGGTGTTTGGAACACGTCGATTGTCACCCGGCCTCGCTGACTTATACCCTTGCAATCAGCGGCTATCATTGTCAATAGCGATTGAGCACGTACCAGTCGGTCACAAGCAGGCGTCGACGGGCGTAGCAAGTCTGTGCCCAATGTGAGTAAAACTCTGGTGCACCCCGGCTCGGATAGGATACTCGCGCGCACACTGATGAAGGCGGTGTACTCGGCCTCACGGATCGCTATGTAAGTGCCCGCGGCGCTGACTGCATCTACCGTGTACGTGAGACTTGCTCAGATTTGCCTCGAATAGAGTGTATATTACCCCGTACTGTACTCTTTGAAGCTACTTCAACTTGACTTCAACTGATCTTGAGTATACGTACGTCTCAGTTCGCGCGTATCCAACTTGATCAGAGTGATGCCTGAGTTACAGACGGAAGAACGTTGTAGAAAGCGTAAGTCTGGCTTGGAATCTGGCTCAGAATTCTGTGGTACATGAAACACTCAAAGTTGTGAGCGGAAAGCTGAAGTGATGTGTTGGTTCGAGCCAAGTTACTTAGACGCTGGCATGCACCGATAAGTAGGCAACTCACATGCTTACATCTAATTACTTATATAACTAGTTGCAGTTTTGTGAAGCTTAACATTTTCGTAGTCTTCGAAGTACTACTCGACAATTTGTATGCTGTGATACCTCGAACACACATTATCATGTCCCTCAGCGACGGCTGTTCCATATGTCAACACCATACTCATCACACTTCAAATCCGACGAACGTGTTCGGGCGGTATATAGTCCCGCATCAGCCACTCCCAGTCTCGACTGCCAAAATCAGCGGCCGTCCGAAACTCGACTTTAGTCTGAGACCAAGGGTTGCTGAGCGTAACTCCGTCGTTCATACGCTCTACCTCGCGGAAGCACGGACCATGGCCTACGAGCCTAAGAGACGTGCACGCGGTTGCGAGCTCGAGCGTTTCCACGATCGGATGATGCTTGTTGTCGTCGATGTGGGTGAAGACGAGCTTCGGGAGGCCTGTCCACTGGAGAAGACCATGAGTATCACACTGGATGAGACAGCGATGAGGTAGTGCGTACCAGATCAATCCACGAGCAGTGTTGGTCCAAGTCGCTGTAGTCAAGCCAGAGACGTAACGCTGTTAAGCTTCCAGGGATTGCACGCTTCAAAGCGCAGAGCTGGGCCTCTCCGTTGACATGGAATGCGAGATGAATGCCTAGCACTTCCAAGTCCGGTAGTGACTGCATGACAAGAGATAAGTCATCGATGGTGCTTTGTTCATCATTGTAGTCCAGACACCGTAGTTTCTTCTTCGTCTGAATAAAGCCCCCAAACGCCCTCCGCTCCATTTCATTCGCGGAAGGCGAATAGAGCTTCAGGTGCGTGAGGTGAGGAAGCGCGTTGGGGTTTGCCGCTAGAGCAGCAAAGAGATCCGTTGAATCACCCGGGCAGTAGAGGACAATTTGCAGGGACTCGAGCCGCTCGTGGCAGTGATGAAAAAGGAGGGTGATGTTGCCGAGATGGCAGGCGTCGTCGATCGTCAGATCACTCAACTCCTGCAGGATATGTATCGGACACTCCCAAATCGCCTGGCTAGGGGCGGTGAGCCTAGCCAATGATCCTCTGCGGGCCTCAAGGAGCAATGCGAAGCGCGAACGATACGTGTCGTACGCCTGTGGGTCGACATCCCAGGGTTGTCGCTGAGCGTCATATAGGGCAATGTTCGTTGCTGCCAATTGCTTGAGAGCGTGCAGCGCATCCAAAGACTGAATCCTGAGAATAGTAATAATCGTGACAAGCAATATACGTTTAGAAGAATGTTGACACTCACGGCAGGTCGTATTCGCGAAGGTGGGTGCATGTCGACGCCAGTGTCTCCAGGAGCTCGGTGTCTGGGATCATGGTTGTGATGGTGGTGTTAGTGTACCACACGAAGGTGCGCAGATTGTGTAAAGCGCTGATGGCTTTCGTAAGACAGCCTTTCCTCGGACTATGAGCACCGCTAGCAATGCAAGGAACGATACTCGCTTACATAACTCGAATATCGCATCATTGGTTGCGAATGCGAGTATGTAGAGATGTTTGACATAAGAGGCGAAGACGGGATCAGTGATGATGCGTAGCAGTGCGGCGCACGACCGCTGCCCGCTACTCCGTATGGGTACAGTGATAGGGACACCGTAGATGAACTGCCAGGATCCGAACTGAATACGGAGTGTCGAGAAGAGCGAGCGAGCGGCGAGGTCGTGAAAAACTCTGGAGACAAAAAGGCATTCTCGTGTCGTGGACTGCGGAAGATATCTGAGAACCATCTGCCAGATTTCTGGAGGAATCTGTCCAGACAAATGCATCGACATTTCCGCGAAGAAATGCTTCTTCCTGGGGCGAGCAATCTGTCAGTCGCACGGTTCGCATACAGATTAAACATCATCTCACTGCAAACGGACTTCCTTGTACTCAGCCTTCGTACAGTCTTGGCAGAGAGAATATCCTGATTTTTCCTTGTCGTGTTCCCGTTAGACAAGAGCGGAGACAGAGCCTGGGTCGAGGTAATAAGTGGAATAAGTTGCCTCCTACACCGCTATAGATTCGACCGGTGGAAATCCGCCGGGATGACAGCAGGTGGAATCCAGTAGACTGTCCAGTGGGTGGCCGCTGGAAAACACGACTTCTGGTATCCAGTCGGCGACCCAGTGGCAGAGCTGTCGGGCCAGTGGCAACCCGGGGAGGGGACTCACGTGATGTAACGACTTAGAGATTGCGCGGCGATCCAGTACAGTAGCATTACGTCTGGTGTAGAGCACGCGAATACCATACCATTGCTCGAATCAATACAAGTTACGATGCAAGAAGACACAAGCCCTCAGGCAATGCTCCGTCATCCTCGCTGTATGTAACCGTGTTTACATGTCCAATACAACGACCTCATGGCACACTGCAGTCTTCACTGCCCTGAACTCGAAGAAGTGGCGTTGCGAAATCTGTCCAAACCAAAACTTTCAGAAGCTTTCTCTCGCTATACGACACGAGGGAACCACAGAGCACGTACGCGAAATCCGCCGCAAAGACGCAGTCGACTTCGCGCCCGACTGGATGGCGCCGCAGGACGATTCGGAGCGTGATACTTCATTTGATCCAAATACCCTCCCCGGAACAGTGACTCCTGGCAGCATGCATACGCATGGCGATACGGGCGCGATGCCTTATGCGGAACCATTCTTCAACGAGCTCTGCGAAGATCTATCTGCAGCAATGTCAGCTGCTGATCACTTCATGTCACAGACACACCTGGGGTCAATTCACGGACCAGCACTGGAGGACGACGATGACGAGCAGATATATGATGACTGGAGTGGTACCTTGGCTGCAGGAACAGTGGATGAAAGTCTCGATGCACTCGCCGACCGAGAAGACGACTTACGTGATCCCTTGTCGGGAAATGACAGTCTCGCAGACGGTGACCTTCGACACGCGCCAGACTTCGGGATGGACTTCGATTTTGCCAGTCTCCAGAAGTTGCTCGGTAAGCAAATACTTTCGATGTTCGGAAATGTGGTCTCACCGCTGAAATGATTCAGATTCCGGTCCCGACAATCTGGCGGGATTGCTGGATGATCAAGACTGGTCTCCGTGGAAAGATAAAGAGGTACGCACCTGCGGCAATGACATTACCAATATATCATCTTAACAGATGATGCAGCACTGCCTCATGGACATCCTGAGCGCGTTCCCTCGTGCGCTTTTCTCAGAGAATGAACTTGAGGCCGCGAAATGGTTCGCTGAACGGCATGGAGCCACTGGGCTTCCGAACGTCGGGCAAGTTAAACATCAGCGGGAACGGATCCTGAATACAGCGGGGCTTGATGTCCGAACCCACGAAGGAGGCTTGGGTGATCGGTATAGTGCTTGCACGATTGAGCGGATAATTGCAGACGTAAGTACCGACTTTTTATGTGTACCGACGCCGAGATGACTTACATATATCCTCTCGTGGATGGTTAGGAGTTCCGCAATCCCTTGGTTCGCCCCTTTGTATTTACATATGCTGAAGACACCCGAGATACGTTGTCTGAAGCACGCCAAGCTGCGAAATGGCTATGGGAAGTGGACCCGAATGCGAGTGGCCCTATGGCGCGATCCGAGCAGGGGAAGGACTACTTCGTCAATGAGATTTCAATGGCGAACCTGGACAGCTTTGGCCGAATCGGACCTGTCATGATTCGACGGTGGTTCATGCGCAAGGAGGAGCTGTTTGCACGGGTCAACCCACTGCTGATCGACAGTAACGACTCGACGTACATAGTGGATGAACGCACGGCTGCAGCATTCGATCTACCTCTTGGCGCATTTTTTTTGAACGCCATCGACCTGCAGAACACGACTGTCCAACGTCAGTATGGCTTGCCGTCGACAGCAAACATTGCAGGTAAGCGAATCAAAACGTGAATGCAAACAACTCATGCTTACCTGTGGCATCAGGGGTCATATACAACGAGGATCCTTATGCGCCGTTGAACGGTTGGCCATCCCCGCAAATTAACCCGTGGCGAGAAAGAGCAAGGGGGAAGCGTGTGTTATCGCTACCACTGTGGCTATACTGCGATGACACATCCGGGAACACGTCAAAGAAATGGAATAAGCACAATTCGATTCTGCTTACCCTTGCTGGCCTCCCCCGGAAACTCGCCCAGCTGCTGTACAACATCCACTTCGTCTCGACATCCAACATCGCATCACCATTAGAGATGATGGAGTATCTCGTGCAGACGTTACGGTAAGCATATCTGTAGTTGTTGCAGTTGTGTGCTCATACCTTTGTCAGTGAGACACGCCATAATGGCATCGAGGTGTGGGATTGCTTGTTCGGCGAGGACGTACTAGTCGTGCCATGGGTTCTTGCCTTTCTGGGTGACAACCCAATGTCGAGCGAGTTCGCGTCCCATATCGGGATGAGCGGGCGGTGTTATTGCCGGATCTGCAGGACACATAACGCCCAAGATAACCCACGAGAATGTTTAGATGCCTTCATGAAGGTACGCACCACGCGAATGCGTTGGGAATTGATGACTTATAATTCGTATAGCCAGGCGAGCCACGCACCGCTACAGATACACGACGGGACCTTGAAGAGCAGTTGAACAAAGCTCTCGGAGGAGCTCCGAGCAGCGTGGATGGTCTCGCAACTTTGTCGGGTACCAAGGATAAGTACTTGCTTCACTTTATCGAGAGTCTACAAAAGGCGGCGAAGGATGTCCGGGAGGGAATGAAGGGTCAGCCTGCCAAGCCGGGCATGTCAAAGGCAGATGTGGTGAGGGAGGCCCTGCAAACGCTTCGTCGTGCGATGCCCGACAACCTGTTCAATCCCACATTACTGTAGTATTCAATTCAATCCGGCGCAGGTTGTGACTGTGACAGCCGCGCCGCCGCCAGGCGGCGCGGCGCGAGCGACGGTGACGTGTGACAAAGACGGTGCAGACGGTGTGGCGGAGCGTCGATGGGCTATAAACGTCGTCGAAACGAGTGCTGAGGCCGCCGCCGGAGGCGGCCAAATTTTTGTGCATTTGTCACAACCGGCGGGCCCCCCAGTGACCCGTGACAAGGGTCCTTTACCGGTGTGGCGAGGGGCCTTGTGACGCGTGACCGCCGGACTGTATTGAATACTACAGTACTCATCCCGGGTAAGTGATGTGGAACTCAATGCAACACACGTCATTGACACTCACATGTCCCCAGACTTTGATCCGAACCAAGACTCGCCTTTTGAGGCGCTTCACGTTGTCTTGCTCGGGGTTGTCAAGTATTTCTGGCGAGACGCCGTTGCCCGCCAGACGGCAGATGGCAAGGAAATCCTCAAGGCGCGCCTCACGAGCGTCGATGTTTCAGGCCTTGACATCAGTCCGCTACGTGCGCAGACCCTTGTTCAGTACGCCGGGTCGCTTGTGGGGCGTGATTTCCGTGCCATACTCCAGGTGGCGCCTACAGTCCTGTACGGACTAATCCCGAGTGAAGCATACGAGGCGTGGACAGCCCTCTGTCGTTTGGCACCATTGATCTTCCAGCCGCAAATCGAGAACACACCAGATTACTTTGTGAGTACTGCAATTTCATAGATTACTAGGTGATACTTGCTTAGCCTTTGATCGAACGCAGCGCCGCCTCGAACATAGCGTGTATGACTTCCTTGCGGCGACAGCCCTCTGGACGACTCGTTGGTTCAATAAACCAAAGTTTCACTTGTTTCTGCATCTTGCACTGCACATTCGCCGATTTGGACCTGCAATTCTCTGTTCAACAGAAGGCTTCGAGTCGTACAATTTTGTCATTCGCCTACGCAGTGTGCATTCAAATCGACATGCACCGAGCAAGGACATTGCGCAGGCATTCAGCTTCTTGCACGCTGTACGTCATCTCGTCAGTGGAGGTTGGTACCTCTGCGATGGCACTGGAGCCTCACTGGATAAGCCACGCCAGGCCGGCGACGGTGTTCTGTCACTACTGCAAGATGATGTTCTTGTGCGGCTGCTAGGGATGGAAGGTCTACGCAAAGCATTGTCGTCAGCCGAACCCGTCTCTCATAAAGTACTTGGGATGACTGAACGTGGTATCCGGCCACAAATTCAAGCGTGTCGCACAGCAGCTCGTACGTTCCAATATATATATATATTATGTTGTTCTCGATATGCTCAACGAAACTTTCAGCTCAATTTATTGCACTCCGCGGAGAGAGCTCAGGACGTACCATTGCTAGTACACTGAGTGCCGCGGCAGGCTTTGTCGATCCAGCCAGATATACTGCGAATGTGATCTCTTGCAAGTCTGTCCTTCTGGCGAGTGGGGATCGAGTCAAAGTGCACGATTTTGTGCTCTGGCGGCCCGACTCGGACGCGCACCATATGCACCCGAGGCTCGCACAGGTTAACGAAATCCTTGTCGTTTTGGATACACATGCTGTCCTCGGTATATTGTCAACCCCTTGCAAGATTGGCGAAGCGGTCATGCCTTACCGTGTGCCGTCGGTCAAGCGGCTGACAGGAGAGCGTATTTTTCTGGGGCACCACGTCAGCACCAATTCCTACATCACCAATGATAGTACTAACATCGAATCAGGACATCCTGTGTACGGCTAATGTCGTGCACAATTGCGCAAAGCATCAGTGTGCCGTGACCCGGACGAAAGTGATCTACCAGGAACGACATCAGACCGAGTTCAAGGACAATGAAATACATCACCTATCGGATCAAGACAATCTTGTGTTGAACCTCGCTCAGCTACGTGATGCTGCCGTCTTGCAATTGTTGCAGCCAGACGTCCGGTATCCGGGTATTGAACACGCGCTACTTCTGGACGAGGCGGTGAAGGTTCGTCGGCGCAGGGATGCTGAAGACGAAGCTTCAGAGCAGTCGAAGAAGAAAAGAAAACGTACCAAGGCCCCAGCACATCCAGCGGCACCACCCGCTGCAGCCGTGCCTGGCCCTAGTACTGCATCGACTACCAGTGTACACGCTCCGAGTCGGCCTGTGGAGCATGGCACGACGGCGGTGGTGCAGGCAACTCTGCAACGGCCGCCTGCAGACCCAGTACCTGCGCAACCACTTCATTTTCAGCCGGCTCAGAGCCCCGGCATCTCGTATACAATAGGCATGCATGGCAACATCCCTCAGCCATTGCCTATGAACATAGATGTCGCAGAGCTCGCCGGGCCCGAAAGACACGCACGTACCACTGCCTGGGAGTCGCATTATCACGACCCATCCCGGACTCACACCGACACTCCCTCACGCTCATTCGTGACAACTCCCCATCCTCCTGACAGCCGTAGTCAGTTGTCGCATGCACCATTTGGATGGACCCTGCAGGCGCAGGGTGACCGCCGGTGAAGACTCCAATACGAGTACTAGTAAGCGTACAGTAGTGTTTCGCGCAGAAATGTAACATTGCTCACCTGTCATTGAATGTACCTTGGCTCGGGAGCACGCATTATGACTCCAATCTTGAACTGCTGTGAGCCTTGAGGTGTTCTTCTGCCTGAAGAGCCTGAGCAATGCTCGCAGTCTGAGTCTGAGATGAAGGGCGTCACACATCGGCGCCTCGAGCATCGCCTTGTGAGGCCGTTCAAGTTCCGTACATCCATCGATTGATCCCAGTGTGTCCCACTTCGGCGCTGGGATGATCCCCAAACGTTCACTCTACTCAGACCACCACCATTCCACGGGTCAAGGGTCAGTCGCCTCGCTGATTGTAGGACACATCTATGAATGATGGGTGCTTCGACTCGTAGGACGTCAGCCATGGTAAAGATGCTGAGATTATTGCCTACGACTTGAATTGATAGTAGCTACTAGCCTTCAAATTTCGCACCGCAACGTTCACATTCAATGCACGTATTCGGCGACCAGGTATTACTAGTTTTGTACCGTGATCAGTGATGGAGCTCACTGTAAACTACACAGTGCAGACGAACAGGCAATATTACCAGGGCCATCATGATGCTCGCTGCCTGCCATACTTACGGAGAGATAAATCCACCATACGGTATGTCCCGATGAGATTCCCTTGTTCCTGCTGTATCGCAGGATGCTTGTCCAGACTCGCCACTCATTCATCAATGTTTACGAACAACTTGAAGTCAGGATCGCGCAGTTTCGCCGTCTCCGGGATGTAGAGTTGCAGCCACGCCAACACAACGACAATATCTCAAACATCGGTGGTATGGCTCAAGTTCAAGTTTCCTTCACTATTCATGCATTGCTGATTATTCTCAAACCACGCAACAGCTTTCCAGATTCGTCACTGGCCCAACGCGGGTGCATCCGGGTCTGGCAGTGAGTGGACGCCTGTGGCGGCGAGCGTCAAACACTCACCATCTCTTTCGACTCCCTCCACTGACGCAGGCGTCGCCCACTCCGTCTTTTCTCCCTGTTTCAAAATGCCTTCAAGTTACCCAGTTTTCATCCACCCTGATTCACCTCGTCACCGTGGCTCTACCATGGTACAGCGAGGCGGTCCGATTTCCCGCTACCATCCTTATGCAGGCCCTCCTTTGCGTCAGCCGCAGTCAGGACGCGAGCCTGATATTCCTCATTTTTCCCCAACTCCCTTGAACTGGTCTTCACAGCTGACCGACGAGAATGTTGATCCTCAGCATCCTACTACGCCGGCTATGCTCTTCGCTCCGTCGCACACCTTCCAGCACGAGCCAGCTGTCCCTGCTGACAGCATGGCAACGGCTCCGCTGTCGTTCAACAACAGCATCCAGAACCAACCGTTCTCTCTCCTCACTCCTCAAGGCCTCGATATGCACATCAACAAGCTCAAGCTTGATGCGCACCGTGAAGAAATTCACCGCTTCGCTGGCGTGAGTATTGTTGTGTCACCACCTGCCGAAACTGACGCACGTTCCTCAGATGAACACGGAACAGCAGAATATCACTCTCTTTACTATGATTTTGTCCAGGGACATCCGTAACGAAGACGGATCCGTGCTCGAGAGGATTGACAAGCGCTTCGAGCATCTTGAAGAGCTCAATCAAGGATCCTGGCAAACAACAGCCATTCAGAAGGTAGGACAAACCACCACTAGTTTCCTTCAGTACTGACAATCAGATGCAGGCATTGCTGAAGGGCCTTGTTGGGCATTGGTTAATTCAGCCACTCGACACGTACGAGAAGTTCCACGAGTTGGTCGGGGTATGTTAGCAGCTCATATGTTGCAGTGGAACCATCTAATGCTGCATAGAAATACATCTATGCTCGCGCCGCCTGGCTGAAGCTCGGATTCTACGTCAATGACCCCATCGTTCGCATCACGATCGACGACGAGTTGCGTCATATCGCCGGTGATATGAAGTCCGATTTTCGTAGGGAGGTGAGTGCCGAACCACACCCATCTTGATGGTATGTATTCACATTCATTCTGCAGGTCGAGGACTCCATCGAGAAGAAGAAGAAACCATTGCATCAATTTGCCCGCAAGATGATTGACAAGTATCATCTCCCGAACGTACCTCGGGAGCCACCTCAGAGTATCCTGGCAACATTAGCTATGCTCGTAAGTTATCATTGTTGAATATATACGAAGTCGGAGAACATATACGTTATCCAGCGCGCCCTTGCTGGCGACCGGCAAATGATCGCTGGCGGAAGATTTTGGCCAGCTGCCGAGAAGCGACTCGTCGATGCATACGAGAAGAATCCGGGTGAGGAACGAGGGATAGGCCCATCTTGGGACAAGTGAGTTCATACCTGTCTCTTTCAGATCCGTCGAGACTAATGGTTGGTATTAGGTGGGAGAAAGATATGATTGCAAAGGATGAAGCCAAATTCGGGTATCCGCCTGCGGCCGACATTGCCCTGCTCACTTCTGCTCCGAGCCAGCTCCCCGCTGCCAACCTGGGACCAGTCTCGGTGGGCAGCACCGCGGACGCGCACACAGATGGCGATGACGAGATGGCTGGTGATGATTTCGGCCTGACAGCCCTAACCCCCAATGTCGCTGGCATTGCCAGTAACATCCGCGTGAATCGGCGCACCACGCACACCGTGTTCACTCCCGAGCAGTTGAGTGGCGAAGTCACACTCGCGCAATTGGGGAACATTGCCGGGACCATTGACGGCACTCGTGCTGCTCCCGCGCAAGGCCATCAGGGAGACGTCAGGGGGCCCGATGATGTTGGCGACATTGCTTCGACTACGATTACCTTCCAGAGGTCCTCTGCTTGATCCTTAGTTTACCTTGTACATCTTAAGTAACTCTGTGTCTCGTGAATAAAATTGCTGTGCAATTCGTCTGGACAAAAACTGTATGGATTGCGAGACATAGTACATACTCGGCGGCGAAATGCGCTGCTGCGCCTCTGGTGTATCACGTGGGCAGAAAACCGCACCACTGGCCTACGCATCCATCCACTGGGTTATCTACTGGATTCCAGAGAACGTGTTCGCCTCTGGGATCCACTGCCCATCTTCTGGAATCCACTGTCCATCGACCCGGTGGATTCCAACTGGTCAGATAGACGGCAGTGTAAGAACCTGGTGGCGTACGTACGTACTACAAGGAGTCTCCCACGTTCATTATTGCGAGGACATATACTTACCGCGTGGTATTCATTTCATTTAAATCCCTAAATACTGGCACGACGGCACGTTCGACTCCAGCATCGTACGATCTACGATCGATCCCAGTGCGTCACTCCATTCGACGGTTCTCCGCAGGTTCTCCGGGCCGTCCGCGACGCAAAACACTTTCGTGGTTCCCAGGTATAAATCAGCCATATATCAGCACGGCCCACAGCTATCGCGTCGGTTGTCCATCCTTCTCGACTTCTGGTTGTTCACGATGTCGCACTTACCAGTGTTCAAGATTGTGCCTACGACGCAGAAGTACGACTGGGGGAAGATTGGGCTCTCCTCCAAAGTAGCGCAATATGCGGCAGCAGCGAAGATACCCGGGTTCTCGCTCGACGAGAAAGCTCCGTATGCTGAGGTATTTCTGCGCAGGGCATGTCAGAACTCTCCATCGCTGACAAGTTACGTAGTTGTGGATGGGTACTCATCCAAACGGACCCTCGCGACTAGCAGGCGCGGATATTACGCTCGCGGAACACCTCGCCGCACATCCGGAGCTCATGGGCCCGAAGGTTGTCTCGCGATTCCGCGACGCAGGTGCGGAAGAGGGCAACCTGCCCTTCCTCTTCAAGGTGCTCGCGATCGAGAAAGCGCTCAGCATACAGACGCACCCGGACAAGAAGACGGCGGAGGCGCTGCACAAGGAGAAGCCGAACGTCTACAAAGGCGCGTCGTGCGATTCTGCTACTAGTCCCCGTCGGGGAAACACATCCCGCTGAGACGCGAGCACGTCCCGCAGATGCGAACCACAAGCCTGAGATGGCGCTTGCCCTCACGCCGTTCACCGCGATGTGTGGTTTCCTCCCGCTGTCACAGATCGCTACCTACCTCACGTCGACGCCCGAGTTCGCCGCGCTCATCCCGGAGACCATCACCACGAAGTTTCTCGCTGCCGCGTCCTCTGCCGACCCAACCAGCCCCGAGGCGAAGACAGTGCTGAAGGACCTCTTCTCCGCTCTGATGACTGCGGATGAGGCCGCTTTCAAGGCTAGCCTGGCGGACCTCGTGAAGCGGTACGAAGCAAGCGGCGCAAACGCGGACGAGGCAGGCGTCAAGGACCTCGTCCTGCGTCTCAACAGCCAGTTCCCGGGCGACATCGGCGTGTTCTGCGCGTTCATACTCAACTACGTGAAGATGCAGCCGGGCGAGGCGATCTTCCTTGCCGCGGGCGAGCCGCACGCATACGTTTCGGGCGGTGAGCATCGCCTCTCACGAACGCTCGACGAGTACTGACACGGCACGCAGATATCATGGAGTGCATGGCGACCTCGGACAACGTGATCCGCGCGGGGCTCACACCCAAGCTGCGCGACATCCCGAACCTCGTCTCCGGACTCACGTACGGCGCGGGCGACGCCAGCCGGCACATGGTCAAGCCCGCCGCCTTCGACTCCGCGGCACACACGGCGCTCTACAACCCACCCATCCCCGAATTCAGCGTCCTCCAGGTGCTGATCCCGAGCGGCGAGACGGAGGTGCACCCGCCAATCGAGGGACCAAGCATCGCTATCGTGACAGAGGGCAAGGGCGCACTGGAGTGGGCGGGGGAGAAACTGGTTGTTGCTGAAGGCGATGTCCTCTTCATCGGGGCTGGGACTGGTGTGAAGCTACTGGCGAGCGGGGATGGCCAGCTGGCCATTTACCGCGCTTTTGTGGAGGCGAGTTGAAAGAGGACCTGATGTCGGGACGCAAACGGACGGGAAAGAAGACAAATGGTTCGTGTATAACTAGACATGGGATGAGATAATATGTGAATGCGCGAGAGCGGTGAATGTCCCTGCCGCCGTTGTTTACATCACGAAATCTCGAATCAAAAGTTGAACTGGAAGGCCTGGCGAGGTACAGGGCTTGTGGCGTGAGAACTTGAAATGTTCCTCGCGGACCGCCGCCCTGTGGCGCGCAGAACCGATTTTGAGGATTATCCCCATCATCCATGCCCCGGAACCTTCTGAACTGTCCGTTGGAAGCCGACACATACATACCCTTTGAAGATCCACTAAGTGCAGTTCGCGACAGGGACTGACCAGCGCACAGAGTCGCTTCGCCGAGGTATGCCACATGGATACCAGATTTGGGAGCGGTGGTAAGCACGGACCTACTACACAGGTAGTACGTCACTGACCGTCTGTCGGAAACAGATTTGAGGTGCATACGCCATATTAAGGGACGTCTAGTCCGCCCATGTCGTTCCGATTTGTCTCCGTCGCGCCGGGCTCGTCTAGGACAAGATTCACCATATCGCGACCCATCGTGTGTCTGCTCCCCACGGTCTGTCTCGCATGCTAACTGTTCTATCCGTGTTTGCGAAGTTTCCAACAGATGCAGGAGCAATATCAACACTGTGCCCTAGGTACCCGATCGCCCGGCGACCAGAGCATCGATTCCTCAAGGTCCGGGACCTGCTTCATTAACCCTCGACCGCCGGCGTTATGTAGTCCAGGATACTGGGGCACGCCGAACAGTATACAGAGTCCAGTGAGTCATTCTTCTGGGTAGTGTTCGTGCTAATATTTGCTGGCAGCTATCAATGTTCACCCGCAGACGCGGAGTTCCAAGTTGTCGATTAAGCGGCTTAACTTGCCTCTTGACGTAAGTACATGTCCACGAACGGGGCGCATAACTCCCGGAGTTCGTATCTGCAGTTCTTGATTCTGCGGAAGCAAAGACGAATTTGGCCTGACATGGTTGTCAGGCAGCTACTTCGATATTCTAGCTTCGCTTCTTCTGTCGAGGGAGGACTGAAGTCCCTTGTTTGCAGGTGCCGTCCGAGTCGACATCTATTATCATCGGTTTCAAACCCCACCGAATTTGCCCGTGAGATGCATCGCGAACTGGGAACTGAATAACGCTGGGAAGTCGCCAAGTTAAAATTTCTGCCAACACAATATCGAGGACCATCGGTTTTAGGGACGAAGGCCCGCTCGTCGTGATTGCTGTTGGACTACTGCAACTTGCTTCGATCAGCTGTATATGGATTGGATATGTCCTGTGGATGCCTTTTCGTACAGTCTCCGATCCCGCGACTACATGGCATTTGTAGTGTCGTGGTTGTATGCCTTCAGTCCGCGGATTCAAGGGAACAGTCAGCGCTGTCGCTGGGACCACAATTTCCCGCTGACATCCTCATCACGAAGACACCGATCGTGCCGCGAACCGGAGGAACATTTGGGCATGTTCTCTTGTCGGACTGGTTGCGGACTGGCCGTGGAACGCCGTCTGCGGTACTTACATATCTCCATAGGTTCGTGCGGCTGAGAATAGGCCATTCGGCCACGCCCCCGATCGTCGTTGCGGAAGTACCCCCTGCGATGACAACGCCGTCGGCAATTGCTTATGTCGTTTGTTGTCATGCAGAGAAGGTTCTGTCGCCCCGACCGTCTCTTCGCGATCCAGGACTGCCCAGGAGGATATGTAATCCCCTCCGAGACGCGGTTGGTGTGCGAATATCGATCCATGGGCGCGAGATTTTGGCCCAGACAGCATCTCTCGGGAAGGTTTTCCAGGACCACCACTCGAAAGCTTCTTCGTGTTATACACGCCGCTGACCGTTCACGACAGCCAGCACAAGACGGGGAGCCTTGTCGGTAAGTACGGCTGCGCGCGTCGGTGCCGCCCAAGTACCGCTACATCGGAACCTATCTGCGTGTCTGGCTCCGGAGGCCGCAAAACTTCCTGATCAGGCAATCAGCGGTGAAAAAGAAGACGACAAAATGGGCGCTTGACGGCGCTGTGTACGACCCACCTCCGCTCTGGGCCTCGCGACCGAGCAGATGACGCGCGGTATTGTGAGCTGTCCCCAGCCCATTGGGCCGGCGCGCGGGCGGTCGCCTTCGCAGCCTTATGTATCTGACATCGTCGTCAATCTTCTGCTTCCGCTTCGCCGCGCGCGGACACGCTATATTCGGCGGGGCAGCAGACGCGGCTGCCCTCCCCTTTCCCCCGGTCTTCCTGCAATTGCGACGTCGGCGTGGATGGGTTAGCTTGGACGTGGGTTATTGTTGCTGTGTCCGCGAGGCTTGTCTGCGTTTACTTCTTCTCTCCGCGACGCACGCACCCAGGTTGTGACGACGACGACGATGTCGCCGGACGGCAAGCTCAAAACAGGAGACAGCCTCTTGAGCGAGTTCCTCTCGGACGTGCAGACGATTCGGTACTCAGAATGTCAGTGCGTGCTGCGCAGTGGTTGACAGGATCTGCTCACCTGTGGGATGTGAACAGTGGCGTCGAGCACTATCATTATTTTCGACCACCGTGCGTGACCAGCCCATCCGTTCTATTCGGCAATGCTGATTTCCTTGCTTGCAGTATTGACGCTTGATCAGGAGGTGAGTGAAGTCAAGTGCATGTTGCGGTAGCGGATGCTTAAGAATGTTATGCTAGTATAACTTGATTTGGGTGCGCTGCAGTTCTGCTCCCAATCAAATATCAGTGAAACTCACTATCATCATAGACCGCACCATGGTCCATTGGAAAATGTCTGTTCTTGTTTGTCAGTCCTATTCCCCGCCATCTCGTCCGTCCCTCACATATCGCATCCGCAGAACCGGTACTATACGCTCCTTACAGTCATGTAAGCGCCCCCTTATTAATATCCTTCGCCGCACTGACCAAATCATACCTGGCCTAATAGCTTCAACAATTTCGGTGGGAATATGCCTGTCCGCCATGGAGACCCGTCGCTGATGGTCGCGATGGTCCTTTCCTGTAGCCCTCTTCAGCGATTATCTTAGTGATTCAGTGAGTCGTTCTGAAAAGTCACTTTAGGCATCGTTGCTCACCGAGACAAACAGTTGTAGGTCCTATCATAGACCCGGTAGTGAAGCTTTGCTAATCGCTTTGCAGTTGTACATATCTTGACGGAAGCCTACGCAGAAGAATCAGCTGACGCAGCATGCAGGCCTCAACTGGTACAGATGGCAAGGTTGGACGGGCGTTACCTCGTTCATCATCGCCGAGCGTATGTGTCCCCTTCCCCCCATCTGTGCACCTCGTACTTGTGCCGCTGGCCTTCCCGGCTCTTGTGTCTTCGCCAACGTGACGCTCACCTGTCTTACAGTCATTCTACTCCTTCGGCTCTATGCCCTTTACTTCCTCAACAAGCGCGCGCTCGTCTTCATGGCCTGCACGTCGCTCGTCGCTTTTGCAGCTAGCGCGGGTATAATGGGAAGCCTTCTCGCAAAAATAACTGGTGCGTCCGTGCATGGTCGATCTCTTCGCTTCATCTTGTTGAGTTTCCAAACACCTCTCTGGTCACAGCGACGGCACATCCCTTCCCAACGCACCCCACACCGTATTGTGCGGCGTCGGGCCTTTCTGCATCTGCATATGCGTTCTGGATTCCCATGCTCATCTCCGAGTGCGTTCTCTGCGCGCTCGCGGTAAGCCGTTTCGTTCACATGCACCACACGCGCGCCGGCGCAACGCTCTTCCAGAATGGGCGCAGGCTTGTGGTGGCCCTCATAAGGGACAGCGTCTGGTATTTCGTCGTGTGAGTGCGGAATCTTCGGAGCTGGTGCGCATACACTGTGCTTCCAAGTGCTGACTCGCCGTTGTCTCTGCAGGATGTTTGCCACGTACCTCGCGAACACAATCGTCTTCGTCGTTGGCACTGCGACAGAGATCGAGATCCCCATAGGCTTCTCGGTCGCGTTCGCTTGCGTGCTGGCGAACCGGCTGTGCTTAAATGCGCGCGGGATGGTACGCCGCGAGCGCTCTGGCTCATCATCTGATTCAACATCAGAGTCTTACATGACGCCCGAGTACGTCTCCTCACCTCGTGCGATTCTACAACGTCCCTACGACTCCGTCGAGGACTGGGAGGAGGGCGCGTACGAGAATGAGGAAGGGGATCTTGACTATGGGTATGGCGGGAGTGGGTACGACGGGCAGTCCTCTAGACGACACATCATGAGCGATACAACGCCGACTCGCTCGCCAGTCACGGCGGAGGTCGAGGGCGGCGAAAGGCTGGACGCGATACAGATGCGGGAGCTGCGGCGAATGCGGAGCACGCGCGAGCGGGGATATGGCCTGGGAGCCCGGTGGGCGGAGGGCCTACGGGCAGGTCGGGGGAAGCGAGAGGGCATCGGCGAAGAAAGTCATGCGGAACGGGAAGGCGTCGGATTGGCCACTATATGACAGGTTGTGGCCGAGGAACATTGTTGTACTTCTGTGACCGGTGTCGGTATGTGATATGTGGATGTACTCGCTAATTTGTTGAAATTATGAGCTTGCACAGGATTGCGTAGGGTCTTCCAAGCTTCAAGTCGCAGGTAGCGCGTGTGCTTGGGTGGGCGAGGCAAGGGAAGCGAGTCACTGATGCCAGTGACATCGTTGGCGAAGTCTTCCCGCCATGTATGCGCGGCCACGGTGGTGGAACCACAAGATGGGGGTTGGGGGACGAGGGCGCAAAGGGTACCTCGTGGGTGGGAAGGGTAGCCTTTATACGCGCACTCAACTCCAGAAACGTCTCTGGAAGCGTGCAGATGTGAAGAGCGAAGAGTGAAGACGCCGATGGGAGGTTCGAGTGTCGTCATTGAGCAGGACGCGAGTCGTATACGGAAGTTGTGTTGCCTAATCAAGTACCGTCCATTCCTTACGTCCTCCCGCGTGCGTTGACAGGCAGTGATCTAGATGCGCCGACGAAGACCTGACACCTCGCCGAAAGTATCGCCTCATGCCTCGCAGCCTAACTGTACAGGCACCCACGACGGCTTTGACATAAGTTACTAAGTACCCAACTCGGTAGCCTCGACGGTCTATAACTTGGAGACACAATATTGAATTTCGAGTGAGCACCGATCAGCGTTCTCTGCGCGTTCGCTGGGAACTTAACAACTGCACTTACCATCGCTTACAGATTCGCCCATCCAACTGGCAGTCCTTCGGCCCTGTACTCCATGTAAGGCTGCAACTTGCGAATGGTTGCCCGCTCATGTTTAATTATGGCGGTGCATGCTAGCCTACTTCCAGTAGTATTGCTGACATTGATTTGCTGTGCGGTGTGCATACCGCCGACTGTCAGAAAGTGACTAGAAGATCGTGTATGACGTTGATCGGCGCTCTCGGTGCAGCGCTTCGAAGCACGCATGTTTGGCTGTGGCCATGGGGTATGCCGCGATGCCAGGAGTCTCTGCACTACTGACTGCAACCTCATGAGTATATAAGCCCGGAGTCATGATGTCCTACATACCGCTTCTCTTGACCTGAACCTTGTCCGTCTGAGTACACAACTGAGCGATTCCAGTGATCCGCACACTACTACTGCGTCCTGATCGCCTGCTGTTGGCATCCAATTGAAGATGTCTGGCACGATGTCGGCGGATGAGTACACGTCTATCATCTATTCCCAGTGAGTGTCTATCTATCACAGCATTGCCCGTACTGTTGCTGACGACGACTACACCTGTCTTTGTAGGTATAGAGACACCTTATGCAATCTTGCCAGCACATGTAAGTCTGACCGAGTTTGGTTAGCCGTTCGAAGAATTGACAGCGATTGATCTGGACACGTCCCTGTCAAGCTATGCTACTGTACGACTACATCCTGACGATTGATCAAGAAGCGGATCTTATTTGGAAGAAGCCAAACGGTGCCTCCATTATCTTCGGTTTGAACCGCATCGTAACTCTAGGGCTCATATGCGAGTCTGCTACGGGGCAGCTTCACCACTATACGTACGAGAGGTAAGCAGTCTACAGCGTTCACTACCCGTGTTGCTCACGAGATATAGCTGCAAAGGCTTGACGATATTCTCTGAGGTAGTCATTCTGCTCTCATACGCTATTTGGGCGGGTAGGCTTCCAAGTCGAGTGTCAGCGAAGACGTCATGGGCTCACCGCACATCGCAGTTGTCTCCGCTCTCAGAGTATACGCTCTCACGAAGAGAAACTGGTGGCTGTCGACGGTGACTTTCGTGTTAGGGATAGCCCCGTTGGCAGTTGACCTGGTGAGTGCCGCCACCGTCGTTCGGTCGCCATGCCACGTACCTCATGCTGATCACTGAATGTGCATGTCCATTCAGTACGTCGGCACCACAATATCCTACCGCATCATCCCTCTGGGGAATGAAACCTTATGTCAAGAGGACACCAATGTCAACCGAGGATTTTATCGGAAGTACGTACAGTCATAGGACCTATGTGCACCAGCGAGTTCAACTGATTTGACTGCCGCGATAACAGATGTGCGATTGTTTACTGGTCTTACCTTCCACCATAGCCTGATCACCCGATCGACAGCACTCATCATCTGCCGCGGATGCAGTATAGTCTCAGACCTCTTAGTCCTGGGCGTGACTATGTATCACATACTACCCCGTTCGCTCGTGTTTTCGCGAATGATGTGGTCCAGAAAGTCATTCACACGGATATTACTCAGAGACGGTAGGCTGCATGTAGTCGCCGGCTTGTTGACACGCTAACATTGGACAACAACCGCATCGCAGGGATTTTATACTTTGCGTATGTCTCCGGTATGATGGCACAGACAATGGACTGACCTTGTTTCAGGACGCTGACTACCCTCAATGCGCTCGAAATCGCTCTGTACCTGACCGCGGTGCGTCGTTCCGGGCGAGTCAACCCCACCTTAACCCCGATGCTGACGAGCTTGACAGACCGACGACTTCATCAACTACTTCATCGCGCCGTATGTATCGAGCCTCGTCCACTGCATCCGCACGGATTTGCTCACCCGGCCTATCAAACAGCGTATCGACCGTCTTTGTCTCTCGCTTCATGTTGAACCTCCGCGCATGCGCTAGCACGCCTGTCATGGTTCTAGACTCGCAGGCTCACACCCTGAGCTCGACCGAGCATTCAACGTCGCAAACATTGACTCTCACATTTACTCCGGTCGCATCGTGTGCGTGTCCCAGATCCCGCCAGCCACTGGGCTTGGAGGCAATACTGACGACGTCATGCTGGCAGACCCCGACACAGTGATACCTTTCGAAGGGGACACGGCTGAACAAGCCAGACGCAGGTCGAGCGCGGGTGACAGCGTGCTTTGGGACGACGATTCGCTAACAGAGAGCTTCGAAATGGAGCCTCGGTAAGGTAAAGATCGAAACCTTTGTGTCCGTGTATGTATGTGCGACTATCTGGCATACTTAGTCCGAGCGGACTGCTGTACCTACCCCATTACCAATGAACAGCGCCGACGGTCGAGGTGAGCAACTTGAACCCGGTAGTTCTGCCAGGTTCTCCAAGATGTTCCGTAGAAGACATGGTGCATGATCAACTCATTGCATCCGGTGCTCTCCGAATCGCCACCGGTGCGCCAGATGCGCCATGATGCGCCGTGAACGATAGTCCACAATCAGCTCTGCGCGCTGCACTGCTATAGGCCAGGGACCGCCTTGGCACCATTGATGCTGTACGGCCTATGACGACCGTAGTGCTTCCAGCGAGCGCTACACGTGCTTCGAGAGCATCATGATGAACGGCTCTGCCGGGGTACATAATTGAGTAGGTTGAGAAGCTGCGCGATGTTCTCCAGGAACCGTTCAGTGTTCGCTCGTCCAACTGCCAACTTCTCTGTCAAACGACTGTCAAACGAGGGAAAAGCCGTCGACCATGACGCCGGAAGACATCACGCCTGTCATGTTTTCGCAGTGAGTACCTACTCTACTCACTGATGGCAGTACTAGGCACGCGCGATTGCTAAGGATCGCTATGCAGATATCGAGTCGCCTTGTGCAATTTTGCTAGTGCTGGTCAGTCCAACACAACATTGCTTTGATCAATGTTCGCAGTTCACTGAAACGTCAGAATGCCAGCTATGTTGCTCTATGATTACATCCTGACGATTGATCGAGAGATGGAACTCATCTGGAAAAACGCAAATGGTGTCTCCGTCATCTTCGTTTTCAACCGTGTCATAACCTTGGGGCTCGTGTTTGCGTACGCCGCGCAGTTCCAACACTACTCGTATGGGAGGTAAGCATTCTATGCACTGATCGTGCGTGTTCTCTGCCAATCGCGCTGCTTATGGACATCAGCTGCAAAGGTGCTTCAATAGTTGACGTGGTCTTCAGCCTGCTCTCATACATGATGTGGGCGGGTACGTCCTCCAGGCTTCCAATATTCAATCGCTCACCGTTCATCTAATCTAAAGTCGTCTCCGGGCTGAGAGTATACGCTCTCACGAAACGAAGCTGGGCACTGTCGGTATTGACATTCGTGTTGGGGATGGCACCATGGGTACCAGACGTGGTGAGTCCTAGCGACCCTCTATCCTCGCAAGTTGTCGCGCCCCGTCCCAAGTCGGGACTGCTTCCTAACCAACGTACACGGCTGTCAGTACATCGGAGCCACACTATCCTTCGATGTTATCTCTCTGCCAGTGGGGAATCGGGATCTATGTCAAGAAAACACTACCCTGAGCCAGGGATTTCAACGGAAGTAGGTACCGTCATTGTTCTCATGTCTGCGCCGAGTCGAACTGAGTGATCTTCCTTTTACAATTGCAGGGGTGAGAGTGAATGCAGATCTTGCCTAGTAACTGCTTGAACGTCTGACTTGCAGCACTCATCATATGCCGCGTGTCTAGTATCATATCCGACCTCATCGTCCTCTTCGTCACCATTTATCGCATAAGCCCCCGTTCTTTCGTATACTCACGAAAGATGTTCACGAAACGGTCATTCGCGCAGATACTGCTCAGAGACGGTGCGTTATACTGTAGTCGTTATGTTACGCTAGCTCAATGAACTGGCAATGAACAATGCCGATTGCACGACAGGGTGTGTATACTTTGTGTGCGTGTTTGTCACATGTCTCTTGGAGCACGTAACGACGATAGTTCAGGATGTTGACCACCTTCAATGCGCTGGAAATCATCCTATATCTTGCCGCGGTATGGAGTATCTATCTCTGTACGAAGCGACGCTTACGAAGTCACTAGGCAAGGGACTACATCAACACCTTCATTGCACCGTATGTGTTCCGTTCCACGTCTGTGCGTGATCGCTGAGACAAGCCCGTTATACAGAGTAGCAGCTGTATCTGTGTCTCGGTTCATACTGAACCTCCGCACTTACGCTGCCGCGCCCGGTACAAGTCTAGACTCGCAGGACGACTCCGAGGGCACCACCACGGCCAGGGAGTCAGCTTCACAGACACTGACCTTCGCATTTGCTGCCGTGACACGTACGTCTCTCATGATCTAAGGCGTAGTCCCTGCCCGTTATGGTTCAAGCTCATGCTGATGAACCGACCCAGATCTCGACACGATGATATATGTCGAAGTCGACGCGACCGAACACGGTACATGTGCGTCGGACGTACGAAGCACTGTCGCGCGCCGTGAGGAAGACCATCCAGGTAGCATAGAAATGGCGCGCCGCAGGTGATGCAGTGCTCCAGCAGAGAGCATACCGTACGGCAGCTTCACAGAATCCGACTCTTGACAGAGTGAGATTGTCACCCGGCGGGTGTACTGTACCTTAATTCATGACTATAGTTGTACTGAAATATGCATTAATGCTGATTACTGGTAGCACAACACGGATTTTACGGCTGTTCAAACGTTCAAGTGCCGCTGTTCATCGAAGTAGAAGTGCACATGAGACGCTGTGAGACGCAGAATGAAACGAAGCATACAGTACATAACAAGAGGGGAAGCCGACGAGGGGGTTGAACAAGTACTAGTCTAGGTATGCATGTTTAGGGCAAGTAAGTACTAAATAAGTATTTGATGTAAAGTTAATGGCCTTGAGTGGAATCACGTGATGCCACAGATGTGAATCTCGAAGAGTCAAACGAGGTCAATGGTCATCGCAGTCGACCTTCATACTTACTGGCCGCCCTCCCCTGCTTCTGAATATCTGTCTTCACGCAACTTGCCAAGAGGTCACTTCTGTAAGTTCTATGTTTTCATGAGATTGTGAGGCTAGTCTGATTCCTCGTTCATCGATACGCCAGAGACAGTATCTTGTCAGGATCTCGTACGTCGAGTCATCCGCCGAGAGTGGATGCGACTGTGTTCCCCACCATTCAAAGCCTCTCGATCCTGTACTATAGCCAGTCTTCTCATTCGCAAAAAGCATACAACAATGGCAAACGCGGCCGTTAACAGGACTGCACATGTGTTCGAACGCTCGCGACTGGAGTCGTTGCTATTCGGACGATTTTTCTATGCTCCCGCGTTCGACATCTATGGAGGTGAGCTCGCACGTTTCACGCTCATGGACATCGGCATGTTGGGTTGAGTTGTAGCCGGGGTGTGGAGAAGAGGCGACGGGTGATAGCCAAGGCGTAAAAGCGTGCCTGGAGCGAGTAGATCATGTCGACCCTCTTGTCACCATGCTATCGCCGCCATGCCTCATATAGCGCACGCTGAACTCCTCCCTGGCAGGTGTAAAGGGTTTGTATGACTTCGGCCCGCCGGGCTCGAGTTTACAGAGCAACATCATCGCAGAATGGCGGAAACACTTCATCGTCCAAGAACACATGCTCGAGCTTGATACTACTGTCATCACTCCCGCGCCCGTGTTCGAGACATCTGGCCATGTCGCACGATTTGCAGACTGGATGGTCAAGGACGTACTGACCGGCGAGGTCCTCCGGGCGGACCATCTGGTCAAAAATGTCTTGGAAGATCGACTCGACAGGGATCGTCAGGCGAGAGATCCTGCGTATCAGCCACCAAAGGAAGATGACAAGGCAAAGAAAAAGAAGGCCAAAAAGGAGAAGGCGAAGCCTGTGCCTGTCAAGCTGCCCGATGAAGTGGTGGCCGAGTACGAAAACATCCTCGCTCAGGTAGATCTACCACGCCTGCGTAAGATCTGCTGACTCACTTTTTTTAAGTTGGACAACTACGGCGGGCCCGCGTTGGGCGAGCTTTGCCGGAAGCACAAGATCACCAACCCGGACACTGATAACGAGGTGACGGAGCCGCAGATGTTCAATCTAATGTTCAAAACCAGCATCGGCCCCACGGGGGATGTGGCAGGGTACGCTCCACGTTTCGACACACGCCCGCCCGCTGAATTGCGCTACACAGCTACCTCCGACCCGAGACGGCACAGGGTCACTTCCTGAATTTCAGTCGGCTGCTGGCGTTCAACAATGGCACACTCCCGTTCGCGTCAGCGCAGATCGGGCGCTCGTTCCGCAATGAAATTTCCCCGCGTTCTGGGCTTCTGCGCGTGCGCGAGTTCACGATGGCGGAGATCGAGCACTTCGTGGACCCGGAGGACAAGAGCCACGCGGGCTTCGCCGAGGTGCGGGATGTCGAGTTGGACCTGCTCGACAAGCACGTCCAGGAGTCCGGAAGCACGAAGGTGACGAGGCTGAGTGTCGGGGCAGCAGTGGACCAGGGCACGATCGCTAATGAGACGCTGGGTTACTTCCTCGCGCGCATCTACCTGTTCCTGACCAAGATCGGGATCAACCCTAAGCGGCTGCGCTTCCGACAACACATGGCGAATGAAATGGCGCACTACGCGACGGATTGTTGGGATGCGGAAATAGAGAACTCGTACGGCTGGACGGAGTGCGTCGGGTGCGCGGATCGCGCGGCGTACGACCTGACGGTGCACTCCGACAAGACCGGACATCCGCTCACTGTCAAGCAGCAGCTAGCTGAGCCCATTGTGACAGAGCGAGAGGTCGCAGAGCCGAACATGCGCCTGTTTGGCAAGACGTTCGGTGGAAGCACGCCCATCGTGACCGGATTGCTGAACGCCATGGACGATGCGCAGCTGTTGAAGCTCAAAGGGGAACTGGCGCAAGGGTGAGAACTGGTAGTTGTGCTTACCCGCGCGGCTGACTCACACGAGAAGTGCTGTAGGAGCGTTACCCTCGTGTCGAATGAGGGCAAGGAGTTCAAGCTCACGCCAGAACTTCTCACTATTGAGCGTAAGACACTGAAGCAGACGAGTACGTGAACCATCACCGCATGCACCGTCATCTGACACCGTACATTCAGCGCGCGAGTTCACGCCGAACGTCATTGAACCTTCCTTTGGGTTAGGACGAATTCTTTATTGCCTGTTGGAGCACAGCTTCTGGAGTCGAGAACAGGACGTTGGGCGTGGGGTGCGCGCTGCTACTGTTTCCCATGGGGTTGTGCGTCACTGACAGCCATTCAATATTCGCTGTTTCCTCCGCCGCGCCGGCCTATCCCATTCAGGTTCTCTCGCTACCGGCCCTAGTGGCTCCCACCAAGGTTTTGATCGTGCCATTGAGCAGCAAGAAGGAGCTGTCGCCTCTCGTTACGGAGATAAGTGAGTACCAGCTCGGGGTCATCTGCCTGCCGTATCACACGACATCGGACGGTCTGACTCGATGAACCCCACTCCACAGCTGCGAAGCTGCGCAAGGCGGGCGTGTTCTCTCGTGTGGACGACTCGAGCCAGTCGATTGGCAAGCGGTACGCACGGAACGACGAGCTGGGCACGCCGTTTGGTATCACGGTCGATTTTGCCTGTACGTGATTCGCGCTGTGTTTCCTCGGACGTCGCTATCTAACACGTACTCGGGCAGCTGTGCAAAACCGGACGGTCACGCTGCGGTAAGTCGCCGGTGTCTCGATCAATTGCTTCAGCTTCACGCGAAGCTGGGAGAGGGCACTTTCGTGGCGTGCGCGTGGCGCGGGAAGTGCCCTCTTCGCGAGAATGCTGCTGCGAGGATGATGCTGACTGGCGTATTCTGCAGGGAGCGTGACACGACAGTACAGCTCATCGGGCCTGTCGACGACGTGATCGCGACGGTGAGTGAACTCGTGGACGAGACCATCGACTGGGCGGACGCGTGCAAGCGGCTCGCGATCTATGACGGAGTGCAGGCGGTAGAGTAATGCATCAACGAAGTGCACGTGAGTAGAGAGTAGCGCTTCTATCTCAGCTGGTGCAGATGCAGGGGTGCGAAGGGATAGCAGCGAAGACCATGTCCGTGTATTTGCTCAATGAAACAGAGTTATAGACCGTTGTGCGACGGGGATGATCCCTCTGCAGACTAGCACGCGGGGTCCCGAGTCTGAGTGAGCCTAGTCAGCGAAGGTTTAGTGCAGCGAGGCGTCGCGGGCATTGCCGCAGCATGTTGACGCGCGCGGGATGGACGAGAAAGTCAATGCGAGCCCGGCGACGGGGCGGGCACGCGTTGCAGGCGACGGATATGATTGGGATCAAGCTCGGACATGTGAGACAGCCATGACGACGCGCCGCGGCGTGTGCGAATATTATTTGCACTTTACGCTAACGTCATGGTGGCCGGCGCGCCAAGGACACAATCTGTGCTATTCAGGCGGCCGAAACATGCAGGGATCATGTCGGACGGAGACGAGGACACTGGCGTTTGACAGCAGCCTGAGGCCGCCGTGAATGTCGCCGAAAACATGAAGATGAAGTAAGCGGAGTAACGTGTCCGACGGGAAGTGCGACAGACACGTACGCCGGGGAGAAGCCCAGCGAGGAAGCCTGGCCAGAGCGCCTGTTTCGACCGGCGGCGAGGCTGCTGGCAGACCGCGGTATGGGGCCACGGTGTGCATTCATATAGCACCCATAGCGGGACCAGTGCACAGCGTCCGAGAGCGTCCGCACCGCAGGAATCCAGCGCGCATGTGCCGGCGGGCGGGCGGTCAGCAGACGGCCTGCGATGGCACTCGCCGGGGTGAGGTAAGCGGTCGTGAGAGCGTAGCTGCACGACCTGGGAAGGGGAGATCCCAGCGCGAGCGAACACAGTCGCTGGCAGCGGCAGGCAGGGGTGCGCGCGTTCCGGCGCGGCCGCTCGGCGAGGGTACGGGCGTTGGCAGGCGGAAAGTAGCGGACGGAGGTTGCTGATAGGTGCAGCTTGGGCGCGTTCGCCGGAAATGGGCGGGCGCGCTACCGTACGCCTCGCGGCGAACGTCGTCATAGGTCGTATCGGGCCTCTGGCTCGACCAGGAACGCCCAGGCGCGAATCAATTACCGGCGTGCGATGACGCGGAGGGCTTCCCATAGCAAGGAACGGCACGCGGCGGGGCACGCGAGGGGCGTGCGCGAGGGACGGTTCGCGGTCGGGCGCACGGGGGAACGAAGTGCGTACTACAGGGGCGATCGCGAGGGAAGTCAGAAGGGCGCAAATTGAAGAGAGAAGCGTACTATTATCGACATCCCGTCGGATTAACTCGACGATGCGGGAAGCGCGAAGGCCGGCACGCTCTGCGCGGCAAGATCTCCTGCACGAGAGTCAGATGTCTCGCTGCGCCCATCTGTGCACCGATAGCGATCCACGAGATAGATGGCGTCAAGGGGCTACTTCCGCTGCTGCTCACATTGAGCAGCCCGACAGCTGACTCTGTATTGTGTAGCATTGAATGAGTGCGGTTCGCGAAGGCAGGCATGGACGCGGCCTGGGCTTGGTCTAAGGATGAAGGTGTGAACGGCTTCGGTGAATTGGGATGAATAGGATTGGACCTACGCCCTGAGATTCGCGTCTGGCCCTACAATGAAACGAAGACGGCCAGGGCGTTGCTACTGCTGTCGCGAATTCTCCCAGGTAACGCGAAGCTAACGTAAAGACAGATGGCGAGCTTCGAGGTAATTGTGCGAGCGAGCACGACAACGAGGCAAGAAGGCCTTCTACACATGCGTGGATACAGAGCCTACCAGCGGGCGAGCGACCAGACATATGTGCGTCGAATGCGGGCGTTGTGGTCGTAGGAGTTTGAGTGGCAATTCGCGTTCAGATCTCATAACAAGGTATCTGGGCGTGAGATGCCCTTCTATATATCGAATAAGATGCTTTGAGTATCTCTTACCAGTGGAAATCTGTATTCCGGGATACTTTCAGTGTGTCCTGGCGGTGATGCTCTCGGGCAATAGTACGACTTCGTAGCGACAAAGTAGTATTGACGAAGATGTCGAATACTCAATGTCCATGTCACAAGTAGAACTCCTGTTCACAGAAGGCGTCAGTACTAGTGGACATCAGGAAATTTACAGCTAATTCCATATTGCTGGACCACTCCCAAAAACGTATGCACAGGCGGAGGGCGTCGGGCCTTCGTCTGGCCTTTCCACACGCTGTGCCATCGACCTCGGCTTCAAATCTCGATTTAGTTCGTCCTCGACGCTGGTCGTTGTGGTAAAATGTTGATGGGCACACAGAAGGAATACCAAGGTCGACGAACCCGCCTGTACACACTTTTCGGCGAGTGTCTAGCAATATGGAATTAGCTGTAACATATTCCAGTGTAGGATGCTCAAAAGGATACTTACTGTAGAGTATCTCACCCGGTATCGCATACAGTAGTCCGCGCTCAGATAAGTCCTTGTCAGGCTTGCTGTGAGACGGCGTTACGATAGACATTGTGTAAGTGCATCACGTGCCTCAGACGCGCCTCGCGTGCACCGTTCTTCGTTCTCCGCTCTTCGTTGCTCGGTTTGTGAGTTCATGAGAGAAATATGAGCTTCTTTCTACTGCGGCGAAGGCTACCATGTAACATGCCTCGACAGAAGTTGCTCCATCATTGAAGAACCTGTGACAACGGGCAGTCGTGCAAAATCGCGAAAGTGGCTGAAGACTGAGACCCCGGGGACCCAAGTGGCTGGTGCCGTGAGAACAATTAGATAGTTATCGTGTTACCTATCTGGCGTTGGACTTTGGTTGGACTTGGGTCGCAGCCGTCGAGCACCCCTCGAACGACAGGGCCGAGGCAAGGAGGGGTTAACGAGCGGAGCGCGCTGGGTCGTCTGACAGCGAGACGCTAAGAGGGATTGCGCGATGGAGCGAGGTTGCCGTAGCGGGAGTAGATATATGTAGCAATCCCAATTGGGCTTAGCAGACACGCAACGGCATGTTGCGGTTCGCCTACCCGGTCGGGGAAGGGGGAGTCAGGTGCAATACTGTATCGAGAATGCGACGTTGCGACTGAATTGCCAGCTCTAGAATCATTGCATCATGGATTGCTGTCCGAGTACGCAGCAGAAATTCTCGCGACGCCGCGAGGCAGGCTATCGCAGACGTGGGGATCAAGGCGTGCGGGGTTCACGCTGACAGGGGAAGAGCACGAACCGAGACGAGAGGAGAAAGGCTCGGGAGGAATTGGCGGAAGGGAGCAGTAGAGGTGCGGATTGGAATGAGAGGGTGGTGGCTGGCCGATGAACTCGAGGCGTAGAGACGCGCGCCTGAATCAAAGTCGCACAGCGCAACTCATGGCTCTGTCTTATCTGTGCGAGCCGAAGACGCTCACCGGTCGTGGCAAGGACTGTCGTGATGAAATCTACACGCCTGAGAAGATTGGAGGCGTGGCCGGGTGATGGCCCAATCCGCACCCGGCTCGCCGAAGCGTGTAGACCTCAGATTCCCGATTAGACTTCCCAATTTAAATTGTATACGCGGTTGAATGCCGACATCCTCGCTCGAGCCTGAGGCCTGGGCCCAACCGCGTATAAAACCAAACGTCCTCCCCGCCATCTCTCCTTCTCCACCCCGCTGTTGCGCCTACCTCCTACTCACCGCCCTGCCCGACATTAGCTTGTCGTAGTTGCCCCAATTCACCGGTGTCGACGAGCCAACTACCACCCCGCACATCGCACCCCGGAAATTCACATAACCGACTTATCATGTCGAAAATGCAGAAATCATCCTCCTCGTCCTCCTCGTCCTCGAGCTCCTCCACAGCACCACCACAGCTCGTCGCCCTCCCATCACTATCATGTCAACTCTCGTCACTACCACAGGCGAGGGGCATGGACCAGCTCTCCCTCCATCACAACTCCATGTCCGCACAACGAGCAGCAGAGAGTGAGGCCAAGGTACGTAGCAACCTTTGTCATGCCCGCACAGATCCTCATCCTTCGCGACCCTAGCTCGTCAAGGCCCTCACAAAGTCTTCCACGTCACATTCCGCCGCGTACGCGCCAGCGTATTCATCGTCTCCCCACGGCTCCTACTCACCGAGCGGCAACTCGCCCCCGCTCATGATGCGTAAACCGGTGAGTCGCCTGCCGTCTGCTCACCCGCCGCAGCTCGCTGACCAAGTCGGTGCAGGTCAAAAAAATCCCTGCATGAGGCTCGCCCGCGCGCGTACCGAAACTGCCCTATAGACGTCGTCGCCTTTCTCTCCGCCTCTCTCATGGGACTTTGCAGCACCTACGTAATTGTAGCTGCGTGCCGACGCTTCACGATCCGACCAAAAGCTCTCGCTCGCATATCTTCTCCTCCTCGCTCTGCACCACTAGACGTCCGCGATCCCTCGTCCCACTGTCTGCCGCTACGCTACCATTATATCCTCTCGCACCGCATGATATCCGCATCCTTTCTTGCAGCATCTCGCATCTCCTCTACCGCACATCCTCGCACAGCCTGGGGCTTTTGGTGTCTAGTCACTATTACTCGTGTTTTATTACTGCTACTGTGGAATATACTACTGGGCCCACGACGGCAATCACAACCAAGTAATGCGTGTTGTCAATGTTCGGGAGGTCGTCGCGCCCTCAACTCGTTGACCTCGATACTGATGACCATTGCAAATGTTATGTCACCAAGTAAAATGGTGATGAGGTCAATACCGTACGTAATACAGTGAGTTATGTATACATGCAAGCACAGTACTCATAGCTGAGCTGATTTCATATTGCCATATAGACCCAAGACAGCGTGCACGGCCACATATGTACATTTCCCCCATTCAAAGAGGTCGCTTTAGAGTGTGCCTACGTGAGACTACTTATGCACAGATGGAGTGAGGTCAGCCTTTGTCTGACCTTCTCGTCGAGCGATCTGCACCCTCTGCCGGTTGACCTCGGCCACAAGCTTCGTCCAGCTCGCCTCGACATTCCTCGATATGGTAATGCCACTTCCCAGGTACCCAGACCGACATGTTCTGCCTGTGCGCACTTTTCAACCCAAGGTGTAGCGATATGTATGGAATTAGCCTTATCCTTTTTGGTCCTCAGAATGACTGACGGGTGTTGCTCGTCGTATGTCCGTGCGTGACGAATTGATATATTCCATCACAGCAACAGCCTCAAGAATTCCACGCTGTTATTGCGTGTTGGCTCTTAAGTATAACCTTTCGGTGCGTTGTGCCCTTCAAGCTTCAAAGCCGCGGCTTCACCTTGCTTCACCCTTGCAACAATTGCAACAAGCCAAGACTTGCCCGATTTGATGGTCGAGCTCGGGCCGCCGTCTACCAGTCTACCATCTCCATGCCTCCCATGACCGATTTCAACTACCCTGTAGACCGATACCCTTTGTTTCGCGGCCGGCACCCTCAATACGAGGGCGCACTTACAGCAGGCAACACAATGCCAGTTCAGCGACGACAGTCTAGACCTCATCACAGCCTCCCGAAGCCCAAGGCGTGCCATTCCGACTCTTCGACGTCTCCATTGCGCAGCACTCTACAGCATGACGCCCTTCGCTTCATTTCGGGTGTGCAGTCGGCGAAAAGAGGACAGCTGGCCGCACACATGCCCTCGAGTCTACACTGCAAGTACTAGGTACGAGACCGAGACTCCGAGCCTTGTCCCTGAATTCTGCAGTCCTGTTGTATGTTATCTAACCGCATCTCAGATTCACCACGCATATATCCGCGCTGTGCTCACATCCGACGGGCGGACAAGGATGCTATCGACGATCGCCCGCGTTCTCACCTGGCGCACCGAGAGAATGGCCGGAAAGGAAAGTACAAGATACGAGCCGCTCATGGACCTCCGATAGTATCCATTTGGACCGCCTATACCACAAATCCTGCCTCTGGCTTGGCTAGTACCGGCCGTGCTGACTCGACCGTCTCCCAGGTATGCGCATTCGCGACTCGGCTCTTGCAAAGAGACAAGAGATAACCTCACTGTGCGGATGTAGCATGCGTCCATATCGCCGTATGGGCCTCGGATTGCGGAGATTTGCACGGCGGCGCTTCGTGCTCCGGGCAACGTTCGCACTGCCTCGTCCGGAGAGGGAAGCTTGAAGAAGCCAACCGGGTGAGTCAGATTATTCGTAGAGCAAGCACGCAGGCGCTCCGGAAGATCGAACTCTCGAACGAGTTTCCTGCACAGTGGTTCTCGATGACCAACCGCACTGTGCACAAACGCGCCCCTGCTTTTGGTTGCCGCGTTGTCGCGAGATTGCACCGGGCTCAGACAATGTGGTGCGCGACCTGCTCGGTGTGTCGCAATACTGGCTATGTACCTGAAGTTTCTTCGAAGCAACCTACAGGCGGCTCGGGATTAGATCACGTCGGATCGCCCAGCGACGCGCTCCGGAGGACCCTGAAGTCTCTTTGCTACTTGTGTTACGGACTTGCAATCTTCAGGGCTCCTACCAGACCCGCGGGATTATCCCAATGTCGGATCGCGTTGTCGGTCCTTCGAAAACTCGACTGCTTGCCTCGGTTCCCGTCCCCTATGTAATACTCTGCCGTACGTCTGTACGCTCTGTCTCCGCGACGCACGGTGGTCATGGTCGGAGGCTTTGCCTGCAGTTCATCGCCTGCCGAGTTGCATGATGGACATCCAGGGTTTCCACGTGTTATGTCATCGAGACTTGCGAGAGCCGGCGAATGGTCCATGCCATGTAACTTATTTGTATTAGGCTACCACACCTCGGTGACTCTAGTGCACTGTGCGATGCTCGCATAGTGGGACAGTGGGATCGTGATCCGGTACGCCGGCCTATCTATCCTATCGTCCTCTACTGTCGATTATTTTACGTCGTACTCGTCGTCTCCTACACTCTAGCGTGTACGTCAGGTAGGTATCGACGCAATGTGTTACGGGCGTGAGCGCCATCCACGATGGGCCGAGTCAAAACGAGCACTTAGTGCTGCCGAGGTACTCAAGGTGACATCGTTCATGAGCGCATGCACCCTCGCATTCGCACCGCCTGTGTCAGTTCGCCATGTCGCACGACGATCCATCGGCATGTGCCACTGCGCGATATCACCTGTAGATCGCTGCTCATACGCATTGGGGCATTAGATTGCAAGAGAGGATTCTATCAAACCCTCCGATGTTTCCTCCGAGACGGGGCTTCTCTGTCGTGTCTATTACCTTGTGTACCTGACTTATATGGGTTCAGAAACGCCACAGATCTCGTACCAATCGCAACTTTCCCGCACCTCTCTTTATGTGCGTTATTAGCCTGGACGATCAGCGGAACGCGGACCCGGGCAGTTGAGTTCTCAACGAGACCAGTGGCTGCAGTATTGGAAAACAGGGTTTCGGGGCTCCAGGAATTGTATTACCCGGTTGCAACTATTCGGGACATGTAGCAGCGCGTTGTGCCATTGCAGTAGAGTTCAATCATTCATGTCAAGGCCGTAGATCAGTATGCCGGAGGCTCTTGAAGTGTCGACGAGCACGCGTACACGATCAGAAGCTGTACACTGGACGATGGCTACGCACCTTTGGACGGCTCGCACTCGATGGACGGATGCAAGTGCCGCGGCCCGAGACAGTCCACACCACGATATTGAACGCTGGGCGCTCCCATACCGAGAAGTGATACCCACCAGCCCGATCCTAGGACGTCAAGCCTGAGTCGGCTACGCTATCTCGTCCGTCGGTTAAAGGTCAGGTCGCTCGAAGGTTCCGGAGCGCGATCCCCCGTGTCGCGAGGCACGCGCGACTGCGTCCGGGTCTTCTGGGCAAGTTCCTCCCCGGTTTCTCCACAGCAGCACATAAACGACGCAGCGGTACGTCGACCCAACTCTAAACCCTCGGGAAGCCTTCCCATCGCCCGTTGAATCGTGGTTCGCGCTAGGCATCGCACGCCTCCGGTGCCTGTAGGCAACCGGGCCCGCCAGCCCAACGCCAGCCCCTCCTGGCACACACGTTGCTCTCCCACTAGCTGGTCGCCCATGACGCGGCGCGATCGTGTCCGGACCTCGCATTCCGAGTTACGGATGGTGAGCTGCGCACACGGTGCCCCGCCGGGCCTGCTGCCAATGGCTTTCGCGATGCCGCTCCGCCTTGTTCCGTTGCACGTCTGCACATTGGCAGATGCACTTGTACGCGAGGGCACACACCGGGACGATCTTCGGTGGCCAGGATGGGCCTGTGATAAGCTATTAGACCCGCAGGACTGTTACAGCGGGTCATTGTTGCGTCGAGCATCCCGGGTCCTCCCTTGCAGCAGCGCTGCTGACTTGCCGGCTGGCCTCTGAAGGTTCGCGGCCAGAATTATCGGGATAATTGAGCTACAATACTTGCCTTCTGGGTGAACCGCGTCTGACAACATCGCACAGCACAGCCGATCGTTCCACATCCCATACCCTGGCGGCCGCAACACGGGAGCATATGTCATGGAACGAGTCTCAGACGGTCCTCACGTCGCGGGTTGCGAGGGTACCAGATCAGACATACCGTTCCTCATCCCCCCTATCTCGCTTCACCTGGGGAAATGAATGTCCATCGCGCTTGACGCATCTCCGAGCCGGAGAGATCTTGCACAAATCATGAACGGTTGGTAGGCTACTATCTCCGTGTATGGCTAGCCTCGATGACCCGCTGGCGTTTCGCACACTACATAAGATTGATGAAAAGGCGCACGCAGAAGTTCGCACCTTACATACGCGCCTGGCACGCTGCGCCGTGCAACAGACAGCGATGGGTCTTGCCTGGCGTTGACGCAGAGGTACGTCCGACTTTGACCCGCGCACCGCTCCCAAGGGAACGTCTTGAATGTGCCTCTCCCATACACAGCATAACACAGCATGTCATTCCCAGAGGGCACGGTCGGTGACATAGAGCAAGAACATTCCTTGAGACGGGACGGAGGTAGCGTGGTAGTGTTACCCTAAATTACAGACATATGATCCTTTTCCGGCAGGCGGTCCAGAGGGCGTACGGCATTTGGCAACCCAGCAATCTTCAATGCTTCTTCCCGAAGCCTCTTCTTGCTGACTCTCTCTGCAACGTGCAGTGCAGAGGTGATATCTTTGCCAGCTGCCAGATGATGAAGGTAGGCACGAGAAGCCACAACCTGCAGGAGATTGAAAGAAGACGAGTTAACGGAGTATCACGGCACAAGGAACGGAACGCGCACCCATTCGGGATGATCCAGAGCACGATCAGGTTGTAGAGCGTGTTATGGCCGATGGAGCAGTAGGAGCAATAGTACTCCTGGAGCCAGTAGAGCGCAGTCTTCGAAATGGTCATAACGGCACTCGCAAAGCCCAGCAACGGTGCCGACGGCGAGCCCTTGACGTGCGCTAGGTATAGGTAACCGATGTTCATGAAGTTTTCAACAACGTTCAGAAGAGCTAGGGGTCAAGACATACACGGTGAGTCGGAGCGCTGTTGGGCCAGGCGCCCGGGAGCACTTACATTGAGCATTAGGGAAGCCGTCTCCCTCCTTCAAAGCTTTTACGCCATAGATCTGCCTTGATACGTTAGGCAGAAAACACGTGGATGGTGGTTGAACGCACGTAGTCGACTTCCTGGTACAGCGCATAGGGCTTCCAGATCCAGTGTAGGTCACCACCGACCATGGACCGCGGCCTATCATTAGACGCCGATGAGTATCAAGGACAGCTTCCGATGGACATGAGAGACTAGATGGCAGGAGGAAGTATCCAGAATGACATTGAGAAGTCACGGCCTGCCAACGTGTTGAAGTAAACAGAGTTTTGTGCGAGATCTGGCAAGGCTTCCAGCGTCATGTCACCAGCCATTGCCCTTGAAGTAGATAGGTCGAGCCCCAGAGAACAATGTTCATTTAATCTGTAATAGCAACCTTCGCAGTGGGGTCAACGAGTATCGACCTCCTATTGCCGTAGTCGAGGCGAATGAGAGCTGTGCTCCGTATCTATGACTGACCTCGGCTCAAGACGGAGACATGAGCCGACCGCCAGCCAAGCATCACTATAAGGCAGTGTCTCACAACAAGAATCCACTAGCGAAGCGGTAGATTCATCAAAGTGCGTGCGCCACGAAGACTCGCCGATGGCGATTCATGAACCAAGACTCGGACGCTGTTCCTCATATTGCATAGAACCATACGTACCGCATGAAGCAGTAGCCAGCATCCCAGAAGATGACCGGGATCGTGATTGCGAACCTGCACCCCTTTGTTACATGCGTTCTTTGACGAATCCAGACTGCCACGCACCATAGTGAGACCAACCAATGTGTCTTGACTGCCATCTTACTCTTACGTTGCGACTTGGGTGGTGGTTGCGAGAAGAGGGAGAAGCTAGGGAGGACGACCTGGAGGTTGCGAATATACACACGCAGGCCACCGTGTGAACCGCCTTTGGAGGCGCGGTCTCCTCGCGACTGTCGCACGGTTTCGTTCCGCACCACCTGCGGGTGGCGGCGGCGTGCTCGCGCGCGACGTCGACGGGCCCGACTCCGAATCGATGTTCGAGTACGCTCCGGCGCGGGCGATGGTGTGCGTTCTTCCAGGTAGTATCCGAACCGCAGTGTCTCGCTGTCCGGGCGCAGGCCCCTCCGCCAGGTCGCCCGTGGGCGTTTCTGCGCAGCGCGCTGCTGCTGGTGTTCGTCGAAGCGGTCGGAATAGCTTGCGGAGAACATGGGCGTGTACGTATTCGGGTTCGTGGACATAGGGATGTGCGTGAGGTAGTATGATAGGGTCGACGTCGCGAGGATAACATGGATGAAGAGGACAAAGGACTTGCTTGTCCCACGAGGCGCGCGGGCCACAGGCGCGTCGCGCGCGTTCGACACGCTCTCGCACTTCAACTCCAACCACCACCATGTGCATCGAGTGTGGCCTTCATCTCACTGTCACTCCGTTCTGCTGTCCGGTTGCCCGAGATGGATGCAAAAAGTACGAGGACGGGCTCCGTGAAGTACTCGAAGCGTCCCCGCCATACATAATAAGGTTGCCGTCAACGTCGTCAAGCTGGGCTAATCGTATCAGCAATGCTGAACTCAATATTCATACGCTTTCTGTCGTCATCTGTTTTGTGGCGGAACTCTTCATTGAGCCACCACAAGCAAACTGAGCTCGACCTCGATGCAATGCTCTACAAGTCGCTTCAGCCAAGAGAGGTATTGTCATCATCAAGATCAATTGGCGATACTCGACGTGTCATATACATGCTGGAGTATGGCTGCGGGGCATTTTGTAATTCCGTTCTGCTCAGTTTATTTAAACCCACGACTTCTGCAGACCACAAAAGGACTTCGACTGCCAGACACGTACCCCCCCGCTCGACGACACGGAGACGCATGGGCAGTCTTACTTGTTTGCTATCGGTTCACTCGTTAGCAGACAAGTAGGGATGCTCTTCCGTCTAGAGCGCATGTGTCCAGTTCGGATCCAGCGCGCCAAGTATATGGCGCACACACTCCCAGAACTACTGTCTACTAAAAGCGATGCAGGTAAATCGGGTCGTGACTGACGTCCAACCGAGGTTAATCATACTTAGAAGATCGTGACGCTGTGTTTATAGTGAACGGCATCTCTAATCTCTATCACAACATAACAGGTTCCGCAAACAACCTGTTCCCCAGGAATACGGGTCATGCTGCCACCACGAACGACATGTTTTCTGAACAGAGAGAATTGTGACCCTCCCATGCTGGTGTGTTCGTGGCGTATACGCAGCCGCCATTCCCTCGTGTCTCGCCCGATCTTCACGAACGCGCTCAGCGGCTGTTACGAGGATTCGGCAATCGTGGTCGAGTACTGGCGCGACTTGCAAACATGACTGGCTTGGACGCGACGCGACGGTTATGTACTGTGATGCAGTCTTTGTGCGAGTCCTGCGCAGGAGCACAGGTAAGCATTTGGGCAGGTGCATTTGGCTGGTATTCATGGTTTATGATCGTACCATTATGATATGTAGTCGTACCAGCTATGATTCATCCTTGCAATGGGCGTTCACCTGATAGACTGCTACCGTCTCCATCCGGAATACATCAACCTGACATCTTCTTTATTTGGTGAGTTGCAGCCCTGGCGCAAATGATTGATACGATTATCCCAGCCGCACTAGTACTGCATCGCGCGGCGCGCGTCACCCAAGACGAACACGTGACCGCGTCAAGATGGTGCGATCCGATCGTGCGGCGATAGGCCTCGTCTGACTTGCACACTGGTCGCCTCAGTCGAGCACTCCGGTCCAGAGCCCAGACATCCACTAGCTACACGCCCGGACCCGCCCTAGACACCCGTCTCCTCATATAACCCATCACCGCAGAGCCCGTCTTTGCACAACCGCCGAACGTCCACCCCGACCCCTCACCACCACTCCTAAGATGCCTCGCCAGTTTTTCGTCGGCGGAAACTTCAAGATGAACCCGGGGACGCAGGAGCAGAAGAAGACGATCGTCAAGGTTCTGAATGATGCGACGCTGGACCCCGCAGTCGGTGTGTTCGTCTGCATTGTTGTCTGCGCTCCGAGCTGACGGGGCGGTAGAGGTGGTGATCGCCCCGCCCGCGATCTGGCTCATCACCCTCCGCGAGATCCTCCGCGGCGACGTCAAGGTGTCGGCCCAGAACTCATACTTCAAAGCCTCGGGCGCGTTCACGGGTGAGATCAGGTGAGTGCGCTTCGGCCTGGTGAGGCGGTGGACAGCGGTAGGGCAGCGCGGCAGGCTGTATTCCCGGGTGTGCGGTGGGAGAAGGGCGAAGGGGCAAGGAACGGAGACGTGCGCTTGTAGTCGTCGTTTGGGTGCTGGTGATGATAAGTCCTCCGAATCGCTCCACGTCTATCCGCACAAGCCGCTTCGCCGCCCGTGTCGCTACCATCTGAACCTGACACTACTTTCATTCTAGCCCCGCGCAGCTCGCGGACGCCCAGATCCCCTACGTCATCCTCGGTACGTCCACGCCCAGCCCGTCTTATACAACTCACCGACCTCGATTTCTTTCCGCAGGCCACTCCGAGCGCCGAACGCTGTTTCACGAGACGTCCGAGCTTGTCGCGCAAAAGACCAAGGCCGCGCTGGAGGCGGGTCTCTCCGTGATCCTCTGCGTCGGCGAGACGCTGCAGGAGCGCGAGGCGAACAAGACCGCCGAGGTCGTCCAAGCGCAGCTCAAGCCCGTCGTCGACACGCTCAAGGAGTCTGACTGGGCGTGTGTACCATCTCTTGCGCTTCGTCGCGGTCGGCTGAGATATATACGTCGATGCGCAGGAATATCGTGGTCGCGTACGAGCCCGTGTGGGCGATTGGCACCGGCAAGGTCGCGACGTCGGGGCAGGCACAGGAAGCGCATGCGGACATCCGCGCGTACCTCGCGAAGGCGGTCTCCACCGCCGTCGCGGAGAGCACGCGCGTGATCTACGGTGGCAGCGTCACCGCCGCGAACTGCAAGGAGCTCGGTAAGTCCGTCATTGCTTATGCGGGAGGACGGTGCTTGACGGCGCGCTTCGGTGGTAGCGACCCGGCAGGATGTGGACGGTTTCCTGGTCGGCGGCGCGTCGCTCAAACCCGAGTTCGTGGACATCATCAATGCGAAGAAGTCTGCGTGAGGCCCGCGATCGCGCCAGTCTCCGGGGCGTGCACTGGCAGCTGAAACGAAGTATAGAAAAGATGTAATTGTATGTTCGCCGTCGGTTGGGCAGAAGCAGAAGCGGCAACAATGATAATGAACGTATCTCTATTCTCTGCATGGCCTTTCCAGTCTTGTCCATCGACCGTCCGTCGCGCTTGGAACAAACGTCAATATCGATGCTGGTCACGAGCAACAAGGCTGCCGCTGACAGATACGTGCAGTGTCGGTCGGAGGAAACGAGTTATCCGGTATGCGCATACCTGTCCGTCTTCTCTCCGTCTTCGTCATCCACTCAGCTCAGGTCACGCCCACCGCTGCTTTTACAGCTGAGTCCAGCCCACGCACAACGTGGCTCCCGCGAATGAAAGTCGAAGGCCAAGACAAGAGCGCATGCGTATGTCAAGCACTTGCAAATGACGTGCGTCCTTCACCTGCCCACGGCTACGTAACTGTCTAAGTGCGCTACAACCCCGAAGTCTTCCTTTTCGCCGAGGTTGCGTCGCACGCACAGCAAACGGCAGTCACACTGCTCAAAATCGCGATCAATATCAAGCTCTTGTCCAACGGCAGAGAGTGCAGATCCTCCGCGGTTGGCTGTCGCACTCGCGGCGTAGCGGTCGCTTCGAATGCTAACTTTCCCGGTGTTGCTGTATTCCCCGATTGGCCGCAAGTGTGACGTACTTGCGTCTACATTGTTCTGTGCTTGCCGTACGTGTCCCTCCCATGCTAATAGGTCTTCTCCGACCTCGACCATCGCATGTCGGTCCAAGCCAATGGTTTGCCAACCAGCCATCCTTGGCGATGTCATTTGCTGGACTCGGTGACGCAACCTCCGCGACCTAGATCTCTAGTACTTCAGCACCCCCGGTCGCAATCAAACTTCGCAACAGGAACCATGGCTGCAAAGGAGCGGCGCCCGAGAGCATCGAACGAGCTGGAGTACGGAGATGCTTTCGTCCGATCGGACGGCGGCCTCTCGGATTGCTGCGTACTGGCAGCGAAACGCCCTGTGATGTCTAACTTCAGACTTTGATCCTAGGACAAGCCCCTGTCTGTGTACATCTCCGGGTGTCCTGGGTCTTGGTGAGTTTATCCAGGCTTTGGCCACGTCTGACATGCCAGCTTACGTGCATACAGGTACCTCGTCTTAAGGTTGTGCGAGTGGCTACGTCCAAATCTAGTCCATTTCGTCAGCATCGGGCCGAGCTGGCGGAGTCTATCACTTACATCACGATGGGACACGTTGACGTCGCGGGACAGAAGGTGGGACACGTTGACGTCGCGGGACAGAAGGTGAAAGCCTATGTCTGTGTCACAGCTGGATTTCCGACTCGCGACTGGGAGGCCTTCAGGCGCGTCAGGAACTTGCGAACTACCATAAGTTATGTCCGTTCACTGACACGTGATGTAGGTCGAGAGAACAGAGAGGTACCTCTCCTGCGAATGTTCGTAAGTAATCGGGATCGAAATTAGTCCTCGGCAGAAGAAGGCTCCAACTGGTAAGCGTAGTGGATATCTGGATTCTGGAGCAAAGGAATAAGTATCCACGTGTCAATCATGCAGATTGCGTCTGAGCAAGATCGCTGCTGCCTCAGGCTGCCATCGGACGAGCCTTCATACATTCTCTGGTCCACCAGTCACAGTAATATCAATCTTTTATGTCATTGCTACTGCCCAAATTGCGAACGTCACCGGTCAGTGCCCAGTATTCGACCCCGTTTCAATGCGCGCTGCGAGGTCCTCGTCACAGTGAGCACTTCCAGTGCTCCCAATGTCTGACATGTGCGCTTCATCATCTGTGAGCACATCGTTTTCGTCACATGCCACTACGTCCAGATCTGTGCGACGTCGTGAGTATCGGTTCCAGCTGGGGACACTGTATCGTGATCATGAGAGACGTACGTGTGATTGGAGAGAACGCGAAGGTCAACGTCCGTGAAGCTGGTTCTTCTGCTGCCATGATCTCGGAGATTTCTTGCGAGTCCAGTCTCACGATCGTTACAGCAGCACATTCACGCAGGTTCAGTATGAATCGAGAGACGAGGACGGTTGATATGCTGGAGGGAGGTTGGGTTGAGCAACGTCACGTAGATACCGATAGTAGAGTTGGGTGCGTACGGCGCGATGAAGTAGTTGATATAATCCCTCGCCTGTTGCCGTCGTCGAACTCAGCTATCATATAAAAGGGGACGGTTAGGACATACCGCCGTCAGATACAGAACTATCTCGAGAGCATTGAGGGTGGTCAACATCCTGAGCTATCATCAATTCTTGAAACAGGAGGTAAACGCAACTCAGGACATACGCGAAAAACAGAATCCCTATACATGTTCGATTGTCAGGGCGATCAACGTATCTAAGATTAACAGATATAAGTGCTTACCATCTCTGAGTAACATCCGCGTGAAGGAGCGGCTGGAGATCTGCGAGAATACGAATGGACGGGGAGTACCTTATATATAGTCACAAGTAGGACTATGAGGTCGGATGCTATGCTGCATCCACGGCTTATGGGTAGCACTATACGCCAGATCGTCAAGAGGTCCTACAACGTAACACCTGCACATGCTCGCACTTCTGCATTTGCGTCAACAAAGTCGGTACAACGCACGAGTACGCAGAGCCGACAGGTACTTACTTTGCTATGAATGCATTGGTTACGTTGTAGTCCGCTTGGCACAGATGCTGACTTTCGACAGGAACGACTTTGAAATACAACGTAGTAGCTATGTACTGGCAGCGGTATCTTGAGTCCAACGACGACCACTACTGGCATCATGAAACTCGAACGGTGCTTACCACATTCACCCCCATGGTACCATCCCCAGTGCGAATGTCACCGCCGACAGCCGCAGACATCGCCCAGTGAGAGCATGCACTCTGATCGCGGATATAGCTAGACACACAATGAACAAAGTCATGACGAAGTCGGAAACCAACAGCCAGACTGTATACATACTCGCCCACATCTGATACGAGAATAGAATGCATATCGAGATGATATCGTGATGCCTTTGCAGCTTGATCCTCATGAGCAACACGGTCTCCAGAGAGTTATCGTATGCTTACCTTCGTATGTGTAATTTCGAGGCTGTACGGCACATTCATATACGAGCCCCAGTGTTATGACTCGGTTCAGGATGAAGATGATGGTGGCCCCATGTGGATTCCTCCAAATGAGATTTACCTCTTGACCAACGGTCAATACGTAGTCATATAGAAGTACGACTGAGACGCATGTGCATTATCCGTCTGAGAATAATCGGACTATTCGATGATTAATTGAACTTACCAGCGAGGGCGAAACCGCACAAGGCGTCCACATATCTACTCAAGATGTCAAGCACGACCATCAGCAGTGAATTGTACGGACAGTGCTGTGTGTATCTGTACTCACTGCGCACGCAGTGAACCTGTACTCTTCTTCTGCTGTCACTGAAGACATGCTTGTTTTGTGCGAGGAAGAGGATTGAGAGAACACCAGTGGTGAGACAACACTCGACATCACTTGCAGCAGCTCATTATTAGTCGTGGAGAGATGAGACTCTTACCTCACAGATAGCACTGCTTAGGGGCCTTGAGGCGTGAGAGTCAAACTCATATCAAGCGAGTGCGTAGACGTGACAGAAGGCTGTATGCGTCCATGGAGCCGTTGGATCATCTCCGAGTCCACAGACAGTTCCCCATGGGGATTGGCACAATTTGGTGTCCCGGAACCGCGTGCTGACACGACGAGGCGAATCCAGTATTGAAGCTGCCATTCAAAACCGTGGCACAACAAAGGAGACAGTGACCGCCGGAGGAGGTTTCGAAGGGTAAAGAAGGGCCTCTTTCAGAGATGTAAGTCAATTTATGATCACACTCCACAGGGATGATGTACCAAGTTTGGATACCCGGAGACTCGAATGGGGTTCTGTGGCATGATCATATGCAAGTTTGAAACACCACCAACGAGCTGATAATCAAATTACAAAGGCAAGGGTGACGTGGAGCTCTCCACATAGACTCGGAATCAGAGCGAGACAACATTGTCGCCCACCCAATGTTGCGTGACTCAGACAAGAGAAACCGCCTACAGGTCATGCAAAGCCGTATGGGTCTTCGACATCGTTTGGTACATGCTCTCCGGCCGCTGTTGTACCATAGCTATTGCCAGTCATCTCGAATACCTCTGAATCGACGTTGGTTATCAAGTGACCGACAGAAACGCACCACTTACCACTCGCATGTATGACGGGTGCCACCGTTGATTCCCGAAGATCGAGCATCAAGCGGGGCACGAAGATAGAATCACACTAGGTACATATTAGCATTATGATATAGCCATTGGGTTGCGAAACGTACGGAGCGATGAACGAGTCCACAAATCCGGTAGGCTGTAGCAATGTCAGTTAGAGATTTACCCAGAAGAACATGAAGTAGATGTCGAACGACTTACTGTCTTGAGGTATATGATGAGTTGCAGACCATTCAGGGTCGTCAAGACGCTGCGGAGACATCATAATGTGGACCCTAGAGGCAATGTGGTACGTACACGAAATATAGCGCCCCTGTTCGCGTGAGCATGTCATCCACACGTTACGTATTCTGTGTATCAATTGTACTCACCGGCCCTCAGTAGAACTTGCAAAGGGCCCCGTTTAGAAGAACGGGCCCACATGCGTAGACACGGGAGTGGACGATGTAGCGGAACGTGATGAGAAGCACAATGATATCAGATATCATGCCGCATGCAGGGGCTATCAGAAGCACAACTAAAGGATAAGAACGAGGTCAGGAAGCATTTAAGCTTTCATGCATATGAGCTTGTCGTACATCTGGAAGGAATAGAGCGAGCAGCGATGTTGTCAGAATCGCGGAGAGAACGCATCGAAAAACCGCAACCGCGCGTACCTACTACTCATCGCTGGGTGGACAGGATTGGACACCCAGCAGGAAGTCTTGCCTCCGAGCGATTGAACCTGATAAGCCGACACGGATATTGTGGCCTATGTCATAGTTGAGACACGATGAAGTACCCCAGCAGTCTTTTGAACCACTCACTGCATTCATCGCCGCGGGGACAATTCCGAGAGCCAATGTCAAGATCGTTGATGCCCATTTCCGGTGCGTGAGGGCATACACCCGGAAAGCGGACACGACTATAATTCGAGATGTTGGTTAGATCAACTTGATCTGACGAGCGCGCATAACGAACCTGCCCAGATGAGATATGACAACAGCACGAGTAAGTCGGATGCTAGTAGCACACCCTTACACCTTATGCACAAGAGCATGTTTATGACGCTGCGTAACAGACGTGACGATTGATGGCGCACCTTGTAGGTGTCCAAGATGCTGGATTGACGAGACATGCTACAATCACGTACCCGAGTGCGACAGTTCGAGCGAGTGCACAGATGATACTTGCTCCCGACAGCTTCCGTTCGAACCAAAATAAGCCGATTTCTCGGTCGATGGTCAGAGTGTAATCGTATACCAGCACAACTGTGAAGGCACAACTCGGATTTCAATATCAGCTCGTGCCTGGTTACTCCCCAACTTACCTATCGCTGCTACTGTGCAGCAGACGTTCACATATCTACGGATAGATTGTTGTCACATAACAGGATGACGGTACTGAGAAGTGTGCACGTACTGCTGATGCGATGCGGCAATGAGTTCCTCGGCAATGTCGGCAGTGGACATATCTGCGGTTTGTTACTTCGTAAACAGAAGGCGTTGCACGTACTTGGTCACCCACGGAAGCCGCCTATATACTTCCGTGCCGGCAGCTCCAGGCACAAGTTCAGCCCTCACCGTGGTTCGATGGCAGACATACGACGCTGGCACACCTGTAGCTGCTGTTGAGCTCAACAGGGAGGTTCTCTGACAGATGATATCTCATCTTCACTGCCCACAGGGATTGCAGCCGAGGTTGTGGGCTATGCGATACAGGGTGAGCGCCTGCTGTTCTGCGCTGATATACTTAGCCTGCGAGCATTCGGAGTAAGATGAATATTCGGTGGGAGATTCCTGACCACATAAACCTTGATTATAGGTCGGAGATCAAGAGGGACCACATCTCGCAAGACACGATCACTCGTAGATGGCCATGACAGAGCATCGCACTCCTTGCATTCTCCGGCTGTTCTGCAGATTGAAAATAACAACGAGAGATATTAAACGACCCCGTGAGATCTGGCAGTCGATTCATACGCCATCCGGGCCTGCCATCAATTCCATAGCAGAGGAGAACACGAAGGTGAGATACAGTATAGTACTTACGTGCACTGCCGTTCATCGTCGATCATCCCCAGGCGCTTCCACTGTCGAGGATACGCCAGGACGTATCGCCGATACATGTTACGGCTGATCCGCTCGACCTTAATGTGTCGAGAGCCAGCATTGGACAGCTTTGAGGTACATAGAGACAGAGGTCAGAGTTAAAAGGACGACCGTGACGACGGACGTGCTAAAAGCGCGCAATACCGTGGAACACGTGATTGTGGCCGATACGGTCTACTTATAGAAGTTTAGAAACGACAGTACTTACTTATGTACTGACCGCAGGCTTGTACGGTCTGCAACGGAGACTATATGTACCTACTCGTCGACCTTGGCATCCGCAATGGCACTACTATGCAGATTATCTGAACTGTCAGTGGCCATATCCAAGATGCAATCCACTGTATAGCACACACCGAGAAACCAGCCATGGGACGTGTTATGTGGTGCAGTGGTCGCCGTTCAACTTCACGTTCGCTGGGTGAGTCCGGGTACATATGGCTTGTAACATTCTCATAGATCTAACAGGCCGTCTTTACGAAAGCAGATGAGATTTCTCCTTGGAGATGACCACGAAGGCAGCAGTCTCGCTGAGCCGAAGGCGGTATGCGTGTGTCTCGACCTGAGGATTGCTATTCTACTGTGGCTTCGTCGTTGACGGCTTTGAATACTATTGATTGCGGAGGTATGCTTTCCCAGACAGTTACGAGTCCTATGCCTCGCCTGTTCTGTGCCTGTGCGCTGTGTCGAACATCTCTGCAGCGCTCGTCGCGAAGGCAGATTGCGACACTGATCGTCGACTCTACTCTACTTGAATTGTGTGGTCTCTCCGACCAGAGTCGACGACTTCTTTAGCTTGGGTGCGTCGGGATATCTTCATCTGATGTGCTTTGGCATTTGACGCTTCTTCCTTATTATCTCGACATCTACAGTTACTGACCTCATGTCGAGTATTAGTGGGAACATCGCAAGAGGGTACGAAGACCGATGCACCCCGTTTGTACGGACTTCCACGCCGGGGGTGGTGCACTACGGGAATGGCTGTCACGACTTCACGCCGTCGCCTCACTGTTACGCGCACACAGGTACTTTGATCCTACTGAAGCCCATCGCCGACTGTTCTTGAATCTTGACTGCCGAGGCTGTATTGTCTAGCTCCATTGGCCTGAACTTGAACGCCCTGATAGAGCTCCAGAAAGTCCATATTCGTAAGTCAGTTTGAATTCTGGACATGTACTTTGAATCACTTAAATTCACGGATGGCGAAGGAAGTGGCGATTCAAGGCGCAGGCGAAGAGAAGGCACGAGCTCACAAGTCATGGCAGCGGACCGCTAGCTTGTCCATAGTCTCCGTTGCAGACCATCAAGCCGGCAAGCGTCTTTTATGGCTTCTCAGGTACGAGTTGAAACGAACAACGTCGACGCCGCTATCGCATACAAAGGACAGTATCATCATCGAGGATGTATGATAGAGGGTGACATGGCGCCATGCCTGGCATGTCGCAACTTTGATGATCATGTCAAGGGAACCCGGGGTGCCTCGCACCGACTACTTATGTATACAAATCCCGGTCGCGACTCGCCAGACTCGGAGGCCCCCTCAGAGACCCTTTCCCATCAAGTATCCTTGACTCCTCCTGCCGCCTTCGTTCTTTGCACGTCCTACACCATGAATACCTACCTCAATGAAAGACAAATTGCGTATTATCTTTCGCAAAGGCTGGTTCCCTTCGACTCCCTCTCTGTTGGTATTCACGACGCGCACGTCTAGCTTTGTTGCAAACTACTGCCAGCTGGCACCCGCAGGTGAGCGTCTCAATCTGCACCTTTCCAGATCCAGGCTAACTGTTACCACCCTAGCACTCCTGATCTATGATCACTGTCTGACGGTCGAAAGTGAAGTGCGCTACATATGGGGCCGGAGGCAGCCGGCAGCGTTCGTTTTCTTCCTCAATCGAATGTCTATGGTGGGATTGACCGTGACGGGCGCACTCGGCATTCTGTCCTGGTCTTCTGTGGAGGTACGAGTTTGGTTTCCGTTCATACTTTCTGATGTTCATCACTGCTTGTCGACGTTGATGAATGCTAACACAGGAGTGCGTCACTCTAATCATCACTATTTCAAGTATGAGTTGACGATGTAGCTTACAGGTGCGAGGGTCTACTGATCGCCAATGAGATTTCATGTCCGCTTCATACGTGATTTGGGCCTGTAAGACGCACACACATCTTCACCATCTAGTCGGAGCATGCTTACTACCTGGGCAGGGGTTTCCGCTCTTCGCGTCAGGGCGCTCAGTCGGAGCCGTGCACTCGCCTGTGCAACCCTATTACTCGGAATCATGCCAGTGATATCTAATTTGGTGAGATTCTAGTCACGGAGCATTTAATATATGGTGCTTACTCGGCGGTTGGAGGTTCTGTACGCCAAAACGACGTTCATCACGATCCCCTCATACCCGGCATCACAGCCTGCGCGACCGACGACAGCATCTCACATAACTTAGATACACGGTGTGCATCCCGTTCTGAATGTGCTGTGCTATGACTAACGTATACTCAATGGCTGCAGGCGTGCGTGGTCCGCTCTGAGCAATGTGGCTCATCCGCCTTGCTCACGTTCATGAACGCAGTACTATACGCCTCCCGCGCATGCGCGATGCAAGTGATCTTACGGTCATCGTGGTGATATGGTACGGGACGTCAGGCCCGCCGGGGGAATTGGGCATCCGCCCTCGCAACCTACTGTCGGAGTGGTGGCGTACATCTTCGTTATGGAGTAGTTTAGTTACCGTATAGCTGACGCTGCGATCAGCGTGCTTCTTGCTCTCAACATTGCACAGATGCTCACGAGTTTCCAGATAGTAAGCTGTCCACGTATGCGCTGAAAATCATATGCTGATGTTCCGACCAGGCGTACGGCGTTTTATATGTCTTATCACATCGTTCGTCATCTCGTTCTCCTCGAACCAACTAAAACCCTTATTGTCAACGCAGGCTGGCGAGCATCCTCGTCTCGCGTTTGCTGATCAACCTCAATGAGGTGGCGAGCAAAGATGTCGTGCTCGAGCCGGGCGGGCAAGTCGGGAGTCACTGGCCAGAAAGCAGCGCATATACGGAGACAGAGACTCAGACGATCATGTTCGCCCCTGTCACAACAGGTGTGCACCATTACACACTGTCCATATGATTGTAGATGTGCTCAGCATTGACTTTAGATCGTTTCGACTCCGATCCAGAGAGTTCTCGACTCCATGAAAACAGCCAGTAGAGTTGGTTTGGAATCTCGCGCTGTATGTACTCTTGTGCGCCTCACAGATGACGCGATCGAATACCTGGAAGGTCTTGTGAAGCTCTCCGTCGATGTTTCGTGGATCTCTGCTGTTCACCTAGGCCATTTGTATCCAACTTGGTGAGAGCTGCGGACCCGGACGGTTCTAACTCAACGCTCACAGCTGTGGGGAAGGTCCTGTACACCAGGATGACATTCATTACGATTCCCCTCGTACCCAGCATCACAACCTGTGCAACCCAAGATAGCCTCTCGCATAGCCTGAGTACACGGTGCGCAGTCTGCTATGAGCACTTGTTAATCGGATTTGGCTGATGCGTACTCAATGACTGCAGACGTGCGTTGTCCGCCCCGCGCAACGTAGCCAATCCGCCTCGCTCACGGCCATGACTACAGTGTTATACGCCTCACATGCATGCGCGGTCGCAAGCAATCTGATCGTCATTGTGGTGACGTGGTACAAGATGTCAGGCATTGTGAAAAGGCTCCGCGTATTCTGTCTACGGAAGCTGCTGCGTGGCCGCTCTGACGCACCGACGCTCGGACACCTGCTTATCCGAGATGGTGCGTTATTTGCGCGTGCGTAGCTGGGCAGGATTTCTGACGACTGCCATGTTAGAAATGATATGTTTTCTGTGAGTGGCTCTTCTTCGCGAGAGCTGAAGTATAGCTCACTTCCGATCAGCGTGCTTCTCGTCCTCAACGTCGCACAGATGCTCACGAGTTTCCAGACCGTAAGTCGTTCACAAGGCTAGGTATGCCAAGAAGGTCATATGCTCATGCTCCCACTAGGCCCATGGCGTTTTGAACGTCTTCATAACATCGTTCGTCTTCTCGTTCGTCTTCTCGTTCGTACCAAACCGACTGCAGTCCTCATTGCCGATGCAGGATGGCGAGCGTTCTCATCTCACGATTGTTGATCAATCTCAATGAGGCGGTGGGCAAAAATGTCGTGCTTGAGCCGTTTACACAACGAGGGAGCCACTGCTGGCAAGCTCCGGGTGCACGGAAGCTGAGGCCGAGGCTCCGACGATCATGTTTGCCTCTGTCATAACAGGTGTGCACCGCCATGCATTGCTGTCTGTAGCTGTGCTCACCGTCGATTGTAGATGATCTCAACACTGATGTGTAGAATACCCATATTTCTTGTCCATAGCTAGTAGAGCTAGTGTAGAATCCAGGTTGCTTCGTGATGCAGGCCAGGGTGACTCCGTGTTGAACATGATCTCGCCCGCGACGACATCTGCAGTGCCGACAGGTGCGACACGTTTGTTGTCGCGATGCTGTGGTCTTTGCGACTCGTGCTTGTGTCATTGATAAGCGCTCTATAGCATGGATCAGCTCACCTCCGCGATGCTCAGTGCTTTCGCATGTTCACTCCTTGCGCGAAGCGTGTAAAGGCCACCACCACCTCAAACTCGGATACTTCGGTTCACCCTGAACACAGGAAGGCTGAACGTTGAATGACGAGCTGAACAAATTTTTGAATGGATCTGCAGGCGTGATGCTCGCAGCCTCTGATACCGGCAGTCTCGTAGCAGCCACTTGAGAGCATGATTGAACGCGAACACAATATCGGATTAATCTGCACGTAGCTTTCGGGTCATCGTCTAAAGAGCATTACAACGGTTTAGCAGTACAACAAGCAAGAACAACAGTGGCGCAGGAGGAAAATACAACATTGTACCTTCATACAACTCGACGACGCGAGGTTTTGTTCGTAACGGTCCATGCATCAAGGAAAGTCCTTCATCGTAATCGCTCCTTCTCTCGTACAGTCCGGATCCAAATCTCGCCAGGACGGCTAGCGAGCATACGTTGATCAGTACTGGCTGCTATGCACATGCAGCAGTGAACGAAACGCACCTTTTCTCCCTCAAAATCCTGAACACGAAGCTGCGCTCCTGTGTTGCCTGCTCACCTCCCGCCCGCGCACCCACGGCACGTGGAGGGAAAGCACTTCCGCACCGTTTCTGCAGGTCTGCGAGGCCCTCGTTCGTCCCTTCCGCCTCTACGACGACTCGCCCGTACCAGCCAGGATCGACAAGCCACACACCATGACTCGGCCCCGGGCCAACATTCGCCATGGGGGGAATGCGTAACGGTTTGTTGGGAACAGGCGGTATGATCGTGAAAGAGGAGCGGTGGACCCAGCGCACGACTGTGTGGTGGTTACCCTGCGGCCTGTTTCAACAACAGATTAGTTACGATGAGCCAACTCAGCGACATTCCACGCACGTCTCAGTTTTCATCCTGTCCTGGAGCAGCTGCAGGTTTGCCGCAATCTCCTCGCCCCAGGGCGCGATGTCGATGTGACATATCGGGTTCCCGGAGCCTTGCGTGCGGATGACGCGGTGGAAGTAGGAGGGCGGGAACGCAAGCGTAGGCAAGTACTTGGGGAGGTCCCCAATACGCGACCACGCAAAGTCCAGGTCCTGCAATGCAGTTCGCTTTCAGCGCGCGTTGTGGCTGATATGAAGCACAAACACTCACAATCAGGTATGCACCGTCCCAGACCATCCGACCAATGTTACCCTCATCACCGATAGCAATATCCCACACCACGTCTCCTGCCCGCAGCAGATGCGACACGCCCGCCTTCTTGAGCTCCTCTTCACAAGTCACGATGCTCTCGTCCGACAGCCAGTCGCCCTCCGGCGAAGGCACGAACACTTGCAGCAGCGGCGCACGCCTAAGACGAAAAAGCGGAGACTGTGCTGCGCGTATCGGTGCCTGGATCGTTGTCGTGTACGAAGGCGACCGCGAAGGTGCTCGGCTGGACGCCCGGGACGTACCACGCTGCAATGAAGTGCCACGGCGCGATGGTGGCGAGCTCGGGGCTTGAGGTACCGTAACAGCGACCGGGGATGGGTTGCGAGCCTCTGCCTCCGCCTGAGCACGCAAGCGTAAGACTATCCGGGTGTATGCGCGGCAGCAGGCAGCGAGCTCATTCCTCAAGCAACCTGGACCGGGTCGCCACGGGCATGCAGGTACTCCGCAGCCAGAGTCGAGAACTGGTGTGACGGCATCGAGACTCCGCGCATATAGTTGTTGAGGTCCTACGGAACGCGGTCAGCATGTACACGTCTGCCTAAGCTGTCTCACAGAACTGACCTGCAGCGTCAGCGTCAACGCTTCGCCGTCGTTGGCCGACTTGGGCTTGTCTCTATCCCCCTCGCTCGTCCGCTCCTTGCTCTTCCCTTTGGCGAGACTCGGATCTAGACCCCAGTCCACCGCGCATACCCTACAGGCCCCAGGAACTTCTCCAGCACAGACTCCGTCAACTCGCGCCGCTTGTTCGTTCCGTCCTCACCTCGCGTTGAGCTGAGCGATGACAAGCCACTCATTGTACGACAGATACGCGAGCAGCCAGCCAACAACGTAGACTCAAGCAGATGTTTGACCAGGGGTACGGCTTGCTCGGCTTTGGGGGCTCCTGCGGCTCAGGCGGAGGGGCGGCAGCCTGCGCGATGATCGCAGGGAGAGCCTTGCCCAGCTTCGCCCCCCGTCTTTGCGCGCGCGCTTTTGCATAGTCTTCCGGCGTGACGGGCGTGGGCGGCGCCCCGGGGCCCGTCCGCCCACGCTGCATCTCGTCCTGCACCGCAGAGCTGTCGATGTGCACGAAGCTCGACTCCTCACCCATGTCCTGCGCATGCTCCGCCGGTCGCTCATCGCCCCGATCCTCGCGCCGCCCCCGCCGCCCCTCCTTCCTCAGCTTCCTCCGCCCGTCGCTCCCGCTCCCACTCCTCTGGACGTCCGCCGTCGCCAGTCGCCACCGTCACCGGGGTCATCTGCACACCTAAGGGCCCTGGGGCACTCACTCCGGCAATCGCGCTCGCCCCGACGTCCTTCGTTCCCAGCTTCTCCACCTGCTTATCCGTCATCGACTTCATGCCAAAAATGCCCCGTAGCCCGAGCCCGAAGATATGCCATGCCGCCGCTCCTCGTTCTCCGAGTCGCTCTGCGAGTTCCCTCGTCTCAGCTTCCCGCCCTTCCGGAGTCGCCTGCGTGCAGACACATGCCCGTCCGCACTCCCGCCCACTTCGCGCTCGACGTCCGTATCATGGTGAACCTCGGGCGTCGGCGCACGCGGTGACGGCGTCGGGGGTAACGAGCGCGAGATCCGATGGCTATCCTGGTTCCCCTTCGGGAGCACCTCGCGCCGCCGGCCGCGTACGTCGTCGTCGTCGTCGTGCAGGATGGCAGCGAGGTCGGCGGGGAGGACAGGCGAACGTGACCGTGGAGTGGGATAGCCGTACGTGTGCGGATAGTCTCGGACGATACCATCGGCCGCCGGACCGTGCACCTCCTTCTCCTGCTGAGCAGGCTGGGTGTATGCACCCTCCTGCGGCACGTGCGCGTCCGCCGACTGGCTATATGCGCCCTCTTGCTGCCCACCCGCGCCCGCGCCCTGCTCGTCCGAACCCTCGTCCTGCGCAGCGAAGATCCTCGGCTTGCCTTTCACGAGGGCGTCTCGTGTTCCCACTGCTCCGCGGGCGGCTGCGCCTCACCATGCTCGGCCTCTTGCTCCTCAGCACCCATAGCCGCAAAGATCCTCGGCTTTCCCCGGACGGGCACCTCGGTGTGCTGGTCGTGTTCCGCGCCATGTACGTCCTGCTGAGAAGGGTGGGAATGGGCAGGCCGAGGGCTCGGCGTGCGCCCGTCGCGGTCTATGTCCTGCGGCACGTCCAAGCTGTGGGTCGGCGGGGGAGACGGCTGGCTGGGCGAGTGCGGCGGCTGTTGTACCTGAACTTGCAACTGGGGCTGGGACAGCTGTCGGGGCTGCAGGAGCGGCATCCGGCTGAGGCGCTGGTCGTCGTCGGCCTCGCTTTGCGGGGGGCGAGGCACCGGCGGCGTGCGCGACTCCGCCGGCCGGACATCCTCCTTGGACCCGTGTCCGTGCCCGCTTGCGCTCCTAGCACCGACGTCGGGCCTGCTCCGGCTCTGCGGGAGATGAACGGCAGAGACAGATGTGGTCTGTGGAGAAGTAACACCAGTACTCGACGGGGTGAAGGCTGCTGATGATGCAGAGCCTGATGCTAGTGACGCATGAATGCTGGGGGTAGGCTGCAAAGACCCCACGGAATGGAACGATGGCGCCGACGGAATCTGTTGACGGTGCGGTGGGTAAGGATGCACGGGTGGCGGCGCTTTGCGGTGCACCGCACGCGGACTGGTCGCCCGACTGGGCGTGGCAGACGAAGACACAGACTGCGGCGGAGAGTACGGATGTCCACTGGCGGGTTGTTGGTATCCATACGGGTAGCCTTGAGGCGGGTATACGTACGTCTGAGAACCTGGCGGGCTTGGGTGCTGAAAGATCTGGTGGACGGAGGGGTGAGAGCCGGAGGCGGAGCGCGGGATGACTGGCACTTGTTGATACGATGGCGTACGCGACGGTGAACGTGGGCCTGGTTGAGCGGATGGACGCCGCGAGTCAGACTTGCTAGAAGGTGTCCGGCTTGATACCGGCACTGGCTGTACAGCGGAAGCCGAATGGTGAGAGGAGGACGGTGTTCGCTATGGGAACGCGTACTGTTAGTATCTAGCAGTCACAATGGATTGAGAGATGTAGAAGCAAGCATCGCGAAACGTATACCCTGCCATGCGCGACACACATGCTGCCATCAAGCGCCCAATATACACGCCGTAAAATCACAACCACACCCACTATTCGGGTCCAAGGATATCGCAGTACCAACACCATTGCAAGCTACCCCGGTCCCGTAGGTTTGCCAATTGGTACGACCAGGGACGCCCGAGGAAGACGCCCTACAACTTGGAAAGGAGCTCACCGGGGCTACGGAACGCGAGCGCGCTGCAGACGCGCCACTGTCGCGGTCATGAGACCTCCTACTACTCTGTGACCTCCCCGTGGTGATATGCGGTCTGCTCTGACTGCCAGTACGGGTCTGAGTGACATCCCTGTAGCTCCCGGGTGCGTACGTGCTGGGGTCAGGTTGCGGACGATGAGAGCGGACACTCTGACGAACGTGCACCTCCCTGTCGCGAGTGGGGGCGTCGAAGCCAGGCTGGAAAGACGGGTATACGCTGGTGCGGACAGGCATCCCAGTGGACGAGCGCGACGGCGAGAGTCAAGTCGAGAAAGCAGGCGGCCTCGCCTCGGGCAAGAGAACAAAGCAAGGGTCGCGAAAAGCCTCGCGAGCACGCGCGCTGCACGGGTTATAACGCGAGCATAAGGTTGCAACTGGCGCCGATCGATGCAGCGCAAAACGCCATGTTCCTGGGCCGTGTACGTACGGGGCTCGACCCTGGCAACAAGATTGGCAGCACGGACTCGTCAATTGACGCACGACATCCCCGTTCTTTTGCCTAACACAGCACGCATGCCGGCGCCTGCAGGCTCTTGTCCTCTCCCACCCTCCAAGTCCGCTCCGTGGACGCCGCCACAGCGTCGTCGTCGTCGCGTCCGCCCTCTCACCCACGACGAACATTGCGCGACACAGCCCAGCGGTGGCTCGGCGAATACCGATTGAGCGGTAGCCGCGATGCTCTGCATGCCTGAATGACAGTACAGGTGACATCATGTCTCCTCGGCGGGAAGTCCGGGTGCTGTGCGAGACACGGAGCGCCGAAGGCTAGAGCCTAATTGAATTCAGCACCGCGCGATCGAACCCCCGACCCCGAAGATCATTAATGCACCGCGCGTCGACAACCTGTCGCGGGGCCGGACAAGTAGCGAGGCAGGCAACGAGTGGTGCTTGACATCTGCAGCAAAAAGCATCAAGAAAGGATTCCCAAGGCTGCCAATGCACCCTGGTTCTCCTGCTATCCCGTAAGCAGACGACCGAAGATCAGCTTCACGATGCATGCAGAAGGTTTTGTTCTTATGCTCCATGAAAGCCCGAGACGAACGTTTCGCACTTCAGCGAAGTTGGTGACACTCGCGCGAAATTCGCGTCACCGGAACATGCGCCAGTCAACAGGCTGAACTTCTTGAAGTTACGGTACACTTGCCCAAAATGCATCGAGCCATGCGAATGTCACTCGCATAGTGCATATCAGAGGTCGAGCCAGATCTGATGCATAATGAGAATGTGTACCATAGACTCGAAGTGCCGAATCCCGGTCTGGACCAACATGCAACGGGAAATACTGATACGTTTCCCCCGGATAGCAAAAGCGACATGCCCAGAACAGACCGCATCTCAATGGTCCTGTCCAAGACAGACAATTGCACATAGAACGCGCGTGTCTAGGACACAGTGACACGACAGCAATTGGCACAGTGATGCATGGACGGCGCGTCCCAGCACAAACGGGGTACCATTGAACCCCTTCACGCCGATGTCACGCTCTTTGATCGACAGTGAACCACATGAAATGCAAGGCAGGGCATACGTTGTGCCATTTCGAGCACAGAGCGTCCTCTGAAGAGGAAGCATGTGCAACATGGCCCACAGACGACCATTTGAGGCGGGAATAGAGAGGACAACAGTCAACGCAAATGAAACACACACCTTCTCGTCCGCCTTCTCCTTGCTCTTCAATCCAAATGCAGCAAGCAGCGAGTACTTCCTCCTCGGCTTGCTCGACTCCGTCGTCGGCGAGGGAGGAACTACTGCAGGTCCAGGCGTGCGCGTGGGCGCAGACGCTCCGACCGGATCGACCGGCGTAGGCAATGGCTTGTCGACAGATGCCTTTGACGAGGACGCGACCAGATCCGATGAGGACGGCGCCTGTCCCTCATGTCGCCGTTGCTCTCGATGTGGCGCGGAACTCTGTTGAGCATGTGGTGGCGGCGGCACCTGCTCGCTGCCCGGTCTGCTCCCCTGTCCAACTGCACTGCTGGCGCTGCTCGGTGGCGTCGGGAGCCCACTACTCCGGACGCTCGCACCTGTGACTGACGCACCGCTCGACATGCTCCGATGATGTCCGCCCCCGAAGCCATAGCCATACATCCTCCCACCGTGCCGCGCGGAGGGCGAGAGCGGCGGGCCCATGCTGCCTTGTCGCCGCCCGAGATTCCGCCCGTTCTCGAAAGAGCGCGACGGCCGCAGGGACGGCGCCGGGTGCGCGCCCGGCACGGGCGGATACGTGTGCATGGGCGATTGCGAGCTGACTGTGGACGGCGCGCTCGAGCTCGGCGTAGGCGCGGCGGCGTATGGTGGGTAGTGATGTGCATGATGCGCCGCGAGCGGGGCGTACCCCGGTGGATGTGATGGGTCTGCGTGGTTGTAACCTGCAGCGGGATCTGACGCATTCGACGTGTTAGATGGCGTTCGAAATGGAGCGGGTGCGCGAGAGCTCGTTCGCCTACCCAGCTTCGCGGAAGGGTGTTCATGGGATTTGCAGACGTTGTTTGGCTTTGCAGACTGGCCGAGAGATCGCGCTGTCTCTGCATGTCCGCCTCGTATTGTCGTTGTGCTTCCATTTGCTGCTCATGCCGTCTCTGAGCTTCCATTTGCTGTTCGTGCCGTCTCTGAGCCTCTTCTTGTTGCCTTCGGGCCTCATCTTGTTGTCTCTGGGCGTCCTCCTGTTGTCTCTGGGCTTCGTCCTGCCTCCTCCTCTCAGCCTCTGCATGAGCATTCGCCTCCTCTTCCTCCCTCGCTCTCGCCCACGCTGCCTCTCTTGCTCTCCGCGCCTCCTCTTCCTCCTTCTCCTCTCTACGTCGCCGACGTCTCTCCTCCCGCTCCCTAGCCCGCGCAACCTCTGCCTCCATCGCCTCTCTTTCCTTCTCTCGTTTGCGCTTGTCCCTGTCACGCGCACGTTCGTCGGATTCTCGTTGTCGCTCCCGCTCGGCATCACGACGCGCTCTCCGCTCCAGCGTCGATAGCGGCGACTCCGGCTTCAGCTGCATGACCCGTTCGGCGTCCCTCGCTCTGTCCTCCTCTGCTTCCGCTCCTCACGTCTGCGCTCCCGCTCCTGCAGCTCCTCCGCCGTCCGATGGCTCTGCGCCCGCTTGCGCTGCCCCTCCTCTGCCGCGTCGGGCCGTTCGGCACTAGCGCTCTTCGCGAACCGTGCGTACAGCGGGGGCACGGACGTAGTCGCGACCTCCTCGCTTCGCCTCATTGGTACGCCCATGTCCCGCTCCTTGCCTTTGCGGACGCCGGTATGCGTGCCGCATGCTGGTCGTTGCGCCGCTCGTTCTCCCTGGGTCTCTCCCGCCCACGCTCCCTCTCCCTCTCCTTCCCTTGCTGCTCCCTGGCACGGACATCGGCACCCCCGAGTTTGTGCTCGGCACTGTGACCCCGCTGCTCGTGATGACCGGTATCGATCCGGTGCGCATGTGGTTGAGCGTCGCGCGTGTGAGATGCGGGAGCGGGTCGACGGACGGTGGCGCCTGTCGCGAGGACGGGCCAGAGGTAGAAGCCTGCATCTTGGTAGGTTGTGAGATCACGAGCCCGGCGTCGACGTCGAGGGGGCTGGGGCCTCAACGGAGGTAGACCGCTTGCGTCGGTGGAGGAGAGGCATCGCGCCTGGGGAGTGAGTTAATGTACGATATCGCGTGTGTAGATGTGATTGCGTGAAGGTCGGACGTGCGTGGGTGAGCGTGGAAGTCGTGGTGGAGAAGTCGTGAGGTGGGTCGTTCGAAGCCTGGGTCTACGGATCTAGCAAGGATCTAGTATCTGTCAAAAGATTGCTAGGAGTTGAACGTTAGCACTGCTGGATACAACACTTGGACTTGCGAGAAAGCACCTCGCCGAGGACACGCGAGGTTGTACTCCGGGTCGCGTACGGCAGATGCAATTGGTGGAGAAATCGATGTTCTGCGGCCGATGCGCCAACTATGCCATACGCCCGAGTTAAGAACACTGAGAAACCCGCCGCGAGACGCATATAGCCAGCGATTGTGCACATACCGGTGGGCGTCGGGGCCAACGTCGTAGACGCCTGGCGGCTCTGCGATACCAGCGACCAGGAGGTCCGCACGCCCCTCTCTCTCCGTTCCACCAACGCGAAAAACACAATATTGACGACTCACGCACGAAAACGCCGATTTCAGCGGCAGGGATGTGCACAACCTCCGTTCAGGCGACGAGGTGAGCGTGTGAGCGAGCGTCGAATAGGGTTTGGTTCGAATGAGGCGCGAGGCAACCTGCTGATTGTCGGGGCCCGAGGAATACGGCCAGCGAGAAGGACTGGGTGGCTGAGCTTGAATGTCTAGCGGGGAAACAGACGTGCGAGCGGTCTCCGAGCTATAGGTATGTCCAGGTTCATTCGATTCGATTCGAGTTGAATCCAGAGGATGATTCGAGGATGGAAAGACGAGTTCATTGCTGGAATTTCAAGTTTGACAATGGCATACCAGGGGTAGGTCGGCGCCGCGTGGTCGATGGTGACGTCGCTTTCTATAGACCCCAGGGAACGAACATTGTAGCCGTACCGTCGATATAGACGATGGCAAGGTCAATGTTAAGCGGCAGGTGAAGTCCTGATAATTGTCGTTGAAGAACGGAGACAAGGTTGGACGGAGCGGTGGAAGCTCTGAAGGTGGACTCAGCAGCTGAGTAGCTCCACATTTATTCAGTATTGAGGACATCAAAATCCGGCATCCAGAAGTGCATTGGTCTCCAACTGGCCTCATCAAGCTTACTGTGTCCAGTAGATGACATCAAGCCGTGTATGTACTCTTTGTACTAAGTAGATAGCGCATTTACGTGGAATATCTACAACTGGCTTCGAAGCTCAGCTCAGCGCTACAGTCCGTACGTAGTGGATGAGTTCGGATGGCGTAAGTAAATGCGTACGCTGAAAATAGTTCAAAGTCCTGATCATACCGAGGTCCGTGCAGTTGCTAGGTGATGTTGGCACACCTCGCCGCTTCCATCCACTGTACACTATGTTCTACGAACCCATCCTCTGTGATCGTATATCAGCCAGGTTCACCGCAAGATCACGACAAGCGCGTACCTGTCTGGAACGTAGCAAACATTAAGCTGGGGTTCGAATCATCTGTTGCAGGCGTATCAGGTCCCAGAGTAAATGACTTGGTTCCCAGCGCTATGTTTTGGTGCGCCACTTTGTTGAGGTTGATCAACAGGCGGGAGACGAGAATATTTGCCATGCTGATTGGTGGCGATTACGTGACCCTTCGGCGAAACTGAAGCAATTCAAGACCTACGCAGTAAAGACGAAATGGGTGCCGTATGCCTATGGCTCGGAGTCAAAACCCATCTCAGTGCATAAGTGAAAACGACGTACATGCTCAAGATGTACCACCATCTGAACTAGGTTCAGAACGAGGAGGACCCTATTGAGCGCAGCATTGTCAACGACGAGGTTCCGACTATATGCGCATATAGGCTAACAAGAAGCATAGAATACCTATGGAGATGAGCGCACAGCGTCAGGTGCCAGCTAGAAGGCGACCACACGAACGAATTACACACCATCTCTCATGAGCAGGACGATTATGCTAACGCCCCTCGTTCCAGTTGGCCACCACCCGTGGATGTTCATGGAGGTGGAACCTCCGACTCCGTGACAAGTCTTCAGCCAGGTAGTCACGATTACGATGACATCGGACGCTATTGCGCAAGCTCGGGAAGCCCATAGCACTATTAGACTGGTTAATTCAAGGCTTCGGGTGGCACTCAGAATGACATACATCTAGCATGATAGTCAGCGACACTCAGCCTTGTTGAAGTAGTGTAGACATACCTGTGATCAGTTTTGGGAGAAAGATACTGGTAGCTTGCGCATGCGGTGAGGCCCGGGATGAGGGGCATGAGGACCAGCTCCATGGTTGCATAAACGACCTAAGACACATATAAATCATCAGTGCTTATGTATCAGGCCCGTACGGCTACTTTTCTCACTATGTAACACACAGAGGTATTATGCTCAGTATGGAGGTGATGGCGTAAGTATGATGCTTTGACTCAAAGCTTGTATACGCAGAGCCGAGACCCCTAAAAACCGCGTCAGCCCTTCGCAGAAAAGTCCGAGAGGCTGCTAGCTTACATGTCCATATAAGGTACGAGAGACATAGACATATTTCGTTCGCAATGACTTGCCCTTTACAGCTGACGCAAAATGAGTCTCTGAGCAACACAAAAGACATATCACGCACGTCTATGGAAAAGATAATAGGGATCAAATCATGACCTCGGATGCTTGGCACTAGCAGGACCACGCACAATGAGAGAATGCCACGACAAAATCCCCAGTATGTATAGCACTGCAGTTGCCAACATGGTGAACCTATTCAGGTAGAACACGAATGCAACGCGCATTCGTGTACCCCAGATGAAGTGCGCCTCGTCTCCGAATGTAAGTAGATAATCGAAGAGTAACAACGCTATATAGCAAACAGAATCAGTCTGGTTAGCCATATTGTGGGTCGTCCATACTCGCGCGACTCACCAGCAGATGCAAGTTGACAGTAATTAATGGTGTAGCTGTCGCGGATCGTCAGTGCTGATGCACTACATAGGTGACATCGTTACGAGACTCACTTGTCGAGCAGTACTTGGGCCAAAGGCTTGTCAGTGCCGTGGACTTGAACGCGGTCCATGGTGCTCTTCCCTATAGAGTACAGCTCTGTTGCATGCTCTCCGGGTGTGCAGCATGCGGGATCTAGACAAAACAACTCGTGGGTCATGCATCGTCGACGGCGGACGATTTTCAGGCTAAAGTAGCCTGTCCTGAGTCCTCCGGAGTCCGCTGATCATCCTCAGCGGATCAGCAGATGGCGATCCCGGAGCACTGCCACCAGCAACCAAGATGCAGCGGGCTATTAGACCCGGCTAAGTAGCCGTGCATCTATCAGGAGGCTGTAACTCACGCACGTACTGCGGCTCATGTGGAAGGCGATCATTCCGCGTGGCCGGTGGAAATGTGTGGTTGACGCAGCATGTCCAAACCTAGTCCACACGATGGGGCGACGATTTAGGACAACGTGGTCGGAGTGATGATGAGCGCGCATGACGATGCAGGACTTCCATTCAGCATGAGAGTCTGCAGGGAGTCGTCAGCGGGCGAAGCAGAACGACTCATCTTCACCCCTTCTACTACGCACCGCCCTAGTCTACGCTGCAATCCTTCGCAACGATCACATAGGATATAATGCACAACGACGTGAGTCGCGCTGATAGTGATGAAAGTATCAATTTGTTAGGACACTGGCAAGCGGATGGAGTGCTTGTCGTCCCCTGTAGCCACGGAGGAGCCGTACATGCGCTGCGCAACTCTACCCGTATAACCGAGACGAGAACATAACTTAACTGCTGTCCAACGAGGCCGTCGATCGTCCAGGTTCGTACCCAAAGTGCTTGCAAGAGGCCGCTCTGATGCCTCGTCACATTTGCGATTTTTCTGCGGTATCGTCCAAGTATCTTGATGTACGTCTCGTGGAGGTGACGGCACGCGTTGTCCGGAAGCCGAGTGCTGAACAATTTAACTGGAGGTCGAGCGTGGTGTGCAAGGTTCCGGATGGCGAGCCGCCGTCTCTGTAAACAATCCAGTCCTATCAGATATACACGGATACTCCGTTGGCAAATAGGAAGGTGGATGGATCAGTCGTGATCACATTATGTGGCAGAGCGTAGTTTCTGGCTCTATGACCTAAGTAGACGGCAGCGATCGAGCGGAGCACCGGCTCGCGTTATGTATCTGTGAATGGGACAAGCTTACAACACTTGTTTATACACCAGCTCTACTGGCCGTGGACAAGAACATGAGTATTCTATGCATCGGTGTCGAAACGATCTACAATCAACAGTGAGCACATCTACGGACGTTTGAGCAATGCATGACGCTGCACACCTGTTGTGACAGAGGCAAACATGATCGTCGGAGCCTCAGCTTCCGTACACCCGGGGCTTGCCAGCCAGTGGCTCCCTCGCTGCGTGCCCGGATCAAGCATGACGTTTTTGTTCACCGCCTCATTGAGGTTGATCAGCAATCGCGAGACGAGAACGCTCGCCATCCTGCGTCGACAATGAGGAGTGCAGCTGGATTGGTACGAACGAGAAGACCAACGATGTAATGAAGACGTTCAAAACGCCGTAGGCCTAGTCGGAGCATGAGCATATGTCCTTGGCGCACTTAGTATCGTGGACGACTTACAGTCTGGAAACTCGTGAGCATCTGTGCGACGTTGAGGGCGAGAAGCACGCTGATCGGAACGTCAGCCATACATCAGCTTCGCGAAGAAGAGCGACTCACAGGAAGCATAGCATCCCTAATACAGCGTTCGTCAGAAATCCTGCCCAGCAGTGCACGGCACTAACGCACCATCTCGGATAAGCAGATGCCCGAGCGTAGGTGCGTCAGAGCGGCCACTCAGCATCTCCCGCAGGCAAAAGACGCGGAGTCTGTTCCCAGAGCCTGACGTCCTGTACCATGTCGCCACGATCACGATCAGATCACTTGCGATCGCGCATGCGCGGGAGGCGTACAACACTGTGTTCATGGACGTGAGTGAGCCGTGTGGGCTACGTTGCGCAGAGCGGACAACGCACGTCTAAAGCCATTGCGTACGCGTCAGCCAGAATCCTACTGTTGAGCGCACAGAGCGGACTGCTTACCGTGTATTCAGACTATGCGAGAGGCTATTTTGGGTTGCGCAGGTTGTGATGCTGGGTACGAGGGGAATCGTAATGAAGGTCGTTCTGGCGTACAGGACCTTCTCCCCGACAGCTGTGAGCATTGGGTTGGAATTCTGGGTCGCGGCTCTCACCAAGTTGGATACAAATGGCATGATGCCGAGCAGTAGCGTTACACAGGCGAGTGCACGACTCTGGCTGAGGGCCCTGACGCGAATTGCGGAAACCCCTGTCTAGCTAGTCAGCACACTTCTTGGAATGGTGGGGATATATGCGCGTCTTACAGGCCCAGATTATATACGAGGCGGACAGAAAGACTTCATTGGCGATCAGTAAGCCTTTGCAGCTGTGCGGAAACGAGGTTCAGTCACGCTACTATATGCGGCAAGTTACGAGGTAGACGTACTCCTGTGTACATTCGACGTTGAAAAAACGATGAAGCATGGATCATCGATCAATATTGGTGATATGGACAGCGAACACGCTACATACCTCTACAGAAGACCAAGATAGAATGCCGAGTATGCCCGTCACCGCCAACCCCACCATAGTCACTCGGTTGAGGAAGAACACGAACGCCGCAGACAACTTCCGGCCCCATATGAAGCGCACTTCGCTTCCGATGGTCAGACAGTAGTCGTAGATTATGAGGGCTATGATTATGACGTTTCTGAGTTAGTGTACCTCATGAGAGTTGTGTGCCGCGATGCTCACCTGCGGGTGCTAGTTGGCTATAGTTTGCAGCGAAGCTACACGGAGACATCAATATAGTACCGGCAAAGAGGTTGAGTAGGAACATACTTCTGCGTAAGATAGCTCGCGATCTGTACTTCACTGACGCCGGCCTTCATGGTGTAGAATCTGTAGAGAATGGAGGTGGCAGGAAGCCAGTGTGGGCATAGGTTTCTGACTGGGACAGTCAGTGTTCAGAAACTGCCAGGGATATATACACATACCAAAGCGGCGCCCTTGACATGATGATCACTACGAAGATCCACAAGGTGTGCGTTTTCCCACAAGCATGCGGAAGAAGGAAGCTAAGACCCGGGAAGATCCTGCGGGCATCCGCAAGCATGCATCTCTGGCGTTCAGGCCGGAGAAATCAGATGATACAGCCTTCGGCAGTGAAGAGGTATCTCTTCACGAAAGATGATCGTTAACGTGCGTTCTGCAAATCCACAGGCGTCGTTTTTGAACGATCGAAGGGAGTAGCACGAAGCAAATCATGGGAGAGCAAGGAAATGGAAGCACGAACCAGTACGCTATGCATGGCATAGCAGAATCAAGACTTTTGGATGCGCGGGCTTCCACAAGTCCTAGTACCAGCGATGGGCGCCGGCGTTAGCATGCGTCCTGAAAAAGCCATGCCTTCGTTCTCAATGACGGAAAGGACATAGCGATGACTTGTGGTAACAAGGGTGAGATTGGTCTGGAGAGGTACTCAGCAAAGCATATCAGTCAATAGACGGGGACACGGACCATTCTTCGATGCATATATGAATGCATGCAGTGCAGGGCACACGCGCTCCGCCTGTGCACGAATTCGACCGGGAAGGGGTCCATTGGAAGCACGCTGCCGTCACTGCATGATCATCGCCATTGGCATTTTCTGTCAGCTATTATGCACAGCAATGAGTCGTGAGTGTGCCACAAGTACTGGTATACGCGTATTGTTGGGATTCCGAATGCAGGTCATCGCGGGAATCAGTATGCATGTTAGTGATAGGCGCTCGCCGCTACAGGCGCGCTACCCACCAAGTCCGTCCTGCACAAATCCTGCACCGGGTCCGGAACTCTATTAAAGCATGCACGCGTAAGAACTCTGGCATGCTCCGAAACGTTAAACTCTTTCGATTTCGGGTTTGAAGAATGTTATGGGTAGGTATCCTTTGACCCCTACAGGATTGGCCACGCAGTGATAAGGACCAATTTCCATGGGAACTAGTACTAATCCATGAACAGTCTGCCATGGCCATATGGAAGCCACGTCGTCGTCCTCAATGCCAGCAACGCAATACTACCAGTACTTGCCATAAGTAGCTAGGACTCATCTCTTCCACGCTGCACGCATGCTCCACCTCCGAGGTCTTGTGCTACCCGTACAGCCTACCTCCGACTCGGACAAAACCCTAACTGCTTCATTTCATCTAACAGAGCCTACTTGCAATAGTACGCCGCCCAGATACGCCATAGGCTCGGGTTTCAGGCCGCTCTGGGGCAATCGGCATTATCCAGCCCACAAGTCGCCTCCGGCCAAGAACAGGAGGAAGGGCGCCGGACCGGAGGATAATGATAAGTATGCTGTGACGGCTAGTACATACTGCATATATACACGGGCGCAGTATCGATCGTCCCTCTCCGATGGACAACCATATCCCCAGGTAACACTTCGCCGCGCTGAAAACCCGTACTAAGGGAGGATGTCGACAGCCTCGGATGAAGCGTTGGAGCAGGAGCTGGCCTCCATCTTGCAGAGCAAGTGCGTACCACGCGTTATTCGCGATCGAAAGTACTGATGGCAGCTGCGATGACGGTAGTTTCATTGGGATTTGCTGCGAGATGGCTGTCTGCGGTACGTTCGGTCCATTATAATGTGGCGCGTGAAACGTCACGCTGACCATACCAACATAGTTATCCTGGTGTACGACTATATGCTCACGTTCGGCAGGGAGGTAGAGCTCTTCTGGCACAGGCCAACCAGGGCACTCGGCGGGACAGTGATATTCATGCTCAACCGTGTCGTGGCCGTCGGTCTGGCGATACTTGGTAACATCGACACCGATCTGTCCCGCTATACCTACGCAAGGTGAGGAAGCCACTGGTCACGCGACTCCGAGTCGTACTTAACATAAATTCCTTGCTTTCAGTTGTAAGTACACGATTCTGGTTGAAGTCACTATCACGCTGCTGGCGTATGCCGTCTGGGGTGGTGCGTTAATTGGTCCGATGCGTGTTTGTGATGCTAAAACATAGCTATCCAGCTGTGTCTGCCATTAGAGTGCATGCCCTCACAAAACGCAACTGGTTGCTCTCTATGCCCACGCTTGCTTTGGCGCTGGTTCCGATGGTTGCGGACATGGTAAGTAGTCTGGGCATGCGTGCCTTGGGCCTACTAGGCCACCGAAACTCTCGCTGACTGCAGACCAGTGGCTCACATCGACCATAACGTTCTCCGTAACGCCTGTCGGCCCTCTGACTATATGCGCGGAGAGCTCGCCAATCTCCGTGAGGCTCAACACAATGTGTGTATCATCCGTCACTTCTGCGTCGCAGCGCTACAGGTCACGATCCGCTCCTTCTAGATGTAAGAAAGTCGGTCGAACATGGAAACGCGTCAATCTGACGAAGAGCATGACAAACAGTGCTTATCCTAAGCCGTAGCAGTAGTTTGGCTTCGGACCTGATCGTCTTGCTGTAACGCTGTACTATGTTTGTCCACGCCCATGGCTCAGGGGCGCGCTCCCCAGCCGGTCGCTCTCGCGAGTGCTTCTCAGGAATGGTACGCCCAGCCTCCCCGTCGCATCGCTGCTGGTGACTACCTCTTACCCTTGTTGACCAGGAATCCTTTATTTCTGGTGCGTTCGTCGACCTTTCTTTGATCGTGTGAGCTCGACAGACCGGGCATCTCAGCGTACTGGCATTTATCAACGCTCTGGAAATCATTCTATACCTAACCTCGGTATGCCATCTCCCCCCTTGGGCGATACGGCGTCTGAAGGGCACGACACCTACAGACGACAGACTACGTCAACCTATTCATTGCGCCGTGCGTCTGCGATTTCAACGTTCCTCACAACGAGTCGTTGGCTCACGGAGAGGCATGCCTTTGTTACACAGGATATCGACGATAGTAATTTCACGCTTCTTACTCGACATCCGAGAGGCAGCATATACATCCGACACTACTTTCGAAACGACGACCTCCGACCTCTCCATAAGCACGCCATCCGGAAGCGCATACAAGTCACGGATGTGGCAGTCGCTTGATTTTGCGACCCAAACGTATGGTGCGTTCGGCTCCGCGCATGACCGCCTCAGGTTGGTAATGTTGACAACGGGGCCTAGCGGAACGATCCCAGGGTGCCATGACGAGTACCACTGACGTTGGCAGCCACGATCGGCACCTTTATGCAGACGTACAAGAGTTCGAGATGGGCAACCTCGCGACGGACCCGCGATCCAGGGGGGGTGTATACGCTCCGTAGGTGAGTGCTGTTTGACTGTACGTCGAGTGACCATCACTCATCTGCATCTCTTCTATATCTAGCCCTATTGCATGTCGTAACGCTTCGTAATGGTCATAATAGTGATACTGTACAACGAGAGGAGTACATGTCGACGAGTCGGGCAGGAGAAAAAGAACCAATAATGAAAACATAGATAAACATATCGCTACCTGAGCACGAAGGTCGAACCGCGAGACGAGTCAGCACACCCCACCTAATAATCCTCCTCCTCCTTCACCACCGCGCCAGCGAACCCGGCCCATCTCCCGCCGCCTACCGCCCAGTCGTTCTCCATGCTCGGTCTCGGCCTGAAACTCTCCCGGCGTGCTCTCGAGGCTTTCTTCGCAAGGACGTTCGAGCTCAGAGCCGGGGCACCATAACTCCGGTAAGCAGTCGAACTAGTCGACGACGTTGAGCGCGTCTGGTTGTGCGACGACTGATAGGGATGATATGAACTCTGAGCTTGCGCCGAAGGCACCCGTCCGTGGCCGAGTGCATGGTGCACCGTACCAGGCTTCGGGACCGGCATCGCAAGGGGTACGGGACGAGGAAGAGACGACGTCGGGATGGCAGTAGACGGTGTCCTGCCGGGGATCTTCGACGGCGACCCCGGCCTCTGCGCACCTGGGCCCTTGCTACTCCCTAGATACGCCGGTGCTCCGTGAGCGGGCACGTTAGTATGAGCAGCAGTTGACTCGCCGAGACGGGGGCGCTTGCTTGGCTGCGAGGACGCGGCCATGCTCGACCCGGGACGCACTGCGGGCGTCACCACCCCTGAGCTCTTGGTGCCGTGAGAGGTGCCACCGTGCGTCGTCGCAGGCATGTAGTGATGTGGGGGTTCGAAGGTGTCTTGGAACGAGGGGGTACTGAGCCGGCTCGGGCACCGGGTGTCTTGCTCCGCTTGTTGTTCTCCTTGTCATTCGCACCGACGGTCTCCATGAGCAGTTGTACCATGCTTTCTCCGTGGACAAGGAACGCGCGTCCAGTCTCCGCCTCCCATGCAGGTATTGACGCCAGGAGGTCTTGCTCGAGCTAGACACATACGTCAGAGAGGGCGAGTACCAATGATACTGAGAAGACATACTCTTGGCTTCTCTTTATTGACGCGCTTCCGCATCTTCTCTTCACGAAGCAGGCGACCCGGATCGCGCGGTCCTCTTCCAAGGAGCCGGCTCTGGTCGCTGGCAGCCGCAGCCAGTTCCTTCTCGTCTTCACAGATATCGAAGTATTTCCGAATGCTAGCCAGGAGAGGGCCTTTAAGCCGCCGCTCCTCCTTCAGCCGCCGAATCTCTTCTTCGTGGATCGCAAGTAGCTCTTCCGTGTGCTCGTCTACATGAGTTCATGCTCGTCAGCACGCAGGTCTAGCACGGGTATCAGGAGTCCTCACCATCTGCGAAGGGCGCAAAGTCCGCCCGTTCCTCTTCGCTCACCATGAGCTCGTCCCACAACTTGATGATCTCCGCCCGGGCGTTCTCCACGAAAGTGCCCATTCGCTCGCGCTTGAGCTCGAGCATCCGCTCCAGCTCTTCTTCGTACGATTGACAGTGGCATCCGTGCTTCCCCGCTGCGCCTCCACGAACCCATCAATATCTGCGTCCGGCACGCCAAGCCTGCGCCACAGCGCCTCGAGTTGGTCGTACATCGCCTGAATGTGTTTCTCTCCGCCGTTTGAGCTCCTCGAGCTCTGCACGCACTGACTCCGCCCAGCCATTAGGCCCGGTGTCGGGTCGACGCCCTCCAGTCCGACATGGGCCGTGTGGAATCCTGCAAGGCTTCTTCCGAGGCCTCTTCCACGCGGGCGACGAAGCGGGCGAAGATGCGTTGGTACTCCGACTCGGGCACTTCTCGAGGCTCATCCGGCACTGAGGCCAACAGAGTGGCGCACATTGCTTCGTACGGGTCGCGGGAGTAGGTGTGGACATCTGTATCGACATGGACATCGATGTGGAGAGGAAAGGGTCTGAGGTTGATGCCGTTCGGTTGCTGCAGGAGGACGTCGAACGTGGGAGGGAGGCACAGTTAATGACGAAGATGATGGGAGGTCGTCGAGAGCAGGTGGCGACATCCCTAGCTCGGTGTACAGCCAGTCGATCTGGACCATTGTTGCTGATAGTAGTGCTAGTCGCTTCGTCTGGTGAGGAGGCAGGTGAGCCAGATGCAGTCAAGGATGGAATGCTGGAGACGTACGACTTCGCCTTTGCCACGGACCAACTCCTTCTCGAGTCTCGAGAATCGTTCCGGCGTGACATCTCGGTGGGACGAAGAGTCATATTCGTCCTCTCCCGAAGCAGGTGTTGGCTCGAAAATATCTTGAGCGTAGAAGTCGGGGCCCAGCGTGCTTGCAAGAGCGCCGAGTCGGCCGGTGAGGGTCAGGAGTTGTTCTAGCTTCGTATGATACAGCTACAAGGTCAATGATCAGCACCCCCGCTATGAAGAACTCAAGCAAAGGGCCTACCTGTCGTAACTTCTCCTGGTACTCCGAGATAATCTCAAACCGCCGCGGCAACACCTGTTCCTTCCTGATCTCTCCAACACTGCCGCCTGTGGCCTTGACATGCCCACCGAGTGCGTTTCCATATCGTATGCACTGGTTCTCAACTTCGATGCATCGTTCCATCCACTCATCGACCTGCTTCCGCCGGAGGTCGATCTGGCCGTCGATGCATTCCGTGAGTTGCTGCTGTAGCGTCGCGAGTTCGCCTGTGAGTGCAGTCGGTGGTAGCCCAAGCTGTGCGTGAAGAGTGGGGAGAAGTTGTGTTTGAGATTGGAGATGTGTGTGCAGGGTGTTGAGGAGGGATGTTATTGTCGTAGACATGGTCGTGAGGGTATTGGTTCAAGTTCGAAACGCGCTCGACGCGAACCGCGTTCTAGTCACGTGCGTCGCGTCGAGACTCAGTAAAATTGGAGTAAAATAACCCATTGCTCATAACCATGCAAGAACCAAAGATGATCAAGGTGCGACACCACGTCTGAAAATTAGCTATGTGGTACAGTACAGAGGAGACGCTAGGCTGTAGTCGAAGGAGATACAAGGAAACGAAATACACATCTATGATCTAGTGATACAATCCGAATTCAAAAGTACAATCTAGGGCAAACGTAGAGTCCAAGGCGTCCGATTAGCGTGTACGAAGCTCGTTCCTCAAGGGTCTCCGGCGGACGACTAGAGGGCCATCGTCATGCCGACCAGGAGCGGCCAGAGGACGAAGACCAGTCGAAACTTGAGCCGCTCCGTGTCTACGGTGTTTCGTTTCCAGGATCCGCTGCTGCCCGTGCTGCTGTGAGCCTTTTGCCTATATGTGTTGCTGGTGGACGTAGGCACGGCGTAGGAGCTGCTAAGTGAGCTACTTGATGGTCTAGAGGAGTACGAGGACGAAGCCGAGATGTTCATGCTCGTAGGGGCCGCGGAAAAGGTCGAGAAGGAGCTCGTCGCGTTGTTTTCCAGGGCAGAGTAGGTGGTCGACCGAGTCTCGGCTCTGCTAGAGCGATGGTACGGAGGTGTGTCGTCCATTGCGGACAGAGTAAACCCAGCAGTGTAGACAGTCATCGGTGGGTCCTCGCAGATGAAACGCAAGTGGCTGATAATGATCAGCAACTCACAGTGCTGCGATGAACAGTTGCACTCACTAGTCCGACCCGTTGGGTCCCAGCGTCGGCGATATCCAGACCGACTTCGAGCGCCTCGTTGGTTCGACGTTCTGCGCCAACGTTGCAACGTAGTTCTGTACGCAGGTCAGACGATGGTGTGAATTGAACATTTCGAGAATACTAACGTCATCTCCGGAAAACAAATCTATGCGAACTGGGCCCATTTGCGAGAGAGAAGGCTGAGTGTCGTCGTTGATCCATGTAATTGTTGACATGCGACCCGCGCTCAAGACCGTGCTAGCGATGGGACGAGTAGGATACAGTCCGGCGGTAGCGGAAGAGACGAACAGAACTAGCGTGCAGACCGAAAGGCGTAGCATCGTTGACCGAGATGGCATCATGAAGCGCTTTGAATTATGTCGCCAATAGTATCCAGGAAAGACCAGGCTTCAGGATATTGGACGGAGCGATCAGTTTGGCAGGACTAGAGGTCAAGTCTGCCGCTGAAGTTCAACTTCAGGGCCTGGAAAGTTACGAGACGAAGAGCGCAAGTACAATATCAAGGAGTTCAGATATTTCAGAGGCCTAGGACCGTCTCGAGGTAACAGTTGAACGTTAAACGAGAGAAGGACTCTGGGGAGGTGGGCGTGGCTCGTCAAAGTTCATTTTGGCCGCTTTGGCGAGGCCGCCACAGTGTGACTGTGACTGTGCGTGACAAGTCGCGTCTCTTTTCGTCACGTGGATCATACGCCGCATACGCGGGCGCTTAATGCATTGATCGCATTCGCGACCTTCCGCCAGCACGACCACCTTTTGCAACGGCGTCGACGCTCCAAATTGCGGCGAGCAGATGTCGCTCACCTACTAGGCACATTTGGGAATGTTTAGAACGCTTTTGACACCGCTCAGCGCGCGGTTCTCACTTCCGCAGCTTTCACCGAGGCCGAGTATTACCTCGTTCCCCCAGAATGGCGCGGACGACCCACCAGACGAGTTGGATCCGGAAGAGTTCGCTCGAGACGTTCTTGTGCAACTCATGAGGAACGCAGTGGAGAACTTAAAGGCGGCGGAGGGGCTGAAGGCCAAGGCAGAGGTACGTCTGACAACTCTATGATCATGCAACGCACAGCTGCTGTACTCATCGAACTCTTTGGGCAGTTGTTGGCTGAAATGCACAAGATCATGCTGGAGGATGCTGCCACAAAGGACGTCTTCCGGGAAATGGACGGTTTTCTCGTGGTCATGAGTGTCCTATCAACTCTTCAAGCCGTAGAAGACGAAGAAGCCAAGACGGAGGTCCTTGAGGCGACTCGGCTCGCGTTCGTCATGCTGTCGGAGGCGCTGGAAGACCACCAAGAGAACAAGGAGTACTTTAGGGTATGTCCGTATAAGTTCCATTTCGACTGCTTCTCACATATGTACAGCATTCGGTCGGCTTCGAGTCGCTTGGGCAGGCCATGGCTACGCTCGTCTCCGACACGAATACTGTCAGACATACACTCGGCTTTCTGGTATCCCTCGGCTTGCACAAATTCTCCATGTCAGGTATATTCGACTTCGGTACTGAAACAGACTACGCGCAACTGGACCATCGGATACGCGACTTCGAGCCTGCATTTGGACCCATCCGCCATCCCGAGGCGTTCCGCCTGCTCTTCAACTTCATCCCGCAAGCGACCGATGACAGCCGCGCCCTGCGCTATTGCATTCTCAAGCTTCTCGAGAGGCTGTCATATCATAGCCACAGGAATCACTGTCTTTTGAGCAGCCTTGCTCTCGTCGAGCCTCTCTTCCGCAAATACTGCGAGTGGAAGGAGGATGTAGACATTGCAAAGCCTGAACGACAAATCGTTCAGAAGATGCTCCGAAGACTTATCGACGTGGGGACAAATACTGATGAGGCGCGCGCAATGTTCCAGCGCGCTGTGCGTCAAGACAGCACGCTGGATGGGGACGTTCTGGAAGTGCTCCGTGCGGGCATGAAAGTGAAGTGGCCGGAACACCTCTCCTTGGAGGACGCCGCGGCCATCCAGGTGCCTCACCATGACACAAGAGGACTTCCGTTAGCGGGGTTCACGTTCATGGTGAGCACGTTTGTAAAGCGTCTTGTACATTGTCGTCTTAAATAGTGCATTGCGTATAGATCTGGCTGTGGATAGAGAAGTTCCCTGCCAACGGATCGCATGCTATATTTTCGTTTCGGCTGCGGGATCGTATCTTCGTTGCACTTGGGATCCGACCAGATGGGAACCTCGAATGCCAGACTACCGAGGCCACCAAGCTAAAGGCTGCCATTCATCGAGCACGGTGGACACATGTAACCTTTGTCTTCCACCCGCATCGGTCTGCCAACCCTACAGTCCGTCAGTACTTCTCGGTTCACGTCCCATGTATAGCGCTGAGACGAACACCTGACTAGGGATTTTCATTGACGGTATCATAACCGACGCCATGAAGTGGACATACCCGAAGCCCGAGTATACAGCTGGAGTAGGTATCTACCAGATTGGCGATAACAGCGGTGTAGCCCCCATTAGCTGGTCGATAGCTTCAAGTTACCTCTTCGCGACCCCTCTCAGTATGTACGTGCACTCTTTGTGAAGTCTTATACTAATCTTGGCCGGTACAGCGGACAGCATCCCGCGCTTCATCCATCACCTTGGCCCCCGATACGCGTCGCGCTTCCAGACAACACAACTGGCACGGCTTTTCACCTACGAGGCATCTACTGCCTTGCACATCTTCCTCGATGGTGCAGCCTATCAGACAGTAGCGAAGGCCGACATCATACAGCTCCAGCATGTCGTCAAAGAGGGCTTGGCGGTGGGCGAGTCGTCCATTGTCTTCTCACTGAACACCTCGAGCGAGCTTCAAAGCACGGATACGGGTATCCGTCTGGGTTTTGTCGGCATTGGTGACATCTTCTTGGTGAAGAATGGCTCGTTAGACATGGCATTATGGAAGATTGGCGGCGCTGCTGTCGCTCTGCGACTTGTACAATTGGCCAATGTGCGTGATTAGCCTGTGAACTACCTTCGCTTACTCACAACTGTGGTGCAGAGTGACCATCAGCTTTCACGAGCTCTGGGTGTGCTCACTGATGGAATTCGCAACAGCTGGCAAAACTCTGAGGACATGGAGCGACTTCGTGGGTTCGATCTGCTTGTCATTGCCACAACGAGTCTGACATGACAATAGGCGGCTATGACATATTGGCTGATTTGTTACGCAATAAGCCGGACCTCATCAACATGACCGGATTCGAGACCATATTCGAGTTCCTAGGTCTGAACTTCCGCTCCCCTGAGTGAGTGTTCAGTGTACCTCCTAATTTGCGATGCTCAGTAGTATTAGCCAGTCCACGATCGTCAATACCGTCGCATACCGTGCCGTCGCGCTCGACTTTCAACTGTGGGCCTCAGCTCGCACCGAAATCCAACACCTTCATCTGGAACACTTTCATACGCTATTACAGACGAGCAAGTATAAGCGGTTCAACGTCAAGAACCGCTTCGCGAAGATGGGCGTGGTTCGCAAGCTTCTCTTCGTGATGCAAACCTCGTTGTATTCGTACGACATGTACCCGCAACTGCTGGAAGCTCTGAAGATTGTTGCACAAGTTCACTTCACCGCGGACGATGCTATCAAGCCCATCGTTTCATATCTAGCCGCAAATCTGCATGAAGGCAAGCGCCCTCTGGTTGTTGCTGATTGATGTGCTAACTAGCGGGTGGTAAGCTAGTGACAGAAGCATCTTCACCCCGTTCCATTATCTCCCGCATTGACTACAGCAATGGCCAGTCAAAAGCTGAACAAGTCTTTGGCATGTTGGTGGACATCCTCCGATCGCCTGCGGCGTATGAGAAGTTCTCCAGTACTCTACCGGTCCCCCGTATTTCCCTCTTACTACTCGGCGAGCGACCATCGCCGACAACTGCTGCCAATGCACTGAAACTACTGACTATCAGCGTGAAGTCTTCCAGCTCGTTTAGCCGGAAACTCGAGCTGGTCAGCGGGTGGAACATCCTTAAGGCCGTGATACCCCATGCATGGGATTACTCTGTGCAAAGGGCAGCGTTCGATCTTCTCCTTGGTTGGTTAGAAGGTGAAGCGCGCGGGTCTCCCATCGTAGTTTGTCCGCAGATCTTGCCAGCAATTCTCACTGCGCTGAAGCTTTCTTTGGGAACCGTTGGCATCCGAATTGCGAGTGGAACGCCAATAGGTATGTGTCGTTGCACCAATCTAGGCGTCAGTTGATTTACGTCTCATGTAGTGACGACTGAATTGGAAGAGAATGTCGAGAAGCTTCTCGAGGAGCTGATCGAAGTGCATTCAGCTGCGCCATCGTTTCGTCAGCTATTCAAGTCGCAAGCTACCACGGACTTCTTTGTTGACGCTTACAAGACGTTCGTTGCATCCGCATCCATGGCACCTGAGCTGTATTCAAGCACCATACGAATACTGGAGAAGCTTTCACACGTAGCTCTCAGTATTGCGCTTGACAACGCGGTGGCAAGCTCTCAGAAGCAAGAGGTGAATCCGTGAAACTATAACATTAGCCTCACTTGTGATTAACTGTGGACTAGATCATGGACATCCTTCAGTCAGCCGAAACTGCCCTCAATCCTCGTTCATCACAAGAGAGTACCATTGATTCAGTTGCCGTCGTTGGAACAAAATCCCGTCGGCGGCGCATGGCATCTATCAGGCTCAGTGTGCAGCTTGGTGAGAGTGCGGTGAAGCGTTCGATTACGCGGATACATGACTGGCGTAAGACCGTCATTGCCACGGAGAGGAAGAGGTTGCGGAAGACTATCCTAGATATGTGCGTGAGGTACTCGTCTCGTCCTGTAATCATCTGACACGACTTTAGGCGAGAGTATCACCGCCAAATAAGCAGCCTGACCGACTGGTACGCATTACTCTCCAATGAGCGTGGACTTTGGCCTAGTACTATGGACCATCGATGGCAATTGGATGAGACGGAAGGGCCGTATCGAGTCAGGTTAGGCCTTCGGTCATTGGCTGAGGACAACGCTTACGTCTCTACAGGAAGAAACTTGAGCCCACCCAAGAACATCGCATCAGTACCAAAGTGGAGACCATGAACCATTTGAGCTTCGAGCTACAGTTACCGTCCACAAATAACAGTACCCCGACGCTGCAGTTGGAAGTTCCTCCTTGGGCAGAAGGCTATGACCCATCCTCAATCGGCGTTGATGGTGAGATTGAGACTAGCCTCCCAGTATTATATATCGTTTATCACTCTACAGAACGTCAGCTCGAAGAAGAGATTGTCGACGACAAGCATAGAAGAGTGAGGCATGAACTGGAACCAGGCGATGTGATTGAGTCTGCCAACACTGTCGCGCGTATATCTGGCGTCGACTCATCTCGTGAGTGCACTGTGCTGTCTGCCGTTCGTAGGCTCCGCTGATGGTGTATCAGCTGGACTTCTCATCCTCGGACAGACTCATTTGTATATGCTGGACGGTCTAGTCCAGAGTGACGATGGCGAAGTGATCGATGCTCATGACGCGCCCAAGCGACTGTTCTTCGTCCCGGGTAGCATCATTGAATTGAATGGCCCTCAGAGAGCGCAACGATGGTCTGTGATGTTCTGCTTTCATCTCATGACATCTGTTGACTGTCGGCCTACAGGACCCATGATCAGATCGTCAGCTTCAGCGATCGTACATTTTTGTTTCGTGACGTTGGGTAAGATCATTTGCTATCTCTCAAGACCTAAAACTCAGTCGACATGCTCTCAAGCTTGGAAGTCTACTTCAAGGACAGCCGATCTCTTCTAGTCGTGTTTTTGGAGAAACGTCAGCGCCTTGAAATGAGCGACCGCTTGTCGACCATCATGTACCGATACAATGCGGAGCCACCAACGCCGTCCCCTGTGATGCTGAAGTCGCCTACCATGTTGTCACCTATGGTCGGTAGGCTCAGCGGCAAGCTCAGTGCCTCGCTCAGTGCCAAAGTGTTGTCCGGACTCAGAATGGACGAGCTGTCAACTGCTCAGAGGAGGTGGCAAACAAGAGATATTTCAAATGTGGGTCACCGCACCTTCTCATCGCAGCAGTCGCGCTGATATATCGACACTTAGTTCACGTACCTCAGCATCCTGAATCAAATATCTGGTCGCACTCCTAGTGATGCTACCCAGTATCCCGTGTTCCGTATGTGGTGTCTTCGCTGGAGTTGGGGTTAATGTTGACAGTACCATCATCAGCATGGGTTCTCAAAGATTACACATCGGAGAAGCTGGACTTGGTCTCTGCAGGGTCCTACCGCGAGTACGTGCCTTCCGCCTTCTTCGCGACGTCTCAAAGCACTCACACTCACTATGTTCCCCAGTCTCAGGCGACCTATGGGTGCGCTGACACCTGCGCGGGAAGAGGCCGCACAGTCCCGCTATGTCAATCTTGAGAGCGTGGACGAGAAGCCGTTCCACTACGGGACGCACTTCAGCTCTTCCATGATCGTGTGCCACTTCTTGATCAGGGTGGAGCCGTTTAGCCATATGTTCAAGACTCTTCAGGTATGTCTTGCCTCGAGTTCTTAGATGATGCGTGTGACGCCTGACGCGATCGGGTGTCAGGGAGGTGATTGGGATCTGCCTGAACGACTATTCAGGTGAGTGGTACATAGTACATCAGAGGCTGGGAGGTCTCGCTCACACGAAGGATCTCAGTGATGTTTGGCGAGCGTATGAGAGTGCCTCCACGGACGTACGGGGTGATGTACGAGAGCTCATACCCGAGTTCTACGCACTGCCGGAGTGCGTTATACTCGTTATCCCCGCTCGACTCACATCTGAGTAAGGTTGCAGATTTTTGGAGAATTCAGCTCGCATCGACTTCGGCGTGCAACAGAGCACCGGAGAGCGGATTGACGACGTGAAGCTACCCCCTTGGGCCAAACAGGATCCACTGCTGTTCATCAACTTGCACAGAGAGGTCCGTAGGTTGTGTACCAGGCGACGATTGTGTACTGATGGTTTGGCGGGTGCAGGCTCTAGAGAGCGACTACGTCAGCGAGAACCTGCCCTATTGGATCGACCTGATCTGGGGCTATAAGCAACGGGATCCCAAGTCCCTCAACGTGTTCCATCCGCTGAGTTACGAGGGTTCCATAGGTCAGTACTCACTTCTACTTGCGTTACTGTATGCTGATCCATCTCATAATGCGACCAGATCTTGACGCCATTACGGATGAGTTGGAGCGCGAGGCTACCGTTGGCATTATCCACAATTGTCAGCATTCACCCTTTGGTTCTGGAGATGGCGCTGAGACCTCTTATAGTCGGCCAGACGCCACGAAAATTGTTCCATTCCCCACATCCCGAGCGGATGATGCACGGGAACTCATCCCTTCCTATTGGCACGCTGTACGGATAGCAGAAGACTACCATCTACTATCCCAGTCAAAACGCTTCATCAAGGGTTTGTTACGCCCGCATTGTCAATGTCGATTGGGTATTGACTTTGCGTACTGCAGATCTTGGACCGCGAAACCCCATCCGCGAGCTCACGTTCGATCCTATAGGCCAAAAAATGATTCCCTATCCAGACGGGACTGCGTGTATTCCTGGATTGCCCCATGAGCGAGTGGTGTGGCAGCCTGGCCTTCATTCTGGCGGAGATCTCAGGGTGGTGGTGGATAACAAGGTCCGTCGTCGAAGGCAAGGCTTCGTGCATAGGACTGGGCTGAGACCACGCTGCAGGTTGTGCAAGTTATTGAGTCGACGGCGTGCTCCTGTGCGGTGTTCGCAGACCCGAGCACGCTCGTGACAGGCTCGCGCGACCACACAGTGCGCCTGTGGCGGGTACAGCGGCCAGGTCAGAGCCTCAACCCGCATAGGGAGCCGCCGCTAAACATCACGCTCACGCATGTGATGCGCGCGCATACGTCGGGCGTTGTCTGCGTCACGGCGTCGAGGGCGTGGTCGGTCGTCGTGAGCGGCTCGAAGGACGGCAGTGCGGCGTTCTGGGATCTGAATCGTGGGACATACGTGCGGTCTATCCGGCATGGGGAAGGAGACTGTGCGGGGGTGCATCTCGTCGCTGTCAATGAGAGCACGGTGAGTAATGGCAACCCCGACCTTCGTCCAAGATCTTATGGATTGTATTCCAGGGCTACGTCGCTTCATGCTCACGATCAAAACTATGGCTGCACACGATCAACGGGCGGCCTATCGTCTCTCTCGACCTCAACTCCTCGACCGTACCGAACTCATATCCTGCCATCACTTCCATGGCTTTCCTTGAACGCGAGTACTCTCGTGTCGGCGTTCTCGCAACCGGATCGCCGGATGGCACCATCGCCCTGCGAACATGGAACGCCGACAAGACTCCGGACGGCGAGCAGGCTCGCTGGGAGTTTATGACGTTGAAGACGCTGATCGTGAAGGGACCTGATGGGCACGTCCAACCAAAAGGAACACCTCGTGTGTCACTGCTCTCAAATTTGTGGGGTAAGTTCGGTTCGACGGTTGTACTATTCTGTCACTGAAGCGGCGCTTTCGCTAGGGAATGTTTGTATCACGGTGAAGACAGCGGACGGACGTTTTCATGGGACTTACCGGACTAACGGACTACGTGATATTCGCGGTTTCAGTTTCGTGCTTTGTTACGCTGCTTGCTCTCGCATATTCCATCGCTTGCTCGGGCATCTCTTGCCTGCATGTCCTCTGACGTTTATTTACGGAATAGCTTTCGTCTATTAGAATACTCTGCATTGCCTTCGGCCGCTGGCCCTTCTCAGTACATATCAACTGTAACAACACATGTCCTCGTGCAATATAGTCTTTCTGTCGGAAACATCATGACTGTCGTGGGCGGGTGTGAGCAAGGTGTTTCTGCAAGGTGTTTCTGCAGCAGTGACGATATGGGCGATGCGCTATCGCCTGGCGATCTCCGGCGGTGGCACGGTCAGGCAGGGTGCTCGACTCGGTTATAACTTAAGCTTGATCGCACAGTCTATCCTCCTCGACCTCGACCTCCTCCCTCTCGCCCGCCTGTTCTCGTTTCTATCTTCTCTTGTCCGACTTACAATGTCCTGGCAAGGTAATTACCTCCCGGCGATGTTCTCAACATGTCGATGATGCTCAAGATTCTCGCTCCTGCACGTGAATAGCCTATGTCGACACCAACCTCATCGGCACTGGCAAGGTGTCCAAGGCCGCAATTATTGGTCTTCAAGGAGGTGTCTGGGCGTCGTCTCCGGGATATACGGTGCGTCGAACGCAATCTCATGTGCTGGTCAGCTCCTAGATCGTGTACTGACTGCTCTCGCCTCCTCGCGGCGCAGCTCTCTGCGCAAGAACAGAAAGACATCGTGACCGCGTTCAACAACCCCGGGGCTGCGCAAGCAAGTGGTATCCGTCTGGCAGGGCAGAAGTTCTTCACCCTCCAGGCAAACGAGCGTAGTATATATGGGAAGAAGGCGGTGCGTCCTGACCCCTCCTGAACGCGATCACACCATCTGATACGACAGCTTCCAGGCGGATGGCGCCGTACTTGTGAAGACCAAGCAGGCTGTCCTTGTTGCGGAGTACAGTGCGCCGACCCAGGCACCGGAGGCCACGCCGGTTGTCGAGAATCTCGCAGACTACCTCATCAGTGTTGGTTACTAGTCGATCTCCTGTGCCTATTCTCTTTCGCAAGCTGTAATCTTTCGCTGTCGTGGATGAAGAAGACTATCAATGTGTATTTGCATACTGAAATCTGATCTAAAGGTAGCGATGACTAGGATGGTCTCGAGAAATCAAGAGTATGACGCACCGTCTTAGCATTCCTGGCTGAGCGATGTTGTGTTACACCACACTGATTGTCGCTGCGGATGTGATTCATCCTTTTCTCTTGATAGACCTGAAGCGGCGACGGGATGACAACAATTTCCATGTGGTGAATAACTCTTTAGGACTTGTGATCAGGTGGCTTCCTGGGCAAGTCCTGAATTGGTTGCGTGGCCTTACCATTGAGGGCATGTGGTGGTGTAATGCCTTGAACAGGTCAGCCAGTGTATCGTGTTGTCCAGTCATAAACGTGGCCACACTGACCTTTGTGCCACTGTAGATCTAATCAAAGCGCCCGCGCTTAGGCTTCTGTCCTTTGTTGCCGCCACTCAGTTGGCCAGTTGGCCATTGTGGCTGGTTCATGTTCAAAGCGTGCCCCAGAGAACGTACTTAACGCAAGCCCTCCCCATATCCAGCTGCCTAAGCTCACGATCCTGCACGCCACTCGCCACCCCTACCGGCCTCAATTGCCCTCCCCGCCATGTACTTCCCCCGGCCGTCGCCACCAAAACGCCGCGCCGCTCACCCCACCGACGGAAGCGTGCTGATCGACTTCGGTGGGGGCGTGCACACCTACACGATGCGCTCCTGCCTGCATCCCGACTTACCCGAGACGAGGCTCTACATCAGCTCCGTCAAGGACCAGCTGCACCCCGACTACCATCCAATTCACGGACTGAAGAGCGCCCCGCGCGTCTACCGCGGCTGGTTCTACCGCTCGACGCCCGACGGCCAGGGCCAGGAGGGCGAAGTTGCTGTCAAGTGGGTGAGGGGGATGAAACGCATTGAGACGCTCGAGTGGGAGCGCGAGAATTACTGCAGACTGTTTGAGCTGCAGGGCATCGTGATCCCGCGTTTGTGGGATTATATGGAGGCGACGATTGAGGGCATCGACGTTGCATGTCTGGTCACTGAGTGGTGTGGGGGTTCCCACCCCGAGGACCCCAAGCTATTTAGGTACGTTTGTAGGATGTGTCTCGTCGCTGTAGCCTATGAGCTTACTACATGGATGATCACGTAGTGCGCAGAAGTTAGAGCTAGCCGTCGTCCTGCACAAGGAAGGCTGGCTTCACGGAGACCTGATCGACGCCGAGAGCCACCACTGGGTGGTGGCCGAAGATGACAAGACGGGAAACCCGCTACGCCTGGTTGACCTGACCAAGGCGTCCGAACACCGATGTTTCGTCGACGGTCCTGAGCGCTGCGTGAAGCGGGATCCCGATGGGTGCCAGGAGCTGGATAACATGGCGGCATTGCGTTTGTTGAACTTGTAGGGGTATTGTCGTATCGTGGATCGTACGTGTTGCAACATCTGTCATGTGTGCTCTGAACCCTGCATTTGCTGTTATGCATGTTATGTATAGGCTCTCGAAACTGTATCCGCTCGCTGCCACATTGTATCCGTGGATTTACATTATGCATTTATTGACATTATGGACGTATTGCCCCTCCTTGCATCGGTACCATGTCTGGTAATTACTCTGTTCATTACGTGGCTGTAGTAGACCTACGTGATAGATTGGTCCATTTCCACTTCGGAGGTATCCCGCAGATGCAAGGTGAGCGGTGTACGATCTCTTGCACATGGATGTTCGATTGAACTGCGAGCGCTTCCAGATGATCCGGCAGCGGCAATGTGTCTCAGTCAAGCGTCCGACACTTCTATGTTCACGTTCAAACTTCAGCGTTCGTGCCACGGGGTATGCATGCAGCTGTGGAACCTGCTAGAGTCGCGATCCATTTCTTTCAGTCATATAAGTTTCGAAGCCAGTGAAAATCTCGGAGGTAAGTACACAGTGCCTTGCACTATTCGGAGAATAGCGTTTACTGCTTTGCCACAGAAACCAGCGACGTGGATTTGTACTTTGCAAACGCTAATTTGACAGTGTCAGTCTGCATGTGTGGATGATCCACACCGCGTCGTCGCTTATTCTGCCTGTCATAATGTGCTCCTCGGCCCCTCACTCTGAACATCATACAGATGGCGGCAGATCTTGAGCTGGTATGTTCTCTTCACTCACTGAGCTTGCCAACGGACTGACTGCGGCGCATAGGCATACGGCATCAATAATGTCTTCACTGCGTGAGTCACCCTTCCCATCCAGCGTAGGGATCGCGCGTATCTTACCGCTCGTCAGAATGGCAAACATCCTCGTTGCACGCTTGCTACTCAATCTCAACAAAATGGCATATCCGCGAGATGTGTAGCTTGGGACCATGTCTCGCCCTGTGGAAAATGACACCGCTGTGCGGGAAGATATAGATTCCAGCGTCATGTTTACTACGTTCCACGCAGGTCAGACATTCACGACGACGATGGATTTGAGCTAACATACGGAGTCAGGCAGTGACTACGTAGATGCGACATGATGTGAGTTCAACGTTCAACCATAAGATGGCGTGGAATGCACATCTACTGGCCGATGTCATTACCGCGCCCACAATATGCACTGTTCGAAGACCGTCTTCATTAGTATGTGTTCCTCGCTACAAACACGCATCGCATCGTACAACAGCACCCGGAGCACAACGACATGCATACAATCGTTGGAGACAAGGTAAGTACTACAAGCTCTAGACCTATATCATCCTCTACACTACCGGTACTGATACTACACACTCCCACTGGGCCAGTCACCGAGCCACCCAAGTTCATCCAACCCTCAATATCTCATCTCAGAACATTTACGTGCAATCATATTTCGTCAGACGACTCGCCCGACTGCCTAGCGTTCCATAAACCATGATCACGACTGCTCCCAGCTTGAGGCCCCGGCGGCGGGCCTCGAAGAGAGCGACTCTCCTCGACGCTGGACCGATGCCCATCGAAACCGAGCTCATACAGAGTATCGGAGTCGAACATATGGTAGGTGCCCCAGCCTGCCGGTGAATTGACGTATGCGTCGAACGAGGTCGGAGGTGGACCGTAGCGAGGGTAGCGCTGTCCGGTCCCGTGTCCGCGGCGACGTTCGTTATGCTCGTCAGTAGCGCCGCCGGGGGAGCGCAGGCGGGCTTCTCCTTGCGGAGGAGGCGGCGGTGCTCCGGGAGAACGAGACACGTCCTCCACGCGCGGAGGCGAGATGTGGACGAACTCGAAGTCGTGGCTCAGGGTTGGGTCCGGCGGGGGAGGGAACGCACCGGAAGCCTGCGGGTCCATCGGATGGAATACAGAAGGAGGGGGCGGGCCGTAGCGGCGGCGACCATGGGCTCGAGCAGAACCCTCGCGCGCACTCGACGCGGGACCTTCCTCGCCAGGCGGAGGCGGCGGGAATCCATGACGAGGGTGCGCGCCTGCCAGACCGTGATGGTGACCGCCGCGTCCGCGTCCGAACGGAGGCTCAAGTCCTCCAGCGAAGCCCCAAGGCCCGTGGCCCGGAAGGATGGGAGAATCATCATAAAACACCTGAGGAGGAGGCGGCGGGAACGAGGCGGAGGAGCTTAGAGGGACTCCGCCAGTCTGCCAGAAGGGTGCGCTCCTGCGCACGGCGTTGCGGATGCGTTCAATCAGCTCGGGGTTGGAGCCCATCCCGGGCAGCGAGGCGATGTCGTGGACAATGGTATCGGCAAACTGGTGTGCAGGAGTGGTGTGCTCCCCGGTCCCAGAACCAGAGCCATCGCGGACAGCGCGTATGTCGCGCACGACAAGGCGCATGGTGCCAGAGCCCGACTGGGTGTTGTAGAAGTCCTGAAGCTCAATCTGTGTGTTCATCGTCACATCGTCACTCTCACTATCAGTGTAGGAGACAGCCGCATGTTCCTTGGGAATGTCGTACAGAGACTCAATGCGAGCAGCGAGCTCATCCCAGGAAGGGTGCGTCTCGAAGGTGACCTTGCGAGTGAGACCGTTGGGAGGTCGAGTGAGCTTGATACTGATGTGGGTGGTAGACATGGTGGTTGGTTGTTGAAGGCAGCGCTCGCCCACGAGCGTTATATACCTCACTGGACACGTGCATAGCCCTCGCAGCGGAGGACTCCGAGTCAACATCCCAAAAAGGCGATGAATGCCTTTTTAGGACCAACGGCGTCCTGTGGACATGGCGTTAGTATCTTGCCTCGGCCTTCCATCATCACACACAGCCTATGATAGCATCTGTTGCGCGGTCCTCGCGCACAGCATAAGACAACGGAACAAGTGGAATAAGTGGCCTGTTTTCAGCTAAGTCCATATCGTCGAGCCTCGCGCCTTTCACACAAGCATGAGTCAGCGCAAGTCCAGCGGGTTTGATACAGGATCTCACCAGGCGCAGCGGAAGACAACGGCCAGGTTGAGCCAGGCAATTGCGACCTTGGCTACGGCGGTCCAGGCTAGTGGCACATGTACAGGTCCGGATCACTGGATACCAACGTCCGACAACCTCCGCTCCTACTGTGCGCGCGATGTGGATTGTCAAGGCGCTGCTTGATATCGATTGAACGCCCCCAGGTACATACCTGTCGCCCCGAGTCTTGAAGTTGTAAGTCGTTTGTGCGGACGTCGTGTCTGGGACTTACGCTGTCTGGGACACGACAGATTATGTGGAACGTACTCGTCTCGCCGGAAGCTCGGGCCGCAGGTCAAGCATTGCCGACGAGGACAGCGTCGAAGACAAGGGCGACGCTGCGCACGACGAGAAAGATTCGAACCCCTTGTCATCGAGCCATCTGAAGCCGAAGACGGTACTGCACACTGCGAAGAACGGCCCCTTACCACCGACCTATCCAATCGCATACCCATAGAAGTCTTTGAAAATGTCATCGAACACATGAACCAGCGCACGCTCTGCAACTCTGCGTTGGTTTGTCAGGCATGGAACCCTCGTGCCAGTTGTATTCTCTACCTCACCGTCATCATCAATTCGCGCGCGGGCTACGACTTGTTGGTGAGGCAGCTACGCACGTCGCCCGTGTCCAGCGATGGCTGCAGTCCACACACGAAGTAGCGCTCGGGGAATTTGGACCGACTCAGGATCCCCTTCCTAGACCCCTTCCCCTGGTCTTCGGCATGCGTGCCCTGCCTGCAGGTGCTCAATATCGGTACATTCTGCGCCCAATATGCATCCGACTTTCCATATGCCCTGCGTCAGCTCCAGCACATCGTGTCGTTGCGTCTGCATCATATCGAACTGAGCAACGTTGTCCAGTTGCGCCGATCGTCTGGCGTTCATTGTCTGAAGAGCTTGCTTTGGACGACGTGCTACTCGTCCAGCCACAGCCACCACCGTCGGTGGTGCAGGCTCCAAGACGACCCTTTCCGAGGTCCCTGCGATGTCCGGCTCAAGCGATTCCGGTCGCAGCAGACTCCGAGAATACATCAAGACGTTCGACGGATGCGATTGGCTGTATCCTCGCGGATCTGTAGCTCTCTGGTGAATGGTGACGGCCTTCAATGGCGAGGAATCAGAGCTTGCCACTGAGCACGTCAATCGGCTCCTCGAGACAGCGGGGCATCTTGACCTCATTCGACTGTCAAAGCTACCTCTATCTCCGTCGTAAGTAGTGTTCCAACTCCGTATGTTGTGCTGAACATCACTAAGCCCATATCATTCACCAGATCGATCCCCTTGCAACCTAGTACACAACACGGCCTTATGTCGCTTGACGGTAAGGCTGAACGTCGACCCGTACCTGTCCCCGGAGGTCTCGGACTGGGCAGATACGGCAAACGAGCTTCGCGGGGCCTTCTCCACGGTTCGGAGCTACCAGCTCGAGCGCATCACAGTCCACTTCAGGTTCGCGCTGCCCAGCTCCGTGAACGAGGAGAACTTCCGCCAGAACTGCAAGCAGCTGGACGCGGACTCGCGCGGGCTGCACGACGTGATGGCCCGGCCGTACTTTCGCGCGTTGAGGGAGGCCAGGATCGAGATAGATGTTGGGCATATCTCTAGGGACGATAGGACGGAGGAGATGGACACCTTCGTCGGTGCGATGGAGCCCATAGTACGACGGTTGTTCGCGCCGTGGCACGAGCGCGGTGTGGTCAACGTCACATCCGTGACAGCGAAGTGGTCGTGACTGTGAAGCTTTGAAGCTTGTAAGGTTGACTTTCTCGACACTTGCGAATGCATTCGTGTACGGTTCATCGACCTCAAGGCCTCACACTTATCGATGTTTAGTCGATGTGCCTCAGGTGCTTGGAGACTTAGCTCGTCTATTCCCGGAGTGGGGTTGGGAAGGGCCGAGTCGATCGCGGCACCACCGTGGATTAGAATCACTCGTGTAGCGTGTTCGAGTGCTCAGATTGTATTTGGACATAACTTATATCGTCGCATCAGTGGGTGTGTATAACGAAAGTCTTGTCAGACAATTGACATCATTCTACTGCTGGATGTCCATACTGTCACACGAGACACGAGTGCTGTATCATCCCGTTCGAACGTACTTACGTCTTCAATTCAGCAGACTACTCACCTAAGTACGAAGGCACGGTGGCTCGTGCATATTACACGTCACTTCCCTGAGACGCATAGACACAGGTTATGACATCCGCCGCGAGCGAAAGAGGATACAGAAACAAGGTGTTACACACGATTACATATACTGTACAAAGGTCGTTCCCTACAATATTGGCTCATCGTCAATGCTACGTCCCGTTGGGCCGGAGGGAGGCTCACTGGAACGTCGCTAGATAATTTAGTCCCTCTGCACCCCGACACTCACTCCGCATCCGCATCCTCCTTCTCGTCCTCATCCTCTTCCATAATGTCGTCCATCACATGATCGCGAACGTCGATGGGTCCACTTTCCAGCGCGTTTTCTGGGCAGCGGGATGGTGACTCCGGTGGGACTGGCCGCATTTGGCCGCATTGGCTACTCTGGGAATCCGGGCCGAACATGATAGTCGATAATAGCGAAGGATGGAAGGAACCAGGGATAGTCGAGATCGGTGGCGAGGTAGTGTCGCTTTGTGCGTGCATGGGTGAGCGCATAGCGAATGAAAGTCGACGCAGATTGAGGATCAGTCTGGATATCATAATGCATGCCATGCTGTTGGACCACTGTAAGCGACGTTTTGACGTGTACGAGCGAATCTCACGGGAGTATGAAGCATGGGACAGGGTTGAACACCTGCGTGAAGATTACCCAACTATGCACTGGATGATACGTGGTACTGAAGCACGCACTTCGGTGAGCATCACTTGTGCGATGATCTGGGCAACGTTGATCAGAAGAAACAATCTTCATGTATGCATGTAAGTATTCAAAGGCGAGGTTATGTAATGGTCCCATACACAAAATACGATGTGCCTAGTTAGTGCAAGATCATGAGTACGCGACGTTAATCGACATGAGATCGCAGACTTACTGTCCCTCAGTAAGAGAACGACGAGCGCAGAACGATTTCGCTTCTGCGTTGACGATCGTAGAGTCCCACGTAATTGCCACCAGGTGACTATCAAGACCATGAGGTCCGATGCTATTGTAGATGCCCTGCTCAAGATCACAGCTGCAATTGACATTATTTTTGAGCTGATCTCCAACTTGGGTTGACGACAGCTTACTCCTATCGCCAATTGACCACGCTGCAGTTTCAGTGGCTCATCAGGAAAAAACCTTCCCCTGAATGCGGAAGAATAGAGGCAGTTTCGTAGGAATAGAAGATAAACAGCATTAATCTTCCTAATTCAATAACAGACCATATTCCGTGGTCCCCATGGGTCCGTGTACGAATACGCAGTAATACTCGAGTAATTAGTGTTCTCGTGAGTTACTGTGGCATGTTCACGCAATAAGTCATGGCTTCTGTGCCATTCTCAGCACATTCAATGAACATTCACTCTGATGTTCGTTCACACAGTGATTAGAAAAGATATTAATGCATTGCCGTGCATGAAATATACGTAGTACTACGAGTCCAATGTGAGAATCTGTGATGTATCATGAGAGGTCCGAGGCCACGAGCAGATGAGACAGGTACTAGGGAGGGAGATAAATGACAAGCACAGGCAGTAAAGTATGACTAGAGTAACAGTGACGGTGGGTCCGCGGGTCGACAGGTCACTAAGCGGGTCCGCAGGCAAGTCGGCGCGTGGACGAGTGACCAATCGCGTGGGTGATCGCACGAATGCGCAGGTGGCCAGCCGGCCGAGCAGACGATAGCATGGGCGGGAGGGGGCATACGAGACAGATTGCAGGCAAGACAGAGTCGGGTGTGTGGGTGTAGAGCGAGATGGTATGTCCACGGGCATGGGCGCGTAGGTTGCGAGTGACAGGGGTGACAGTTCTCCATGTGGATGTATGTTAGCTGGCTGTCATAGACAGCGAGGAGGTACGCACACAGGTCGATGTTTGTCATGATACGGCAGGCAGGTGGGCAATCACAGGTGCGCGGTCAAAGCACCGAGAGCGAGCAGCTATGGAAGCAAGCGCGGAGGACAGGCACGCGCGCACGCGAGGACATGTGAACACGCGGACACAACAGAGCGGGCGTGTGGACGCGAGAGGGCCAATGGGTGGACACGAAAGTGCAAGCAGGCGGGCGCGAGAAGGCAGTGGGCGGACGTGAGAAGACAGTGGGCGGGCGTGAGAAAGCAAATGGGCAGGCACGAGACGGCAAGTCGGCGGGTGCGAGACGGCGGGCAAGAGGGATGACAAGATGGCGGGCGAGCGCAATGGCGGGCAAGGAAAACAGTTGGCGGAGCAGAACGGCGGACAGATAGGACATGGTTCAGCAGGGCCTCGGCACATTCGTAGATGGCAGTGCAGGGAGATCGTGTTGGTGATGGCTCACCTTTGTATCGCGAATAGGGCCCTTGAGCCTCGCACTCAAAGTCTTTCGGCTGCGCGGTCGCTGGATGCGTGTGCCCTCAGTGAGAACGGGTCGGCGGGTGCGAGAGTGAGCTAGGGGCGAGACACGGTAACTGGGAAAGACTAGCAGTAGGGCGAGTAGGTGGGCGAACAAGAGGGCAGCGAGCCAGAATGAGGACATGTGAGCGGGCGAGAGGGTAAGTGGGAGGACACGCGGGCGAGCAAGCAAGAGAGGGCGGGTGAACGAGTGAGACAGCGGGCGGCGGCGGGCGAGAGAGCACTGACGTGGCGCTGTGGCGGCGGTCAGATTCGATCGAGATATTGTTTAGGGCAAGCAGCGCTCCCACTTGTTGCACGTCTCCGCGCCATCCGCCTGTCGCTCGTCACCCGTGTCGCCCGTCTGTCACCCAATCATCGCCCATCTCCAACTTGCCCCGTCTCAGCTAAGTACAGTCCCGCTGTGGCACGACCGTCGGCGCCGCTCGCGAATGTGCCAGACGGTCTGCATTCGGACAACCACCACTATGCGCGACGCACCCGTCATGCCATCCCAAACTCCGAATGCGACAAGCCCGAGCACGCAAGGCGGCGAGCCTGAGCACAACAATCGAGCACGGTCAAAGGAAGAGGGACAGCATAACATATGGCGGGCAGGAGTAGTGAACGAAAGGGAAGGGAAGCAGAGGTATTTAAATAAAACCCCGAAGTGAGTCGTCATTAGTGTATTTACTAAATATCTCTGTTCCTAGTTGCGATGCTCGAGCAAGTGCATTGACGAGCAACAAACTCGCAGCACGCTTCTCTACGGGCACGCCACACAGTTACCCGTGTAAGTCTCTGCGACTGCCGAAAAGCGAGCAGACACTCTGACCTCTGGTGGTGTACCCCTCGATCTTGCTCACTCACCCCACCCTTCTCGCCTGTTTGCTTGTCATTGCCCACTCGTTCGCCCACTCGCCAATCCACCCTCGACTTCTCGCCGGCCCGCTATTGCCTCATCACCCACTCGCCCACTCTTGCTTGCTCGTCCGCTCGCCCGTTCTTGCCCGCCCGCCCACGTGTTCTCGTCTCCTCACGTTTTGCTTTCATTGCTAGCCTGGTCGACCGACCACCCGCCTGCGCCTGCGCTCCTGCTCTCACTTTCATACCCGTTTCTCTCGGCTTCTGGATCCGCGCACCCACTCGTGGACCCACATTGTCTCGCGCTACTAGTACACCCACACGCTCGCACTCTGTCTCGCTCAGTGTTCCTCTCGCATGTACTCTCCTGTCCACGCTCTCGTCTGCTCAGCCGGCCGGCCACCCACTCATCCGTCCGCGCACCCAATTGCCTGCGGACCCGCTTACTAACCTGTGGGTTCGTGGACGACTGAGGTGTGGTCGTCATAGATGACTACGCATACGTGGTGGAGGACAAAGTGATCTTCGGGTCATGTGTAGTAGTGTACTACTAGTATACGTAGAATTGTTTAGGAGACACATCAATATAACCTCGTTGTTTTCACTGTGAACCTCGCGAATGAACTACTGTTTCGGCACCTCTGTACAGAAAATTCCAATCATAACACTCATATTAGTACCTTTTTATTAACTGCACTCGAACGACGTGTCGAATGATCAACAATACGGGATGTTATCACGAATGGCATCATGATTCCCAAAAGTCTACGTATTATGGAGAATCTTCGTCTGTTCGTTGTAATTCCCAGGGAGGGATTTTCCTGATGGCCCGAGGCTATCGTCGCATTTGAAAGTGTTATCACTCAACTCATATGTCGCTTGTGGCGAGACAGTCGTTTCCTCATTACACATTAGCGACGCACCAAAGCTTTCCAGGAAGAAACTCGTTTTGGTGTATGCAAACTAGACACGCTGTTCAATCTGATTGGCCACACTCACGGCCAGAATCAAAGCTCACAATGTTGACCGCAATGGGAACAGCAGCAAGCACTGCGGTGATCGCCGCGGGTAAGATACTGCGGTTACTGACGGCATAGACACGAAGTGTAGAAACACCTGCGTGAACAGTGAAGGTCAGATCTCAGCTGTCCAACAATGATCGCTTGCTTACAAGCCCACATGAGCATTGTGCTCAATGCAGCCGCACCCCAAAAAGCGACGATCTGCTTGCAACTTGATAAAATACATCAGTCGGAACAAAACACCAGCAATATACAAGGATTACCTCTATGCGGATGAGCAAGGCTCAACGAGTTACTGACCCGGGAAAACTGGCTACATACCGTCAGAGTATGAAATGAGCACACGCTCACTATTTCAGAGATAGCCATCCCGAGCATGTTTAGTCGGTTGATCAGGAATATGGCAGCATAGCCGGCATGAATATCTGTCCAGATGTAGCGACTCTCTTGGCCTATTGTGACGACGTAGTCGTACAGAAGCAATGCTATGAGAGACCACAATGTGTAAGTTTCGGAGCAAAGCGCGAGGGCATAGCGCACGAAATCCGCACCTGCCGCCGCCGCCGCACAACAATTTTCGATGTATTGCTCCTGTGTCTGTGCCGGTGTTAACGTCTGTAAGACATCCATGCCGGTGGCGCGCTGGAAGAGTGTAGACATCCCACGGGACAGCAAGGTGGTCAGGGGCTCCTCACAGGGGTGAGGGAAACTGACAGGACACAGCTCTCATATAAGACGATACCGTCGGAGATGCACCAGGACGAAGCATCATGGCAGCGTGACACATGAGATGGATGGCCCACGTCTTGGGTGGGCCCCATCCACGCCCTCGATTGCATCGAAGATGCGAGACAGTATCAGGTAGGCCCAAGGACGCACCACACCGCACCAGGCTACGCGCATGCCGCCCGCAGTGAATGCCAGAGCTGGCCACAGTGCTGAAGGTGTCTATGAGGTGTCTCCGACGTAAGAAGGTATATCGCAGTAGCCGGGGTAAGCAAATCAGCACTTACACGTTGGTCACCATTTATGATCACATCTGGCACACCTGTGGATGCGGTGCGACTCAACAGGCATCACGACCACCCGCCTCAGGCCGTGAACATCCGGCGCCTATTCGAACTTCGTTCCACCCTCAAAATTGGCAAGCGCTCACTCCTGGGCAGGTGTGTTAGTCAACTAAACTACGTTCACATAAGATTTGTGGAACTGATACATGAGTTCGTGAATGTCTTTTCTGGACCAACGGCGTACTGTGGACACAGCGCATGATATCTTGCTGCGGCCTTCCATCATGGCACCTAATACACCTCAGGTCGCGCAGTCCTCGCGCACAACATAAGGCAAAGGAGCAAGTGGCGTAATACGAGAAATGATGCTGAAGCCGGTTTAAATTTGACTCACGCAAACGGCAACGGTGATACAGAATCCGAAGGGAGACCAACCGACCCAGTCCAGACCAGGGACCTCCAAGGTAGATTGGCAACTCTCGAGTATGCCGCCGTGCCCGCTACCCGAAAACCGCACGCTTGCTAGTATGTCGCAGGTATGACAACGCTATGACGATGCAGCCTACCGTCTACCGAGTTCTCCTGGATGATGCATCATGAGTTCAACTGCATAGTCATTTTTATCAGAATACCTGCACAAGGCGTCACGCAATTATATTGTACAAAGATCGTTCCCGAAAATATCGACTCGTCGTCAATTCCACGTCATGTTGGGCCGGACAGAGGCTCACCGGACCGTTGCTACATAATTTAGTACCCTGCCCCCCTCGATGCTCACTCCGTGTTTGAATCCGCCTCATCCGCTTCTATGATATCATCCATCACATAGTCAGCAACGTCGATGGGTCCACTTTCCAGCGCGCCTTCTGAGCAGCGGGATGGTGATTCCAGCGGGACGGACAGCATTTGGTCGCCTTGGCTACCCTGGGACTTCGGGCCGAACACGATAGTTGACAGAAGCGAAGGATGGAAGGAACTAGGGACAGTCGAGATCGGTGGCGAAGTGGTGTCGCGCCGCCGAGCGTGCATAGGTGAGCGCATGGCGAATGAAAGTTGACGCAGGTTGAGGATCAGCCTGGATATCACAATGCACGTAATGCTATATGATAATCGTGAGCTCCTAAGTTTTCGACAATGCAAAACAAACCGACGGGGAGATCAAAGTCGCAATTGGATTGAACCGCTGTGGGAACCCGGAAGACATCAGCTTTGCATTTGTCAAGATGTCAGTTCAAAATCCCACGTTGCCAAGCATTATGTGTAGAGCCATCTGAGCGATATTAATCAGAAGAAATAATCTTCATGCATGCAGATGAGTTATCATGGGCGATGACGTGGAGGAACGCGATTTCGTACACAAAATATGAGCTATCTGTTTGGAAAACTCATGAATAAGTAAACGGCGTTACCCAGCGGTGGAACGCAGACTTACTATCCCTCAGTAAGAGAACGGCGAGAGCAGAACGACTCTTCCCCTGTCCTGATGGTCGAAGAGTCCCCCATAGCTGCCACCAGGTGACTACTAGGACCATAGCGTCCGACGCTATGAGAGATGCCCTGCTGAGAGTCACGACTTGCCACCGACATCATCAATGCAGGATTCCCCGAATATAATTTGACGAGAGCTCACGTCTGTAGTCAATTTCGAACACTCTTAACTGAGCGAGCCATCGACGGATATAGCAGAGTATCAACTCAACTCAAATTGTGTCTGTGCTGGAGTATTGAGATTGCCAGCACACGTCGTCGACGCACGTAAGGCTACCATGAAAAGATCGGTATTCACAAATGAAAACTTGAGAGGTTGCTCAGTCTATGTTGTTCGACTTAGCATGTAGACCTATCGCTTACGATGTTGACTGGAATCGGGACTAGGGCGAAGACTGCAGTGGTTGCCGCGAGCGAGGCACTGCGGTTACTGATGGCGTAGACACGAAGCGTAGAAACACCTGCCACTTAACAATGAAACCATGTCTGAGTTCTCCAGCAATAATGGCATACTCACAAGCCCATAAGAGTAGTGTGCTTATAACAACCGCACCCCAGAGCACGGCGACCTGCGAGCAACTGGTATAACTCCTACATCAGTCACAGAAAGGCATCGGTAACATGTAAGACTTACCTCTATGTGGATGAGCAAGGATTAACGACAGCTTGTCGGAAGTCTGACTACTTACCTTCAAAGCTTGATATGAGCATAGGAACAGTATTTCAGAGACAGCCATGCAGAGCATATTTAGCCGGTTGACAAGAAAGATCACGACGTAGCCGACACGGACGTCTGTCCAGATATAGCGACGCTCTTGGTCTAGAGTGACGACGTAGTCATACAAAAGCATAGCTAGATGACAATACGTAAGTTTCTGAACAAGTGAGGGTCAAGCGCGCGAACCCGCACCTGCCGCCGCCACCCCACAGTAATTCTCGGTATATTGCTCCTTCGTCTGTGCTGGTGTCAAAGTCTGTGAGACATCCATGTTGGCGGCACGTGCGAGGAGTGTAGACATTCCACAAGGTCAGGGGCTCCTCACAGAGGGGAGGGACACTGTCGGAGATGCACCAGGACGAAGCAATGTAGTGGGATGACAGATGAGATGGATGTAGATGGCCCGCGTCTTTGGTTGTTGTTTCATCCACACCCCTTGATTGCACCTAAGTTGCGAGACAGTGTCAGTGCCAGACCATACGCATGCCGCACACTATGATCGCTGGTATTGGGCATGCGGAGGGTGTCTCCGGGGTGTCTGCGACGTAGGAACTTGAAGGTATTTCGCGGTAGTTGAGGTAGGCAGATCAGCACTCACACAATGGTCATGATTCGTGATCGCATCGACATCCCTGTGGATGCGGCGCGACAAGTATGACCGCCTCAGGCGATGAACATCCGGCGGCTATCCGAATTTCGTTCCGACCTCATCTTTGGAGAGCGCTCGCTCCTAAGCAGGCGTGTTAGCCAACTACGTTCACATAAGATAGGTGGAACTGACCGGTGAGTGGTGCAAGCCGGAAATGACAAAGCCATTGAGTGTTGTGGATCTAAAGAGATCTCAAACAACAGACTGTGGGCGGTGCGGGCCCCGTTGAGATGGAATTTGATTGCAACACTTTTGGTGTGATTTTTTGAACTGTCAAGCCTAGTACTGCATCTGATTGACGTAAGACATCTGATGTGTCCTGTGGCGCGATGAATTGACATCCGACTCAGTCCGTGTAACAACTAACTTAGTCTCCATTGCTGGCCAAAGAGACACATTCGTTAATGACGATCACTACGAGCGAGCGGTTGCAAGATCCTGTCGAGAGAGTCTCAATTATTGTCAGGGGCCTTTACCGCGAAAGCATCTCGTCATTGCATTCGTCCAACTGTCAAAGGCCGTTGTCGCCGTCCGTGCTAGTCGCAACCGCATCCAGTCTATTGCAAGCGCATATAATCAAGTCAGCTCACTATACTCGAACGACGGGCCATGTACACACCTAACTTGCTATCGTTCGCCATTCGCGGACGACATCCGCGAGTCGATACCCCTGGCGCGGCAGATTGAGTGATGAAGCGTTCGATAGTCAAATAGCTCTCACCCACAGAGCGCATGCGCCGCTCAGGCAGCAATGCTGCTCCGGTTCAGCATCCCCCTGAGTCGCGGGTCCGCCTCGAGGTTGCTCATCTCGAACTCTTGTACGTCCGCATAAAGATGTCGATCGTGGCTGTCAACGTCAGTGGTACTTGTCATGGCACCTTGGGACCGTTCCGCTACGTTTCGCTGTCAACGATCCACCCCGAGCATGACCATCCGCTGCGGGAGAACGCACCATACGTCTGGGTCGCAAAATCAAGCGACTGCCACATCCGTGACTTGTATGCGCTTCCAGATAGCGTGCTTAGGGAGAGGTCGTCGGTCGCCGTTTCGAGAGTAGTGTCGGATGTGTATGCTGCCTCTCGGATGTCGAGTAAGAACCGTGAGACTACTATCGTCGACATTCTGTGTGTGTGTTTTATGGGACACATCTGTCCGTTAGCCAACGACTCGTTGTGAGAAACGTCGAAACCACAGACGCACGGCGCAATGAATAGGTTGACCCAGTCTGTCGTCTTGAGGTGTCGCGCCCTTGAGACGCCGTATCACCCGAGGAGACAGAGATCACACACCGAAGTTAGGTATAGAATGATTTCTAGAGCGTTGATAACCGCCAGTACGCTGCAATACCCGGCTTGTCAAGCTTACACTGTGCGGACTTAGAAGGTTGACCACGCACAAGAAGTAAAGAATCCCTGGCCGACACTGATGAGAGGTAGTCCCCAGCAACGACGTGACGCAGAGACCCGACGTACCATTCCTGAGCAGTACCCGCGAGAGCGACCGGCTGGGAAGCGTGGCTCTGAGCCATGGGCGTGGACAAACATAGTACAGCGTTACGAGCAGGACGATCAGATCGGAAGCCAAGCTGCTGCCACGGCTTATAATAAGCACTGTTTTTATGATTCTCGTCAGATTGACGCGTTTCCATGTTCGAATAACTTTCTTACTTCTGGAAGGAGCAGATCGTGATCTGTTAGCGCTGCGACGCAGAGATGATGGACGATACACACATTGTGTTGAGCCTTACAGAAATTGGCGAACTCTCCGAGCATATGATCAGAGGACCAACAGGTGTTATGGAGAACGTTATGGTCGATGTGAGCCACTTGTCTGCAGTCAGCGATAGTGTCCAGGCCCTAGGCATGCATGCCCACTGGACTACTTACCATGTCCGCAACCATCGGAACCAGCGCCAAAGCGAGCGTGGGCATGGAGAGCAGCCAGTTGCGTTTTGTGAGGGCATGCACTCTAATGGCAGACACAGCTGAATAGCTCGTTGTTTCAGTATCGCTAACACATACCAGACCAATCAACGCACCGGCCCAAATGGCATATGCCAGCAGCGTGATAGAGATTTCAACCAGAATCGTATACTTACAACTGAAAGCAAAGACTTGATGTTCAAGTACGACTCGGAGTCGCGTGACCGGCTTCCTCACCTTGCATAGGTATAGCGGGACAGATCAGTATTGACGTTACCGAGTATTGCCAGACCGACGCCCACGACACGGTTGAGCATGAATATCACTGTCCCGCCGAGCGCCCTGGATGGTCTGTGCCAGAAGAGCTCTACCTCCCTGCCGAACGTGAGCATATAGTCGTACACCAGGATAACTACGTTGGTATGGTCAGCGTGACGTTTCACGCGCCGGATTAAAATGGACCGAACGTACCGCAGACGGCCATCTCGCAGCAAATCCCAATGAAACTACCGTCATCGCAGCTGTCATCAGCGTTCGATTGACAATAACGTTAGCACGCACTTGGTTTGCAAGACGGAGGCCAGCTCCTGCTCCAAGGCTGTCGACATACTTCCTACGGGGTTTCGGCGCAGCGAAGTATCACCTGGGGATACAGTTGTCCATCGGAGCGGAACGATCGATGTTGCGCCCGTATATATGCAGTAGTCGTCACAGCATATCCTCCGGTCCGGCGCACTCCCTCCTGTCCTTGGCCGGAGGAAGAAGCTTCAACTTGTGGGGTGGATGATACCGATTGCCCCAGAGCGGCCTTGAACCCGAGCCTATGAGTTTCTGACCCTAACGAGCGTATCTGGGCGGCGTACCATCGTCGGCAGGTTCTGTTAGATGAAACGTAGCAGTAGGCTTTTGTCACCGGAGGTCTGGTCTGTATGAACGGCATGTACAAGGTCCCGGTGATTGAGCATGCGTGCAGCGTGGAAGAAATGAATCCTAGCTACTTATGGCAAGTATTGGTAGTACTAGATTGCTGGCATCTGAGGACGCCGAGCCGCGACGGTGCTCGTCACTGCGTGGCGGCGGTCAGAAGATACCTGTAACATTTTTCAACCCTCAATGTTCAATGGAAATTGAAAAGGATTCGTATGCCAGATTCTTACGCGTGTATGCTTCAATAGATTTCCGGACCTGCAGGACTGAGTGCAGGACGTACGGATCCCTGGGTGGGTAGCGCCTGTAGCGGAGGCGGGCGCCTACCACTGATTCCCGCGGCCTCCTCCGTTCAGAGGCGCGTATAAACTTACCACTGACGACTCTACTAGTACGAGATTCACACATCCGAATCTGAAACCCATTGCTGTGCATAGCTGGCAGAAAATGCCAATGGCGGTGATCATACAGTGGCAGCAGCGTGCTCGGGTTCCAACTCATTCTGTTCTGCCGGACCCCTTCTCGATAGCACAGACCGAGCAGCGCGTGTGTCTGCACTGCGTGCATTATGCATAGAGGAATTGGTTCGTGTCCCCGTTTCTTGACCTTCATGCTTTGCTGAATACCGCTCCAGACCAATCTCGCCCTGGTTATCACAAGTCATTGCTATCTCCTTTCCGTCATTGAGAACGGCGATGGCGTGGCTTTTTCGGACGCATGCTATGCTGTACTACGGAGACTGTGGAACTTCGATCCTGCTATGCCATGCAGTGTACTGGTTCGTGCTTCCACTTCCTTACACTCCCATGGTTTGCTTCGTGCTACTCCCGCCATGCTCATAATAGGGCGGTCTTATCCCCTTCGATCGTTCAGAATGACGGTAGTGAACTCGCAGAACGCACGTTAACGATCATCTTTCGTAAAGAGATCGTTCTTCATTGCCGAAGGCTGTATCCTCCAATTCCTCCGGCCTGAACGCCAGAGATGCAGCCCGTTCATCGATTGCCTAGTCAATGCGACTCTATACGCAGTTGGAAGTCAAATCAGAGCACCTCACTACCTGCTTATGACGCAGCTACGCAAGTACCACCAGTTGTCAGTCGGTGATGAGGACGTCGTCGGGCGCTATATTAGTTAATGTCACTGCTCGAGTCCCATGCTTGCGGATGTCCGTAATTGGATTCTCCCGGTTCTTTGCTTCCTTCTGCCGCATGCATGTGGGAAAACGCACACCATGTGGATCTTCGCAACGATCATCATGTCAAGGGGCCCTCGCGCTGCTATGGTATGTGTATATATCCCAGTTTCTGGAGGCTGACTCGGAGTCCCAGTTCGAAACCTATGCCCACATCGGCTTCCTGCGACCTCCTTTTTCTACAGATTCTACAACATGAAGGCCGACGTCAGTGAAGTACAGATCGCGAGCTATCTTACGCAGAAGTATGTTCCTAGTTTGTTCCTAGTACTCATTTTCTCTGTCGGTAATATTGACGTCTCCGTGTAGCTTTGCTGCAAACTACAGCCAACTGGCACCCGTAGGTGAGCATCGCGCACACAACTATCATGAGGTACACTAACTGTGAAACGTAATAACCCTAGCTCTCATAATCTACGACTACTGTCTGACTATCGGAAGTGAAGTGCGCTTCATATGGGGCCGGAAGCTGCCTGCGGCGTTCGTGTTCTTCCTTAACCGAGTGACTATGGTGGGACTGGCGGTGACGGGCATACTCGGCATTCTATCATGGTCTTCTGTGGAGGTGCGTGCTTGGTCTGTGTTCGTACTTCTCAATGTTTATCCAAACTTCAACGACGAAATTTAACACAGGAGTACGTCTACGTCGTAACTGGCCGCATAAAGCGTGACTGAACCTCCTTTTTTTTTTCGCACAGTTGCAAAGGCTTACTGATCGCCAATGAAGTCTTTCTGTCCGCCTCATACATAATTTGGGCCTGTGAGACGCACACACATTCTCATCATTCAAACGAGGCGTGCTGACTTGTAGCTGGACAGGGGTTTCCGCAATTCGCGTCAGGGCCCTCAGCCAGAGTCGTGCACTCGCCTGTGTGACGCTACTGCTCGGCCTCATGCCATTTGTATCCAACTTGGTGAGAGCCGCGACCCAGAACGATTCCAACCCAGTGCTCACGGGCGTTGGGGAAGGTCCTGTACGCCAGAATGACATTCATTACGATTCCCCTCGTACCCAGCTTCACGACCTGCGCAACCCAGAATAGCGCCTCGCATAGCCTAAATACACGGTGCGCAGTCCGCTCTGAGCACTAGTCGGATTCTGGCTGACTCGTACGCAATGGCTGTAGACGTGCGTTGTCCGCTCTGCGCAACGTGGCCCATCCGCCTCACTCACATCCATGAACACGTGCTATACGGCTCCCGCGCATGTGCGATCGCAAGCGATCTGATCGTGATCGTGGCGACATGGTACAGGACGTCAGGCCCCGGGAACAGGCTCCGCGTATTCTGTCTACGGGAGCTGCTGCGTGGCCGAACTGACGCGCCTACGCTCGCAGATCTGCTCATCCGAGATGGTGCGTTAGTGCCGTGCACTGCTGGCCAGGTCCCTGACGAACGCTATGTTAGGGATGCTATGCTTTCTGTGAGTGGCTCTTCTTCGCGGGAGCTACCACACAACTCACGTTCCGATTAGCGTGCTTCTCGCCCTCAACGTCGCACAGATGCTCACGAGTTTCCAGGTCGTAAGTCGTCCGCAAGGCTAGGTATTCCCAGAACATCATATGCTTATGTTCCCACTAGGCCTACGGCGTTTTATACGTCTTCATCACATCGTTAGTCTTCTCGTTCGTATCAAAGTGATTGCGATCCTAATTGCCGATGCAGGATGGCGAGCGTTCTCGTCTCGCGATTGCTGATCAACCTCAATGAGGCGGTGGGCAAAGACGTCGTGCTTCACCCGGGCACACAACCAGGGAGCCATTGGCTGGAAAGCCCCGGGTGTACGGAGGCTGAGGTTCCGACGATCATGTTCGCCTCTGTCATAACAGGTCTGCACCATCATACATTGCTCCTGTGGATGTGCTCACCGTTGATTCTAGATCGTTTCGACACCGATGTGTAGAATATTCATATTCTTGTCGACAGCCAGTAGAACAGGTGTAGAATCAGGTGTTGTACTTTTGTCCCACTCACAAATACATAACGCGTGCCAGTGCTCGGAATGCCTTGCGAAGCCGCCGCTCGATCTCTGCTGTCCACTCAGGTTATAGAACCAAGGCCTACGCGCTGCGTCGCAAAATATGATACAGACTACCTGCACAAAGCATTACACACGGCATACTGTACAAAGGTCGTTCCCTGCAATTTTGGCCCGCCGTCAATTCCGCGCCATATTGAGCCGGAGAGACTCACCGAAGCGTTGCTACATAATTTAGCACCCTGCGCCTCGATGCTCACTCCGCATCCGCATCCTCCTCATCTTCTTCTTCTACGATATCATCCATCGCGGAGTCAGCAACGTCGAGGAGTCCACTTTCCAGCGCGCTTTCTGGGCAGCGGGATGGTGATTCCGGCGGGACTGGCGGCATTTCGCCGCCTTGGCTACTCTGAGAATTCGGGCCGAACATGATAGTCGACAAAAGCGAAGGATGGAAGGAACTGAGAACAGTCGACCTCGGAGGAGAGCTGGTGTCGCGTTGAGCGTGCATGGGTGAGCGCATAGCGAATGAAAGTCCACGCAGGTTGAGGATCAGCCTGGAGATCACGATGCACGTTGTGCTGTTGGGCATCTGTGAGCTGAAATCTTGACGGGCATGCAAGCAGGAACCTACGGCAGTATGAGAAATTGGATCGGATTGAACACCTGCGTGATCCAGATTACCCAACTATGCACTCGATGATACATGGCGTTGAGGAACACACTTGACCAAGCATCACTTGCGCGATTATCTGGGCGATATTGATCAGAAGAAGCAATCTTCATGCATGCAGGTAAGTGTTTAGAGACGAGGTTATGGGATGGTCTCATACACGAAATACGAGGTGCCTGATTGATGAAAGATCAAGAGTGCGCGACACTGATCAACATGAGATTGCAGACTTACTGTCTCTCAGTAAGAGAACGACGAGCGCAGAACGATTTCGCTTCTGCGTTGACGATCGTAGAGTCCCACTTAGTTGCCACCAGGTGACTATCAAGACCATGAGGTCCGACGCTGTAGTCGACGCCCTGCTCAAGATCACGACTGCAATTCACATTATTTGAGTTCGATCTCCAACTTGAGTTGATGTGAGCTTACTCCTGTCATCAATTGACCACGCTGCAGTCTCAGCGAGGCTGTCATTGGGTGTGAGAGCGCTATCACTCAACTCATTTGTTGTCTGGGTTGAGAAGGTATAATTCTCATTACACATTCTCGACGCATCAAAGCTTTCCAGGAAGGATTTGGTCTTGATGTATGAAAACTAGACATGTTGTTCAATCTGATTTGCCGCAGTAACGATCAGAAATAAAGCTCACAATGTTGACTGCAATGGGAATGGCAGCAAGCGCTGCGGTGGTCGCCGCGAGCAAGACACCGCGGTTACTGATGGCGTAGACACGAAGTGTAGAAACACCTGCGTGAACGGTGAGGCCAAATCCCAGCCCTCCAGCATTGATCGCTTGCTTACAGGCCCACATGAGCATTGTGCTAATCGCAACGACGTCCCAGAACATGGTCGTCTGCTTGCAACTTGGTTATGTACGTCAGTCACAGCAAGGCATCAGCATAATGCAGGGATTACCTCTATGCGGACTTGCAAGGCTGAACAACGAGATACTGGCCCGGGAAGACTAATTACATACCGTAAGAGTATGAAACGAGCACACATTCAATATTTCCGAGATCGCCATCCATAGCATGTTCAGTCGGTTGATCAGGAATATGGCAGCATAGCCGGCATGAACATCTGTCCAGATGTAGCGACTCTCTTGGCCTATAGTGACGACGTAGTCGTACAGAAGAAAAGCTATGATAAACCATAATACGTAAGCTTCGGGACGAAGTCTGAGGTCAGAGCGCACAAAACCCGCACCTGCCGCCGCCACCGCACAATAATTTGAGGTGTATTGCTCCTGTGTCTGTGCCGGTGTCAACGTCTCAAAGCCATCCGCGCTGGCGGCGCTCTCAAAAGTGTGGACATTCCACAGGACAGCAAGATGGTCATGGGCTCCTCACAGGGGAGAGGGACATTGACAGGAGCTAGTGCTCATATAAGACGACACCGTCGGAGATACACCACGACGAAGCAATGTGGTGGCGTGACAGATGGGATGGATGGATGGCCCGCGTCCTGGATGTTTTCCCATCCACGCCCCTCTATCACAGCGAGAATTCGAGACAGTGTCAGTACCAGACCACATGCATGCCGCACACTATGATCGCTGGTGCTGCCATGCTGAGGGTGTCTCCTGGGTGTCTGTGACGTAGGATCGTAGTTCGCGGTAGTCGAGGTAGGCAAGTCAGCACTCACACGATAGTCATGATTCGTGATCGCATCGGCATTCCTGTGGAGGCGGCGCGACAAGCATCACCGCCTCAGGCGGTTCCTTTCCGGCCTCATCTTTGGAGAGCGCTCGTCCTGGGCAGGCGTGTGAGCCAACAACACTAAGTCTTTTAAGATAGAGCTAGAACTGACCAGTGAGTTTTGCAAGCAAAGCCGGAAATACAAAGCTATTGAGTGCTGTGAATCTAAGGAGATCTGCAGCAACAGACAGTGGGCGCGGGTCCTGTCAAAATGTGTCTTGTTCGCAACAAATGGTGTGCCCTTATCCAACTGTCAATCCTGCTGCATCTGCGGAGTAGGTACTTGAGCAACATTTTGACTGATTGACGTAATAAATCTGATGTGTCCTGTGGTGTTGAACCGGCATCCGATTCAGTCCGTGGAATAACTTACTAAGTCCCCACTGCTGACCAAACAGACACTCGTTGTTGATGGTTACTACGAACGAGCGATTGAAAGTTCATATCGAGAACGTCGCATTTATTGCCAGTGGCCCTTACCGCGAAATCATATCGTCATTGCATTCTTCCAAGTGTCGAAGGTCGTCATCGTCGTCTGTACGATTCGCCACCGTATGCAGTCTGATGCGAACGCATACAATCAAGTCAGCTCACCATATTCGAACGACGGACCACGTACACACCTAAGTTGCTGTCATTTGTCATGCGCTGACGACGTCCGTGAGTCGACACCCCTGACGCGGTCAGACCCTGTTCGAAGACGAGCATGTCCGAGTCCATAATAACGCTAGTAGATACACCGCGAGACGACGATTGCGGATATGGTAAATGGCACAGCAGGTCAGCTTGCAGTGGCTTATCAACGTACCCAGCAGCGTAGGTTGACGTCTGCAGATGGTATGTAAGAGCCATACATTGTATGAATATCGAACAAGATTTGGCGTACGAATAGGAGGTATAACATTTTTCCAGTGCATTGATGACAGCGAACACCGTGCTTCAGCATTGATGCTCCTCAGGAAACACAGTGATGGCGATTGCGTGTTCAGCCTTCCGTGTGCGGATAAGAACATGGCAATCCTTCCATTAGATTATGCGAGATACAATAGGAGCGTCCGTCGAGATAGTCCAGCAACCGAACCCCTCACAACCTGGGCGTCCGTGAGCGCTCGGGGGCATACTTCGCCTGACGCAGACGTAAGCATTCTAGGCATGCAGGTAGTGCAAAGTACGCACCATCTCATTCTCCTTCTTCTCATAGCCGCACTTCTGGTAGAAGGCTGAAGGTGCGCATACATGAGTCAATGTGCCAGAGGAAGTATCCGGGCCGCACGCACGAATGTTGCTATCACTGCAGTTCAGAATCGTCTTGTAGCACCCGCTGTTCTCGCTGATGCCGGTCAACGTCTGGATGATCCGCAGGCCGAGCTTCTTGCCCTGCTGGGACTTGTCGACGGCAATGTCCTCGATATGGCCGACACTGCCGAGCCCCGGAGGAACTTGCGCTCGATGAAGACGGTGCCCACCGCGACGATGCGGTCGGTCGCCTTGTCGACGATGACGATGGGGTAGTACGTGCGCGCCGCGCCGCGGAGAGCATGAATTGCGCGACCCACGCGTCCTCACCTGGGTCCGTCACGACTGTGAGCACTGAGAGTACTGAGAGGTGGCCACGTCGGTAGTCAGTCGACGCGAGCGGGCGAAGCTACGTCAATCCTTTCAGTTGAACCGCCAAATTAGTTATGATAGTGCAGGACGCACATGAAGGTCTGGGTGCAGCTGCTTCCGGGCCTCGTCTGGAATGTGCTCGGCGGGAAAGAGGAGGTCCAGCTCAGAGTCTGTGGTGAAAGGCATGGTAGCAATGGTGGTCGTAGTCGTGAAAGTTAGGTAAATTATGCAAGACTGTCCGTGAAGTATCCTACGGAGATTCTACGGGCAAAAGCGAAGCGAGAAAGCGGATGCAGCGGCAGCGGAGGCGATGTGCAGGTGTGGCGGCGGGTTGCCCTTTATGAACTGCAGCCGTTTCAGCCATATATGGTAAGTCACGTTCTCCCACTGCCATTGCCGTGCGGGAACGTTCACGTCTGTTCACGTCCGAGGCTGTCCTTTGCTCTGTCGACAACGTTCGTGGCGGTGTGCAGGGCGCTGATCCTATCGTTGGATCGCAGACGGCCTCACCTGGCCCCCGGAGGCGACGATGATCACCTAACACGTTCCAAGCACGTACGTCCGACGTACATTCAGGTGTGTCCTCAGCATTGTCTCGTCATAGACACATCTTGCTCATCGATGCATCATCGACTTTCGTAGCATGTTGCTTCATTCGTTTTGATATTTTCAAACGGAGACCAGGTTGCTCGTCGGGATTCCCTCTCTTCCGGAGTGCTTTTTCTTGGTTCGTGGTTACCTTCTGAGCTCACTTCAGGAGGGCTTCCGGTACCTAGCATGTCGCAAGTTTCAGCATCTGAAGGTGTAATTTGTATGAACCAATGATTGTGAGTGGCATCCGTGGTCAGCTTGCCGCGAAATCCGCCCCATCGCGAAGTCCGGAGATCATGAAGGATGCGCGTCGCGCGTGTAGCTGCAGACCCTGCAGACCCATGCTACGCCTTCCTCCTCAGTGTGGCCTGTCAGTATGCCGAGGACAAGTTCACCAGTCATCACTGTTCAATTCCCTTCCCCGTCACGCCCTCACCTGATTCATCGCCCGTGAGCACCGGTGACGCACTACTCGACTATATGCGTGGACGCTGGCCCTTTCCGTTACCCTTTTCGTCATCCAGCGATCGACAGCTCACGGCTACTCCCCTGCGTTCGTGATATCGCCACAGCTAACGCGTTCAGCCTCATGTTCGCCGCCTGCGGAGCGCATGCAGACACAATTCGACGATCTTCAACTCCCTTTCCATCTCCTCGGCGTGCGCATACCATCTGCCATTCGCCCCGACTACCTCTCCCATGCCCTTCACCTTCCCCACGTCCGCCCTTTGGAAAACTGGGGCCTCACCAGTTCCCGTCTGACTTGATGCTGCGACGGCGTTCTCAATCTCCAACGCGAAGGTATCGAAGCTCTCCGCAAAGCTGTTACTCTGGAGCGTGGCACAGTCGAACGGACCTTCGGACAGCAGAGGCGAGGACGGTGTTGAGGGCGCTACAGGAGCGGAGGTGAGGTGATGAGAGGGCGGTATTGGCAAAGCAGAGCGGCATGGTGAGCACTGAGTGTTGAGCAGTGGGTTGGCACCGGCATGAGTTGAATGCAAGTGAGTAGTACTATGAGGTTGGCTATATGCCTTTTCGCGCACTTACCTGTCCACACATGCCACCGTCGTGCGCTGCTGTAAGCCTTCTTTGCGGGCGCCTAATGATGGCATGTAATCGGTATGCACACTTGAATGAGCATCGCGTAACATTCTCATTCACAGTAGCTACAGTATCTATGGGCAAAATCTGGTACTTGGCCCCCCACACCGACGGAAGCTGCGAACCACAAGCAAGGCAATCAAAGCACTCAACGTTTAAGCGTATCCACGAGAACTGCCCGGCACGACGTGCTTCTTTAATTGTCGGCCCTGAGCTCGGGCCTGGCGGATCCAAGGGCGACTCGGATAATGTCGACATCCGGTTAAGATGCTGACGTTGTTTGAGCTCCGGGCAAACATTCCGTCATACACAGTGATCGACGGTTGTACCGTGCACCCACCAGATGAAAGTGAGTATCCTCCGGACACGCATAGCGGCATAAAGACTTAGTCTCGACTGACGGTGCTGGTCGTAGCAGCGGTACGGGTGCTGATCGGTCCGACCCACCGCACCCCACAAGAACCCATCCCCGAATCCCGGACGTTGGTTCGCTTCCTTGACAGAAGAAGCCGTCGAAGCCAGCAGTCAATCTGGAGTTCGGAGCCTAGCAACGAGTCCGCCTGGAATGGTAGGCTGCCTCAGAAGCTCAAGCTTCAAGCTTCAAGCTTCAGACTTTCGCGCCCATGCTCGTGCGCGCATCATCTGCGTCTTCGGACGCCAGCGATCGGGCGGTCTGCGTCCTGGCTCAAGCTACCACTCTGGAGTCCCTGAGCTGATAGCATAGTCTGGGCATCACCATGACTCACCTGCGACGGCATCACTTGGTTCTTTTCGCTCTAATACCGTGCCTAGCACTCACCTGGTTGAATCAGACCCCACTACATGTACGGGAGGGTGCAGCGAGAGATGCACTCGGATACCGGGATACCTCAGTCAATAACTCTGACTCAGGATTGCACTCACCGTACTTATCGGACCGGAGATTCGTAGCCTTTGAATGACCAATCCTTCACTTCTCCAGCGAAGCCGTCCCTGGGTATTGGTGCCCTGCAATAGTCCAAGAGGTGAGGCGTCGTCGATCGGCTGGGGTAGCTGTGCGCAATCTACTGATCGGCTGTACAGCTCGCCGCCTCACGAAAGTGCCGTCCTGACTCCTGTTGCTGTCGGTGATGCAATACTTGAATATAGGGGTCTACAGGACGGAAGACCGGTCATACTGCATGCGCTGTGCCCAGAGAGGCGAAGCGAACTCTGGGACTCACGAGTGGACTTTCAGGGACGAAAGCGTTCCCGGCCTATACGTATAACAGGGGCCCGTCGAGAGTGAACGGCGCCGCAATCAGAGTTCGCAGGCGGAAGCACTCAGAAGGACGACTACAGGTCGGCGACTCGGCGTCGAGCTTCTCTCGCCGACCAGGGGCGATCATGCAAAGCTGCTGCCGGCCGTCTATCGTCGTTCGCGATAGAGCAGTTCTTGATCGCCGGGACCATGCATGTCGATTGATTGAGTTCTGCATTCAGGAACGCTGCTGCTGACGAGCGAGGGCGGCCTTGGGGTCTGTTCTTGACCATGTTCTAGCGAGGTACCTGCGCTGCGCGCACATGCACGCTCTCCCCCCTGCCAACCCCGCAGCATTCCATCCACCAGACACCCACAGTCGTCGAGATCCTACTGTGCCGATATGGTCGCGCGATCCTCGCAGAAGGCTGCTGAACTTGAAGGCGACAGCGAAGCACAGGTGGATCGGGAGCCCCGGCTGTTTCCTGCGGCGGGGCAGTCCCAATGCGTACATTGGCGCGGAGGCACCGATTGCCAGGGACACGATCGCCAACTCAGTACCTAATCCCGGCAGTGGCGTGCCGATTGCGTCGGGTGCGACCCGAGATTCTTATACCTGGCCGTCGCTTTCGAGCCCGTTCGAGACACGCAGACTGCGGTGGACGCCACAAGGCCGATCTAGTAGCCTGGGATACAAGGAACGCGCTAGGGCACGATGCGATATTGTTCGCAATGTGCAGTTGTGTCCGCATGGTGTGTCGAGAACATGAACCTTGGCTGTCGCAGCCAAGTCTCGGCTATATTGCGAGTGCAAAGGTCCTTAGTTGACAGTATAGCAAGCACGAGTAGAGTCCGAGTGAGTACGTACCGTATTCACCTGGTACAGTAACTCACTTTATTTCTTGTGTTCCTTGTGGCGGAAGACGGAAGCTCACGTGCGCACCATGTGGCGGGCGATCGGTGGCTCGGAGCCGTTGCGGTCCTTGCGGAGCTGCGCGGCGGCTTTGGCTGGGCTTTGGGTCTCCAAGTGCCCCGCAAGTGCCCGTGATGTCCTTCGCCAACATTCCCCGAGGAGCGGCATCCCGGTACAGCCTTAAAGCAGGTACTCAAAGTAAGCATGTCAACAAGTATGCCCCTTAATATGTTCCTCCTAAACTTCGCAAAAACGGTCTACTAGGTGATCGGCGTATAAGAGCGTCGGGCATGGCAGGTCCTGGCCGAGTCCGAACGAGTTAGTCCAGGAAGGTCCAACGAGGAATGAACGCGAAGCACACTTGTAGTGCGCACAAATGTGCTCCGGAAGTCTCGTTCTGAGAAAGTTTTGTGGTGTCCACGAGGTTGTGTGATAGCGGCAAGGATTCTCTGATGCTAGCGTCCCGCTCACCGCGCGCTCACGAACCCACCTGCAAACAGCCCTCCATCGCAATGTCGACGACTCTTCGGACGACGCTCGCCGATGGACGAGCAGGAGGACGCCATCGATGCCGTGAGTGACATGTTCTTCTACACACTCGCAGCTGCGCCGACAGAAAGTAGGGCCGGGCGGGAGCAATGAAATCTGGCTTGCAGATCTCGATGGCGCCAGGTTCCATCAGCGATCAGTCTGGCTCGAGTGCTCCTCCTGTCCTCGTTATCAGTATAGCCGCGACATAGGTATTCCCGTGTTGAGTATATGAGCGTCCACTCGCGCAACCGCACTGAATCTTTTGGCATGCGACCTAGCCTGACGGTGCCCCGATGTCGTCAAGCCTCTCCGCGGACGCGCTCGTAGAGTTAGCGAAAGAGAGCTTCACAGAGAACTGCTGTGCTTCTGCAGCAGTAGGTGCGTCTCTGGGTCAGTTAAGGTGACTCGCGCGTACTCATATGAAGGCCAGCTCTCCTCATCTATGACTGGGCCATCACCCTCGGGCAGGAGCTTCGCTACGTGTGGGGTAGCAAGTTCAGGGGATACACGCTGCTTTTTATCTTGAACCGGATCAATAGTCTTGGGATGATAGTTGGGATTCTCATGGGTCTTACGCCTTGGTACACGGGAGAGGTGCGTCCCCCCTCCGCTTCATCGCAACCAGAGCACTCATTTCTTCCTGCAGAGGTATATCACCGCCCAGTTCTATTTTTAGCGCATGCTCATTTCCGGCATAGCTGCAAGGCGGCTGTATTAGTGCTCGCGTCCTTCCAAATCATGAATTTTGTCCTTTGGGCTAGTGCGTACACAAACTTGCGTCCTCGCGTCCCCCGTTGATTTCCATCCCCCCTAGTTGTGTCGTCCCTCCGAGTATACGCTATCAGCAACCGGACCGTGTGGATCTCTCTGTTGACCTTCCTTCTGGCCATGGTCCCGGCCGCCACGAATATCGTAAGTCGCTAGCTCCAGCCGGACACCCTTCCCTCCCCCGCACGCATCACCGCTGACGCAGTGCCACGCAGTACAACTACATTGCGTCGTCCTACTTCGTCAGCACCTATTCGGTTCTCGTCGAGTGCGAGTACAACCAGAAGTACTCCGACAGCGTGGGCATGAAGTGCGCCGCATCTCCCCCTGCCTTTCCCTTTATTCTGACCGGATCTGTGTTCGCGGCCATATAGGTGTAAGCAATTGTGACATTGCACATGCACTGGTGAGAGCTGACGGGCGTGTCGACTGACAGTGCTCATCTGCACTCGAGTCGCGGTCATTTTGGCGGACGCGATGGTGCTCCTTGTGACATGGCGCCATCTGCGCGGGACGCTGAAGACATCTCGCATCGGCACGAACAGAGTGTCGCTGGGCCTGCTCCTGCTCAGGGATGGTGCGTCCGCCGGCTCTTCATGTTAGGCAAATACGGATGCTGACGCCTCGCTGTGTAATAGGAACACTGTACTTTGTGTATGTGTCTTGATGTGTCTTGCGGGACGCACGACTAATTCCCGCGCAGGATGCTTCTCTTGCTCAACATCGCCCAGATCATTGCGGTCCTAGACTTTGGCCAAGTACGTCTCCCCCACCAGCAGCATCGCTAACCGTGTCCTCACGCTGCACTGTCCTGCGCAGAACTTCGACCCCATCCCAGACTTCATCTTCCCGTGCGTGCCATCGTCGTCGCCCTCGTGCACAACACTAACCCACGCACCAGGATAACCATCATCATCATCTCGCGCTTCATCCTCAACCTCCGGCGGTTCTCGCAGAACACCGGCGACCCGCTCGAGTCGCACAGCTGGACGTCCGGGCCCGAGGAGCGGGGCGGGCACCAGTCCATGCCGCGGTCGTACCTCTCCAGCATCATGTTCCGCTCGGGCACCGCGCGCCCGGGCGAGTCCGAGCGCACCGCCGCCTCGCTGAGCGACGGGATCATGGTCAAGGTCGCGACGTTCAGCGACGCGGACGACTTCCTCGCGAGACAGGAGGAGGACAGCGACCCGGAGGCGATGGAGCTCGAGCGCGTGCCGTACCGCCCCAGCTCGACAGGCAGAGCTTCCAGCCCCGCGCGCATCCGTATCAGCAGCAACAGCACTACGACCAGCTCGAATACGGCCGGGTAGAAAAGGGCGAGGCGCGCTAGCGGCCGGTCTACGTTATTCCTTGTTTCCCCTGTCTGGCGGGCGGCGCCGTATCCGTGGCGCGCCGCGCGGCCCCGCCCTTGCTCCTGTTGTAGAGCTTTTGTGTGTATGTGCCAATTACCGCTGTTGTAACAGTAACCTACCCACAGACGCATACCCCCTCCCACACGAACCTTACGCACTCGTTTCCCATTATCAATCGTTCTGACGCTTGAACTACGCTGGCACGACGGATCCCGGAGCGCGCGGCGTTGTGCTCCCCACGATCATCACGTCGACGTCGCCGGCGTGTGCGCGTGGTCGCGATCCCTTGCAACCGTGGCAGCTCCTCCATATCCACGGGCACCCCACCTGCACACGCCCATAGGCGGACTCCAGTGGCACTGGCTGATTTGATATGACTGGAAAGCACGCCGGACGGAGCGGACTTCGATGGCTAGGCGACCTTAGTGGACGGATCACTGAACATACCAACATCCTCCGTCCTCCGCTGTCATACGCCTTCTTGCGTGGGGCCCAACGAGATTGTGGACTTCGCGGGAAGACTGCAGCTGATTCTCAATTTTGCATCCGCTCGACATGGTGTGGCGTCAGCTTCTGCGCGCGTGCGCGCGGTGCACTGGTCATGATCGGCCTTCTCCGCGTCCGCGCCCGCAATCTTTCTCCTTTCTCGACTTCTTCTCCTGGCTTCTGGCTTCTGACTTCCGACCACTGGCTTCTCGACGCCAACTCCCGTGCGCAGCGCTGTGGATATCCCCAGTTGGTGTGGTGTTTATTATGCAGGATGATGCTGGAACGGCGTGGCAAGCCGATGCGAGCTACGTACGTGTCTTAGTGTGTTTCACATCCACCGCACGTACGCAGACATTCTCCGTGTCTTCCTGATGGATGAGCGCGCGGACGTCGTGAACCCTGTTCTCCATTGAAGCTAACTCAGGTGGGCGTGGTACCTGTTGAATTTGATGACCAGGGCAGTTCTAGAATACCCATAGCCAACAAGTCGGTTCACGGCAGCGCGTGTGCCTGAAGGCTACATACCTATCAACTTGCCTTGTCTGTGCAGTTGAATAGGAATTTGTGACACCGACAGGACACGACATCTAGGTCCCGGCCATGTATACTCCGGGACAATAGGCTCCAGTGATGTCACTCTAGGAAGCTTTGAAGGGCCCGTTTCCAACCCGTTTTCTCGACCTCGCAGGCGCCAAGTTTATCGTAGTAATGGAGGAGGACTCACAGTTCACATGTTCGCGGACGTCCATGCGTCGGGAGAACTTCCATTCTCATGGCCCCGCTCCAGTCAGTGGGTCCTCAGTCTTGTTTCATCATAATTAGCGTCCCGTATCTTCCTCGTCGTCTCGATGTCCCGCGTGAGGCGCAGGTTCAACGTTCAGGCCTGCAGGGCCTATGTATTCCCACTTCACGAGTCATCACCGCGTCCAGCGGGTGACGCCGGTCGTCGTTGTGCGTATCCTAGGGATCTCGCATATCAGCGTCGACGTGCTAGTGTGCCCATCAAGTGATGTGGGCTGGGGACATACATACTCTGGCTTGTGCGGTAACCTGCCTTCGTAGCCGATACGAAGATCACTCGTGAGCAGGATTCCTGTCATGCATCCTGACAGAACTAGACATCGCCTCGATCAGTCGCGAAGCCCGCATTGTCGGCTGCAGATGTGGGGAGGTTGAGATCGTCAAACTGAGCCCGGATGTCACTCACTGCAGCGTAGCAACAGCGGTCTTGGAAGATGCGGATGCCATTATGGTTGCCGTGTGGCAAGTATCCGGATGCGCGAGGTCCGTGAAGAAGTGGTCCAGGTCAGTACGTTCGGACTGAGGTAGGGCTGCAAGACCCAGTCGAGGTCGCAGTATAGAACTTGTTCGAAGGCCACAAGTACGGTCGGTTCGTCGGGGAGAGGAAGGAGGGTGGCGACCCAATTCTGGTCTGACGTCCGGTTGTCGAGATAGAATGTGAGGCATGATGATCATGCCCAGCCACTGTTCTGAGCTCTCAAGTCCGTGTCCATCAAGTGATGCATTAGGAGAACGTACAGGAGACGTGTCTGGGTAGCCGACGGATGTCTTTGCCTTGCTCGTCCCGACCGAACAACCTCGGTCGGTCGTGGATCCCTACGCCAGCTCAGCATGACGACGAACAGTCCGTTGCAGAACATACCTGTTGGTGCAGTATGCCAGACCCCGTACCAGTGCTGAAGAGCCTGCACTAATCCCAGTTAGTGTGTATCTCGGATACTCACAGTGTCAGAGTTTTTGAGAGGTCGCTGAGGCAGTGCATTGGCACCTAAAAAAGTAGACCGTACAGCCTGTCTTTGTGGACTCCGTCGCCCATTGCACCGCGCACGTTATGGACACGTCATTCGGCTTCTCATCGTTATGGTGCTGCAGCATATAGATGGACGCGAAGTTGTGGGAGGACAGTAGTCAGTGTCACACGTCAAAGAAGATTCAGTTTCGACTGGCATCAGCTGTAGATAGAACCTGCCGATAGCGTTCAATAGAAAGGTACCAAATGCGAGTAAACGGGCTACTACAGGTCCGCGTCTGACGTGTCTTATCAGTCAGTCTTTTACTTATCTTAGCTTATCGTGCTGACATCCCTGTCTTCGGGACTTCACTGGGCACGCACAGCTTTATTAGGAGCCTCCTCCGCCGCGCACGCGTCCATGTTCCCTCGACGAGGAACCCCTCCGCAACCCCTCCCAGATGGCCTCCGAGGCGGACCTACAGAACTGGAGTAATCATTTCACCGTCAATTGTTGCAGCGCCGCGGCGGCAGGTGCGTGATCGACCTCTGAGTCTCAGGCATGTCTCAGGCTATCGGCTGACCAGAATCACGCTGTTACCAGCGCTGCTAGTATTTGACTACGCCCTGACGTTCGAGCAAGAGGTCGACTACATCTGGAGCAGCTCCAACTATGGCTACGTGCTCGTCTTCTTCGCGAACCGCCTCGCAATGCTCGGGATGGCGGTGGGGTCTGTCCTGAATATGCTGCCGTGGTACTCTACAATGGTACGTCCTGTTCAAGTTCTGAATCGACTGAAACTCCATGCTGATCGCAGAACAGAGGTAAGTCAACAGATATACATCGGCCCCGGAGACGCGATATGAAGCGTACCCAATAGTTGCACGGCGGTGAACTGGTCTCTGGCAGCGTTTCAAATCCTCGCATTGTTCCTATGGGCCAGTGCGTACACATCTACTCAGTCTCCGTCGCAGACGCTCACATCACAAAGTTGTCTCTACACTGCGAGTGTACGCCGTCAGCAATCGGGACTGGGGCTTTACCATCCTCACGCTCTGCCTGGGGCTGACGCCCGTGGTCACCAACCTTGTACGTTCACAACAGTTCATTTCATTGATACACCCCTTTCTGGCAAGAATGTACACAGGTTTGGAGGGTGTTGGGCTCGTTTCTGGCCTGGTTTCCCAGCTGAGTCCATGTAGTTGGGCCTGGCTCTTTCGAAACGCATACAGGCGGAGTCCGGCGGGTTCGATATGGGATCAGCGGACTTCGACGACTGAGCAGAGCCAGGCAGCTGTGACGTCGGCTTTGGTGGTGCGGTCCCTGAAAATAAACCTCCTCCGTCGTCTGACCCTATATGCGCGATGCCCAATGACGTGGACTCTGCCTACGCTGTGGGTCTCAGCCACTGGCCTGAGCCTGGCTTGCCCTCGGCACTGCTGACAGCTAGTTCTCTGTTGTTGACCCCTGCCCGAGAATTTTTAAACAGGCGGAGGGCGTCGGGCCTCATTGAATGCCATGCACTTTATGCCGCTGGGAGACCCCAGTCGTTGGCCTCGGTCTATCGATGATACTCTCCATGGTAGATTCTCACCAAAAAAGCGACGCACTCCGCGTGTGTACGCATCTCGGGAACGGGTCTAGCAAAACAGACTTAGCTGGCACGATCGTAGTGGGTTGGTAGTGGGCACACTACGACCGACACTGTATGTAACACCACAATCCGGAATGCAGGCCGACGCCGTCCACTTCGTAGGCTGTCCCCGCTGTTGGCACCAAGGCCTCCATTGGGTGCCCGGAGTGGCACTGGCGGCACGCACAGTGCTGACCCGCCCATTGCCTGCCCTACGGGGCAGCGTGTCTCATGTCATATCCTCCTGCCATCGCACGACGTCGTTTTCAGCGTATGATAGCGAGACTTGGGTTGTGGTGTTGCGTATATGAGTTCTTTGTGGGAACACCAAAAGCGATGTATTTCTTTGCATGTGGCCGTCGGAAAGGGGTATCGCAACATGAAATCAGCCTCTGGGAGTCGCAATACTAACTTCATGCTCACAGTATGCGAACATTGCCGCGGCATTCTTCCCCGTGTATTCTTTTGCATACACATATTGCGGGGGAAGCACCTACTATTCCGAGGATGTCGCCAATAGGTGATTGGTCCTCACATTGCTTCACGGGTGTTCTCACTGACTCGCGTTTGCAGATGTAAGCATCCATATGGCTGCGTGTTGTCCGCAATCTGATGCTCTCTGAAGTGGAGATCACAACCAGAGCCTGCCTCATCGCGTCCGATTCACTGGTCCTGTTCATCGCATGGTACCAACTACACACCGGCTTTTACAACTCCGCCCGCCCCGGTGTACGATCAACGCTGACTACGTTCCTGCTTCGAGACGGTACGTATATGCATACTCCCTCTCCGTTCTCGCATTGACGTTAGCGCACATCTAGGGACGCTCTACTTTGTGTACGTCCGATTGTGTTTGAGTTGCACAGGGTCTGACCCTGTCTCAAGAGTGTTGCTGGTGCTCAACGTAGCTCAGGTGATAACAGACATTGACATCGGAGTGGTAAGTACCTCTGTTCAGCGCTAAGCTCTCGCCCATCTGACATACGGTCGCACAGTTTTTCAACCCCCTTCCATCCTTCTCGAACCCGTACGTCGCGTCTCACCGACTAATGCGCTGAGATCTGAACGGTACCACAGCATAACATCGATCATCATCTCGCGGTTCCTCCTCGCCCTTCGCCGGCTTGCTCTGCAGACTGGCGACAGCCTCCCGTCATATTTCTCGCAGTCGCACGAGACAGAGCAGTGTGTGGAGCACAGCCAGCGGCGCTCCGGCCTCTCGACCATAGGCTTCAACACCAACACGATACCACTGACGACCAGCGCGTCGACGAGGTTTACTATGTCGCTGCGACACCCGCCCTCCGAGGCGAGCCAGGGGTACAGCGCCTTCACTACGAGCGGGGTGGAGCGATACCGCGACTGGGACCCGGACGAAATTGTGGAATTGGCACGTGTACGATATACGCGCTGACCTCGAGATTGAGGTGATACCAAGGTGTGATATAGCATTGTAGGTTGGGATATAGCGGAGGTCAGTCGTGTTGTGTTATCGATCCATGGCGCTCGTGCTGAGTGGCCGCAGTTGTTGTACTCACAGATGTCGGTCCACTGTATCATAGAATACATACCCTATTGTACGGTTACTTTATGCTGAGAAGCGTGACTCCCGCATGGAACGCACGCGGTCTGGCAGATATAGCCACGACCATGACACTACTGTTGCGAACAAACCACAGTTCGAAGCTCACATTGACGTTCATGTCACTCATCCGTTTTGTCATGCCCGGCTTACGGGCGTGACCTGCTTACCGGTGAGCCTGGCCTATGTTTAGCAAAACAAAGTTTGCTCACACGTCTGCCTCACATGTCATCGTGCCGTTAAACAGGACGGAGAGGGACAAAGAGGAAGCTCGAGTAGGCGCCGCTCGTTCACCGCCCCCGTCCATGTCATGCCGCACCTGGCGGATGGCCGTGATGCGTGACGTACCACCTCCACAGGATCGTGGGCGCAATCAAGAAACATGCCCGGTGTGCCCGTGTGTGCGCGCCCCGAGTCGTGGCTGTCGCACAGTACACTCCGTCTCAAACTGATTGGGGTCGATGACGGCGGCACGCGGGAGATGCCTACGTCAGATGCAGGGTCTGAGAAGCCTGATTCACCGCCGGGCTTGCAGGTCGTCTGCCGAACCTGTCTTCCTGACGCGGTCTGGCATCCCCTGCACCATCAATAGAGCACATATGGGGAAAGACCTCGAGGGCGGGCTGTGTATATTTCAGTCTCACGTCGCCACGACGCTTCGGCGTGGTAGATCCGTGACTTTGTTGTCCCATATAAGCAGTCTTTCCCCCATGCTTTCCATGTTGGCGGCATGCTAAGACTCGTTGAGCGCGCTAACGACGTGGATAGTCTACAGGCAACGAAAGAGCAGTACACTCTCAATTATTGCGCCGCCGCTGGTACAGGTGCGCCCTCTCGGTGAATGGATCATTCGGCAATGCTCTGAAGCGTTATGCAGTTTTGCTGCTCTACGACTATGTCATTACACTGGGACAGGAGAGTCGCTTCGTCTGGACAGATGTCCGTGCGGGCTACGCCGTGATCTTCCTGGCCAATCGACTAAACATGTTGTGTATGTTTATCTCCGGAATATTATCCATCTGCTCGTGGCACACGGTGCTGGTACGTGTCGATCTTGCAGTACCGTACCCGTCGTTCAGTTGAACTCACTTGTGTAGAGGTAGGACCGACGTCATCGCTCTCATGCACCGAAGTGACTGATTGAATACGTGAAGTTGCGAGAAGATCCAAACACTCTGGGAATTCGTCAGTATCAGCACATACCTCATGTGGGCTGGTATGTATGCAAACTGAACTACCAAGCTCGGGCATTGACCCTTAGTACTCACACAGGTACTTCCGCGCTTCGTGTCTATGCTATCAGCGACCGCAGTTTGCCGCTTGCTGCCCTGACAGCAATACTCGCTGTGGTGCCAGCTGCGATTAATATTGTGAATTATGGTCTCACTTGTAAAGAGGTGACATGAGCTGAAAACCCCCTTCAGATACAAGACATCAACATCCTTTCTTACTTGGAAAGCTTCGGCATGTCAATGATCTGTGACACAGACGTTAAACTTCCGACACGGACTATTCACGAGTGAATACTCTTCCCATGTCGTCATCGCCGCAATGAACTGATGATTTTGGCTCTATTCCAGATGTAAGAAAAATCCATCTACGATTCTTGCTTGGGGGCCATATTAATGTCACTCACTCACAGTTGTGATCCTCGGTAGAACCTCCCTGATAGCCTCAGACGTTATCGTCTTGCTAGTCACTTGGTGGCAATTGCACGGGTGTCTCATATCGGCGCAGAGACAGTCTCGTTCTGCACTCGCCCTACTATTACTGAAGGATAGTAAGTCCTCAGTTTTCATATGGATCAGCGTTGCCCGCTTATCGTTCTCAATCTAGGCACGTCATATTTCATGTACGAACACGACCCTCCTTTCATATGTACACGATCGCTCATTCGCATCCGTGCAGGATATTCCTCCTGTTCAACATCGCCCAGATCATTTCACAAATTCAGTTCGGCGACGTGCGTATGTCCAATGCATATCTTGGTGACTGCGTGATCGAACATCTTTATGCAGGAATTTAATCCAATACCAAGCTTCATGCTCCCGTTCGTCCTACAGTGATCGCATACTTTCTGGAATGTCTACTCAAGAGTTCCAACAGTATGACAACAATCGTGATCTCTAGGCTGATTCTTAGCCTGCGCCGCCTATCATCGACTAGACAATTCCGAAGCAACACTACCACAACGACCATAGATGTCCAAGCGTCGTTCCATCGCTCTCTCTTATCAACCATGGCTTTCCGCCCGAACTCTCCCACACCACGTAGCAATGTCGGTCAAACCTCATCAATACCACGACCACTTATAACAGCGGACTCACTAGAAGACGGCTTTCTCTACGTTTCTGACAACATATTGGACGAGGATGCAGATGCGAACGACGGTGGATGGACGAGTCAGGAGCGAGCCGAAGCGACCACAGAAGCCTAGCGACGTTCTAGTGAGTCTCTTACCAGTTCATCACGACGCTAAACTGAGGGTTCATCTGTGTCTCGAGGCGATGCTCAAGTGATCTGCGATAATGCTGTTCCGGTGAGTAGTGAAATACTCCATGGATGCGTGGAAGTGAATATGCGGAATTCTTCGTGGACAGGTGTACCGACAATGGCTACCTCGCCACTATTCTGTAAGTAGGCATCAATCGACTCTTGGCGCTCGCAATCATTGCCTCCAAACGTCTCCAGTCTATCCACTAAATCGAGCAGAACCTCTTGATATGACGCTCTTGTGCTCGAATCTCCCAAATAATGCAGCGGTCTTGACAGTTCGACGTTTGACGCGAGTCTCACTGGCAGCATCGCGGACAGGACACATCACAATGCAACGTCTACTTCTGTACCATGTAAGTAAAACCACTACGCAGCTTGTCACTCACGGCCCTCGGAACTTACATCACCGAAAGGTAAGTTTAATCAATCTTCAGGCCTCAGGGGCGCCATGCAAAGAACGAACAGAAGATTGGTTAGGCGCTGGCCGTTCACCGCCTCCATCCACGTCAAGCACACCGCATCCAAACTTCAGCGAACTATGCACTTTGTAATGGAGCGTGACCAGCTTGTGCCCATCTCTATCAGCCCATCTTACCTCCGTCTCGTCGGAGACACGCTGATCGAGGCCAGATGCACGAGCACACGCGCGGTCAAGGTCAGAGCAGCACCACTGGGCGCTGGTATCTAAGTTTGTCGTGCGTCCTTGTCTAAACGGTATTGCTTCTGTGCCATTGACTCAGCCTAGAGGGCCATCGACATCTGTCACGGCCACACTGGGGCCAGGCGTATCTCCGACCCTATATCACTGAGCCCTCTCCCTCCCCGCCCTGCGTAGCCTCGCCCACGTTCTTCTGACTGGCGACATGCTGACATTGATTGAAAGCACCATCGCCGTTAATGATTTACAGGCGCAGACGCATGAGCAGTATACGGACAACTATTGCGCCGCGGCAGGTGCAGGTATGTCCCTCGGTCTACCAATTCACCTTGCTGAGAATCACTCACCAGTCTACTATACTGTACGGTCTAGCTGTGCTTTTGTATGAATATGTCGTCACACTTGGCCAAGAGCGTCGCTACATTTGGAGGGACGTCCGTGCAGGCTACGTCGCAATCTTCCTGGTCAACCGACTTAACATGCTCGGCATATCTATCACGATGATGCTTGGTATATGCTCCTGGGATAACGTCATGGTATGTCGTCGGTTGACCCCTGTTCACCTCTCGAGTTGCTCATATATTCCTCCAGAGGTAATGCGGATGTAGCTGGTTATATGTCACTTCCATTGATCGACTTCGTGAAGCTGCGAGACGATCGCCATTCTTCAGGACCTCGTGTTCATAAGCACACTACTTGTGTGGGCGGGTGCGCATTTGGTTATTCCTTGGAGATCTGAACACGCCAGAACTCATCAGTACACAGCTACTTCGACGCTTCGTGTATATGCCATCAGTAACCGCAGTATTCTGCTTGCTACGATCACTGCGGCCCTTGGTATTGCCCCAATTGCAGTGAACATCGTGAGCCATCAATCCAACTGTCATGCTAGCGCACCAGAGTGAATAATGCCTTCAGTTTGCAGACGCGAGAACAACGTCATATCTGGAAGGCACGTCGTCGATTTGCGGTAGCAACCTCAATGTTTCTACACAGGCTCACCGTAGGTAAATGAACTCTTTGAGTCTACGCCAGTGGGCAATCGCTGCGTTACTGACACCTCGGTGTGATTTTTCTTCTATCCTCTACAGCTGTAAGGTCTCGTCAAGCCACGGTGTGGCATATGATTACTAATCATTTTCATTACAGTCGTTATACTCAGTAGAGCATCTCTGATAGCAGCGGATGTCTTGCTCCTTCTGGTCACTTGGTGGCAGCTATGCGGAACTCTCGGATCATCGGGACAAAGGCGGAATCGGTCTGCTCTTGCAGTGCTCTTGCTGAGGGACAGTAAGTCTATGAACCACCCGGGATCAGTGACGCTTACTCATGGCCCCCCGTGTCAGGCACTTCGTATTTCATGTGCGTATGGAGCGGCATCCCGTTAAACGGAACAAGCACTGACTCATATGCATCAAGACTGTTTCTTCTGCTTAATGTCGCACAGGTTATGGGAGAACTGATGCTCGGTGCCGTTCGTCCGTTTCACGTGTCAGTGAATACATGCTCAAACCATCTCCACACAGGCGTTCGACCCGGTCCCTAATCTCATGCTCCCGTTTGTCCTTTTCGAATGCATGCCAGAATATCTGCTCACAGGAGTTTAACAGCATAGTGACCATCGTGATCTCCAGGCTGATCCTCAGTCTACGTCGGCTTTCATTCACTATGCAGCTACCGATGCACGTTCGGAATGCTACCGACACGTCGGCGACGGAAATACAAGAATCTTTCCACCGATCCTTCTTATCAACTGTGGTCTTTCGTCCAGACCCTTCCCCGCGCGGTCTCAGCAACCATAGTCAGATCCAGGCAGAACCTCCGGAACTGCCAGAACTGCCACGAGAACTGATGGAATTTCGACTAGAACCTTGGCTAGTAGATAGTCAATCCATCCGCGCGCCGGACGACGTACTGGACGACGATGCAGATATGGACGAGTGTGGAAAGGTGGATGAGGAATGACCTCGGTTGCCCGGGTCCAGGGGACCCAAGCAGTACTCTGGTGAGTCTATTTTTTTTCATTTCAGACGCGGCGTTGAACTGAAGACCGGTGCATCTCGCCCAGAATAACTTATCATAGTTGTATGATTTAATCATGTATAACAGCCTGGTCAAGTATCTTGTATCAATCGGTAGTTCCAGCGCGCAGGGAACTCGATACATCCCTGTTTCGCGATCGTGCTTGACCCTTCCTTTCTATTTATGCCAGCGTCGCTCGTAATTTGGCAAATTCCCGCTTTACTTCGCCAGTGATATCAAGACCCGGTGATCAGCTTATGGTATGACCTAGCGTAGTATGCCGGACAACACTGAGCGGTGCGTATGATATTGCTAGTCACCGCTTGCTATCAGTGTCAACTATTAAAGGCTCGTCTTCATGTCACAGCGAACTGGTTCAACAACGGGAACTGCGGGCTGGGCGCAATGCTACACATCGTCTCCCTTTCAATCGAGCCCGGGTGACGCTCAGGCTCTTAGTCGTACCAAGTGAATAATTTCCGTTGCTCCGCGCTCGGATACCGGTTCATGAGGCCACAGAATACACCATCTTCGTACGGCCCCATCAATGAAAATGCTGAGCATTTAATCTCCGCATGGGACACATTTGACACTTGAATAGATCCACGCCAGGTGGCCGGTGTTGTCAATAGAACATTAAGCGCCCACTGTTGTGTCTATCCTTAAGGTCCGCAACACTCACGGCTTTCTAATTCCTGCACACTTCGTACTTATACGACTTGCCGGCCAGTCCGACATGGCCTGTTCGAATGTAGCGTTGTTGGCTTACATGCCTGCCTAGGAGCGAGCGCTAGGTCGGAACGAAGTTTGAATAGCCGCCGGATGTTGACCGCCTGGGGCGGATGGTGGTGATGCTTGACGCATCGCATCCGCGGGAATGTCGATGCGATGACGATTCATGACCAGCGTGTCGGCTCCCAAAAATAGTGTCTTACGTCGGAGACACCTTGGAGACACCTTTAGCATGGCCATTAATTGCCACTGCAGTGCCACCCGTCACGGTGTTACGGTGCGGCATGCGTGTGGCACTGATCTGGTACTGAGACTGTCTCGCATCTTCGGTGCAATCGAGGGGCGTGGACGGAGAGATACCTTGTGGGTGGGCCATTACAAGGCATCTCATCTGTCACGCCGCCACGATGCTTCGCCTGGTGCATCTCAGACCGTGTCGCCTTATATGAGAGCTGGGTCCTGTCGCTCTCCCCTGTGAGGAGCCCCTGACCATCTTGCTGCCCCGCTGAATATCTGCACTTTTCAAGTGCGCCGCCAACATGGATATCCCACAGACTTTGACACTAGCGACTTTGACACTAGCAGAGACCAAGGGGCAGTATACCGCGACGCATTGTGCGATGGCGGCGGCAGGTGCGGGTTTCGCGCGTTCGACCCTCACTACCTGCTCCTAAACTTACGCACTGTGGTCTAACATAGCCCTTCTTTTGTATGACTACATCGTCACACTAGGTCAGGAGAGTCGCTACATCTGGACAGACGTCCGTGCCGGCTACGCCGCAATTTTCCTGATCAACCGATTGAACATGCTCTGCATGGCCATCTATATGATCATGGAGCGTGCTCGTTTCACGCTCTAACTGTACGTTGGTCGACTTCCTAACGTCGTTGACCCTTGCTCATCCGCATACTAGAGGTAATCTGCACGCTGCCGGGCCTTATGTTTGCTATGACTGATGTAGTTCATCAAGTTGCAAGCAGATCGCCTTGCTCTGGGACGTGGTTACGATAAGCACATTGCTCGTATGGGCTTGTGAGCACTGCGCGATTTTCGTTGAGGCACTCAGAATTGACCTTCACCTTGACCCAGGCGTTTCTACGCTTCGAGTCTACGCCATCAGTAACCGCATGTCTCGCTTTCGGCGACCACCGCAGCTCTTGCTGTCGTCCCGATTGGGCTCAATATTGTAAGTGATGGTAATGGCCGCTACTTTGGTGAAACAGACTGAAGCGCATCTTGAGTTTTCATACGTGAAATCAGGTTATTATCTGTTTACCTATGGTGCGGCGTCGACGGCGTGTTTGACTCAAAACACTTTTTCCATGCGGACACAATATGAGTTGAGTTGATGTTCTTCTGTATCCAACGACAGTTTGTTCAGACTAAATGGCATGATCATCAACGGTCTGTAGATGTGAGCTGTCGTGAACCTGTCTTTAGAACAATTATAATGCCGATCGCAGTCGTCATCCTCAGCAGAGTATCACTAATAGTGTCGGACGTCATGGTCCTAGTACTCACCTGGTGGCAATTATACGGGGCTCTACGAATATCAAGGCAGGGACATAGTCGTTCCGCTCTAGCCATTCTCTTACTGAGGGACAGTAAGTCGCCGTTCCACCCATTGTCAGTGCTGTTCACTCATGGCTACTAGATACCTCGTATTTTGTGTATGAAATCGCCTTTCTTGACTTCGTCGCATGATAACTCATCTGCACGCATGAAGGTTGTTTCTTCTGATTAATGTCATTCAAATGATTACATCATTCGTACTCGATAACGTACGTCCTTTGATTTGATCTGACAATTTGGTATTCTGAAGTTGATCTGTCTTCCTGCAGGATTTCAATCCCATCCCCACATTCATGTTCCCGTTGGTTCATTCGGACTCCCGAAAGTGTGTCGACTCACAGATGTCCAACAGTTTCACCTGCATCGTGATCTCCAGGCTGATTCTCAATCTGCGTCGCCTTTCTTCCGCTATGCGCTCACCCATGCACGCTCGAAGTGACATCACCTCTCCGAGGTCGACAGTCCCCAGTTCCTTTCATTCTTCACTCCTATCAACCGTCATGTTCGGCCCGAATTCCCAGGGTAGCCAAGGCGGCCGAATACCGCCAGTCCCGCCATCCCGCAGCCCAGAAAGCGCACTAGAAAGCGGACACATCGCCGTTCGCGAGCATGTGATGGACGACATTGTAGAAGAAGATGAGGGCGAGCAGGAGGACGAGGATGCGGAGTGAGTGTCGGGGTGCAGGGGGCTAAGTTATGTAGCGACGTTCCGGTGAGCCTCCCTTCGATTGAACGTGACGTTGAATTGACGACCAGTGAACGTCCCAGAGAACAACTTTAGTAGAGTGCCCATAATCGTGCCTGTGCAAGTATCCTACGTTCTATTTCATTCGCAGAAAACGTCACAGCTTGCGTGATTGCATCTGGGAGCGCCGGCAGTGGTTGACTCTGAGACAGATGGCTACGCTGGGAGCCCAAGTGGATCATGCGGACAAATTTGCCACTCGGTGAAGCCAAAGCGTGCGCGTCGTCTGCGGCTCCGAAAGGTGAGCACATTTTTCTTCCTAGGTTTTCACGATGCATACGCAGACGAGCGGCATATGTATGGCACCCGGAACCGGTGCTGTGGCCCACTATTGCGCGGTCATTCCTGCGGCACAGCAAGCACACCACGTCGCAGCAGCCGCGTGGCTCACTCAAAATTTCCATCTGCCTTGAGAGTTCTCTATCTACTGCGTGCGCGGTCCACGACACGTATGCAGGTCTCCGTGACCAGGTCAGAGCTAGCTGCATGTCTCGTCTCACCGTTGCCGTTCGTGTGAACAGTGAAGTCAAAATATCAGCGAGCTGCATCGTCGTTTTCCGTGTCATCCCTCGCACCCCTTCGCCCTATGCTGCCCAAGATAGCTCACGTTGCTCTGAGTCCTAGGTAAGTACGGGTGGCTGCACGTCGGGGCTGCGTGGTGCAAGGGAGCAGCGATATTACAGCGCCCGCAGCACCATTGTTCCGAAAAAGGCATCTCTCGCCTTTTTGGGATTTAGACTCCTCCACTGCGCAGCATGGGTTGCGCGTGATGACGACTCTGACGACGCTGCGGCGAGGTATATAAAGGCTCGTCGGACGCTGCCACTGACCACCACCCACCATGTCTGCCACCCAGATCAGTATCAAGCTCACTCGACCTCCCAGCGGCCTCACCCGCAAGGTCACCTTCGACGCGCGCCCTTCCTGGGACGAGCTCGCCGCTCGCATCGAGTCTTTGTACGACATCCCCAAGGAACACGCTGCCGTCTCCTACGTCGACGCCGAAGGCGACGATGTGACGATGAACACGCAGACCGAGCTCCAGGACTTCTACACCACGCAGTCCGGCGGTGGCACCATCCGCTTCGTCGTGCGCGATGTGCGCGCTGCCCACGGCGGCTCTGCCACTGCCGGTGCCTCTGGGACTGAGGAGCGCGCCACTCCCACATCGCAGCTCGCCGAGAACGTGGCCCACGTCATCGCCTCGCTCACGGAGATGGGCGGCGCTAACCCCGAGGTCGCTGAGACCATCCGCAACGTCGTACGCAGGAGCGCGCCCTTCTGGCAGACTGGCGGCGGCCCCCCAGCCTCCCCCTTCGGCCCGGGCCCGCCGCATCCGCCTCCTCCTCACTCAATCCCCCAGCTCTTCTATCCCCGCCCTCCCAGCGGGACTCCCAGCCTTCCGGGCCACTGGGACTTCCCTGGAGGACCTCAGTTTTCGTTCGGACGCGGACGCGGCCGTCACCACCACGGTCCGTCAGGCACGCACCCTCGTCATGCATTCCCGCCGCCCCCGCCCGGCCCCGGCGCCCCTCCTCCCGGCGAGGAAGACTTCGCCTCGAGTGCGCCGGAGGGCGCGCCCCGCGCGCACGGCCGCCACCGCCACCGCCACGGCTCCCCGCACGCGCACGGTCACCGCCACTACGGCCCGCCCCCACCCCCGTCGTCCGCATTCCCTCCGATGGACCCGCAGGCCCCCGGTGCGTTCCCTCCCCCGCCGGGCGCGCCTCCGGGCCACGAGGAGTTCGTCCACATCCCTCCCCCGCACGCAGAGGATGCGCCCCGTTCGCCCGGCGCACCGCCGCCCCCGCCCCCGCCCCGCCCCCGCAGGGAGAGACCGCTCGCGCTCCCCCGGACTCGGAGGTGCCAACGAGCGTCGCCGCGGGCACGAGTCCGGACAGCGCAACTACCGCCACGGCGGCCCACCTCCAGCCCCTCGCGACGCGGTCTTCGATTTTCTGAGCGGCCTTTCGTTCGGCTCCGGTGCGCAGCGGGGTAGCGGAGACGGGCGCAGCCCTCGAGGCCCGCCGCCTGGGCCGCATGCTCGGGGCAGTCGCGGCTTTTGGACCCCCGACTATTCGGGCGAGTCGTCTGACGAGGTCTAGATGTACGTGCGAGGTGGAATGTTGTGGGACGATGAGACTTCACGTCGTCGGTCTCGAGTTGTTGGCACTGAAAGTGTTGTAATAGTACGTGTAGTGTAGTGTAGGACATAGGTGCGGATCCGGAGCGCCCACTTGTATTGCTTACCTAGTCGTCGATGGTTGTATACATGGAGTCGTTGTGCTCCGAATGCAAAGTGCGACGTTGTGCGCGTTCATGTCAGAGACAGCAATAGCCACTGATGATCGATGAAGCTCAGTTCAAAGACGGACACCGAACAGTATGCAGTCCATGTATGCGGTGTAACTCGCGAACACCTCGAGGCCTCACTTGCATATCATCACATCTGATACGCACGGCCCTCCAAGTTATTGCACGCACGCCGAAGACGCAGCCTCGCACAGGTGCACAATGACCATCGCGTCCAGTGCAGCCAACTCACGACTCCGACGGCATCCTCCTCCTCCCCGGAATCCTCTGCGGCACCCTCCTCAGAGCCATCCGGGGCTCCCTCAGGCTCGCGACCGCCTGCCCTGCTCGTCCTGGGGACACCGCGCCGCCCACCCCCAACAAGAACGTCGCGACGCCGGCGCTGCCGATCCATCAGTCCCTCCGCCACCTCCCGGAGCCCCCGGAGGCTCCGTGTCAGCTCTATGCTCTCCGCCGCCTGCGCGCCTCCATCTCTAGGATCCGCGCCCATACGCGGTCGAACTCGCGCCTGGGGAGCCTATCCGGGGCTTCCGCGGGTAGAATATCGAGGAGAGAGGTGATGGACGGTGCGTCGCCGCGCGGTGTGGTTACGCTGAGGATCACGGACGGAGTGGGAGGCGTCGGCAGAGTAACCGGGGATCGTTCGCTTGTTCTGTGCAAGGCGGGTGGGGCCGTGGGGGCCGGAGGGGTGGCCCTCCGCGCTGGGGAGGCCCGCGGCTCAGGAGGAGCGTCGGCGGTGGTGAGGCCTGCCAGTGACGGACGCCTCAGCATGCATGTATGCGCGCGTGACGGAGAGTCGAGACGCGGACGACGAGACGTACGGGGACATCTGGGGGAGGACCGCTGGCATCCGTCGACAATGACGAGAGGGATGGCTCCGTCGACGCTCCAACAGACAGCGCGGGAGAGAGCGGGGCTGGTGGGGGGCTGAGCGCGCGGGGAGTGTATAGGATGGAGGAGACCGTCGTCACCGTAGACGGCGTGCGCGTCGCTGGGGCGACCGGGCTTCTTCCCTCCGTCGGTGTAGAACGGGGGTCGACACGCTGGAGGGGGCAGACACGGACGACGGCGGGGAGCCCGGTGGGACAGCACCCAGCGAGGGTGTGCCATGTGCCATGGAGACCGGCGGCGATGGCGATGGCGAGCGCCTCTCCGCTGCCCGCGCCCTGGACCCGAACACCAGCGGGCTGGAGGCCCACGAGACCGTCTCGGACAGCTCCGTCGGCCGCAGGTACGACGTCTCGAACGTCGTGTCGACGCCCTCCGCGAAGGGCCCCGGCTGCGTAGACACGGACGCGCCGAGGACGGACGACTCGTACGTCCCGGCCGTCTCGAGGCCCCAGCGCGAACTTGGACGCGTCGGAGATGCGGGTCGCATCATGGGTGGTGAGGTGGCCAGGTCGGTGTCGGCGAGGGGAGAGGTGGGTGTGAGGACGGGCGACGACACTGAGCTGGGGGAGGGGAGAGATGATACAGGAGGCGTGAGGATTCCTCCTGGACTCGGAGAGGGTGGTTCGAGGGATAGGAGCGAAGGGGAAGACGCAGTGGATGCAGCCTGAGGTGTGGGTGGTCCGGATTGTGTGAGCGCGATGGAGGATCGGTTGGGCTTAAGGAAGGGATGGATGACGGCACGGGGGTGATCCGTGGCGCGGTTCTGGCGAGGGCTCGTTACCAGGTACCGACAGAGAAGGCGTGGAGGTGTAGCCGTGGGTTTCAGGACTCAACGAAGAGAATTCCTCTGCATGCGAGCCTGATGTCGGGGTCGGCAGAGAAACGGGTTCTGGCCCAGCCTGTTCCGCTGTGCCTTCCAGCGCAAGCGACGCGGTGCTATCCCTAGCAGCAGGAAGCGCACCTGGGGTAGCATGCTCATGCTCGTCTTCATCCTCGAGCCTTACGTCGGGCTCCGTTCGACAGACCTCGGCCGTCACGTATCGGTCTTCCCTGACTCCCCGGCGGAGCATACGTCCGCGGTCTCGTACGCAGAGTCTGTAACGGGAGCGCGGAAGTTCCGCTCTCTACGGTATACGAAACCACGCTGTCGGGACCCGAAGACGGCGCTGGCGCGAGAGAGAATGAACGGTACGACGCTTCCGAGGGCTCCCGTGCAGACGCGTATTCAGATTCGCTGGGCGTCGTCGTGGACCTGACGACCTCGCTTTCGGTCGCAGATACGGATTGAGCAGACGGCGGCGTCGGAGTGGGTGTCCATGAGGAAGAGCTGGTATAGCCCTCCAGCGTGCTCAACGTGTCCGCCCGCACTGTGAATCGAAGGAGCTGAGGTCGCTGCTGAGCGTATCCGTGCATCCCGCGCGAATGAGGGAGATGTGGCAGCGTACTCTGAGGGTCTCTCGGTGGCGTCGTCGTTCGCGTCCGGTGCGGTGGGGGGCGTTCGGCCGAGTAGCGACGCTGATGCGTTCGGGCTGCCTGTGGCATCGTGCTTTTGGGACGGCATCACGCGGGAACGGGTCAGTCAGAACGTAGGACGGGAAGCAGGCGCAGCTCACGAAGAGGTCATTCCCAAGGCATGCTTGCGGATCTAGGTTCCTTCTGGTCAGGGAAGCACGTGGGCGGTGATATCCTGTCGGATGCAGTAGTTGAGTTGGCGACCCGCTGGCGTTGAGATGCTGCATCTGTGGTGGTCAGTACAGTCATGGACCGGGCCTGGAATGACATTAAATTTCGAGAACCACGATCATCACCGCAAGACCTGAGTCGTCAGGGGACGTACACGAAGAGAAATGTGGCTAGTCGCGAACAACACACTGGGCTACGGGTCACTCGTCCATACACTGTGACGACGACGTACGTGTGGCTGCGACTGAAGCAAAGATACTCACCTTCAGCTACTTCCCAACACTTGGATCGCTGAGGCAGCCCGAGTATCTCATGTAGAGTACATACCAATGTGGGCAAAGCTGCAGGTGGGGGAGCAGGTACGCAAGGGTCACTGCCAGCATGCATCGGCTGCGAAGATGAACGCACACTCATCCTCTGTACAGCAGCGACTCAGCTGCTCGAAGCACCGTGACAATCCTGCCAGCATGCTCGTGCTGCAAGGGGCATCCGTAAGACACCGGATGTCGTCTGTGTCTATCGCGAACCCTGTCAGAAGTTGAGTGTGGCGACCACATGCAGTTTCTCTGACATACCTCAGTGCCTGCGCATGTTTAGACTCAGCGCGATGAGTAGAAACCGAGAAGGCACACATTGTTTTGAACGCGTATACAAGATATATATCGCCGAGCCGACACCGACAGTACGCGGAAATGCTCGCGAAGAGCACAGTAGGGAAAAAATAGGCTGTGATCCGACAGCGCAAGAGTAGTCTGAATCGAGTTTCGCAGGAGCAGAGAGCTCCGCGAGCCGCGAAGTGAACTGATGGACAGCAGCCGCACGCACGCACCATAGGTGACACATTCTCGTCATCCAATGCATTTGATACTCTGCGAGGCACTGGTCCCCGTGTACCCGACCGGGGCCGAGTACTGCACGACGCTAATAGAGGTCGGCACGTACGCACATCATGGCATGCCTGCCCTGTCCCCGCGACGTGTCCTAAAGCTGCCCCCGCCCCTCCGCCACGCACGATAAGGCTGCCTCAGCATGTGCGGATTGAACTCACAAGCAGCGCTGCTGCTCGGCTCGTACGGCGTTGACTGGTTTGTCAAACCGTGCCATGACTTCTTCGGGTTTGCGAGACACAACTGCATGTCTGATACGTCGCGCCAGCCTGTGAGGCTGGGACCCAGCGAGGGTCGACCGAGGGGGACTAGAAACTCAGACCTTGGCCCGCTCACAAAGCAGACGTGTGGAACGTCCCGTACGGCGTGAGCTTCGCGGCTTTAGCACTGTCGGAGGAGAACGCGCACCAGTCGTGAGTGGACGAGAGGAGGATGCAGGCGATGTGGCGTGGCCACAGCCTATATACACATATATCGGAGTGTGTATCTCAGATCCATCTGTGGCTGAGACTACGTAGTTGGCCGGCCTCCAAGTCGCGGTGTCGGCAGACTATACACACGATCCTTGCTAAGGGAGAGAGCATGGTCGCATGAGTATGGTTGTCATTGCCTTGGTCTTGCCTCCATCCAAAAGCTTGTCCGGAGGCGACATAGCAGCAATATACAAATGTATGATTGAGTTCAAGTTGCAAGGTCTCGTCGAAGTGACGTGCCATCGGCGACTCGACTACATTGTACAGGCTAATTCGACAATAAGTGAGCAACGGTACACGGAAGAAAATACAGCATTCAGGTGGTACACAACGATTGAATCAATAAACAGGACACCAGTATAGTAACACAATAAGCAGGTAACAGAGGTATTGAAATGCACGGGTATGATTCTGCGCGAGAGTTGGAGGGATAAGGTTAGCCAACGGCGCGTTAAGATGTGGATGTACGAGAGAGAGCGGTCGTAAACAGCAGGGACACAACACGAGACTGATGATTCGAAAGGAAAGGGAGGCATATGCGAACATTTGCGAAGTAGGTCTGTGGTGTGGACCTGTCAACGAGCCGACACTGAGTCACAGCGCCGACGGCGAAGAGTTAAATCACCCTAGTAGAAGAGATCCTCATACTGGAGGTCCTGCTCCCCGGTCGCCCGCCCAGTCGACCACGACGACCTCAAGATGTCCTCCCAGTCGTCGGTCGCCACTGGAACAAGCCCAGACGAAAGGAAATCGCTGCTATCCCAAACAGTGTCTATGTCTGGGAGCGCACTGGTGGCTCCCTTCGTTGGGGACGCTTCAGGATCGACATTTTCTTTCTCCGTGGCTGTCGGTGGAGTAGCCTCAGGTGGCGACGCTGCGTCGGGCCCACAAGCTGTCGGGGTCGTTGGGCTGTGGGGCTCGTGACTACCACCATTGGACTGATGAGGGTCTGTAAAGCGGGCGGCGGGCGCGCCGATGGAGTTGAAGGTGCGTTCAAGCTCGGCGAAGAAGGCGTCTTCATTGAGGCCCCGCCTTCTTCCGTGAAGGCGGCCTGCGGGTAGCCGTCGTTGCTGGAAGGGAAGTGCCGGTGAATGGTGCGGATGCAGCATGGCGGCGTACTCCAGCTGTGCGGTGGGTTCAAACCACGCAGCGTCCTCGGGTACGGGGGAAGACTGTTCAAGAATCTCGAGTGGGTCAGGGGCGGGAAGATCGGACGACAGGGGTCCGGATTCTGGTCCGTGTGTGCGCCCGCCGTGATGCAGGCTTGGTCGTCGACGTCGATGGCTTCCTGAACAGGGGCGACGACGCCATCGGAGGAGCTCCAGTCTTGACTTCACCGAACTGCGCTGCCTCGTGACCGTCCTCCGAGTCGGTCACAGCTTCAACTTCGGTCCCATCCGGTGCGAACTCTACGCTCACAAACGTACATGGCCCCGTTGGAACCTCGGGTGAAGTCGTCCGTCGCCCTCGACTCCGTCGCCTCTGGCTGTTACTCCTGTCAGAGGTCGTGCACACGCGTCTCGATGGTGGCTGCGACCCGGAGGAGCCTGCATGAGCGTCGCAGGACGCAGCAGGCGTTGTGACCGGAGAGGTGGATGAACTACTGGAGGGTTCCGAGTCGAGGTGTTCATCGTCATCGTCCGGCGTTGACGTCTCTGGGTGAGGCTGAGCTCCATTTTTGGCCCGTCTATGGTATGGCCAAATCAGTTCAAATCAAAGACGTCGGGATGCTTCACACTCACTGCTTCAGACATCTCTGCACGTGCATATCCATGCTCCTCTCCCTCACCGTCTGGACTTCGTCACATAGCAGACACCGATAGCTCGCTAGGGCCCCATGCTTTTCCAGGATGTGGCGCAGCCGGACATGCAGCGTGGTGCGGCCAGACCGCGACTTGATCCCACCACAGCCCGCCCACGGACAATAGCGGGGATCCTCGCTGTCCAGAATCCTGCTGCCGTCGGGGCGTGTGTGAGCCACTTGGAGGTGGCTTCGCAACCCGTACTTCGTGTTGGCGATTGACTGTGTACAGCCACCTATGCCGCAACGGAATGTGGGCGGAATTCCGAGTTGCTCCATATACTGTTTAACGTCGCGGGACGTCGCGGGGCCCGTCGTAGGCGTGGCTGGAGATTCGACACGTCGCCGCTTTGAAGGGCGGGCCACTGAGGTTGTGGCGGTCATAGCGGCAGAAGGCCCCGCGGCCACAGGAGCCGGGTGGCTCGCCATGACCTGCGGGACCGGGCGGGGCATGGCGGCCGTGGCCCATGGATTCATAGCAGGGTGGTCATAGCGGCTGTTGAGATCCTATTATCAAGGCGGGCCACTTGGTCAAAGCACCGTTAAGACTTACTGAGAAAAAATCGCTCGTGGCCTACGTTGGTGGCCGTGACTCTGCCGGGCGTGGGGTATGAGAAGGTGAATGGGGGTTGCGTGGTGGGCGCGACGACCGGGCGCTGCTGCAAGACTGGGAGGGTGTCTTGCGCGTTGAAGCTGCTGGGTTCCTGTCAGCTCGGCCACTCGGTCAAAGCGTCGCTGAGCTTACTGGATAGGCACAGAACGTGCGGTCGTGATCTCTCCTGTTGCGGAAGCCATAGGCACAAAGGGTTGAGGAGTGGGCAGGGGTATAGGGCTCTGTGGCCACGAAGGGAGTGACCAATATTGAGACAGATGCAAGCTGTGTCTAGTAAGTTAGCGATGCCACTCGGTCCAAGCGTCACAAAGACATACTGCTGAGCGTAGTTGTGGTTCATCTTTGTTCTCCGGATGGGTGTGTGCGAGGAAAGGTGGCTTTGTGAGGCTAGAGGTGAGACTGGAAGTGGAAAGGAGGTGGTGGTCAAGGAGTGAGAAACAGATGCGAACGCGGATGGCTTGTTAAGGGCGGGGCCACCAGGGTACGGCTGAGACTGAAATCGACGCGCGGAAACCAGTGCGTCCACAATTACTAGTCGCGTGACCGCGTTACATCGCGTACAGGGTCCTCCCCTCATCAAGCTCCCGCCGGTACGAGAGCATCGCTGCACCGTGAGCGACCACGGTCCTTTTTTCACTGGCCGGGCAATCACGACTGAACTTACGCGTGTATCTATTCCATCCAACTTGTCTTCGAGAGAGTTATGTGCCTAGACGGGTTGCTGATCCCTACGTTCCGGTGCTCTAATGAATCGTGCACGAGCGAAGGAGCCAACGAATCTAAAGATGTATAGACTCTATTATTCGGTTGCTTTCCGTAAATCCCATGCAGCGTATACTCACTTTCGTACCGAGCAGCTCCTCCATGACGAGCTGTAATCTGAGGATGGGCAGACCGCCTATAGCAATCCTGTCGCACACTGGCAGTCTCCCCGCGGATGTATTGCATAATTCGATGCATATTCAACGTCGTGTTAATATCATATCCTGTCCACATGCTTGAGGGTATACGGTGTTCTGCGAAGAATAGCCTGCCGTGGACGTGGTCCCAGGCCGACAAGGATCACCAGTGACCCATGCCAGTGGCAAAGCCTACATCCGAGTCTCTCACCAACAGCGCTGCTGTCGCAAGTGACTTCCCTCCATACGGCAGTATTGCGTCTTTAACATGCCTGTCTTCATAAGTTGAGAGTGTACAAGCTTCATTACAGAAGATGCATTTCTCATTGAATCATGCTGGCATTGAGTCAGGAGGAGGAAGAGGAGGAGGAGGAGGGATCCATTGAGCCACTGACCGACAGCCACAGGCGCCGTCGACGTCTTGACGATGACAGCGCTCACTTCAGAGTCAACTACAACACCAGTCGTAACATCTAAACTGCTCCTATTTCGTTACTATCGTGGACGAAACATTGATAGCACGCCCACGACATACCATGCATAGCCCCAATTCGATACAGAACACACGTTAAACCTACTCGATTGGCCAGCATCAACTTGGGAAGATCGTCTATGCAGGTTCGAATTCGAGTTGGTTTCGAGTTGCGCACTGCGCAGAGAGTCAGATTCAGACTGAGGCAGAGCAGCGCTGACCACGTCACGAGTCACGACCATGGTCACAATGTGTCACTTGAGTTACGTTTCGCGTTTGTGACAACAGCAGAACGCGTCCCGCGCGTCTAATACGGTCCAGTCTCCTGCTTCATACCAGCATTCTCCTGATCATTTTCTACCTTCGTCATGGCACGCGGCTCTTTTGGGGGCGCGAGGGGAAGAGGGAGGGGTACATCCCGGTTTGGTACCCGTGGTAGCACATCCTATCGAGGTGGACGTGGCAGAGGAAGAGGAAGAGGAAGAGGACGAGGTGGCGCGCCGACGGATGCTCAGCCCCAGCGCGAAGAGGACGGCACCCAACTCGCGGAACGATTTGAACAAGTGGATCTCAACGACGAGGTTGACGAGAAACTTGGGTTCGCGCGCATCTCGGAGGGACCAAGGAGAGAGGGATGGTTGATCAATATGCACCCTGTGAGTCCGTCTTACTATGTCTCGTCTACATAGAGCGCATCATCCTATATCTGCACGTCATCGAAAAGAGCGACGTCAGAGATATGAACCAAGCGATGGAAATCCCGTTCCTCGACATGCACGTTGCTTCGTACATCGAGCCTCTACTCGCCGAGACCACAATGATCCAACTGTTCACATAATGGGTGTCGCGCACGCGCATGACGGGAAATTTGTTTGGTTTTTTTGGCTGGCTCCGGCACCATCGCTCGATGGATGCTGCTCTCTGAGGCGTGGTCACGTATCTCTGCCCACACTTCTTCCCCGTCGCCGCATCGACTACTGAAAAGCTGACACAATATGCAGACACTTGTCAAAGACGCCGACTGGCCGTCAGGGAAGGCGGCTGTAGACTTCTACTTTATACAAGACGATGGAGGGATGTTCAAGTGCACCCTGCAGTATGAACCGTACTTTTACATTGCTTGCAAGGTACGCCTATAGTCAATCAACACTTCCACTTCTAACGTAACGCGGCAGACTGGCATGGAGACGATCATTGAAGAGTGGCTGATGAAGAAGTACGAGGGCCACATATGCCGCATCACTCGAGAGCGAAAGGAGGACCTACAACTGCCAAACCATCTCATGGGCCATCGCCGGTTATACCTGCAGATCCATTTTCGAAACGTGTCCGACCTCCTCGCTGTCAGGCGGGATCTGATGCCGCTCGCGCTAGCCAACAGTGCGAAACTCGATGCTGTGGATGCCTATGCTGAAGTGGTGAATTCCACAGCGAATGCGACCACCTCAATCGAGATCGAGGGTGTGTGGGACGCCGAGGCAGGCCTTCTCGGGGTGGACGGGCGGGTCGCGACAAGGACCCGCGCGAGGGTATCATCGACATCCGCGAGTTCGACGTGCCCTACTACTTGCGAGTCGCAATGGACAACGAGATCCGTGTGGGTCTGTGGTATGCAGTGACGTTCACGGCGGGACAGCCAGCATTCAATCAGCTCGTGGAGCGTGTCAAGCGTGCGGACCCAATCGTGATGGCGTACGATATCGAGACGACGAAGGCACCGCTCAAGTTCCCCGACCAGCAGATCGACCAAGTCATGATGATTTCGTACATGATCGACGGCCAGGGATTCCTGATCACGAATCGTGAGATCGTCAGCGAAGACATCGAGGATTTCGAGTACACGCCGAAGGAGGGGTACGAAGGTCCTTTCACGGTGTTCAACGAAGCGGACGAGGTACATAGACCTACTCGCCGTATGAGCTTCTCCAAGCTGATATCTTCGATAGGCAGCAACCATTCAAAGGTTCTTCTCGCATATCCAAGACGTGAAGCCTACTGTCATGGCGACGTTCAACGGAGACTTCTTCGACTTTCCCTTCCTCTGCGCCCGTGCCAAGATTCATGGCATCGACTTGTTCCTCGAGACGGGCTTCGCCAAGGATTCCGAAGATGAGTTCAAGAGCCGCGGTTGTGTCCATATGGACTGCTTCCGATGGGTGAAGCGCGACTCGTACTTGCCCCAGGGTAGTCAAGGTTTGAAGGCTGTGACGACAGCGAAGCTGGGTTACGACCCTATCGAGCTGGACCCCGAGCTGATGACGCCGTGGGTGTTTACACTCCCTCTGTATCGTGTAGTAAATAACGACTTCGCACCAGGTATGCGATGGAGCAGCCCCAGACCCTTGCTCAATACTCCGTCTCCGATGCGGTGGCGACGTACTATCTGTACATGAAATACGTGCACCCCTTCATCTTCTCGCTATGCAACATCATCCCCTTGTGTCCGGACGAAGTTCTAAGGAAGGGAACCGGGACACTGTGCGAGACCTTGCTAATGGTAGGTGTGCTCGCCATGGTGTTCCACCTGGTTCTGACGATATCCTTAGGTCGAAGCCTTCCGCGGGAAGATTATCATGCCAAACAGACACGAAGAGGAGCACGGGAGCATGTATGAAGGACACCTGCTCGCATCTGAGACCTACGTCGGGGGACACGTGGAAGCCCTTGAAGCTGGTGTTTTCCGCAGCGACATCGAAACGGATTTCAACATCGAGCCTCCAGCAGTCCAAAAGGTATGGCGTTCAGCTCTTGGCGTAAATTTGTCTCTCATTGTTTGGTAACAGCTTATTGACGAGCTCGACGCTGCTCTAATATTCTGTATCGTCGACGAATCGAAGGCGTCCCTCGAAGATATCACGAACTACGGTGAAGTCAAAGGCCAGATTCAGGCCGCACTCGAGGAAATGCGTGATAGCCCCATACGGGAGGACAAGCCGCTGATCTACCATCTCGACGTTGCAGCCATGTACCCGAACATCATGTTGTCAAATCGTCTCCAGCCCGATTCAGTGGTAGACGAGGCCGTATGTGCCGTCTGCGACTTCAACAGACCCGGAAAGACGTGCGATCGGCGGATGACGTGGGCGTGGCGTGGCGAGTTCTTCCCTGCCCGCCGAGACGAGTTCAACATGATCAAGCACGCGTTGAACCAGGAGACGTTCCCTCCCAAAAAGCCTGGCGCTCCTCAGCGCAAATTCGTCGATCTTACTCCGGCGGAGCAGACGGCCCTTCTTCACAAGCGTCTTGGCGACTACTCGCGCAAGGTGTACAAGAAGATCAAGGACACTAGGGTCGAGAACCGAGAGGCTATCATATGCCAGCGCGAAAACCCCTTCTACATCGACACCGTACGTCGCTTCCGTGATCGTCGCTACGAGTACAAAGGGTTGCACAAAACGTGGAAGAAGAACCTCGACGCCGTCCTGGTGGAGCAGCGGTCGATCGCTGAAGTCGACGAGGCCAAGAAGATGATCGTTCTCTATGATTCCCTTCAGCTTGCCCACAAGTGTATTCTCAACTCGTTCTATGGATACGTCATGCGCAAGGGTGCTCGTTGGCACTCTATGGAGATGGCGGGCATCACTTGCCTGACGGGCGCGACTATCATCCAGATGGCCCGGCAGCTTGTAGAGCAGATCGGCCGCCCCCTCGAACTCGACACTGACGGTATCTGGTGTATGCTTCCCGGCATCTTCCCAGAGAACTTCCAGTTCAAGCTGGCGAACGGCAAGACGCTAGGCATCTCGTACCCATGCACGATGCTCAACCATCTCGTCCACGCCCAATTCACGAACCATCAGTACCACGACCTCGACCCCGTAACGGGAGAGTACAATGTTCACAGCGAGAACTCTATCTTCTTCGAGCTCGACGGTCCCTACAGGGCTATGATCCTGCCGTCCTCGAAGGAGGAAGATAAGTTGCTGAAGAAGCGTTACGCCGTCTTCAATGACGACGGATCTCTCGCTGAACTGAAGGGCTTCGAAGTGAAGCGTCGCGGGGAGCTGCAGCTTATCAAGATCTTCCAATCGCAGATCTTCGAGCGATTCCTGCTCGGGGAGACGACTGCAGACTGCTATGCTGCTGTCGCACAAGTCGCCGATCGCTGGCTGGACGTTCTGTTCAGCAAGGCCGAGAACCTTCCGGATGAAGAGCTGGTCGAGCTCATCGCTGAGAACAGGAGCATGTCGAAGACCTTGGTGGAGTATGCGGGGCAGAAGTCGACGTCTATCAGTACAGCGAAGCGTCTAGCTGAATTTTTGGGAGACCAAATGGTTAAGGACAAAGGCCTCGCTTGCAAGTTCATCATCTCCTCGCGTCCCCAAGGCGCGCCAGTCACCGAGAGAGCTGTTCCTATCGCAATCTTCTCTGCCGAAGACAGCGTCAAGCAGACTTACCTTCGCAAGTGGCTGAAGGACAACAGCCTCACCAACTTCGACATTCGATCGATACTGGACTGGGAGTACTATATCGAGCGCCTCGGGTCCGTCATCCAGAAGCTCATCACTATCCCGGCAGCTATGCAGAAGGTCAACAATCCAGTCCCTCGTATCAAACACCCTGACTGGTTGCATCGACGTGTGGTGGCGAAGACGGACAAGTTAAAACAGCGCAAGGTCACTCAATTCTTCATCACGAAGCCTGACGATGCACCACCCGACGATATTGAAGATGCCGGGACTAAGGCGGTTGTCGTCAGCGGCCGACAGCGACTAACAGTCGTGACTCGGAAGCCACCCCCGCGGGAAGAGAGCCCGGAGCTCATCGAGGAAACACGAGACCTGCCTCACCCGTCAGTAGATTACCGCGGGTTCATCGCACGCTTGGGTGTCACCTGGAGACGTCGGGCCAGAGGGGAGGGTGACACCTCTGTACCAAAAATGTTCTCGGGCGTCCAGCCCAAGACGCGAATCAACTCTAAATGGGACATCGTCCAGTTCCGCCCAACGAGGGTTCCCGGTCGGTTCACTATGTGGCTTTCGGTTGGCGGGGACCTTTTCTCTATCCCTCTTCGAATTCCGCGCGAATTCTACATCCATTTACGCAACCCGGCAAAGGCGGGTCAGTTCAGCAAGGACATGTACGCATGCGACAAGGTCGTCCGCGGATTGCCGAGGGATAAGCCATGTGCGAACCTGTACAAGATATCTGTGCGCGAGGAGACGTACATCGATGGTCAGGAGCACTTCATCGACCTGACGAATGATCCGAATGTGGATGGCGTCTTTGAGATGCAGGTTAGTTCTTGATCTTGCGGCTATGGTCGACTACAATGAGTTTTCTAATCAACTGTCTCTAGTTGCCTCTTGACATGCGGGCCTTGCTCAGGTTGGGGAAGACATGCATGACCAATGTTCTCGGCATGGCACTCAACAAGGCGGAAACGGTCGGCTTCGACCTGGGGCAACTCGACCGGATCATCACAACCTCGACCAAGCACAAGTATTTGAACGAAGGGAGGGACGGGAAGTTCATCTTCCTGTACCACGCCTGCTCAAGCAGCGCGCCGATACATGTCTTCGCCCTTTTCACTCCAGGCCAAGCACGGTTGCATATCGTTGATCCCGCTACTCGACGGCAGCCGATACCGCGACTTGCTGAGGTCTACCGCGACCAGTACAGCAAACGACAGCAGACGATCGGATCCAGCGTTGCCTACTCGTATCAAGATTCATGCGAGTTCACCAACACATATCACGGTACGGACGTAGCCGCCCTGAAGGCTGTCTCCCGCGAACTAGGCTTGATGGAGAACCAGTCTTACACCGTCGTCATCTCTTCTAGCAAGGAGCAAACGTACTTCGACGCATATGTTCCGAAACTGGTCAAGTTCCCGGTCTGTCGATGCCGAAGACGAAGGTCGCGCACACCCTGGATGTGTTCCCGTGGCAGACAAACGTCGCGCAGAAGATGGTGAACCGATATCTCTCTTTGGGCAACTGGCTTGCTCGCGTAATCGCGCTCGCCAACTACTATGACGTGCCTGTCGGCCACATCGACGGTGACCAACCCCTGCTGCTGGCGGACGTCGATTCGCCCGCAGGCTGATGGAGCACGACTTCGTTCTGTGGTGGTCGCCCGGGAACCGACCGGATCTCGGGGGAAGCGAGGAGGACGCCCGGCCTACGGAGGAGCTGCCGAAGACGGAGTTCATGTCTCCCGGCTGCTACTCCAACGTCTGCCTGGAAATCACAGTGCGCAACTTGGCCGTCAACTCCGTGCTGCACTCCATGATGGTGAACGAACTCGAAGGAGCAGGAGGCGCGACGGCCTTCGACTCGTCGCACACCCTGGATGAGTACTCTGGCGCAGATACACAGCGCGACTTGACCCTCGGAGACTCGAACGTTTCTCCGCAGATGTTCTCGATCCTCAAGAACATGGTGAAAACTTGGCTCCTGGACAAGATCCAAGGCAACTTCGAGAGCCCGGCGACGATCGCGATTGACCACTTCTGGCGATGGATCAGCTCGAAGTCCTCCTGCATGTACGACCCAAGCCTTCATCGGTTCATCCACGGCCTGATGCGCAAGACGTTCATTCAAATGCTTGCCGAGTTCAAGCGCCTGGGCTCGCACGTCGTGTACGCCGACTTGGGCCGGATCCTGCTTGTCACGTCCAAGCCGCCCGGCACCGCGCACGCCTACGCTACATACATCACGACCGCCGTGACCTCGCATGAGTTGTTCCAACACGTCTACCTACGAACGGAGCGCTTCTATGACTTCCTGCTGTTCATGGACCAGGCGAACCTCGGCGGCGTCGTATGCGAGGACCCGCTCGCGATCGACCCTCCTGAGGAAATCTGCATCGAGATGCGTTGGAACATCGAGACCTTCCTACCCCCTGTTATTCAGCGCGACTTCCGGAACGTCGTACGCTTCTTCCTGGTGGAGCTCTTCCGGACATGCCAGAAGCTCAGGGAACGAACAGGGTACCTCTGCGGGTCCTGCCTAATGGCGCGCCGGATGCCACTCAGCGCGACGTGGCGAAGACGCAGGAAGTCGAAGCGAGCCGCGAATTCATCTCCCGTAGGCTGACGCGCAAGCTCCTCAAGGCCGTCGGCAGCATCCAGGACCGGTATCGGGAAGCTGTGATGGACGAGGATGCTCTGGCACAATGGGAATTCCCGGTGTTGCCTGGGTCGCACTTGAACATGACCAACCCGATCCTTGAGTTCGTGAAGTTCTCTTGCGCAGTGTACGCGCTTGCGAAGGAGTACCAGATGAGGTCGACCTCCTGAAGCGTAACCTCCTCGACCTCGTCGGTGTCCGGGAGTTCGCGAGCGAGGCTGCCTTCCACAGCCCATGCGAGCCCCTTATCCTGTCGAACGTGCCTTGCCGACACTGTGATGCCCTCCGAGACTTTGACTTCTGCCGAGACCCAGAGCTCCTTCCAAACAACCTCGAGGTGAATGCGCGGTGGCTCTGCGGTAATTGCGGTGGCGAGTACGATCGTACGATGATTGAGTTCGCCCTGATGGACATCGTATGGGATCTCGAACGACGGTTCTCCCAGCAAGACCTCCGATGCGGGAAGTGCAAGCATATACGATCCGACAACTTATCGCGCCACTGTGGATGCTCCGGAAGTTACCAGCTGACGACGAACAAAGCTGATGTGCGTCGGAAGCTGCGGACTATCGTCAATGTATCGATCGCCCATAATTTGAATCGTTTGAAGGTCTGTCTGGCAGCAATGTGCGTTTTCCGGTCGCTAATCACCGCTTCACAGGAATGCTCGCAAACTGTACTCACGCACTGGTAGCCGGATTCTACGTACTACATTTTACCCCATTGTCGTCGCTGTCGTCTTGCATCGCATTCTGTATTGTACTAGATCTGTAGCATTAGACACCACATCTCCACGTCGACAATTCATTCATGCCCGTACACTTACACCGGACCACGAAACTGGCCATGCATGACCCTACGACGTGCCCTCTGCCGTCTGTGTAAAATGTTGGGTATGAGACTTTCTACTTAGTGGTTATTGAAAGTGTCCTATGAACACGACTCCTCCCCTATATCCGCGCGCGGTGCCGCGTCAGGAGGAGGAGGAGGGTATTCACCAGGTCCTAGACTGGGTTCGACGCGCCTGTGGCTGAAAGATCGGGCCGCGATCTCGGTGGTGCCGCCTGTCTGCACGTCGACTCGGGTGACATTGTCTTGCATTCACCCCAGCTTTGTGTTGCAGATTCAGCCTGGCCCTCTCACCTATCCGGAACCTGATTGACCTGTCTGTCGCCCTATATGGCGCAATGTCTGCGGAAGAGCGACCTCTGTAGCAGTGCATACATCATTCAAGTCACCACCGAATCTGCCATGCCGTGGCAACGAATCCCGACAATCCCTATCGCGCAACTCTGAACCATGGCGCGGAAATTCGGACTTTCCTTGCTCATACAGGGAGACCCAGGATGAGTGGTCAATGCAGAGCAGTCTCGTCTAACAATTGAATGGCGCTTCGTGTCTCAGTACAATGCATGAGCTCGATAGCGACGTGGCGGCTCACTTTGACACAGTGACTCGTACGTGCCATGCATTGTTCTTAATCCTGCTTCCTTCTTTTCTTGTGATGGCCCATTGGACCCGTCTGCGCTTGCCAGAAGGTTGCCTCAGGGTATAAATACCCCTTCGCGTCGTGTTCCCTGCGTCGAAATCAGCTCTCACCGCCCCGTTTCTTCTGGGCATGCCATCCTATCTGCTCCTCTGCCACTCGGCGCGATACTCTCCTCTCTCTACAGCGATGTGGTGTTTTCTGTACTCGTTACTATTCCTTCTAACCAACATTCGCGTCAAAGCGCTCGTCTGTGGCGTTGACTTCGACGAAGGATGGCAAACAGTACTTCAGGGTAAGTCTTTGCTATCTATTGACCTTTAGACTGACTGGCAGTGTCGTCGTTTCAGTGGCTAGCCTACCGGCCAGCGCACTACGCAGCACTGTTCGACCGAAGGCAGGCGCTTCAAGTCCTTAAGCGTCGCAGCGGGCATTCACCAATCCTGCACCAGCCGTGTACGCCGTACGTTCCACTGGGAATCTCATGTGGAAATCAGAGAAGTGTCGTGGAGTATCGCCTACTCGGGCTTCCACTGGTCATCAGCAGTGCTCCGCCGGCGGTCCCCGGGCAGGGACTTGTTCATCGACAGCCCAGTCCGGACGGCCTCGCACCTCAGTCGCCTACAAGTGTGTGCCAGTTCAACTTCGTTTGTTTGGACTCCTTGACGCTCGACTGGCGTAGAGCTCACCTCGGACGGCTGAGGCATCGGTGACAACGGCCCGCCGACATCTGTACCCGGGCGCGGAGAGTCTGTCTGCGAAAACGAGGCCGAGGCGTCATTGAGAGCCTAGTATGAAGACCGCGATGCAAACTCCGGGATTCGCGGCCCCTTAGGATGATGAGGAGACGTTCGAGCCCGCAGTCATCGTTGCTGTTCATGCGGTCAAAAGTACCGACACACGGAGGCGCGTCGAGGAACGTAAGTGTCGTATGACGAAGCTTGGGAACACGGATGTTAACCTCGCTTCACCGCAGGCGGACTGGCCTTCGCGAAAAACGCAGAGCGAGGCGATAGCACGCGGACAACCACTCTAGCGACGGCTCTGCCACAGCGTCGTCCCCCTCCCCCGAGTCAACCTGGGTCGGTGCCCATATCTGTACAGGACTTCACCACCGTTAAATGCCTCGTTCGGAAAACGCTACCGCTTTCCTTCGACGTCAGAAGGTTACACGTCGATCATCAGACCGCTCAAGAGCAAGCTTCCGAAGCACTCGAGCACTGTTCGCGGGGCCGACGACACCTGCTTCTCAGCAACCACCGATGATATCTCGGCACATATGCAGCTCGTCCAGGACGCGCCCCCGTTTCCCTGCGCCATTGAAGGGTGCACTGCATTAATCACTCCGACGAGGGAGGGGCCTGAGGAGCACTCGGGCACTGTTCGCTGGGTCGATGGCGACTCATACATCCTCGACAATCCCGACCCTCGATTCTGCCCATGGCCGGAATGCAGGATTCATTTGAGAAGACGAACAGACGCGACTGCGTCATATCCTGGAGTACCACGGGTCCTTCGCGACGTACCGTTGCCTAGTCTGCCACCGGGAGGTATCATGGGTGAACCGCAGCATGAGGAGGCATGTGGCTGACTGCCTCAGGAAGTGAGTGAATTGACGAGATTTTCGCGATACAGATGCTGATTCATGTTCACCGTAGACAGGCAGGGAAAACCCCAGTACGTCGACCTACTTACGGCACGTCAGCCCGGATCCCAGAGCCCACGTTTCCGCAGTGCGTCTTCGCGATGCCCACAGGACGCATCAATGAGATGCGCCACTGACACGCATCACGACGTCGACCATAGGATATCCAGTCATAGCATCCGGCACGGGGACAGCGCGAAGTGCGGCATGAGAAAGCATGTAAACGGCTTTCTCACGAAGTGAGTGAAGTGACGAGATATCCGCGACGCCGATGCTCACTCGTCTACGTGTGTCACAATAGGGAAAGGTCCATTCAGTATTCCTAGTAAGCTTCACAACACATCGACGAGGCGGCTCGGCCAACCTGACTGGAGCCTAACAGCTTCCCGCAAACTTCCTTTCCAACCCTGCTGCCGCCTCCGGCCCCCCTACCTGGTAGCCGTCTATCAGCTCGTCGTACCCCGTAGCCGTGACGGGCACGACAATGGTCGTTCGGATGACCTAGACGATTTTGACAAAATAGAGGGTATTACTTCGGTCCCCACCCCTACGGAAGATGACCTCGACACTTATAAGTACACAGCTTGCGTTGGTCTCAACATTGATCGCTCCCTTCGTGGCCACAGAACCCTATACCGCCTGCCCCTCGACCCTTTGTGCCTATGGCTTCCGCGACTGGAGATCACGGCCACACGCTCTGTGCCTATCCAGTAAGCTCAGCGACGCTTTGACCGAGGGCCGAGCTGACGGGATTCAGCAGCTTCAACGCGCAAAACACCCTCCCAGTCCTGCAGCAGCGCCCGGTCGTCCCGCCCACCGCCCTGCAACCTACCTTCACCTTCTCGTACCCCATACCCGGCAGAGTCACGGCCACCAACGTAGGGCACGCGCACCACTTCCCTCCGTAAGTCTTAGCGAAACTTCACCAAGTGGCCCACCTAATCGGGTCTCAACAGCTACTATGGTCAGCGCCCTGCCATGCATCAGCCGTTATGCCCTATTCGGTCCCGCAGGTTATGGTGATCCACCGGCTCCTGTGGCCGCGGGGCCTTCCACCATGACCACCACAACCTCAGTGGCCCGCCCTTCAAGGGGGAGACGTATCGAATCTCCGGCCTCCAGGCCCGAGTCTGTGGCCATGCCTACGACGAACCCCGCGACATCCGACGACATTGAACCGTATATGTAGCGACTCGGGATCCCGCCCACATTGTGTGTGGCGTAGTTCGCTGTACACGGTCAATCGTAAATACGAAGCAAGGCTACGACGTCACCTCCAAGTGACTCACTCACGCCCCGACGGCAGCAGTATTTTGGACAGCGCGGAGGTCCGCTATTGTCCGTGGGAGTGCTGTGGTCGGATTGATTTGCGGGGAGAACCATGGGAGGCCTAGTCTGCTATGCGACGAAGTACAGACAATGAGGGAGAGGAGCATGGTGGCACACGTGAAATTATGTCGGAAGCAGTGAGTGTGAGGCATCCCAACGTCTACGATTTGTACTAATCCGAGCTGTACCACAGACAGGCCAAAAATGGAGCTAAGCCTCACGCAGAGATGTCAACGCCGGACGATTCGGATCACAACGAACGCCCCGACTCGGAACCCTCCAGCAGCTCAACCACCTCTCCGGTCACAGCGCCTGCTGTGTCCTGTGACGCTCATACAGGCTCCTTCGGGCTGCAGCCACCATCGAGATGCGGGCGTATGACCTCTGACAGCCAGGTGGGGCTGAGCCAGGGCGGGGGGATGGACGACCTCAACCGAGGCTCCAACGGTGCCATGCACGTATGTGATCGTCGGGTTCGCACAGGATAGGACCGAAGTTGAAAATACGACCGACTCGGAGGACGGAGAAAATTCAGTGGCAGTCAAGACGGGAACTCCTGTTCTGGCGGCCTCGTGGCCACTGTCCAGGACACCGTAGGCGTCGACGAGCAACACTATATCACGGCGGGCGCACCCACGATGCGGACTCCTGACCCACCGCTGTTCAGCCTTCCCGCCCCGGGCCCTGACGTGCTCGAGGAGTTCTTGAGTAATCTTTTCCCGGAGGGTATTTGCGTAGCCTGGGCCTCCTGTTGACGTTGCGTCTGCATCGTTGTCTGGCTCTTCCCTCTGTGGCGAAACAATCAACGACGACACAGGGATCCGCAGAAGACACGTACGAAGCCTCGCTGACGGTTTCCCGCAGGCCGCCTCCGCGCGAGAGCACAACTTGCATATACCACCTATCCCGCTTGGATGGTATCTTCTTCGTCAACGGGCCCTCCGCCTCCGAGGGCGCCCACTTGCTCGATGGTGCCGTGGAGACTGAACGAGCCCCTCGCCTGTTAAACGTTTGCGTGCTCTTTGTTCGGCACGGGCGCCTATCTTTCTTGGGTTTGTTGACGATTCAGAACCAGTGCAGAACAACTAACTGGTCGCTAACATTGTACGTGTTAGGGTATTACAGAACCCATCAAGTCCCGCCTCAGCGAAGGCGACTGCGACATGGTTCCTCAGGTTGAGTTGTCTGGCTCGCTACTAGGAGGCTAGTACCACAGTCGTGACCGCCTGTCGTCTCCGATCAACCTTCAGACTGCGGCGAGACGGACTCAAAGCTAGGCAGTGGACGTCACACTCGGGAAATAGTGCCTCGGACGGGCTACTTATTGTTGACGTTACTTCCTGACTTGGAGTCGACGTAGATCCCGCCCAACTTGGCTTGGCTGCGCCGCCTGAATCTTCCCTCGTATGTCCACAGTGGGTTATGCGGTACAGATTGAGCGAGGTTGGATGCATCAGTGCTCCTTCAAGCTTCAAGTTCCACTTACTTCGCTACGCATGCCGTGCTCGTGGGGCGCAGCTTCTGACTTGCGGGGATTCCCTTGAACACGATTAATAGCCAGCGATCTACGCGTCTCGCGTGATCGACAGCCATAGATTTTGGGACGGAAACGTTCGATACTATGCCCACCTCCTATATCCAGTCAGAACCTTGTCTGTGCCTGCGTGCATTCCTGTCACCGTTCGACTTTTGTCGCTGCTCATTGTAAGTGGTGGTCGGTTCCAGAGAGTTGTCAGCCAGAGAAGTTTATCAACACGTCTAGACCACATCGATTATGATGAGCACTGTCTGCTAAGACGCGGTCGAGTCTGCGTGACAGGGACTCGGGAGTACTAGTACTTACCGCGAGTCTGCCGTCCCGTGTTCACGACAGCCTGAGGAGAAAGAGGGCACGGCGAAACGCAGTCAGATATATGCATACATGCGGGACGCAGCAACGAGTTGAGAGCCTGAGAGTCTTACCAGATGTAACGCGAGTCGCGCGACGCGCTGTGAGACTATTGCGCGCGACCAACGTGATCGTGTTTCGTGGCTGTAAATCGGGTCAGCCCGGAGAGCCTACGGACCAGCCAGCCTCTTGCTGACGGTGACTGTCGACCGACGTCCACTGGCAATGATCCTCGACGAGCGTTCTCATACTTTCCAGCTGATGCTACGCCATGATCGGTACTGCGACGGAGGACACTTTATGCTGAAAACACTGGGATGGGCCGCCTCGCAGGTAAACGGGCAAGTACTTTTAAGTACACAACCGCGGTCCTAGTCAAAACGAGTCTGTCAGACGGCTGCAGGGCCATGCGCGGCCTGACCCCAAGGTCATGAAGACCAATGCCGAGAAAACCATCGTTTATGGTAACGTTACCGTCTAGTAAAACACGGTAAGCAACGCTCCGGCCTGCAGGCTTCTACGAGACCGTCCGGCGCATTTTTCCCCTGACCCGTGTTGAGAGAATGCTTCAGTCTGTCGAGGTATCAATCGGAGTGGGACTTAACCTGCATCCGTGTCTCCACGACTTACTGAAACACTACTCTATGTCCTGATCGCGCACGCGACCTTCCGTGCGTTGAGTCGATCCTTAAAATTGCCCCTGACTTGCCGTTGGTTGACTTATCCCACAAGGGCGCTGAGCGTCAGACTCGGATGGGCAAGCTATGCGAGGTCCCTCCGAGTCTCTGATATACTATCCTTGCCAGCGAGACAGGGACAATCATTGCCCCGGAGGTCTGTACGTTTTAGGTGACCTACCGCAACACGAGAACAAACATCTTGCTTCTGTATGTCAGAACGTGACTGTCGATAGCGGAATAGCTGCGACAGTCTCGTGTCAAGGCCTTACCCGTCCTTCTCTTATATATTTTCAATATCGTACACGATCCACGAATTGTCATTTGAGGGTGATTGACATTGCCCGGATGATGCCTGGTGTGCATTACGATATACAGGTATCGTCGTGAGTGAAGATACTGACAGATTTTATTTCGCAGAGGATGCACTCATGTCTTCGTCTGAGTACTCTCGCACATCGATGTACTCCACTCAAAATTCATCTGTCGTACGTGACGGCGAGGCGGCAAGGGACGGTGTGTTAGACGTGACAACCGTCCGACGGAACTGGACTAATCATCTGTGCAGTTAGCAGCAACTGTCACGCTACGAATATCTGCTATGTTCGTCGAATAAAAGCAACGAGCACCTGGTGCCAATGTAAGTAGACGTTTTCTCAACTGTGTTGTTTGTGTTCACAATAATTGACACTTTAGGATGCCTGTCAGTGTCCGTCCGAGTCACACACGCTCTCAACTTGCGGATTGAACCACTCAAATGCAGCTTCTACTGGACACAAAAGTACGCTTTTGCCGTGTAACAGGCATGTAGCTATTTGAAACATCTGCAATGGTTCAAGATCGTCGGGTTTCTTAGAGCGGATGGGAGCGTCTTTGCGCGAGGCTGAAGGGGGAAGCGATGTAACACGGTCACGTGGTACGTGGCCTCGGGACGCGTTCTCTTTGTGCTTTTCAGACCCCGCCGCGCAGTGGCGAAGGTGGCGCGTCCTTAATAGGCTGGCCACGCTTGTAACTGTTCTCATCCACATACCCCCACCTCCTACCCCCTTCAACTACACATCGGACCCCCACAAAGCCAACCATTACCTCTCTGTTCACTCTACAACTCGTAACATGAACCCGACATATGTTCCTAACACTGCTACCAACTCTTATGGGTAAGTCTTTTGTACGCTTTGTTGAGCTCGGAGTCGCAGACTTGACGTCGACAACCATTCCAGTGCCCTTCAGCACCAACAACCACTGGAGGTTCCACCACCGCCGACCACCCCCCAAGTGCCACTGTTCCCCCGACTCCCCCTGCAGGCGGCCGGCTTCCACACCCCATCTTTCCACGCGATCACATCGTGGCCCTCCACAGCGGTACCAACCGTATCCTCCTCGCCCTGTGGCCTCGACGCCACCCTCGGCTCCGCAGCTCTTTGTGTCTCCGGCGCCTATGGACTGGGCGCCTACGTCGATCCCAGCGAGAGAACGTGAGTGGCGTTCCGCTTTCTCCCAAGGGCAGAACTGACTGGACCTCGACAGCTCCTGGAACGTACGCGAACCCATATTGCCATGGGCTCCGGCACCAGTGGCAGCACCGACGCCCATGCGGGCGTCGACCTCTGCAGCCGGTCGGGCCACGGCTGCGTCCCCGTTCTACAGTCGGTAAGTCTTCGCAACTTCAATAAGGTTTGAGTGGTTGCAGCCTAACCAAGGACCACTAGGGCTCATGGGGAGATCAACGCGTCTGCGAGTCCGTGGGCGCTCAGTCCCGTGCAGCTCCCGCAGCTTTACCCTGCGCCTCCCGTGGCCCTCCAAGCGGGGTTTCATGCTCCTGTGGCCGCCAACGCACGTCCCGTGGCCACCTCTCTGCCGGCTACGCAGCTAGCCACCCAGGAGCGCCCCGCCAAACGCAGGCGTTTGAACTTCGCGGGCAACGCGAGCGCGGGTCCATCGAACGGTGCAGCGTCCGCCGCCTCGACGCCGGGCCCGAGCGCCGCGGTCTCCGAAGAGGAGACCCAACGGAACATGGTGCTCGTCGGGCCCACGGCGACGACTTTCACCTGCAACATTGGCGTATGCAGAGCCCAGGTGGCCCCAACAAACGAGGCGCTCCGGGAGCACCTTGAGGCGGTCCATCCGGACCCCTGCGGAAACATCCTGGACCGCAGTGGGCCCGGTTTCTGCCCGTGGAACGGGTGCGGGGGCATCCAGATCAGGTCCGCAAAGGAGCGGAATAAGAGCGGGGCGCGGACGATGAAGATTCGACATATCCTGGGGCTGCACGGGGCCCTGCGAGCCGACTATCGCTGTCTCGTGTGCGGCAAGGAGAGTCGGTTGGAAACAAAAAAGGGCATGGAGAAGCACGTGAGGGCGTGCCTCAAAAAGTGAGTGTCGCTCGGTACGATTTGGTAGTGACACGGATGCTGATCTCATTGTTTTTCTGCAACGTCGCCAGATCACGCCGGGTAGCGCATACGGCCGGCGCTGACAACACTCGCTTCACAGCGACCACTGCCGCCACGACCCCCGCAGAGCTTCTCGAGTCGGATGATATGAACACACCAGGTTTGACAACTGGTGTATCGACCGATGACAGCTACAGTCCAGTGTCACCGCAAGACGTCGCCACGATTCGGATCCCGCGCAAGAGGGCACGCAGTCCAGCCGTAGCCCCGACGGCTGCTGGCGTCAACGGATACCACGGGGACTTCATCTCCTACCCGCCCACTGGCGCAAGGACGGATTACACACCGTTCGAAGGCGACGCTGCGCCTGCAGTCAGTGAAGACCCGCCGGCAGCCTGGCAGCTTCAGGCTGCCTACGGGGTCCCCGACTACGCGCCCTTCCCCGACACCAGCCCCGCGTCGCCCGTCGTCCAACCCGCTGCCCAGGATATCGCCTCCATCACTCATCCATTCCCGAGCTTGCCCGCGAACGACGCGGTACTGTCGTTCGACGAGGATTTCCCGCCCCCGCCGGACGTCGACCCCGCGGAGGTCACCGCCGCGTTCGACGCGTACATCCGCGAGCAGGCGGGCCTTGACGGCGTCTTCCCACAGGACGGCCGCGACCTCCGAGTCGGCGGCGCCGGGTTCGCTGGGTCGTCCAGCCCCTCGTACATTGACAGCTGCGATTCCGCGTGGACAGCGGCCGACTTCGAGGCGCTCGTGCTGCCGACGACTCAGAGCGCGCGGGCCCTCGAGGCGGAGAAGGAGGAGCATGTCGTGCCAGTGCCTGACGATGCGGCCAGCCCTGACTCGGAGGACGAGCCGGAGCTCTCGGTCGCGGATGCCGCTGCGCTCTTTTTTAAGGAGCTTTGGGGGCAGGACGCACCGACGCTGCCTGAATTTGAGCCCTGGGACGCGGTCGTGCGATGCCAGTTGGGGTTGTGATGACGCCTGGTTCGGATCCCCTGCGTGAGTCGACAAGGCGGCTGCGGTGGTCTCCTGTGGTGTTTTGGATCTCCCTGGTGCGCTTGATCTGCGCGCGTGTATCTTTTTATTTGTTATTTGTGTTCGCTTTCGTGCTGGTTTGTGTTCGTTTTCGTGCTTATTCCTGCTCGCTCTCGTGCTTACCTGCGGCGTCTACTCCGCACTGTTGTTCAGCATTGCTATTCTCTCGCGCCGTCTGCGCACTTATACCCTTGCTCCACGATACCCTCACGCTCTTGATACCCGCATTCTAGATACCCACGCCTTCTTGATACCCTCACACTTGATACCCCTCTACTCGACTGCATTACACCCTGCCATCCCGTTGTTGTACTTGTTGCACTTCCTCTGTTACTCGCTGTAGCTCCTTTGTATCTCACCAGCGCTGATGTCGTCCGTCATAATCTACTCTTACTGTAGCCCTCGCGCTTTCGCTTGTTGTACCGTCTCCGACTCGGATTGTTGTAGTAGTTGTCTCATACTCACTGTAGCCGATTTCGATCCTGTCCTCCTCTGATATTTGACGTGATGCCGATGCGCCGTGTAGTGATGATGGTATACCTCTGGCTGAGAGGTTGAGACGTGAGACAGCTTGAAGCTTATAGCTTGGTGAGGAGGAGGAGGAGGAGGAGGAGGATCAAGCGCCGATGAGCTTCTACAGGACTTGCCTTATGCGGACGCGTGTTGTGGCTGATCCACGCCACGGACTCGGATGTGAGCGTGAGCGTTCGCCTTTTGGGCCGATCCTCCTGGTCGACTGGGTTCAAGAAGCAGCACATCTCCATCCTTGGCTACCGGCTTTCGATCTCCCCGCAGTGTCACTGTCAGAAATGATCAGCTACTTTCTGATATCGTCGACCTTCAAGTTGGGATCTGTCATGTCCTACCGCCACGGTCAACCACCGTGACTGAAGGCTTCCTGAGGACTTTCTAAAGCCTACTCGCATCATCACACATCGGAGTGGCCCGGAGAGCTGCCAGTGCGGACGCGGCCACTCTGTCAGCTCAAATGTCCGCTTTTCGCGCATCCGTAGTGTGATGACCTGGATCGAGCGGGGTCCTCTTCGAGCTGGACCGTCGTGCGCTCGATGACCCAGATGCAGTATGTAACCGTGTGTAAGTCCGAGACATCGGTCGTGCACGCGCCTAGCCTCACACTGTTCATCATTCAGTAGACATGCGGTATGTGCAGGGCTGATGGTGGGGATGCTACTCGGCTTTAGAGCTGCCCAAGAAGCGTGCAGCTGGCGTTTGGCTGACGTTGGTATTTATCCCTTTTTCAATATTCGGGACGCCGTTTGATGTTGATGGGACCTCCCTAGTGAGTTGGAATTTACCGCTCACCCGGGTCCTCATTCGTATACGGAGGTGTGCCGACACCCGCCTTCCTCAGCTGCAGGTGTGTAAGTCATCCTCTATTCGTCTGCGGCACTCTGAGATTCACGTATGCGTAGGCTCTAGGCTGCGTCGACGTGAAGCTTCGTGCCCTTCATCTGCGCCATTTCTGCGGGCCCCGCCTCGAGAGCTGGCTACAACAGATTCCGTGCCGCTTCTGGAACGCCGTCGCCCAAGCGCCATTGTTTCGGCGAGGACGGAGATCAGTGTTCGAATTTCCATTGCCGTTGACTCTGACATGTAGACCGCTCGCCCTCATCCGTCCACCAGAATGGCAGCGTACTTTCCGTCTATCTCATCTCGTCCATGGTGTGCAGATGCGCCGCAATCACCGAAGAGAAGCGGGTGGATTTTCCTCGCCGCCAGCCAGCCATAGCGAGACCAGGGCCAGGAGGCGGCGCCAGGCAGGTCCCCGTCGTTTTTTGCTGAATTCGCTTCCGATTTGACTTGGCCGACTGCTTCGATTTGGGATGCCAGCAGCGTCGACGCCCGCGAGCGCCAGGCACGTCAACTGTTGGGCCTCCATTGGCCGGCGCTGGCCTTGGTGACGTGCCGTCATCTAGCACGACCCGAACAGGCAGGACCCTTACCTGATACGGAAGCTGTGTACGAACGAGAGCCGCCTTTTCTCGGCACATCCTGAGCGATCGCAGAAGCAGCCCTGCGTTCTCGACGTTTCCGAGCTCCCGCCGCCGCACAGGCTCTGGATATAAAGAGCAGGGGCGCGTCGAGTCGGCCGCATCCCTCCTTCCTCTCCTCCATCCCCTCCTCGTGTCCTCGACACAGTCAGTCCTTACTCTCGCGGACTCCCCACACCGGTCTAGCCAAGTCCAAGATGCGCATCCTCTCCGCGTTCCTCCTCTTCCTCGGCACGGGCATCACAGCCTTCGCCCACCCGCGCAACGCCCCGCCGCCGCCGAGGCCCCTCCCGGGCGCCCGCGCGCTCAAGCAGGCCCATGTCCTGCGTTCGTCCGAGGACACCTGCGGGCACCTCACTGGCTCCGCACTTCAGCTCGCTGCCGTTGATCTCGCCCTCGAGCTTACTGCGGACGTGCTCGGCATTCTGCTCGGCCTCGACATCTGTCTGTGTCTCTCGCTTCTCCCGCTCGAGCTCGACGTCGGTCTCGGCTTGGACGCGCTCGTGCCGCTCCTGGGTCTCGGAGACCTGAATCTCCTTCTCGAGGCTGCGGTGAGTGCTCGCGAGAGATGATTGCTCGAGAACATGTGATTGGACAGCGCTATTGATGCTGATTTACGTGCACAGATCAACATCGGTCCGATTGACGGCACGCACTGCACGCACTGACCTACCGCCATACGCACGGCGCTCCCACCTGCGGCTCGAGCATCTCTGCGGATGGAACTGCAAGCCGCCATATGTCAAGCAGGGCGACCAGTGCGTGTGCCCCGCACCTGGAAGGAATGCAACGGTGTCTGCGGCTCTTCCCGAAGGTATGCGCGCATATAGTCAACCAAAGGCAGAACCTCACTTGTTCGTCAGGGTGCGGTTCGTCAACTCCCTGGAAGCGTGATGCTATCGGAAACCGCCCTCGAGTGACACCGGCGTCGCCCGGACGCTCGCTGCTGCACAGGCGACGTGCGGTAGAGATGAGATCGTGAGTCTAAGAATACGTCCACATACTGGGAAGGCTCATTGCTCGACAGGTATGTGGCGTCTATGGCGGATCGCCCCTCGGGTTTGAGTGTCTCAACGTGAACAAGACACTTGAGAGCTGTAAGAGTCGTCTTTTCTGATAATCCTTGCTGATATTGACTGGGTTCATTCAGGCGGTGGATGCACGGTTCCGAACCCGTTCCTGTCCGTTACCGGTGGTGCCGCTGTCTCCGCGCCTGGCGTAGGCATAGCGAAAGCTACTGGCGTAGACTGCTCGTCCATCTCCGGCGTCGCCGGGGTCTCGTGTGTTGCGGGACGGTGCGCCGTGAGCAGTTGCGGCGCGGGCTGGGTCGTGAACAGCAGTGGAGACGGTTGCGTCCACGTGAGCGCTCTTGCGGTACAGCAGAAGCGTTCTGAGGGTTTACTCATCGACCTGGTGGCGGATGTGGTGGCGGATGTGCAACTCTGAAGAAAGGGGATATGGGGAACAAAACTCTCCATGAAGGGGAACCTGGATAATTCTTACTACTGTCGTTCGCTGTCGTTCATTGTCAGTCGCGCTCTTTACCGTGTCGTCTTCGTTTGGGTTCGCTTTCGCGGTTGTACGCGCTTGATACTCTCTGGGCTACCTTACCTCCACCTTTGATTTTTTGTTCTCTGGGACGTCGTTGTCGTCCTCGCCGTCGGTTATAGCATATACTGTCGCTGTAGAACGCTTTGGTTGTTTGTTTGTCGGAGGTTTTAATGTTGGGCGTTGGGATGTTGTGGACAAGGACAAGCGTTGTCGTGTACAGGACGCTTGTCGTAGGGTTATATGATGGAGATTGAATGGGTACGATGATAGCTACGTATTGGGCGTCGCTCGGATTCTGGACGTGATGAATGAGAGGTGCCTTTTGGAGCCGCATGAGTGGTATACACATGTGCGTCGAACTCGATGCGACGAGGCGTATGTACATGCACTGACTCTATTCATCCGGTTGGCCGGTCTTCGGTGAGAGAACGCACACATGTACGTCAAGGTACTATTACTTAGTAGGGGACCCTGCGGCCCCAGAGCAAAGCGGCGGTAGCGAAGCCGACCCCGCCCCCCGTCCCTCAGGCGCGAGTGCATGCGTGCGTGCATCCGGGTCCTTGTCCTGCGTGTCGGTCCCTGTCTCGGTCCCTGTCTCAGTTCCGTATGCGGGCCTGTGGTGTGGTGTGGTGTGGTCGTAGTAGCTCGGGATGTCGAGACATGGGAAGCTCGGTGTTGGGGATGGGGATGGGGATGGGGTCTTGGACGGACGTGGGGTGCTGGACGTGGGGAGTTCTGGGGCCGAGTCGTCTGGGAGGGTGGACGACGGGGCGGAGGGTGGCTGGGGTGACGGGCGGATGACGGAGGGAGGCGAAGGCGCGACGAAGGGTGGATGCGGCGGGGGCGCGGCGGAGATGGGGGACGAGGACCGGCCCTGTCCGGGTCGCTGTCCGGGCGAGGGGCCCGCTGGGCCTGGGACGGGCGCGGGAGACTTGGGCGGTCGGCGACGCTGGGTGGCTTTTGGATTCGGAGGGCCGTTCTTTGCGGACTCGGACTCGGACTCGGACTCGGACTCGGAGGAGTGTGGAGTGTGAGGACTATATGGATATGAGTCGGTTCGAGGGCTCTCTTTCGCGATCGATGAGGCCGTGTTCAAGTTCGGAGCGGACGGTCGGCCATTCGGGGAGGGTGGGGTGTGCTCTTGGGCGTAGGTTGACTTCCGCTGCAGTGTAGGCGCGGAGATTGCGAACGGGGCAGGTCGGTCGTAGCCTGAGAGAGGTGAATGTGTACCGTGGTCGATGTAGAGGAGATGATGCTGTTTGCAGTGAAAGCGGGAAGCGTACGTAAGGCAGGCTGCTGCTTGATTGGGGAAGTGCGCACGAGTAGATGCCACTACGACGCGGCCTCGACGGGCTCATAGCATATCGCAAATGCAGCTCAGTTTCTGCAGAAGGATGTAGAATCCGGATTGCTGACACGCACCGTACGATCCTAGGAGGCGGAGAGGCCCCAAGTCGCAGACAGAAGCAAGTTGAAGCTACCTAGTTATAGCGAGCCTGATTATCAGTGGTGTACATACCGGTACTGCAGTACACAGGGGGCGGAGAGAGCGAGGATTTAGGCGGTTAGCAATCATACATATCATGTCGCTCGGTATCGGCTAGGCATGGCATGCTAGCTCGAGGGACTCGGAGACGGGTTGGGATGGGGACGAAGCCTGTTCAGCGGGGCAGCAAAATGTTTGCAGTCAAAACGGGTCTGAGCAGAAACATCAGTGAGTCCTCTGCACAGAAGAGGGTGTCGTTCAGCAGTTTGAATCTCGTCGCTCGTGTCGGACACACGGACACAAGTGGCAGAGGAGCGCAGCCACAACCGCGTTGAACACGTGCCTCCGGAAGCGCGTCGTGGCGGTTTGCCTTGAACCGTCTCTCATTCCGTTCTCGCCTTGCCACCCTCGCACTCAATACGCAAGATTCCCAGCGATGAAGTACGAAAGACGTTGCGCAATGTGAGACGCATATCAGTAAAATCCATATCGAAGGGCGGCGTGTGGTACGTGGCAACGACAGTCAACCTCGTACAGTCGTGTTCGGCCTAGCTTACCGCGCATATAGTAGTACTATGCCTGGAGAACGTCTCCGTTGCGAGCAAGGCCCAATCGCGAGTTTGAACCATCTCGGGCGCGCCACGTTACGCGGGTATACGGTAGCTCACCCATCCTGTGTGAAGTTCTCAATGGGGCGCCGGCGGACAGAAACGCATCATGCTTACAGGCGGTGCTACGATGTTACTGCACCAACCGGGCCACCTGATTCATCGCGCGCCGTCGGTGTCTTTCGCTCACCGGGCAAGTAGAACACATCGTGCTGCGTAGCCCTCGTACTGGACACGCGATGGATGGTTCCTCCTCGCTTCGCAGCATGTTGTTACTAACACGGCTATGCACGTATGCAGGTGCCATGTTGAGATCACCTCTCCGATGGGGGCGTATGTTCACATATTCGTGTGGCGTCTCCAGCAATCGCCAAGGGTCGAGCGTATACGCCGCACCGGCCGCTAGATGACGACCTAGGACACCACTCAATGTCGATATGCAGCGCGAAGGAAGCGGGAGGAAGGGACCAGCTGCAGCGGACGAGCGGCGCGATTTCGCCGACCGATTAGGAGGCAATGGTGATCTTTCGTGGTAGTACGGGAATGTCGGGAAAGAGGTCGGCGCTGAGGAACGGGCGAGTCGCGGCGGCACGGCCTCCTAGTGCCTAGTCCAATGACTGAAGAGTTAAACTACCCGGGCGACGTCCTTGCGCTAAGCATCCTTGCCTCAAATCTGCTGAAATCGTTGTCTTACAGATCGTCGAAAGCGTTCCGTCTACCGCGGTGTTGCTAACGATGTATTTTGGCGGTGCGCCATTCTACACGCGGTAGACCAATGCCCCTCTATATATTAGCCTGACACTCAACACTACAACAGGTTTCATGCACTGTATGCGTGGCAAATACGTGCTCAGCGACCAGAACTGAGACTACCCCTGGTCTTGCTGCATCTCCCGACGAATGTCAAAGTACCAGGCAGGAAGCCTTTGTTGTCCGACCACGACGTCTGACGCTCGACGAAGACTGCTGTGAGTCGTCTTCGAATTCGATTGGACGATACGCCGCAGCGACAGCTGCCTTGGCCAGGCTGTCGTGTGTCTTAGCTTCTGTCTAGTCGGCGCCACACGTGCGATTACTCGCCCAATCGGAACCGCCGGTCATGGCGCACAGCACGGTTTGAACCACACGACAGCTGTCCTGCGGCCAGATCGCGCGCCGGCAACGCAGCATCGATGGATATGTACGCCGTGCTCTTACCGACTCTTGGTCATCCATTGTTGACTGCAGTCGGCGTTCAGATGATTTCAGTGACATGCTGGTGCGCAGGAGCATCTTCGGTACACCCGTCATTCGCGGTGCAAACTACGACCTGTCGGTGTACAATGGGCGGGGTCCGATTCTTGACGCTGAACCACCGTGACGGCGCTTGGAAGGTAAGGTTCTTGATGTCGAAGCCATCCCCGTCTATCCGCGCACCGTCGAGCTCGTTCCCAGCCCGCGCTCGTTCTTACGACTGCGTGCCGTGCAGTAACCGAGCTTCGTGCTTGTCTTTCGTAGCAGCGTCCGGAATGCGTTCGCGCACAGACTGTGTTGCGTTGGTGGAACGCACGACTGGCCGCCGCTCGCGCGGCAATGCTGTCGGTCAGTTCATGTGTATTTGACAGGCGGCATCATTGGGGTCTCGCCGCGTGCAGTCAGGTGTCCGGACACTTGGAAATTCCGCTCGTCTGCTGACGCTATTGACAGGCAAACACCACCACACAAGATCCTCGTATATATGAGCGACTGGGTTAGTCGGATTGCGCTTCCCGAACCCTCACTCGTCGCGCTACTCCACCGGCAACGATGACGAACACTCCAGACCCGGGAACCATAGTAGCAGCATGCCAGATATTGAGAAGGTAGGCCCAGCCATTGTTGATCACCGAAAGATGTATTAAGCAACATGCAGAACAAAACAGCACCTCGAGGAAGATCCACAGCTTTCTCATCTAAGCATGGATTTCCAAGTCAACTGTGAGTAATGTACACAAGTACTCTGGTTGATTCTGAGGACTTCAATAGTCTGGACCATCACATTGAGCATGTTATCTATTGCTTCTCCTGCCCTGGCACCATTTGTTGCAGGCCAACTTGTCTCAGATATTGAGTTCTTCACCTCAAGAGCTATTGCTTGGCTAAAGCAGAGCCCAATTGCTTCAATATGGGCACAATGTAGTTCTTGTCTGGTCTATGCTTCTGGAATAGGTCAGACAGACAATGCCAGAGCTCACTCAGTGTGTGGTGCTGCCTATTGTAGCATTGGGGAGTTTGAGATGACCAGGGATATTCAAACCCTCAATAAAGGCATCAGGCTCTACACAGATGCCATTGTCCTGTTTGGTCAAACTGAGGTTCCTGCTGCATGTCACATGAGTTTAGGACATGGATACCATCTCAGATACAAGGAGTCAAATGAAAGGTCTGACCTTGAAAAGTCTTGTTTTTTCAAGCAGCAGGGAGTGAATTCTACTCCCATAGATGATGGAAGTAGGCCAGCTGTTCTGGCAAGCTTGGCTACTTCTTACCAGTCCTGTTTTGACAACTCAAAGACTTTATCAGACATAGACAAAGTCATTGCTTCACTCAAAAAGGCCATTGAGATATCCTCACAGGAATTTGGCTATCTGACCAACCTTGGTGGTGCATATTGTCAGTGTTATTTGACCAGTCACATGCTTCCTGACCTCCAAGATGCAATTGAGTCATTAGAAAAAGGCATCTCAATTGCTCCCAAAGGGTATATTCATCTCTATGCTTTGTGGAAAACCCTTGCTGAGGCATATCAAGAACTGTTTGAGAGTACTCACAATCAAATGCATGGGCTGGAAGTTATCAAAGCCTGTCAGAAGGCACTCTCTGTGAAGTATCCAGACAGGTTTGGATGCTTGACAGACATTGTTCTTGCCTCAATGGTGGATGCTACACCACAGCACAAATGGTTAAATATCAATGAACTTGTGAATGCACTTCAAGGAACTTTGGACATCACAACTCTGTATGATGTTCACCTTTGGTTTCTGAGTAAAATATTCTTGAAACTCTACAACCTTGAGGGAGATTTAGCATATATTGTGATGGCTATCCCAGTGTTCAAGAAATTGGTTGAGCTCTGCACATCATCAACTCTTAGAGTAGACATTATTGTCAACCTAGCATATGCCTATCAGGCTCAGTTCCTTCAGTTACATGCACTCTCAGACATTGAAGAGGCTATCACCTTGCTGTTGGAAGCCTCAGAATCTACATATGACAGATATCACAGCTTGCACAATTTAGGAAATGCTTACAGTGCCCGCTATCGCCTTCTAAGGGAGCAACCAGATATTGAACATGCTATCCTTGCCCTTCGGGAAGCTGCTGATCTAATACCAGCCAGTCATCTAGATAGGCCACTTTACTTGGATAATCTGGGTGCTGCATACATGACTCAGTTTGAGCATGATAAAAAGAAACATATCATAGACCAAGCAATATCCACTAAAGAGAAGGCATTACAGATCCCCTTCATCACTGAGCCAAGAAGATATGATGTGCTCTGCTCTCTTGGAGGTGCATACAGTGTCAGATTTAAGACATTCCAGGATCCTTCTGATATATCTAAGGCTATCACATTGCAAGAAACTGTGATTGATCACTTTCCAGATATAAATATGTGGAAGCCTGGTTGGCTTAACAATCTGGGCCAGTCCTATTATCTGAGATTCAGACTCAATAACCACCCATCAGACCTGGTCCAGGCACTAAGAAGGGTTGAGCAAGCAGTCCAATTGACACCTAGGGACCATGCACACTTGGCACATAGGCTCATGGCTCTGGGTATTCTGACCCTGAATTTACCATCTCCTGCTTCAGGTACAACAGTGCAAAAGTCTATCCAATGTTTCAGAGAAGCAACATACTGTCATACAGCAGCACCAAGTATAAGGGTGCAGTCTGCTCTTTGCTGGGCTCAATGTGCTTTTCTACAAGGAGAAGAATTATATCCTGAGGTTGTCCAGGCATTCACAGTGATGTTCAGCCTTTTACCTAGTGCTGTATGGCTAGGACAGACCATTCAAGGACAATATGCTCAACTTACACAATATAGCTTGGATGATGTGGCTGGTACTGCTGCAATGGTTGCCATTGTCATGAGAAATCTTACTCAAGCAGTTGAATGGATTGAACAGGGAAGATCAATTGTGTGGAACAGGCTATTACAGCTGAGATCTCCTTTAGATGATTTATTCAAGGCAGATGAGTATCTGGCAAATGAGCTCAAGATGGTTGCTAGGCAAATGGAACATGTGAGTCTCACAAGGAATCAATACATGGTGTCCAAGTGAGAGATATTCAAGTTGAGAAAGCAGCTCAATCTCACAGGAAGTTAGCTGCAAAGTGGGACTCACTCTTGCAGCATGCACAAGAATTGCCTGGCTTCAAACATTTCCTAAAGCCAATGCCCTTCACTGGATTGTTGGATGTGGCCAAGCAGTGCCCACTGATCATGCTCTCTATGATGATTAGTGACCATGCATCTGTATGTGATGCTCTGGTGCTCATGCCTGATAACAAAGATGTCAAGCATGTATCTCTCACAGCAATGACATGGGGCATCATAGATAACCTCTGCATATCCATGAGTAATGTAGCTAACACCCATGCTGCCCAAGGGTCAGCAGATGCAACTGTAGATCAGAGGCTTGCATCTCTGAAGCCTGTTAGAAATTGTCAGAATCAATCATTCCATGATATTCTCAAGGTCCTCTGGACTCATGTTGTGTTACCAATCCTGCAAGCACTTGCTGTTTCAGTAAGTACTACTGTCACTCACTGTTATATAGTGATGGTTGACTGATCACTTGCACTTCCACAGATTTCACCACAGAGCCAATTGCCACATTTTTGGTGGTGTGTTAGTGGCCCTCTTGCATTCCTTCCAATTCATGCTGCAGGAGACTACTCCCAAAGTGAACCAGGCCATAAGATATCTGACTATATCATTTCATCTTACACACCCACCCTGTCAGCATTGCTCATGGCTAGGCAGAAGAAGGTCAACAATAACCCACACCTATTGGGTATTTGCCAGGCTGAGAATGATAGGGCTCACAATCTTCCATATGTCAAAGAGGAATGGATGCACATCCAGCAATTGGCTCTAGACAGTGATGTGAGTTGCTCCAGCCTAGAGAATGCTGAAGCTTCTGTTGCCAATGTGCTCTCAAAGATTCCTACAGCCAACTGGGTGCATTTTGCTTGTCATGCCTCACAGGATACCCTAAGGCCCACTGACAGTGCATTCATCCTGAATGATAATGACTTGAGGCTTATCACATTGATGCAAGTGAAATTGCCAAATGCAGACTTTGCATTCCTATCAGCTTGCCAAACTGCTGCTGGGGACCCAAAGTTATCCAACCAAGCAGTGCACTTAGCTGCTGGGATGCTGTATGCTGGGTTCAGGAGTGTCATTGCCACTATGTGGTCCATAAATGACTGTGATGGTCCTGAGGTTGCCAAAGAGGTCTACTCTCACTTGCTAGCAACCAAGGACAGTACCCAGGCTGCATATGCTCTTCATCATGCTATGCAAAAACTGAGGATCAAGCCAGAGTACAACAACCTCAAGGATTCTTCATTCCTTGCTTGGGTTCCATTCATCCATCTTGGCTGTTGAGATGCACTAGTGTTCTTCATGTACAGATGAGTTGGTGTATCTGTTGTACAGTAGTTCCTGGCCCCTATGCCCTCTATCATGTATTGTTGTTGATCCTTGGTTTTTTTCTTGTGTACTACTACAGATAGCACTTCATTTGGCTGGTATGTACAAATGCCACATCTGTTGTACAGTAGCTGATGACACCTATGTACTCCACCTTGTCTGTTGTCCTTGTTCTTGTGTATAACACCTTGTTAGATTGTTTGGAATGATGAATCCTGTACAGAGCAGTTACCTTTTTGTGATTCCCCATGAGAAGCCATCACAAAACATATGCAGGGAGCATTGAACATTTCAACAGGTATGTCAGCACTGTTTCCGACATCATGGTATCAGAACATAATATCTCACTGGGCTCTTCGAGCTACGAATACCAAGGACACTGTAGCGGAGACAAGCTACTTTCTGCCAGAGCTTGGCGACCTGCACGAGAACTCACATGCACATACACGCACAGGATGTGAATAATAAGACTGACCTAGGCCTGGTCACATAACTACGAAGACGACACGAGTATTCCCTGGGTGACTCGACGCGGAAATGCTTGTCCACCACACGCATGCCCCTATTCGATCTCGTCCGGGCGTCCTAGCCTACCGCGGGTCATCTGTCAGTCCATCCAGAAGCTTGCTAGCAAAGCTCAAGACGGTCTGTTCACAGAAGAGTGTGAGACGACTCGCAAGCCAGTGGACGAGAGACGAGGACTGCTCGCGCTTCAACCCTATCCCGACCCGGACCCAGGACTCGATACAGCTGCAGCGTGACTTCAAATGCAGCCTTACCGTCCCGAGCGCGCGTCCTCAAAGCTCCCTCGGAGCCGAGGCCGGTCTTTATGGTCGTCAGGACGAGCTTCATAGTCGTCTCAAACGCATTCTTTGGCTTTGTCTAGAGACCGAGTCATCCTCGAACCTGAAGGCCATGTTGAATTCATATTCGAGACTGAATGCCTTCTTCAATGTCGTCTCGATGTGGACCTTGCGCGTCGCATCAAGTCCCCGCAGACTACTATGCAGTCGGCTCGAGGCGCGAGGCAATCCTCGGGGTCGCCTCGAGGCCGATCGTTTGAGTAGTCGAGGACCATCGTCTCGAGGCCAAGGGCTGTCTTCAGAGCCATCACGAGGACGGTCTTCTAGGTCGTTTTAAGCATCATGCAGAGGTTACCTCGCGGGCGACCCTCAGGATCGGTTCGATCGACTCACATACATCTTCGGAGTCGGCTCGAGTACCGTCCTCAGAGTCGTCAACTCGGCGAACCATCTTCAGCTCGTTTCAAGGGCGAAGGCCCAAGACCGCGCGCAATCTTCGGTGTCGTCTCGTCTCGAGGATCAGATCATCTTCAAAGTTGATCTGACGACGAAACTCCGAGTCATCTCGAGAGTCGTCTTCAGCGTTGTCTACAGGACCATCTCCGGAGTGGTTTTGAAGACCATCTTCCAATTCACCTCGACATCTTCCGAGTCGTCTCTAGAGAAACTTCAGGGTCGTCCCTAGGAGCATCTTCAGGGTCGTCTCGAGGACCGTCTTCAGCGCCATCACGAGGATGAACGGACGACGGCTCGACGAGTCTCGCACGGCGAGTCGCGTTCCTGCGCAGTGGAAGGCGGATGAGGGCTTCGGCATCTCGCGGGGCGAGTGTAGACCTCTGGCGTGACTGGTGGATGGTGATCGGTGACCGGTAGGTGGATGGTAGATGGGCGTGGTTGACAGATGGTGAGTGTAGTGTGAGAGGTAATGGACGGGCGTGGTCCGTGCTCGGCAGTCGGTGGCCGATGCTCGGTGGATCCGTAGCCAAGGGCCACGGAGGTCTGTCGTAAGTTAGCTGTGGGCTTGCAAGACGTTGCGACGAAGGAAGGACAAGAAGACGCGGCGGACGTGGGTGCGAAGAGTGTGGGTGCGGAGAGACGCGAGGAGATGGGGACGAAGGGAAGGAGCGACGCAACGTTCCGAAGGACGTCCTGTACATGGCGCCCAACATCGAAGAACGTTCGACCCTGGCTCCTGGTAGGATGCCGCTGCGGTAGTGCACAGTCCTGTGCACTACAACAGCGCCCGTGCTATTGGTGGGAAAACCGCACAACTCACCAGATGAGTCGATGAGCTAGTGTGAGACACAGCCGCCTCTGTGGCGCCAGCATTGAGACATCCATCCACCTGCGCTGAGACTCGAGAGCAGCGCATTCCTCTGGCCTAGGGGGGCAGTGAAGTCAGATTCGGTCAGATGAGCTGCGAGAATGAGACATCACCTCACTGTAACGCTCGCCGAGAGCCTTAACATACCAGTACCTAGCATAAGTACCGCATTGCGCGGTGAACCTGAATGCGACCATGCCGCCCCGCTTGACACGAACCAGCACATTCCCAAAGCGATGAAGGATTACAACCAAAGGATCATCGCCTCCAGACTGCGCGCGCGCGCCCAAGAATGAGCGATATCACAGAATCAGACAGCTTTGTATCGCGCACGTCCCGCACCGCCCTCGGGTACTCCTCGGATACAGTTCGTCGCGCACTTGAGTTCCGTCCAGTACGGTCGGTCGACACCAGTTCAGCCCGAGTCGGTTGATATGGCGATCCGGGCGCGCACGGCTCGCTGGGGAAGCTTTCGAAACAAGGCTGGTGATGCCTTCCCGACGCTTGAGGGCCTGTGGGATGCGTACTATTAGTGCATCGTGGTCGCCAGCCGTCGAGCAAAGGGCGCGTACCACCGATATGCAGTGTGCAATGAGTGCATTGCAGCCTGGTGGACTGGAGGAAAACAGCGGGAGGCGCAGCAGAGCGGAGGCTGCGCAGCGCCGTACGTACCGAGGAATTGATGGACTGCCAATTTTGGAGGAGCAGGAGGTGAGCCCGCCCGATCGGGTTTGCGGCCAGCGCCTGTGCGCCTCCTCCTGTTGAGCGCACCGCTTGCTGCACTGCCATGATCACCGCGCGACCACACGCGAGTCTATATAACATACCTCGTCATGCCTGCCAGCCATCTCGTGTTCCCCACCCGTTCTCCCTTTCTCCTTTCTCCCCTGACTGCACGTTTTCCTCGGGGCGCATTTCGCAAAGACTTTCTTCATTCCAGGTCATTGTACGCGCGCCCGACTTTACCCAGTTTCCGACTTTCTGCCTTTCGACGAGCCTGAGTGAAACGACCATCGAGTGACGCACGCACCTGAACTCGCCATGTCCCGCCACTTCTGCTGCTGCATTCCCGTCCGCGCGGGTGTCTTCCTCTTCTCCCTCCTCTCATTCCTCTCCGCGGGCTTCCTCGCTGCAATAGCCTGGTTTGGTGTTCACCGTACGTTCCTATCATTTGTGGCTTGTGGATATTCCACTCACCGCTCGCACAGTGATCCTCACGAAGGCGGATGGCTACACCAACGTCCCCAAGCGGACCGAGATCATCCTCATCGTCGTAGGCTCGATCTTCACGCTCATGGCCCTGACGTCCTTCTTCGGGTGAGTCTCCCTTCTCGCCTCGACTCCACCCTGCGTGCTGACGCGGCCGCACGCAGGTTCATCGGCTCCATCACGCGCAACCGGCGGTTCGTCAAGTCGTACTCCTTCATGTCCATCTTCCTCTTCATCGGCTCCCTCGTCTCCGCCGCCCTCTTCCTCTACACCCTCTACTCCGAGAAGAACATCACCACCTCCTGCATCGTCAACGAGAACGGCGCCGTCAAGATCGACGACTGCGACACGCACGTCAGCACAGCGGGCAAGATCGTCGCCACCGTCATCGTCGCCGTCGAGATCCTCGTCCACCTCTGTGAGTCTCCGTTTCTGTGCGAGTTGTGGGGGTTGCTGATGCAGGCGCAGATATCGTGGTGGTCATCCGGCGGTACGTCGAGCAGCTCGAGGACGAGTCCGACTTCTGGCAGGGCCCGTACAAGCTCACCTCGACCGACGTCAACCAGGGCCTCATGCAGTCCAAAGCGCCCTACCCGTACAGCGACGCCGCCCACTCCTATGGCCAGGCATGAGCGCGTCTCCTTCTACTCGCGCCCGTCGGCATGCGCCCTTCAGGCAGATGGACTTGAGGACTGCCGAACTGCGGGACGAGGTGCTGTGTGTTACGCACCTGCTGTACATACGCGAGCGCACCCATCTCGTCGTCACGCCCTGCCCCACGCTCTATTTATCTTACTCCTTGCTGTAGCGCTTACGTACCCTTTGGACTTTCGTACCGAATGCAAAACGCCTGGCACTCGTTCCCGATTGTGATTGCAACTGCGATTCCGTGTGGTAGCGCGTGAGGGTAAGTGACTGGAAGGTGAGAGTGCGGAGGAGACTGGTCGCGCTAGGGAAGCACTCTGCAATCGACGAAGTCGTCATTCGACAGATGCATTAGGCTGGTCTGCGCGCACCGCGTCCAATATTGGTGTGCATGGAAGGTGATTCGACGTCGTGAGCCATCTGCTACTAAGGTCGTTGTCAGCTGGATATGATGCCATGTAAGTTGCAGCATATACTCCATAGATGAGGTGTCTGAAGCCGTACATAGGATGAGTGATTTGCCCAGCGGCTCAAGACTCCACGTCGACGACGTGGTGGGCGCGAGATGCGACCCGAGGACATAAGGAACATTAACCGCGACAGATTGAGTAGTGGACGAAAGGCTTGGGATGAGGCTTGAGGCGGTTGACAAACCCAGCCCGATTGTCCGAGGGTGCGCAGGCAAATTTTTGCCGACTGAGTACTGGTACTGAGTACTGGAGACGCGAGCGACTCGTCGAGCGGGAAAGAGTCAATAGCGACAGGCGACTAGGCCCACTATAAGTACACACCGCGCGAGCGACGCGTCCTAGAAAGGAAAATGCATTAGGGAGACGGCGAATCAAGGTAGACGATCTGAACCGGAAGGTGACGCGTTGACATCAATGTGCAAGACAAGCGAACGTTTGACAGGGAGGAGCACCCGTGACGCGTGACGTCCGAACGTTGACTCCCCTTCCGGCCTTGAAAGCCTGACAGCTATTTGCATAACATCAAACACCTGTCGTCTGGTATACATACGGCCGGGGCTCGAATCGTACCAGGTTCTGGAAGAGCGAGCCAAATGTACGACTTCAGCGATGGCGCTCCGGCGAAATGACCTGGCCTTGGATGCCTGATAGCGAGTACCAGTATGTACAGGCTTTCAGAAAAGGAACGCGTGCCTATAAAGCTGCTGCGTTGATGTACACTCTATGAGCTAGCATACAGTACATGACTACGTAGAGACACGACGACTCGGGCCTGCAATGGGCGCGCCTACGCGTGCATAGAGTCTGCGCCACAGGCGCGTTCAGCTGACGTCACGCGTGTCGCTCCAGAGGCTGTCAAGAATAGAGTTGCTTCATGCTCCCGCTGCGTCATTCTCCACGCACCTGTACGCCTACAGTATAAAGCAGCGCTATGGCCAATATGCTCACCACCACTTCCTAACTACTTTGCGGCTTCACCACCTCGCATACATACCACTTTCACGACACTTCACGAACTCAAACCAGGACCCGAAACATGTCCCCGTCCGTAAACTCCCCAGCCCCGACCGCGAGCCGCGACGGCCGCGACGACGTCACCCAGAACAGCCAGAATAGCCAGAATAGCCAGAATGGCGAGAGCGAGTACCCCGAGCAGCTGCACGCCGGCGCAGTGGGGCTCGGCCCCGAATACGGGCGCGGCGTCGTAAGTTCTACACCCAGAACACTCCATGCGAACGCTAACACGACGCGCGGGAACACAGACCACCGGCGACAAGCTCGCAGGCTACAAAGACGAACTGAAGGGCAAGGTCCTCCGCAAGCCCGACGTCGCGCAGCACGGGCACGACCTGCGCACGGGCGAGCTCAAGCGGCGGGAGCAGGCGCAGGATGACGACGGCGTGCGTCCCAGTCCCCTCCGCCCCACACGCGCATTCGCATATACTCACGCTCCTATTGCAGGGTCAGTTCGGGGTGGCGAGCAAGCCAGACGCGGACGTGCAGAGCGGCGACGGAGGGCGCCCGGACCTCCCGAAGAGCAACAGCAACCAGCGGACTGCGCAGCCGCCCAGCGTCGGGGACACCGCGCACCCGACGGAGCGCGGGCGGTACGAGCAGGCATCGAGCGTCGCGCCCGAGGGCGAGGCGACGAGCACGCCGGGCGAGCATGCGTACAAGAACATAGGCTGAGGGCCCGCCGGCGGGCGTACTGGACTTGTGTTTGCATTGGATGCTGGATGGATGGAGGAACGCGCGCGTTTGTATGATACAATATTCAGTATTGTAAGAGGGTGCTAATCGGATTGAGCTTTGGTTCATAACATTGATCGTGGATTTGGAGGGCGATTGTGACCGACGCACCCCTTCTGCAAGTCGCGCATACAGTGACATTTTCTCGCAGATGTCGTATCGTTGGATTGAAAGGAATTCCATGACTGGTAATCTGTGCTTGAATGCACGGCCGACACTGCAGTATCGGCGCGGACAGAGATATCCACGTACCCTCGCCGACTCCTGCGGTGGTATGAATGGTCGCTTCGAAGCTTTCCAGATACAGTAGTGGATACGCCATTCAGCACTGAGTAGATCACCCCCTGCGGAGACCAAGCTTCAGTCGGACGAGCCTCGAGAAAGCATTGGCAGCAATCGACGAGTCGTCCTTGAACGGGGCGACGCCTGCCTCGAGTTCGGCATCTGTGTGAGGAGCAGGACGTCCCCTTCAAAGAAGCCGAGTCGACATGCATGCGCACATACGAAGAGCGTGAATTGTGAACCTTTCCGTAGGGATTCTGGGCACTGATAAAGCCAGAGCGGACGTCGACCATCGTCTGCGGCGCGAGGATTGCGACGACCTGTAGTCTGCGATGCAAATGCACAACCCAGCGTAGGAGGTAATGTAGGGCGTATGTACCAACGAGAGGACAAAAGTGCGAACGCCGACGGTATGTTTATGCTCTTCAAGCTAGGAGAGGCGGCGTCGGGATTCGAGAGGTCGACAAACGAGACAGGCCGATGTGTCAGGCCGACATCCACAGTGCGATTCGAGGATGAAACGCGCTGTAGACCTCTATGACGGTAAGGCATGTCGCCACACCGGATTGGCCCTCATACAGCCTAAACAGGTGTGCATTGTACTCGGGGTAGAGGTCGAGACACGAGACCAGGCGTGCGCCATCCGGTCGCGTTCGCTCGTTCGCATGGAGGGAATTCGAGGATGAGGCTAGCGCGTCGCACGCCATGAGGAAGGCTGTGGTGATGGTAAGCTCTACTGGCGTGTCTTGACGTCAACGGTTGCAAAGTAGATACAGCGGAAGTGTGGGGTGCCACGGGCCGGGCGGTCGTCTCGATGATAGCAAAGGCACGCGGGCCGGGTCCTACAACGAGGATAGTGCGTGGATGGGGAAGGCGATGGTCTCGGACGCCAATCTCGGTGCGTTGACCAGGTGGATTCTTGAGATTTTGCACGGATCACTTAGACACCGTTGCAGCAAGGCTTCGTGTCTCCGCTTCAGCCGGAGGCTACGGCGTGCTGATCGTGTAGGTCGGTCAGGGATACTATCCGTCCTAGAGGTGCGGTGTACCGAGTTTCCTCGTCGGATAGCTCGCCCTCTTCGTCCTGGAATTGTCTTGAGCATTGAGCAGACAGGCCAGTGATGTCATGTCTCTGTCTTTGAGAGACACCACGACAGCACGACTAGTACCGCTCAAGGTGTTTGCGTCAGAGGTGTGGATTTTCGAGTCGTGGCAAGGAAGGTGAGTTCTCGCACGTCGTGTGTCGCTCGCGGGCTTGCGCGGCATCCCAGTGTGCAGAGCCTACGTGCATATACGCGCGCAGAGGCACTGCACGTACGATGGTGTATACGCTGTCCCAGCGCGTCGTCATGTGTGCTGTCTTCGGCGGGCCAAAGCGAATTCCCTCATCTGCGCAGGTACAAATTCGATGAGTCACCCGATGAGAGGGCATGGGTGCAGCGAGAAACGCACATGCACGAAGTCCTGCACGCCACCTGTGAACCCATCTAAGGTAGTGAGCGAGGCGGGTGTCTCAGCATTATCCCGCGTAGGCAGCCACACGTTTGTTGATTTCCTACGAAAGCCGTGGACACCGGCGGTTGCGCGAAGCACAGGGCCCGTCCCGCCGATAGCCGAGCTCCGGTTCCTCCTGACCTGCGTGTGGCAGGAAGCCACTGCACATCTGTGCAATGGGATATATGGAGTCCAGATAGAGCTGTGAAAAGCGGATCGCGCCCAGAACTGGGTAGCCATACCTCCCGTCTTGGTACTGATACTGAGTCTGTCCGGGCACGAGCTGACCGTCAGCTGGCTTGTGAAAGAAGAAACGGAGCGAAGAACGCGCCTGCGTATATTCTGTTGGCGGAGTTACGTGTCGAACGCCATGGTCAGCTCGGCAGCATCGACGTCCGTCTGCGGAGGGGACTCCTCGTCAATAGACGATGCCGTCGCAGGTCGAGGTCTTTATACACAGCCGGCTGCCAGGCTGCCGGCGGGTCTTCACTGTCCTCAGTTGCAGCGTCGTCTTCGAATGGTGTGTACTCCTTCCTCGCGCCAGCGGGCGAGAAGCCGACGAAATACGCCAGGCATCCGTTGACGCTAGCAGCAGTCGAGGTTGAGGTATAACTGCGTGCGCTCTTGCGCTGGCTCCGAATCATAGCGACGCCTTGCGGTGAGACCGGACTGCCGCCGTCGTTGGTTGATGTGCCGGCTGTCAAGCCAAACGTGTTGATATCATCCGTCTCGAGAAGCTCTACGGGGGTCGCCGCGGCAGTAGTCTTACGCGCTGCCCGGCGTGACCTGGCGACGTTGCAACGAAATAGTAAGATTAGTCTCGTACCGAACCATGTCGTCCGGACACGCACTTTTTTAGGCATGCCCTCACATGCTTCTCCATGCCCCTTTTTGTTTCCAACCGACTCTCCTCGCTGCACACGAGACAGCGATAGTCGGCTCGCAGGGCCCCGTGCAGCCCCAGGATATGCCGAAGCTTCATCGTCCGCGCCCCGCTCTTATTCCGCTCCTTCGTAGACCTGATCTGGATGCCCCCGCACCCGTTCCACGGGCAGAAACCGGGCCCACTGCGGTCCAGGATGTTTCCGCAGGGGTCCGGATGGACCGCCTCAAGGTGCTCCCGGAGTGCCTCGTTCGTTGGGGCCACCTGGGCTCTGCATACGCCAATGTTACAGGTGAAGGTCTTCGCCATGGGCCCGACGAGCACCATGTTCCGTTGGATCTCCTCTTCGGGGACCGCGGCGCTCGGGCCCGGCGTCGAGGCGGCGGACGCTGCACTGTTCGATGGACCCGCGCCCGCGTCGCCCACAACGTTCAGACGCCTGCGTTTAGCGGGGCGCCCTCGGAGCTGGGGATACGTCGATCTCCCCGCGGGCCCTAGTGACCTTTGATTAGTAGGCTGTGGCTACCAAACTCAGGTGAAGTTTCGAAGACGTACTGGCTATAGAACAGATCCACAACGGTGGTCCGATGGGCCGCGGACGTCGACACTCTCATTGGCGGTGTCTGTTCTGCCATCGGTGCTGAGGCCCATGGCACCGTGGCTTCGCTTCCATTCCAGAAGCTGTTGAGATCCGGTCAGACCGGCCCCTGGGCGAAAGAACTAAGCAACTCACCGTTTTGTTGTCCAACTCCTTTACTTAGCCCTGCCAAGAGCCAAGCTTGGATGTATGCGTTGGTTAGAAGGAATGGTAACGTATACAGACTACGGCACAGTGCAGAAGAGGGAGCAGGACATTGCACCGAGTAGCGACTTGGGGGTAGATAGACCGACATGTCGGGCGGCACTAAGTGGCGAGGGTGGTTTCAATGTGGGCGAAGAGACGGAGGAAGGGGTTTTTATACCCTCAGGCAGCCTGCATGCAAGCGCAAGCGATCCTGTGGACAAAGTCAGGAGGACAATGCCGGTAGAATGGTCAAAGCAACCCATGAGGCATACGAATCGTTGTCCAGAGCAGGTTGTATTGTTATGCGCCGAGATGCCATGTATTGTGCTAAGCACGAGAGGCCGTTCAGTGGCTCTTTGTTCGACGAGACTACTCTCGTATCCGTCACCTCGCTGTCGTGCTCAAGGGCAGCCCAGAAGATATGATATCGCAACTGTTGCGCAATAGGATTGTTCGGGAACTGTCGCAGTAACGTCGTAGATTCGCATTAGCCTTGCAGTCGTCGTGGGCCGACTGGTGGTACACAGTAGTATAGCGTACGTGCGCCGCGCGACTCGGACCGCCGAGATGACATGCGTCACACACACATTGACACTGCATGCCCAATAGTGATGAAGTTCAAAATTAGCAAGAAGAGCAGGTATAGTCTGCAGCAGAATGGAACGGAAGACAACCTTGGACCAAGCGAGTCGCTGACGAGGAGGTCGAGGAGGCACAGACGCCCGCGCAGATCAGACTAAGATCTGGCGTAGATGAAAGATCGCTGCCCGATCCTTCAGAGCTTCAGCCACAGACGCGTCGTCCGAGTCTGGCGCGGCGCCGCCACAGACCCGGCGGGCCAGTGTGGATGGCATTGACGCCGCATTGTGTGATGAATGGCACTTGGACGCGTCGCAACCTGTAGTCGCTAGTGACGGTCATGAAGTAAAAGCGAAGCGGCGCGTGGTTAATTTTTTTGACTACTATGAATGCCAAAGAGCGATGGTATAGCGGTCATCCGGCTCGGACGTGGCAGGGCTTGCGAACACCTTCGATAGCGAAAGTGTAAGTAGCTAAGTTCAATGAAAGTAAGCTCACGTTATTGAAAATGCTGTCCCTGAGTCCAGCATGCTTCAAATCGGTCCGCATCAGCCTACAGGTCCTCAGTTGACGCTTGAAGGCGGTCGCAGTGTCGACTCTGCATTGAACTCAGTCATTGTGCATGTCGCAAATTCATCACAAACAAGGATCGAAGCAGATCAAATAGGATACATTTCGATCAGAGGCAATCTAGCATAGACTCGGAAAGCGTACAACATTGGTCAACATTTGCGCAGCAACGACGGCAAACAGAAAGCTACGCTAACAATGCGATGGTAATGATTTGGGTATATAAGATGGAGGGTATCGTAGAGCAAGGGTATCGGTGTGTATGAGAGAGTTACAGGAGGGCTGAATGTGTGACAATAATACAAAGACGATGACATGGCTAGCAAAAGGAAGCAGATGAAAAACGACCAGTGATACAACGCGAGATGAATAAATCGATAGCGGCAATGCCTTACCACCTCTGTCGAAAGCGTGGACACGGCCATTCCATGGAGTCAAAACACAATAACAGGGACCGTCGACGGTCCACTGGAAGGAGCCTCTGTCACGTCGGTGGCCGGAGGCTGCGGAAGGCCCATCCCGAGCAAGAAATCATCGAAGGACAACTCACTTCCTTCACTCCCGTCCCACCAGCTCGAGTCAACAGCAAGAGGTGCGTCAAACGCAAGGAGGTCGTCGAGGAAGTGCGCAATGGGGTCCGGGGCATCAATCGACTCTGAGTCCCATGGGACATCGCTCGGTGCGACGTTCTCCTTGTTCGCCTTGCTCGGAGCTGGAGGTTCAGTGGGAGCCGGCTCGGAGGCTACCGCTGCGTTGGCGACGTTGATGTCCGAGGAGCAAGACGGCTTATCCTGAGAGACGACATTGCCTTCACCGCAACGTTCCAGGATGGTATTGGCTGCGTTCTGTTCGAGCTGGAAGGAGTACGCCTCAAGAGCTACACGGAACTCGGCATCGTCGATGTCCGCGAATGGGTCGAACTGCTCGTCGAAGACGGCCGGGGCTGCAGCACCGTTACTTGCGGGTGAGCCCAGTGGTACAGGGAGAATAGTATTGTCGTCCTCAGCACCGGGGAATCCCGCAGGCGATGTCGAACGGGCGTTGAAAGTGTGCTCGTAGCCTGCCTGCGACTCGTTCTCGGGGTCTTCTGGCTCGGAGCTCGCGTCGTCTGGGAGGGCCGCATGCTCCCTCCTCGTACCGTCGGGCCCAAACTCGACAAAAACCCAGCAACATTGAGTGGACCGCGCAGGGTTGACTGCGTTTGCTGAGCCGACAATGTGGTCCTGCGAGTTCTCGTCGGGCAGTTGATCTGCGGCCGCATGCGGCGACGAAGACGGGCTGCCCCCATGGCCGGATGCCGTATTCTCGACGCGGTGATGCGCTGTCAGGATAGCATCATCATCGATGCATCCTGCTGTGGGCACCGCGAAGGAAGCGTTGCGGAACCGTAAACTCGGGGACCCGGGCTGTCGTGCCCTAGGGCGAGGCACTGGCTTCTTCCCTGTCAGTCTACGGTGAACACGGATTAGCATCTGTATCGCGAAAATATGAACGGTTCACTCACTTCTTAAGGCAGTCAGCCACATGCCTCCTCATGCTGCGGTTCGCCCACGAAACCTCCCGGCGGCAGACTAGGCAACGGTACGTCGCGAAGGACCCGTGGCGCTCCAGTATATGACGCAGGCGCGTCTGTTCGTCTGGCCGCGTCTCGGGATCTTTCAAATGGATCCTGCATTCCGGCCATGGGCAGAACCGAGGGTCGGGATTGTCGAGGATATGCGTGCCATTCCTGGCACAGTGAACGGTGTTCAGGTGTTCCTTGACACCCTCCATGGTTGCAGTGATTATGGTAGTGCATCTTCCAATCCCGCAGGGAAACGGATGCGCGTCCCGGATGACCTGCATATGTGCCGAGACATCGTCGGCGGGCTTGGTGGTCCCATATTGCGGTGAAGCGGGAGCCGGCCCAGAAGGGGTGGATAGCGCTGTCCCGTCAGGGACACTTGGCTGGGGTTGTACGCGCCTGCGCTTTGCTGGGCGTTGTCCAGACCTTGGGTCGACGACAGGTCGGCCGACAGGGACGGGAGGACCGACGGCCACAGACGTTGAAGGGCTCGTGGCCTGGGAAGCCACTCCACGGGGCATGGCAACTGGCGGCCACGACTGTGCGGTGAAGACTGGCGGTAATGAAGATGCGGGTGAATGGTGTGACCTGTTGTCCATCAGCCAGGCCCGTGATACCGTCAAGAGACCTCGAAAACGAAGACTTACTGGACATAATCAGGGCTTATTCTCCTGGACCCGCCAGCTACCGGAGTCGACGACTGTGTGGGCAGTGGCACCGCTCGGGGCATCGGCATCGCAGGCCACGGAGTGAACGGTTGGTTTCCGCTCCAGAAACTGTTCGATTCCAGTCAGGTCAGAAGATTCGTGACAAGCAATCATCAACTCACGGATCGGTGGCTGCTGCTCCGAAGGCTAGGGGCGGCGTGGGGACATGTGGGCGGGGATCGAACTGGCGATGCTGTGACGTCGGGAGGGCGCCGTATTGTCGTGCATCTGGAGGATAGGCTCTGAACGTGAAGGGAGCTGGAGGTACCAAGTGCTGCGCCGATGTGGGGTACATGGGGATAGGAGGGCGAGGGAGAAGCGGATGGTGCAAGCGTTGAGGGCCACTGCACGGTTGTGGTTCAAGTCAGGTCCGCCACTCGGTCAAAGCGTCACAAAGACTTACTATCCGTTGTAAGTGTCATTGGTCATGTCGGGGTTCATTGTTGCTTTGTATGAGGGGGCGACTTCGCAGTTCGGAGGGATAGTAAGTGGTGGTCGGAGAGTGAGGAACAGCCACGCGTACGGAGGGCTTATTAAGGGCGGGCCACCAGGGGACTGGGTCTGAATGTGGCGCGCGAAATCCAGCGCGTCCTGAGGCCACACGTCGCGTGACCGTGTCACATCGCGCGGGGGCCCTCTCGTCATTTCAATCCTCGCCACACTGAGGCTCCCGTCTGCTCTGGATATGAAGTTGCCTTGAGCGACCCCGAGCGTCAGCAATCAACTACACAGCCTCGATGCGTAGAGGTGTACGGTTGTATTCGATCCAAGCTGCCTTCGAGCGAGGTTTGTGGCTGACGCTCCTGATGATGGCCATTCTGACAACGGTGGTGAATGACATATGTCGCGCCAGAATAATAATGATTGACACCAAACCAGCAAGAGCGAAGAACAGTCTGCTCAACTTCTAAGTGATTAGACATTGTATCTGACGTTCACTCACGTTTACAGCGACCGGCCTGCATAGCGGCTCACATAGCCACCACAAAACAGCCACTCCAGTCGATCCCGCAGAGTGCCCTCTATGTGTCGTGCCACCTTGTACTTTCATTCGCGGCCTTCGATCCTGAGAGGAATTGGCTACGGTATCTTACTCAAACCGCGTAGCCGCAGAGGTCTTGCGATGGGCTGCTTGAATACGGGAGAACACGCAGATGTATACGTGAGTGACGTTCCTACAACACAGATCGGCTAGTGACCACTCACAGTACTATATGACACATATTTCGACACTGAGGTACTTAGACTATATGCGTTTATCCGAACTGTAATACTTCGAATCTGTAAGGAATCGGGGAGGTCAGGCATATACCAAGTTGGCGATGCATCGAAGAACCATTGATAATGTACGTTCGCGGGCAGCTCTCTGACATCGAGGCTCGCGTCTTGGTACACAGACCAAGTCTCGCATCTCGCATCTCGGTATGTCGCCTTCCAAACTTGCCCTGGATGATGGAAATGTCACGATCAATAATTGACCACGTTGAACTGTTCAACATACTGTGTGTGTCCGACAGCTACATTCGAGTACGCGTCATACTGGCACTGGGACAATGCTGTGGTCGACTGCTGCGATCGAGGTTATAGCAAATGGGGTGTTGTCATAAATGTCCTCGGGCTGCTCAGATCAGTACAGCTCTAAAGAGAGATCTCGACCGACTACTATGAACAACCTCTCCGCACGATTCGCTGGAGCGCTGCAAAATGCCGCGTCTGTTTGGAAAGCATTGTGATGTCACGCTTACCGAAGTTCATGGTGGGCTCGGAGGCGCGAACTATCTGTAGACTACGCTATGATTTTAGCGTAGTCCACCAGATAGACCGCGTTTCCCGCGACCGAGGATATAGGATGGCGTCAAGGACGCGATATCAGTGACGATCGCCGCCGAATGCGTCCAGGTGCAGACGTCTGCTCAGCCGAAGTCGCATTCGGACTGGGGCAGCCAGGAGCAGAGTAGCAGATGATCCCGACCATGTAGAACGACTGTGTCGATGTGTACGTTGCGCATTGCTCCATAGATCATCGCTGAAAGCACACCTAAATGAAAGGGATAAGGTACCAGTGGACAAACTTCTCTCCGGATACTTGGAGAACTTCCTTGACCTGCTCGTCCGTTCCTATTTCTGTCTCAGATGTTTGTGGCGACTTTGTAAGCTGTATTGCTCGGAGATTGTGATACGGGCTTACATCTTGTATTGTAAGATCTGCCTGTATGCGACCGGATAGCCAGAATCTAGCCACGAGCAAAATGATACTGTTGAATGATCGCGTCGAATTCAGTCTCACCATACTTGAATTCGGGTCTCTTTGCATACGCTCGAGTTCGATTCAGATCGGATAGGTGTAGCAGTGATGCACGAGAATGATACATGATGCTTCCTTGAACACCATTGCTGTGAGCGGAGACGCCAACTCTAGAGGTCCGTAAGTATTACAACAGTTGTACCATGAATGAGAGGTAGAGCCGTTAATAGACGCGTCCTTGAGATATCTCTTGTGACGCTCATGAAGAGGTCATGCTCGCTCGCGCCATCTCGAGGATACTGCTGCGTAATCAGTCGCCTAGAGGGACCGATCGCGAGTCAGACAAAATATGATGCCACTGCACAAAGAGGCAGGTACATACACTTCGTCGCCAAAATCGCATCTCCCTCGCGCCTCTCGGTCATGACTTGCCACCCAACCTCCAGGAGCCCGACGGTCCCCTCCGGCGTTCGTACCTATAAGCTTGTCAAAGGCCTGCTTTCCTCGGGACGAGACAGCTTGACGCGATTGTCTATCTCGAACCTGCTCGAGATCAACGACACGAGTGCCGGGCGGGCGCCGAGTGAGCTGAGTTAACAGCGCGGGATGAGGCGCAGAGTAGGGTAATACTATCCAAGGAGCCATGAAAAGCACGCTCATTATGTACGGGTAGGATGAGACGTACCGGCAGCATAAACCCAAACTAATAGATAAGGTGGTTGTCACGCCCGGGTCGTACGTCTGCACCTGCGATTCGGTCATGCGAGCTCAGCGATCCCATCCTAGTATATGCGTGCGGATACAATTCAGTTTTTTGAATCCAGCGAGAACGATGTACGTTGTCCTGACCTGTCGTCTTCAGGCACACCGTCAGCGAGCTTCGTCTCTTTGAGTGGATGCCCACCGTACCGTCCTAACATCGCATTCGCGCGATGTTTGAGCCTCGGCAGACAACAGTAATTTAGTGTCCTTCAAGGCCGATTTCTGGACGCGCGAGGTAAAATTCCGACCGAGATTGAGTGTGACTTCGAGGCGTTGCATTGCAGCTCACCGAGCCCCGTCGCGGGCGGCAGCCAAGCGGCGTCGGTCGACCGGCGCCTCCTCCTCGACACGGTGCACGTGGCTCTCGCCCTCCCGCCGAGGCGACTCAGAGTCACTGGCAGCCTGCCAGTGTACATCAATGTAAGTACGCACTCTCAGTCGCAACCTGAGATTTGCACACATCATCTGGGTCGGACGATCCGACGAAGGAACAGGCCACGGGAGCACAAGCATGCTCGACGGGGCGCTAGGCTAGGCTGATTTGCCGTCAGCGGCCGGTGCAACTTACGCCTCCGGATTGTAAGTATATCGCAGTCGGGCTCCGAGTCGGCTCACGCATACGATTCGGGCTGGAAAGATCTGCTCACTGATACTCTGCTCTCTGTTTGCCTGGAAGTAGGTACCAAACGGATGCGATGATAGCAAGTTAACGGTGTCCATTCCTTGAGAGGGGCGAGGATCTCTCATAAGAAACCTCAAAGTGACAGGACAGGGCAGTACGTGTTATTTCACTGACCAAGCGCAGTCCTCGACGTTATGTGCATATACTTTGATGACACCCGTGACTTTGGGTAGCCAAAGTCTCGGGTGACTCCCCGCGGACAGCTTGAGCCATCATCACGTTTCTCAGCTGAGGTCTCCTGCCGGTGGTACGTCTTGTCTCGCCTGTCTCGAGTTATCGTGGTCTCTATGACTTACAAACGTCTCCGACTGTTCTTTTCACTACAAGCTCCATCGTTGACTGCCAAATCACCGTCCAGCATCCGCCTCTTCAGCTCAAGTGCACGCTCGATAGTGGCGCCCTTCTTCCGGGCGTGCAGACATGAATACCAGGGAAGACGGGAGGGCTCGCCGCATGAGAGGCTATTGCCGAGAGACGGAAGGCATGTGAAAGCGGGAGGCTGCGTTGACTGAGAAATGGGATACGGAATCTCCTAATACAATCGAACTCCATATAGTGCTGACAGCTACTGTACAGCATGTCAGAAGCAGGACCGTCAGCTGGGGCGTATCACGAATGCTACCATTTCAAGAGTGACATACAGACTATTCTGCGGGTATCGGCTCGCGGACGCGGCGTCGTGGTATATGCAACTGTCATCGTGAACTATGTCCAGTACTGTGATATGATTTTGACCCCTTATCCCCTCTTGCTTGTCGCAATCTCCTGGACAAAACATCGTGTATTATATTAGTGCGTGAACACAGTCAAATCCGAAGCAGACGTATGGGAGGCAAATTCGTACGGAACGAAGTAATACACAAGAAGACACAGACATTGGACAGTAACTCATCATTCGTAGTCAGCTCCTGGCTATCCGGCGCACCAGCGTATCGTACAACACAGCGAGTAAGCCCGTATCACAATCTCGAAGTCCATAGCTTACGAAAGCATCCTAAATAGCCGTAACGAGAACAAGAGCATACGGGATACCAGCGAGGCGCATTTCACCAAACGTGTTCGTGTATATGGTCTCGTCAAACATCTGTTCGTCAGTCGTCCGTCCGGCGCTGCATCCCAAGGGTGAGCGTTAGCATTTAGCGATGGTCAATCCAGCAACACACGACGTACGCGTCAACGGCCGCCATCCTCCGCCCTCCGAATCAGCCGCTGCTTTAGCTCTGGCCGGCCGACTCGGATTGCGACTCGGGTTGCGCAGGTGCCAAGAGTGTCTCAGAACCAACTTCTCACCCTGAACCCCAGGTATCTCACTCCCCGTGCAACGTGACTCAAGGCCGTTCGAGCCGTACGCATCATATGAGCGATGTGAGGGGCCAGAATGTCCCCGAGCCAAGCGGCTAATGCACCCAATAAACCCCCGATAATAGCTCCAACGATAATAGCACACAAAATCCACGAGAGTGGAATACCGCCCATTGCTGCCGACTGAGCCTGCGCGAAGAGGCAGCCGGAAGGGACAGAGGCGCCCATCGCAGATTGTATAGCAGCCGCGGTAGAACCTGCAGACAACACTGAGGGTTAGTGTCTGTTCAGCACGATTTCAGCCACTGAGCACCGCACCTAGCAGCACGCCCGTCGCCGTAAAACCAATTGCTCCGAGAATGCCAGGGAGAGCGATTGGCAGGACTACGGCGCCTGCGGCGGCGCCGATGACGATGTATCGAACAGTGCGACTGAAGACGACATTGAGCCAACCAAGTCGACCGTACTGGGCGCCGCATACCTCTGCATATTGTGTAGGTATGTTCTTGTGCGATATGGCCACAGTGGAGTCAGGTGGGAGGAGGAGAGCGTATGAGGTCCTGCTACGCGGACAGTCAGCATTTTGTATACACTGCGGCGTCTTCCTCCCTGGCTTCGCAGACACTTCTTCACAGACACGTAAAGGAGGGCAGGTGTTTGAAGACCACGCCTTCTCCGCACACCTGCCACCAGTGCCCCACACGACACGACGAGTCATCCAATGGTAAGTAACTCGAGCTACCGCATTCGCGTGGAGCTCGAGCTCACTCGGATATACCTAATACAACTCAGAATCAGAGACAGGCGGCTCATGCATGCATCACAGGAGAAGTACGAATACTGACCGTCATAAATGTCCATTGATCACAACGGAACACGACGCTATTACGAGGCTGCGTTCTCAGAAGGTTCGCCAACGGGGGTCACGATGGAATGATATATCCATATACATTGAGAAGATAGAGCCTCTGAGCCATTTCAAAAAGTTCAGAACATCCGCAGTAGCGTGAGGGAGACACGACTTACCAAATGAATGTGAAGGTGGTCATAGCCGGGACGAAGGAAGGATTGGTGCGTGACGGAGCTCACCGGGCGCCGCTTCTGCTGCTGCTGATACAGTTCACAAGTACGTCTGCGAACCTCACTGTGAGGCCTCTATAGTCCAGACCTTCCGCCTTCAAGTCCGAGAGCCGCTCTTGCAGAAACGAGTGCCTCGGTGTTTATCGGAGTTCGCGCCAGGACCGGTCGCACTCAGACTGCGTCCGGAACTCCGACGAGTAGAAAGTATCTACATAAGTCATACGATTCATTAGGAACACCTTTTCTGCTAGTGACAACTATGGAAGCTCACCATGACTGCTCAGATGGCGTTCTTGCGATGAGAACGTGAGCAGAAACTCGGTACACTAGAAGCTACTCGAAGAATGGAGCCGGTGAGCTAAATGTTCGGATGCTTGGCACGAACCGTACCTCGATCCTCTGAACGAGTCTGTAGGTGGGTGGTTAGAAAGACTCCGGCTTAGTATGATGGACTCTTGGTTGTTCCGCTCGCGCTGACCCAGCGAACCTGTACGAGACTTCAACAAAGGGCGATGGAGCGGGCCCTGTAGCGGGCTCTGTAGCTAACGTACACGCGTGTTCAGATGGAATACACGTACCGCGATACAATAGGTTCGAGCCGTTACGTCCCACACGAGGCCTCAGGCTGAGAATGCTGGGTAGATTATCAAGTACTGCCATATGTGGGATAAGCCGACCGATCGTGAGGCCGACCTCGAGCATGGCCAATGGGTCGACCGTGACGCTATTTGAGGAGGTCGAGGCACTTAGCAGAAGCCAAGCGGCGTCGGTCGACCGGCGCCTCTCCTCGACACGGTGCACGTGGCTATATCGTCCTCCCGCGGCGACTGCCAGTGCCACTGTCTGCCAGGCTTCAGCGTCGTTCCTACTCTGTCCACCGCCCCGCTGCCGCCAGTCTTTCATACCGGATGCTGCTGTCATGCAATGTACTGTGCTCGCTTACTTCGACATATCTCCGCCGGTGGACTCGAGACGCGTCCTTTTGGGAGCGACTCGGTCGCGAGTCCCCCTTACTGGCCTGAAGCTTAACTTATGCGGCTGCTCAGTGCCATAAAATCACTCTCAAATACTCTCAATCGGTCGCAACCTGAACTACGCACGCATCGTCCGCGTCGCACGGAGTAACAGGCCATGCGCACAGCAGCGCACTGTTATCAGAACATGGCGCGTGTTCGGCTGGGCAGTAGGCTGAACTGCCGTCGCACTGCAACTCCTCGGGATTGTCCTAGACAATGCATACCTGAACCTCAAGCCTCTCCGTCTTCATGTGCATATGCACTGGTGGAACCCTTACTTCTGGGTTGTCCGAGTCGAGGAGGGTGACTTCGCCTGACCGACCACTGCCAGTGAGGCCTCCTGCCGGCGGTACGTCCTGTCTCGTTCGTTTACAGCTAGCAAGTTCCTGCTTCCTCACAAATCCTTTGGACTGTATCTATCCGCTTCAGGCTCCATCCATCACTCTCAAACCATCCGCGAGTGCCGCCCAGCATCCGCCTCCTCGACTCAACCAGCTGCACGCTCAGTAGTCGCGTCAAGTAGTACCGCGTCGACGCCCTTCTGCCAGGTGTCCAGACGTATTCCAGAGAAGACTGGAGGGCTCCGAGTCGCCGCATGGGAGGCTCGCCGTAAGAGCGGGAGGCGGCGATGACCGAGGGATGAGACTGTGAGTACGGTGATTGTATATGCACGAAGTCCATACGATGCTGACTGGCGGCTTCCCCGTCTACTCAGCTGCTGCTATAGCAGTGACCGAGCCAGGTCTGTCAGCCCGGCGCGAGGTAACAGCCTTGCTATCCCAAGGGTGGCATACAGGATGGCCATCGTCTAGTGCACGCGGCATCACAGTATATGTAACCGCCATAGCGAAGTATGCCCAGAATTCGCAATGTGGTTGGTTTATCATATCCCTGCTCGTTTGCCGCAACTTGCTCGACGGAACGTCGTGTGTTACATTGAAGTGTGATATTCCTGACAGCAATTCGAAGCAGACGTACAGGAGGCGATTTCGAACGAACTAGTAGCAACACAATATATACATTGGACAGCAGGCCCCCATTCGAGAAAGCTCTAGGCAGTCCGGTCGGCGAACACAAGTGTATCGTAGAGCACACCCAGTAAGCCCGTATGTACCAAGATCTGCGAGACCATGGCTTACGAGAACATCACGAACGAGCACAAGACTATACGAGATATCAGCCCATCGCCAAGAAACCGTTTGTGCACCGGAACTCGTCCATCGTCGGCCACGGTTCGTCAAGAATGGCCCAAACTGTCCGCCTGCGGCGAACCTCAGCACTCCGCGATGATGCTTTATCAGCAACGCACGACGTACGCATGAAACTGACCGCCATCCTCCCTCGTTCTCATCAGCCGCTATTCGCGTTCTGGCTGGCTGACTCGGAGTGCGACTCGGACAGTTGTGTAGGTGCGTAGCCCGGTGCAGTTAATCCCTCCTGCACCTGACTCGGACGCGCGTCGCCGCCCTGACGTTGATTCGCGTGCTCGATCGCGCCTACGAGTCCGTCCTGACGACCTTCGTCCACGTCCTTGCGTCCCTCTGCTACTGCGCGTGCGGCACCCGAGCGGTCTGCATGCGATTCGGGAGCATCTAGTAGCTGCGTTGACCCAGTCTGAGCCACGTCCTGCCCTTGAGGCGATTCATCAAGTGTCGTAGCGGTCTCCGGCGTCGCCCCGCTGACAGCTGGCGGTGCTGTATCCGTCGCCCAGGTACATCTGGTGCTGCGCTCGGGCTAGTGACCGTGCCTTGCATCTCCACGTCGGGCTCCTGCGCGGCAGTCCCTCTGAATTTTCCCCAGACGTTACGGCTAGAGAGATGATCAGCGACAATTGGACGAGCGGCGTGTGTGGTTCATCGCTTACATGAATTGCATACTAGGTCGAATTGGACTGTCCGTTCGCGGCTCCGATGGGTCGTACTCGTACGCAGCTTCCCACGTAAGCCATGAGTCAGTCGCCTGCGGGGAGTCGACGTGTCGATCGCCTTCGTTCTGGGGCTCACCGGGAGCGCATTCGAGCCATGCATACCTTTGCAAGTGTCAGTGTATCTTGGCATTCTGAGCAGACTGACCAGCTTTCCAGGTACATCCCAGTCCATTCTAGGCATGCATGTGTCCAATCCACGCAGCCTTGCAAGTCAACACTGAAGCCTTCAAGTTGGACTGTCCCCGGCGGCGTCCATTCATCGCATTCAAGTAGCCATTGGAGTCGCCGCGCGATGCGGTTGGTGGACTTCATGGCGTCGCGGAGAATCTTAGTCGTACTCAAAGATTCATAGATGTCGGGGTCAGTCATGCGATATAACAGCCAATCGAGTCTGTATATGGCCGCGGGACACAGATGTTTTATGGCTCCCTGCAGCTCCTTGCGGTGGAAGGTAGCCAACTGTCTGTCGAATCGTTCGAGCATGTCGGCCAGGTCAGCTCCCCTCGACAGCTCGGCTGGCAAAGTATGCTTGTTTTTGACGGACAACATGCACATCGCCAGGATGGTTGTCGCGATTTGAATGGTGGATACAGGGTCACGGTGTGCGTATACCGTCGTAAGTGCAGCCTGGACGCATTCCCAGTCTATGCCGAACCTATGTATTCAACCTTCCCCTTGTCCAGTGCATGCCTACGGAGCTGCCACGTCCAGACCTTCTGGGATGCGTCTTGCAGCCCGGCTCGCTCCGTGGCATGGAAGTTCAGCCACTGGTTCACAGCCAAAGCGACGGATGCCGCGCTGAGACTGAAGACCAGAGCAACGAACCATAGCGCGGCGATCCAACGCGGCGCAGCGGGTGGCGAGGAAGAGCTTGTAGATGAAGAGTTCACACCGACCGTCGGCACCGGCACCGAATTCGAAGAGCTGGCAGCCGCAACGACGGCGTTCGTAGCCATGCTACCGAGTTGCGCGGATATGCGCTCGAGGACAGCCGTGTTGGGGTCAGGTGCTGGCACCAGAATGGCGTAGTACTGAACCACGAAAGCGGTGAGGACCGCGGAAAACAAGCCAGCCTACAAATCATCTCTCAGTCGCTCTTCGCGCGCGCTCGGTCAGCGGTGTGAACGTGACTCACAAAGACGAGCAGTGTATTGATTTCATTCCGCCATCGTTCTACACGGTCCTTTTCATAGGCCCACGCTGTATCCGCCAGTTTCAACCAAGCGTCTGGTGCCTCTGTTGGGTCCCGTGGCTTCATGAACTTCTCGAGTACGTTGAAGAAAGCCTTTTCCTGTTCCGACTGCGCTGTCCCCTGCGCTGGAGGGTCTTTTGATAGCAGATCTCCCGCCCCATCCGTTCGCCCATGCGGGTCCTGATGGCACAATTCAGACTACGATCAGTTCATATTTAAGAGAACGATCGATGTTCGTGTTCACCGGAGGCATAGATGCAGATTTACGAGGCAACGGAAAGGCCCTCGTAGTACCTCCACCACTCCGGTTAGATGACTGCCATGCATACGGGTGAGCAATCCCATCCGTCCTTCGACCTCGCATACACCCACTGTAGGTCCGGAGCCATTGCCTCCGTGAGAGCTTAAGCCCGCGGCGGTGGTCAGCGACGATGTCGCGTTGGGAGTCATTGCGTTCTCTTCGACACCCTGGTTTCTTCGGATCGAAACATTAGCCAACGATTCCACGGATACAACGGAGATGTAATCAGTTGTCTGCTGCGCCAGTGAAAACAATGGTGCGTACCTCGGGTGGGTCCATGATGGTGTCGTATGGCAATCAGTGTTGCTTACAGCGATGGAAATGGGTAGGGAAAGCGAGAGGACGACGGACGATCGTTTCGTATAGCTGGCTCAATCGCGAAACCTCACATAGATCAGCAATAGATCAGGGCGAGTAACAGAACTCCCACAGGAGGGACGTCGAGACGTTGAAAACGCGAGGATGTATCTCATTGAAGCGGTGCTAAATCAAGAGCAACACCGCCGAGCCTCGAATCCGCAGGGTTTGGACGCTGACATATAGTCTGATATAGACATGGAAGGAAAGGTATGTATATGCGATCATTGGCTATGCGAAACATTGTAACGCCGTTACGTGTTGCACGGTTCCGGCGGCCATATTGTACCTACAGGGCGGCCATGATTGGACGAGGCGTACCCTGGTCGTACAGAAGTGTACGTGTGGTCACCGAGGCGCTGCGTCGGAGCCGCTCGCAGGCCTTCAATTGGGCGCGGCAACAGCCTTGCGAAGTTGTCCAGGATAGCGAAAGATCCCTGTCGAGACGGGGTTAAAAGAGCTGACCGAGACGAGATAACGCGTGTAACATACCAGTCATGTTCCCGACCGATATGTTCAGGCAACACCTCGATAGGTAAGTGGGGTTGCCGGGCAGGATACCACTCAACCGTTGGCCGGGAATGAGATTGGCGCGTGCCTGTCGGGACACGCGTCTCAAGAGATTCCATCCGCAGCTGGCCTTTGCGCTTAGGTATATGCAGGCGCATCAGGAAAAAGCTTTTCGGGCGATAGCGCTCACCCAAGCTACATTGCCATAATAGGCAGTATTGTGGCTGTAGACGCCAGCGTCTACTATCTGCTCGTCCATAGTAGTATATAGCACCAGATGCTGGCATGCTCATGTATGAATCCCTCTAGTTAGTGTAAAGGGGTCATACATAGATCCCAGTAGTTACAGTGCAGTGACCACTGCGCCTTCATATATGAAGGTGCAGCCGGCGCTCCGCTCGCTACCCGAAAGGGCAGCTGCCCTTTAGGGACAGCCCGGGTCAGTGTCACTGCGGCCTGGCGGCGGCGGCTACCCTAAATAGGTCTTGTCGCGCGCTCTTCCGCTTTGGGTGCCATTACGGGCATCGGGCGATTGCAATCGCGATTTGCGATCTGCTCGATCTACACGGTCTGGGCTAGGTACAATACCCAGCATGTATGTTGCTCTCCACGACATATATTGTACATTCATTCCTTTACTTACCACTTCAATTTGCAATCTAATTGGCACGAAGGATGAAGCCATGAAATGACCTGGTATGTTCGAGGCCCCGACAAATGCTCAGGCTCTGCCAGTGATGAATGCTGCGATCGTATGGATCCTGCGATTTGTCCTCCCACCCGTCACCCGCAGCCTCCTGTGTGTCGCCCGCTGATAGTGCGAAGGTGCCTATAGCAGAGCTTGCTATGCGGTGGTGACCCTTGTTGACAGCCGGCCAATGGCTCATTTACGCCGGTTAGTGCATACTTTCCACTCGTCGATGTGCCTTCATTCGTACCTGTCTACGTGCCATTTGTGCTGGCCGACGCACTGCTGTTCGTACCTGCTGACGCGGACTCATTCGTCTCTGGCAGACTCTCTGCTGACACAGTGTTTGTGTTGGTCGACGCACCACCATTTACACCCGCTGACATGTCCCCATCCGGACCCACTGACACGCCGTTTGTGCCGGTCGACGCACTGCCGTTCGTACCCGCTGATGCGCCGCTTGCATTGGTCGACGCACCGCCGTTTGCGGTATTGTACTCGCTGACGCGCCCCAATACATACCCGCTGACGCACTGTTTGTACTGATCAGCACGCCATTCGGCACACTCGTCGACGCGCCGTCCAACATACTCGTCAACGTGCCGTCCAGGACGTACTCGTGATTCGGCGGGTGGCCAGGAAAGGACGCGCCGACCGAGTGACGAGGTTCAGTCTGGGGTGGGTAGCAGGTTAGTGAGTGCATAGATGACAGGCCAGGCGCACTTACTGGTTGAGTTCACTTCTGAACGTGTCTCGGGATCTCCACCGTGGTCTTCCGTGCGGAGACGGTCATGAAAGCAGGATCGTGGAGGTATGGTAGCACACACAAGTAAGGTGGGCCTTGTGGGCGCCCCCGTAAACCGAACGTTTGTGTTTATTTGTTGCCTCACCGAATTAGGCAAACCCGATGTGCTCGGGCTATTCCTGGCCAATCACAACGCGTTTAACGGTCCTACTTAGGCCTGCAACATACCTGCGACTCGTCTTCTGGGCATTTTCGCACTGTGTATGCATGTCTTAAGGGTTAGATACGTGTTTGATTGCATATGCTACAATAGATGAGACGCAGTAGTACAACACAACCCCGAGTTCTCGTGTACAGTAGGGTGCCTACACTACTAGACTGTACTGGTTCTCTTAGTCTCGGCGGTCATAAGGACTCGGAGCGTTCTAGCGCGATATGTACTGGACTCCTTTTTATGAAATATATTCAGACTCTCATTACACATTCTATACGTCGGTCGTGTCTGCATGCAGGAGCAGCAGGGCAGTCGCCCTGTGCGTTCGCTGTGCCCGTGTGTTGCGTGCGCACCTGCTCCGCCCGCCGTCGTGGTCACCCGCTTTTCGCTCATGCGCCTGTCTTCCGTTCGTCGGCCGTACTTGCGTGCTGGGCATTCGCCCGGCACGGTTGCGGTCGCCGTGCGTGTAGTGCTCGCGTCCGCACTCTGGGCCCACCCGCTTTCCGGGCCTCTCTCCCGCCTGCCCTCTCTCCCGCCTGCCCTCTCACCCGCCTACCCACCCGCTTTCCCGCTCACCTTCTCTTCCACTTGCCCACCCACTCACCTCCTCGCTCGCTCGCCTCCTTGCCTGCTCGTACGCCCGTACGCCCTCCCGCTCGTCCACCTGCCCTCCAGCTCGATCGCTTGCCCTTCTGCTCGTCTACCCGCTCGCCTGTCTGCGTGCCCAATCGCCCGCCTGCTTACCTGCCTGCGTGTGCATCCGTCGGCTGTGTCTGCGTGCTGGGAAATCGCCCAGCGCGCTCGCGGTGAGCGTGTGCTGTCGCCTGCTCACTTACGCGTCTGCTCGCTCTCCTACCCATCCGCTTGCCCACTCGTCCGGCGGCCTGTCCAACCGCCTGCCCGCCCGTCTGCCTGCCCGCCCATCCGCCAGCTCGCACGGCAGCTCACCCGCCCGCCTTCGCGCCCGCGGTCCGCCCGTCGGCTGCGTTTTCACGCGGGGCGATAGCCCTGCGCGTTCGCGGTCGACGCGCGTGCTGTGCTGCACGTCGCCGCATCCTGTGCCTATGGTCAGTTCGCTCGCTCGCATTCGTCAGCACTCACCTCGACGCCTTTCCTGCGCTCACTGACGGTGGACGACGCGGGACGGTGGAGGTCGGAAAGGAAACTGGCGACGGGCAGAAGCGCTCGCCGCTCGCTCGGGCAGGGGATCGTAGATTCGTATCTGATCTTAGATGAGCTACCCCGATGTACCAACCCATATGGGGCATCACGCGAGATCACGCGCCAGTGGTGCCGCCAGGTCCGCGCCGCGGACGAAGGGACCGGGATTCCATACGGATATGGTAAGAGCCACGGGCTGCCCCGGGGTGGCTGCTAAAACGGGTAACGACCGACGGCGCCTCGCTCATACATGAGCGAGTGGCAGCTCATGTATGAGAGTGGCTGCAGGTAAGTACTGGAGTTTATGTATGACCACTCCGTGCTCACTACAAGGATCTTATACAAAAATATGCCTATATGGCCTGTATATAGTAGTGTATAGGTAGGTTATATGGGTCGATAGTCATACCTTGGCGAATACAAGGACGAGTTCCATTGTAGTGATAATAGTTTAAGGTGTGCCGGCGTAGTGATAATAGTAATTGTAGTATCTGTATGTTTGGCGAAGAGGCTCCCAGACTTGAGCCCGAGCCAAAGCATCGCACTCGCCGGATGAGTCATCGCGCCAGCCAATGAGTCCCACACTCGATTTCATTGGATCAGATTACCAACAGAGGTGAGACGAGAAACTGCTATTATGAACCAGGCAATACACAATCGTGTTTCCCTACTACTAACACAATTCAGCTAGGTTGGCTTGTCCTGAGATCGACTGAGATGTACGAATTGACCCGGAACTCCGTCGCGACATCGAGCGCGTTGTCCTTGGTGAGATCTCTGCTAATTTTCCTACCATATTTTGGGATCAAATGGGCGGCGCGGCGGATCTTGTCGAGGCTGACAATACTGGCGTTAGGCTTGCCATTGCGAGTGGAGCGAGAGACCAAGTATAGATTGGTCTCTGGATCCTTGCGCCGCAGTGGGGTGTACCACTCGACGTACGCAAGAGGGTGCGGCAGTGATCCGAACTGCTTTGGAAGGTTGAAGATAGCGCGGACACGCGCGACTCTCGTGCCTGCAAGTCCGGCAGAATCAAATAGTTATTCTCCGGTCCATGTGCAACAATACTCACCGTTGACAGACCGTGGGTCTTGTGGTCCGAGTCCATCGATTGGGGCGTCTGCGTCGATAATGAAGGCGGTGTCAAAGTGCGCTGGCATGGGTTGCTTCCGACCTCTCCCTCGTTTGGCTGCGACTGCTCGAATACGGTCTCTATGCTCTGGTACGTCGCCGTGGGGGTCACCTGGATAGCTAACTGAGACTGCATTGAAGACGTCGTATCGGTCCATGCGGTTCGGCTCCAGCTGGCACCGGGGCAGCTCAGAACGAACAAACTCCGTCAGCGCAGGCAAGAACTCGCTCGCTCCGTGCTCGCGTTGCAGGTGGTTCAGGGACCGGTTGGGAAGAGGGCAGTGCGTCGCAATCTTGTATGTGTGCACACCCTCGGTCGGATCGTCATCATCTAAGAGCATCGGTGAGTCTGTGTCGTCTTCCGGCTCGTCGTCGGACGCTGACTCGGTCTCCGTCTCCACGCTGTCTGTCTGATCGACTGTATCTTGAGCGGGCAGCGCATGAAACCACGCGATGTACGCGGTATGCAAGTCGATGGCCTCCTGGCGAGCGAGCCAGGTCACCATCTGCTCAGCGTAGTCGCGATGGTTGCTCGCACGGTAAGCGTTCTTCGCGAGTTCGATGTGCAAGCGCTCAGGCAGTTCGGTGTTGTATCCGTCGCAGGAGCCATGGGACCGGATTGCCTCAACGTAATGGAGAAGCGAGTGGATCTTCGGGATGTTGAAGTGCTCGCGGATCCCCAACTTGACGAAGACATCCTTGTGGCGATGGAAGGCATCGAGAGCCGCCTGCAGGTGAGCAAGCGACGTGTCATCGTGCGACTGAAGTTGCGCATAGTAGATAAAATCTACGAGTGCGCGCGCAACGGCGAGGACCTCGGCAGACACAGCACCAGCCAGGAGCGCAACGAAGATACGTTGCATTTCCTTGTGCTCCTTGCCGGTCCATTGCGAGACGTGCGAGATACCGTTGCGGAAGTGTCGAAGGCCTGGGAAATCCGTCATCGCGCGGAAGCGACGGTCGAGCTCGTCCTTGCCCACGATTGTCGAACACCACGAGAGTAAGTGTTCCTTGAATACTCCCTTATGAAGCTGATGAAGAATATCAGGCATAATCGACGAGAAGATGTCGCAATGGGGGAGGTCGGCCCAGAAGGGCTCGTAGACAGGTCGCAACTGCTCGGCAGTGAAGCGCAGTGAGTCTTTTCCCTTCTTGTGGTCTTTAAGTGCCTCTTTCGTCTTATTGACGTCGCGTGGCTCACTGAAGAGCTGCTCGCCGCGTCGGGTAGGAGGTACGGTGCAGCGCGGGCAGCTGTTCTCCTTACAACAGCAAACCAGGCACTGTTCGGGGTAATCAGCGATGTACGCTGCCACAATCGGGTGGACCCTTCGGACGCCACGGTCTGCACACGTCATCTCCTTCCCTTCAAGACCCGCCTTGCGAAGGGACGCCAAGATGAGCGACATGCAATGATGGAAGAGTCGATACCCGGCGAGGCTGCGCGTGGAATCCTGGAAGCAGTCAAGTTTCGAGACGGGTATGTAGCCGAGAAGGAGTGTTGCGCGCTGTGAAGGCTGACGCCGTACAGATTTCGAGATGTTCCCTATGGACAAGTAGACGGGCCACGCCTTCTTATCTCCACCGAAGTTTGTGAGCTTTGTCGCGTCGGATGCGATGATCACGGGCGCCACTGTTGCGCCTTCGGGCACCTTCCCCTGTGACAATGGTGAGTCACTCTTCTCGCCAGTGCCATTGTTGTTGGCTGACATACCTGTGTCTTCCACCACCACTCGGCCGTCCACATCTCATCATACCGACGTATTGTGGCTGCGTCCTCGGTGTAGACTTTCTCCGGCGCGTAGGCGATGTTCCCATCGAACGTAGGATTTCCAATGAGTTCCTTGACACAGTCGACAGGATCGCGTCGCCAAAGCTCCAACTGCTCCTGCATGGAGCTTCCGTCATCACCGACACGATCGCCTGTTACAGTGATCGTCTCGCAGTGCCAAGCGGCTCCTGTAGGTAGGTCGTCGATTTGCTGAAAAAACTTGTACTTCGAGTCAGCTGACAAATCACAGTTCCTTAGTATCTAGGAAGACTCGGAGATCAGTCGATGTGCGGATATGAGATATAAAGGGCTTTGGTGCGTACAATCGAAAGCTTGAGGAACTCGTCGATCCTATTCTGACCAACATGTTTGATCAACCACCGAAACAGTTCCCACTCCTCCTCGTCTTTAAACGGCGCCCACTCATCGACTTTGGCCTCAGTACGCATTCGGCACCATGCCTCGAAGAGAGTGTCGTCATATCGAATGATTGTTGCGACGACACCTGGGTAATCCTCAACATATCGCCGAGCCTCCTCCTCGTCCTCTGGTACGTCCTCGACCCGTGCCCGATATGGTGACTGCGCGCCATCCATAGGGTCATCGACATCGACGTGAGCATCATCAGGTTCGTGGTCGTGGTCCATAGTATCTTCTTGTGCTGATATCTCTGTGGTAGACTCGGAGGCCGAGGCGGCAACACCAGCAGCGGGAGCCTTTCCCGAAGCAATTGCCTGGGCGACTCGTGCCAGTTTGCGTTCCCATTTACGACGACAGCGCGGTGAATTTTGTATGTGATTCTTGACACCTTTCATCGTAGGTACCCCGTGTTTGCAATATCCGCAGCGAGGCATGTTTGTGAAGTAGAAGAATTCGTGGACACGAAATATCAAGCAGACGAGACAATGACAAGGTTGGACAAGGTGATGATGAAGGTCAAT